ATCACTCTTTGGTGGTGCACCCATTTTTCCAAGGACATCTTCTGGCAGTGTTTCAGGTACCTGTTGATGTGACAAATATGTTCAACCAAGTGAATCCTAGTCTTAATTTGGAAGAGAGAAAACCATACACATTGGAAAAGGAGATGGAACTTATTGTATGATTCTGTTAATAATTTGAAGATATCTGACAAGCAAGCAAGAGGCATTCTAAGGAGAATGAGAGTTAAATGCAGGCAACCAAAAGTGGGAACATTTCTTGCAAGCCATATAGCAAAACCCAACCAGCTTGAAGAACAAGAACCGTGTACATTCCACAGGAAATAACAAAACAAAAAAATGACCTTGCTTTGAAGTTCCAGATAGCAAAATTATTATAAAATATAGTCATTCAACTAAAATTATAAAATGAAATTGACATGCAAATGAGTTTCTCAAATCAAGATTTCTAGAAGTTGTTATCATTCACAAACCTGCCACAGTTTCACTTCCACTCCTTCTACAGATGCAGCTCCTTTTCTAATCTCTTCAGCTAGTTTTGCAACATGTCCATACATGGAATAGTAACTGCAGAAGGCACCAATCAGTTTCTAGTGGTCAATTAGATGCTAGTGTCATAAGCATTAAAACAAAATCACAGTTCAAAGGATGACGTAAAGTTTATTTAATTTCTTATTAACTTTTCAAGCAATTGTCATTCAGATAATATCTCAATGCATGACAGTGAAAAGGAAAGGGAGATTTAGCACATCTATAAGTTACCTCAACGCATGATAATGAAAGAAGAATGGAAGTAGGAAAACAATATGGAACAGTGGATTGGCTAGGTAAGCATATATCAAGGAAATAGCTTTTGAAAACTTGATGATATAAAAGGACAGTAATCACCATAAATGCCTAAATGTAGGTGCATGATAGGACTACAATGACACCATGAAAAAGAGGATTTGAATATACAAAGTCAGGACATCATGGCATCATTCACAAAAAAATATATACCTAGCTGGGAGCAGTTTGTTTTCTAGAATAAAATAGCACATTCAGATGGCGATCCCTGTGTATTCCAGGCCATGACAATGAAAGCCATTTGTGATGTTTTATCCATATTAAATTACAAGCCAGGAAATAGTTTCAATTATGATGATTACTGGGGCCACAAAATTAAAAGCAGGTGCTACCATTATCTCTTCTCCTAATTATATTTTCAAAGAGTAGGTCCAGTTTCACAATCACTTTTTCTTGGTTAATACCTAATATGAGCATAATGCCCAAAAGCTGTGTCAATCTTATTGTTTAAGTCACTTGCTCCACTTATTATACCTAAAACCTTCTGTCTTATACATACTTGTATTATTGTGAAGTATCAAAATGAATGGCAAACATTGAAAAACATGATTTTCACACTAAAAATCCATCTATGAAAAAATAGAAAAAAACAGGAAAATAAAAACAAATTTATTTAGGCCACAAGTTGTTTAGATATTGTCATATTGATTATAACATAACAATCAACCCTTCTAAATTGGTAAAAGAACATATCTTGTTTGTTATCCAATCTCCATGTATTTTCTTTTCCTTTTCAGATTCCTATCTATTGATATTCCTCGATTGAACATGAAACAAAAGAACAATACAATAAACTTAGACCCCCTATACCCCTATTTCAAGCGCATGTTGTGATCAATTTATTTATTCCTACCCAAAATAAATTAAAAGCCATCAATAAACGAACTAACTGAGAGTAAAAAAAAAAACAGCAATTCCAGAATGAAAATTGATTCCTTGAATTATCTTGAGGATACATGAGTAAACTCTCGTCAAATTCAGTGTCAAAATCCAATTATCAAGATCGAATTGAGCCTTATCACAGAATTTCATCCAACAGAGTTTTCTGAAGGAGCTATTTCCCATCCAATAAAACAATAAAGAAACTATCCACAACAAAAACAAACAAACAAACAAACAACATTAGAAATGGAGGATCCAAAACAACAAAAAAAGAATAGCCATCAACAGTCCGAGTAAAATACATCAAAAGAAATCAAGAAATGAGCAGGTAAGTTTCAATGCATTGAAAGATACAAATCAAGAAGAGGACAAGAAAAGAGGGGATGAGGGGCAAGTAAAAACACGGATACAAAAGAGAAGACAAAGAGATAGTAATGCTTACATAACATAGATTTTTGAAGCCATTGATAGAGTTCTGTTCGTCTGTGTATCTGCGTCAATTGGCAAAAACGTATTATGAAAGAAGAGAACGTAATTGAGAAAAAGAGAGAGAAGGAAGAGTAATTTGTGAGAGGGAAGAAGACAAATGGCCCCTTGTATTTATGTTGGTCTCGCTCGAGTGGGCTATAATTAGTTTGTTAAACGCTTTGTTTATAAACCACTAATTGCATCATTAGTTTAATCTTTGGTCTTTGTTTATTTTTTTTAATGTTGATGTCATGCCCATCATCATTTTCGTAATAATAAAAATTAAAAAATTAAATTTATAATTAAAAAAAATTCTCTTAATTAATTTAAATTTGCAAGTAAATATTTTTTTTTTTTATTATCACTCAATCAAAACCCATAGTTATTATTTAACTACTATAATTAATTGAGATTCTTTAGATTATATGTATATAACTGTTATTAAATAATTTAAAATCAAAAAAATTTAAATTGAAATACTTAAAAAGATAGTATTCTATTATAGTTTTTGTGATTGTTGAAGGAGAATAATTGAAAATTAAATTAAGAAAATAATTTAAGAAAAGATTTGCCACCAATAAGTTGACATCCACCCATTTGTAAGGATGAAAATTAATTTTAAAATATTTACAAGTTACATAAAATATTAAAAAAAATAAAAATAAATGATAGACGCCAATTAAGATTCAAAGGTGAGTTGTCAACTATTAATATGGAGGCAGAGGCAGAGCCATCATACAATTCCTATTTTAGAAATGCTTGATATGAGATTGGAGAATCATGTTCTAGAAGCTAATTGTTAAATTGAAAAATGGAAACCCTAATTTTATGCTATTAGTTCATTTTTTGATTTTGTTTTTCCAGGTTTTCCAAAATTGAACCTAATCAAGATAAAGAGTTTCAAAATGTTTTTCTGAATAATGCAAAAAAAAAAATGCAAAAAAAAAAAAAAAAATTAAGAAAAATGTTTTTTTGAAATATAATAATTTTTAAGCTTTTTATTTATTTATAAGAAATTGGCAAGGGTTCAAGAGGTGCATCAAATGGGTCCCAAACAATAACTTAGTTATGAAACTAACAATGGGGACGATGGTGCGATTAATTAGAGGAGCCATGATATTGTGTGTGTGTGTGTGTGTGTAGAGGAATCGAAAGTAGGTAGCAATGGCCCTTGTCTTCAAGCGTGCTCGTCAAAGTATCCCATTTACTTCCTACTACTCATTTGCAGTAATTATAAGATTGCCATTACAATAAGTACAAATTATCATGTGATCTTCCTACTTTAACTTACTTACATCTCTCTCTCTCTCTCTCTCTCTCCCCTTTATGCTCTGCATCATTATTTAGTTATTCTACCTGCAATCAGTGTTCAACAAGTTTAATTAATCATCTTCCTACGTTTTTTTTGAATATTAGACTAATTGTCTTTTGAGATTAGTACTTGTTTCGTTTCTGTAAATTACTTCGTTTTGAAATCGGTGGCTGCGTCTTCGATGAGTGCTTTTTATGAATTTAATGTTTAATTTCACAACAATGTGCGTGATTTATCACGTAATCACTCGCTTAACGAATAAGTCTATCGTGCTTATTTGTGGGGGCGATTGGACCCACAGTTCAGGGGCTTAAGAAGGAGAAATATTGGCTTGTGATCCACGAATGCCAATGGCCCCTACCGACAGACCATTGCTTGCTTAGAAGGGAGACCAAAGGTTTTTCTGAATCTTTCTTTCTCGTATATAAACGTGAACCCTTCTACTCTCTAATCATGGCTTCAAATTTGGCTTTTTCTTTTCTCGGTGGGTGATTGGTTGGTGAAGCTTTCTTGTTCCTTTATGGCTTCGCCACTAAACACGTTAGCAGTATGTTTCATTGCGTTCCATGTTTTGCCACAATCCTTCTTTTCTTTCAACAAAATCAATAATTCCGACACTGTTTGGTCAACCTTGCAACAGTAGCCAAGTCAAAAGGATGATAATATATTAAAATGGTGTAAAGAACCCATGCGAGAGAGTGAAACTTTAAGGCCATTAGGAGAGGAAATTTAGTAAACTGATTCGAACATATCTTTACTTCTAAAAAAATGGTTGTAAAGAAACACTACCCAAACGCAAAAACAAGTTTAGACAGATTGGAAAATACTTGCTTATAGATTGGGCTCCTAACTTGAAATGTACAGTTAACCAGGCCTTTCGAAGCCCAAATAAGGCTTCAGTAACCAGACTATGAATTGCCAATCTCGATCAATTGCAAAGCAACCAAACCAGGCCCAGAAGATAAACCAAAAAGCTTTCGATTTTCATTTTCTTGATTCTGCAATGTAAAAAAGTTACCAAAAAGATTCAAGAGAATCTTGGCATTAAACTTGTTAATAATCGCAGTAAGCTTCTCAAATCAATATTAGGAACAAAAAATAAGATTAGTTTGCTGCCCACATTTTTATCAAACCTTAAACGTGTCAACCTTTAATGAGATTAATTAAATTTTTTTGACAGCAATACCCATAGTTTTTTTTTTTTCTCCAATCCAGCTAATTAAACAGTTAATATATATATATTTTTTACCATTTTAAGTTAAACAGCTAATTAAACAGTTATATTTACGAAATATTTAAAAGCTAACAGTTACTGAAACAGTTAATATTACTGAATAGACCCATTAAATAGAGAATTTAGTATAGTTTTCACTTCATTATTCCAGAAAGAAGAGAGAAGCAAACTTTTAAATCACTTCTAAATTTGGTAATCAATTAAAACAGTATTCAGCAAAAGTTTTTATTGATAGACCTATACCACTACAGAGGAGACAATGACTTGCATTGATCTATTGCTCTTTCTTTCTTATATATCATTGATTATTCACTTGAGGAACGTCTTTGTCAAATAAAAGAAAACAGAAGAAAGAACATTATTAAAATATTATTCCAGAAAGAAGAGAGAAGCAAACTTTTAAATCACTTCTAAATTTGGTAATCAATTAAAACAGTATTCAGCAAAAGTTTTTATTGATAGACCTATACCACTACAGAGGAGACAATGACTTGCATTGATCTATTGCTCTTTCTTTCTTATATATCATTGATTATTCACTTGAGGAACGTCTTTGTCAAATAAAAGAAAACAGAAGAAAGAACATTATTAAAATAGAAAGGGTAGAAATAAGAATACAAACACTAGGCTTTTGGAAATTCTACCAATAGTAGCATGTCAAATAAAAGATAAGGTAAAGTAAAAGTACGAAACTTTACTTCTTTGAGGAGACATTCACTTCAGTTTGAAGCTTCTTTCTTGTCCCCAGTTATTTTATTCCACGCATGCCTCCGTCGATACTGCTGACTAACCACAAAAAGAACAAATGGTTTGTCTTTTATCTCACTAGGCAAAACACAAATTCTGCATCCCACCTACTCTTGCCCGATAAATAATTTCTAAGAAATATTTTAACCATATAATATTCAGATAATTCTTTTTCTCATTTCTGACCTTTTCTTTATATATATATATATAATTTAAACAATACTGGAGGCAACACATTTAAGTTAATTGAATGTGCGTACCTTTGCTGCTTCTGGTGGCTTGACTAGCAGAATCAACCTACCAACACCAGTTACCAACCTAAGCAAGATTTTCAGGTCAGATGAACAGACATCAACTTCACCTGAGATTAACTAACTAATATGACTCCACCGACCTAAAAATTTGAATAGACTCTTAGCTTCCAATCATTCATAGTATAGAATAGGCGTAGCATCTATCTGGGTTCACATTTTTATGCTTAAAGACAGATGCACAGAGTCACAGATCAGGTTATGTTTAATAAGCTGTAAAGAAATACAACATATCATATTTTAGTATATATACACTGAAATTTACATCTGATGACATTCCATTATGACTTTCCAGATGCAGCCATTTACTGAGGCTCTAGACGTTTAACTAAGACTGAAACTTCATAGAAAGCTGCAGTAAAATATGATCCAGCCACAGAGAAGGAATGATTACTAATCATATTAAACCAATTAGACATTAATAATTAGAACCAAGTAAGCTCAAGCAACCTACACCACCAATTAATGCAAATTGTCGACAGTAGTTGGCCATGATAATAGAGCAAAATCCATCACAATTTCAAAGGTAGCATAACTTATTTAAGAGTGAAACGAGCAAGCAAAATAGAATATATAAAAAGATGGCCAAAAATTAGCCTTTTTTCACTTGTGCAAAATATTGAACTAAGGGGAAAATCCATTACAAACATAAAAAGGAAAAAGGTCGTGGTTTTAGAACAGATAATACTAATAATGCAGACAGTTGCTTAATTTAGGGTCGACTGGGAGTGCATCAACTAGAAAGTAACATCACATAAGCCAGTATTAGATTTATAAGTAGCATAAAGCTAATCTGCACAAAAATATTCTTCATCTACCTGCAAAAGGACAGCTTGGATATTTCCTTGTCGATAACAACCTTGGCTTAATTACTAAATGATGATGATCAGTGCAAACTTCAGAAAATAGCTTTTAAAACAAATATGAACTCCCTCCAAAATTTCTCCACCCCACTAAACAAGTATTCAAAGCCCTCACAGAATCATTGTAAATCAAATCTTCATTCGTTTGAGCCATAAAACCTGTTTTAGGAAGGATTCTATAATCTAGATAGCATGAGAATTAAATCTGATAGAAATCATTTTCCATTTCATGTTTTAAACAAAAGCACACTATCCTTTAAGTACTTTCAAATGCCATTGCCACTTCTCATTAATACCATCCATTCATATCAAGAGCTCATATTATAAAATAAAATAAAATAAAAACTATCACGACCTATTCAGCTCTAAGAATAATTACATATCTACAATATAAATTGAAGTAAGTCGCTGAGAAATTTTGAGTATCAAGGAAATTCTGACCGAATGCGTTCCATCTCCAAGCTCTTGAGGGAGAACCCATTATTCCCCATGTTACCCAGAAACAGAAAGCCAGAAATAATATAACTCTACACCAGAATGGATTAGGGGCAGCAACGAGTTGAACACAATCGAAACGATGCTTATTCAATGGCTGTAGAGCAGTCTCAAACAAACTTAAAAGGATTAAAATTTAATTTAAAATAAACAGGTTTTGCTTCCTGCTTTTTTCTAATTTCAGGATTTTAAACCAAAGTAACTGTGATATCCTATAAAATTTATGATTCAGATGCTATTCATCGTACCTCCAAATTGAAAAACAATAAGGTACTGTAATATGAAGAAGCAGGGAAAATAAATCTAACGCGGTTGAGAGAAAATTTTCTAAATTGTGATATATTACAATTTTAAGTAACAATTTGAAACCTTTTCTATTGCAACATTTTGGATTCAGAGAGTAATTTATTAAATGTACAAAATTTTTTTTAAAGGAGCATATCCTCATCAAACTAATCTTTTTCTTTCATTTGTACACAGAACAGAACCATCCAACAAAGGAGAGAATCCATACCAAAAAAATACAAACCCAAAAGTCCCCAACTCACCTCCATCCATAACCGACAGCTACCTCAATCACTCCATCAACCGACAACCAGTTAGCGTTTGCACCAAACTTGAAGCATTTCTCCTTATCTTCTCATTTTCACCCTCCACCAGCCCTAGACATACCTCCAGAATTCCTTCCCTCATGGCTTTCCCACAAAATTCCTCACTGTAACAACACAAAATATTCAAAGTGAAAAGCCCACACTGAACTCCTCTCTGGCTTCCATTTTTAATCACCTTCACCAAAACCCTCAGACATCCACCAATCCGACCCATTTCCTCTCTCCCTTCCTTACACTTCACCAAAACACTCAAGACTTCTACTGCTCTCTCCAGCCCCATACTGCCTACCCTTACCAAAATGGGCACTGCCCCGCATTCCACAGCCCGCCTTCTATTATCAGGAAAAGAACAGATAGCATACAACGCCGTTGCTGCTTCTTTCACCTCTCTACCTTTGCCATAATTTAGTAGTGCAACCAACGCCTGAATCGCATTCGGGTATGATCCGATTGTCGCTTTGTTCACTTCTACGACTGCCAGACTAGTCAAGATAGTGCAGCCTATGGCACGGCTATCAGACGAGCCAGCCCGGAGAACCGCGACGACACGACCAATTGCCCCTTCCGCTACTAAACCCACCTTGTTATCGTCGTCGAGTGAGATATTTAGTAATAGAGATAGGGCTTTCTCCTGGAGAACCGACTCTGGTGAATTGACACAGTTGAGAACAGCAGACACGGCTCCAGACTCGGTCAGCTGGCGGCGAAGGGCATGGTCGAGTTTGGTGAGTCTGGTGAGCTGGGAAAGCGAGTCGAGCTTGGAGTTCATAGGCGAAGATGGAGAAGTGAGATTGGCGATTAGGGTTTGAGCTTGTGGTTTTTCAGATGGCGACTGCGTTTGGTTAGGCTGTGATTTTCGTGGAGAGAGGAGGGTATAATTGGAAATCAGACTTCTAAGAGCATGGTTGGGAATGAGAGGAGGGTGTTCAGGAAGGGGTAATTTAGTGATTGGGCAAGTACGATGGCCGGAGTCTAGCCACCGCTGGATAGAAGCACGGTCAAAGGTGTGACCCGATGACAGGATTACCGGGTCGGACATTATTTCAAGAGAAATCGGACACTTGAAATCATCCGGAAGCTGAGTCGTCATTTCCCCCAACTCGTGACTCAAATTTTGAGTCTCTCTCTCTCTCTCTCTCTAGATGAAGTTCAGTTTCTCTCTCTACAACTTGGGGAGGAGGTTTTATGAGGTTTTTGGAACTGCTTTCGGGGGAGAAAGAGGGAGGAAGGGAGGGAAGGAAGGAGAGGGACAGAGGAGACAATTTCTGCTTCGTAGCTTATGTGAGGCTAACTAAGCAAGTGAGCGAATGGCGGTTTTGCCCTCACTCTATTTTTATTTATAAAATAGTGGTTTTGAAAATTGAAATAGGGGACCAACGACTGTTTATCTCTTCTTTTTCTTTTTTTTTCCTTTTCTCGGAAAGCATTTCTATTTTTCTAAGCCAAGAGATTAAAAACCTTAAATTTCCACATTGGAAGGAAAAAGGTTTTAATAATTCAATAACTAGGTTAAAGTGTTTCAATATTTCTGATAGACATATGAAATAATTCAGTATTTTTTAATAATTAATATTTTAATTTGTTTGGTAAAATTAAAAATATAATAAATAAAATAAAAATTTTGGAGAGGAAATCAATTTTCCTTCATTTGGAAGATTGAGAAAAGCTAAAAAGTGAAGGACTAAAGCAAATTTACCTCTGAATTTCTTTTAAAATATTTAAAATAACGTATTTTATTTTTTTTTAATTAAACCTCTAGACCTTTTTAGAAATGTTGAAAGATTATATTTGATCTTTGAATCAATTTAATGCATAACTTATTTTAATAAATCAATTAGTTACTTCAACTCAATTTAATTGTCTTTTATTTTTTTACTCTGCACAAAAAATATTTACTCGAACCTTTTCAATATTTCTAAACAATTCATTAATTTTTAAGTATCAAAAAGATTACATATGATATTTTTAATCCCTCTTAATAAATTTAGGCGGCCAAATTGGTCTTTCTTCTATAAATGAATTATATAATTTAATCCCTCTTAAATTAAATTTGGCGGCCAAATTGTCTTTCTTTCTATAAATGAATTATATATATATATATATATATATATATATAATTTATTTTATATTTATTTCTTTGTTTGGCTTACTAAATGATATATATATTTATTTATTTATTTATTTCTTTGTTTGGCTTACTAAATTTGATGTTTTCAAATTTTAATAAGAAATTAGCAAGAAAAAATAAAATAATTATTAAAATTTGAGAAATTATTTACATATACTTTTTCATTTTGTTTATCTCAAAAAAAGAATTTTTTATCTTAACTGATATATATAGATAGAGTGTAAAAGAATATTAATGGATAAAAAAATATGTACTAATGTTTGGTTTTTTTTTTATTTCGAAACATAACAAGGGGTATTTTGGACATTAGAGTCGAGTAACATTGTTTCGCAATCTCGTGTAGTTGTTGTCGGTTACTTTTTTTTGCCTGAAATAGAGGGAATGGGAAAACATGCTTTTCAAAGGGTAAAAACCCATCATTCTTCGCTTGCTCCTCTTTTCATTAATCATAACCAAAAGCCAGTGTTCCAATTCCTTTTTGTGGGGCATTTTTGGAAATTCACTTTTGCCCTTTTAGCTTCTTGTCTCAAACGGTCCATATGCCTTTTCAATGCCTCAACGGAAATATAAAAAAGCAACGACAAACACAAACGTATGGCGGCAAGACACTATTATTATCAAATTAATAACGCTGTAACGGGAGAAAATGGAGCTATTTTACGGTTATGCCCTGAAACTACAATAATACTCATGCTGGGGGTGTGGCTGTGAGTAACGATGGCCCTCAGTCAACCGTCCAAAAATGTCAAAACGTCATTGTCGATTTGATAACTAATTGACACGTCCTCTTTGTTTTCCTATTTAAGAAACCTAGTAGACAAAATATTTAGCATACAAGTGTGTGTTTGTTTTTTTTTTTTTCTTTTTATATATAAAATAGAGGTTTTTTTAGGGGAAATATATAAAATAGAGGTTTAGTATATTCATTTTGAAATAAATATTTTTAATTTAATTTAACAAAACTTTTAATGTATGATTCAATTGAATTATACACAATACATATTTGGTATAATTTTAAAATTAAATTTGACTTGTCCTAACTTCTTAAATTACCCTTAAGAGTAACATTTTAAAACAATAATTTTGAACTCTATCAAAAAAAAATATATATATCTTTGTCAAAAAATTATATATAATAATTAATATTAAATAAATTTTAAAGCCTCAAAATATGTGAATTTTATATAATAATGTGAATAATGTCAATTATAAGCACATAATAAACTTAGATACTAAAATGTTAATATTTAAAATATAAAATATCTAATATAATTGTATTGAAATAATAGTAGTAAATAAAAAAAAATTATCAATCAAGTGTAGTCTAATCGGTCTTTTTACCTTTCATAGAAAATGTAGGAAATGAGAAGTTTCAAGTTCGAGTCCTCTCTACCATATAGATTGTCACTAATTTACTGAATGTTATTCAAATAGAAGAGTGCATGTGCCTCTTAATTTACGTTTTCCGCTCTATTTAATGTTTTTTTTAAATAGTCTATTTAATTGCTTTACAATTCAATTTTTAAGAATATAGAGGATCATAGTTTTTTTTTCTTTTTGGGTTGTTGAACTGAAGTTAGAAACTGAAAGTTTTGACTTTTGTCGAATCAATTCATTTCAAACTCCATTAATCTAAATAGAATTTGATTTTAGTTATAACTTATAACTACTTCCATTATATTGAAGTTCATTTTAATACTATTCGTTTGGAATAATCGATAGAAATTTTAATATTATATTTTTGTAATTTTAAATAATTCTACATTTAATTAAATTGTAATAATTTTAATGTAGATTGAATCAATAATTAAGTAATTATTATAATATTGTTTGAAATATAAAGTGAGAACACCACTTTCAGTTTTGGCAACCATAATAATGATCCAGTAATTAAATGATTTGCCGAGTATTAATATTAAATGATTCGCTTCATTTTTTGTAAGTTTTTTCTTTATTATTATTATTATTATTATTATTATTATTATTATTATTATCATCTAATAAAATTGATTTGACTGCTGACAGAAAATAAAATTATACAAGAAAAAAATCCCAATTTTCCATGCCAAAAGGAAAAAAATTCCCAATTTACATACCGTCAAGGTTACGAAGTTATAAGAGAAAATGTGGAGAAGCATGTGTTTTTGAGAATTTGATAATGACATTTGCTAAGACAGAATGGCATTATTATGCTGGCTATGATATGTGATCGGCCTATGTCTACCTGTCCATGAAACGGGGAAGCCTCCTAAATATTTTCTATTTTCAAATTAATATTAATTTTAAAATATCATTTTTATTTTAAAATTATCTTATCTTTTTTATCTTTAATTCTACTAATTATCATTGAAAATTAATAATAACAATATAAATCATATTTATTTAGTGAAGAAAAATGATTTAGTAAACTTCTATACAATGACTATTAACTTGTAATTATTAGCAATATAAATTGACGTGTGTGATATGCTCCAACAGTCCAACCGATTGAAATAGCATGCTTCAGACAAAGAGGGGATTTAGACAGGCTAAAGAATCTCAGCCTCGAGTTTAAGGTTCAGAGCAAAGAAACAAAGATAATGTGCTGAAACTTGGAAAAAAAAAAAAATTTGTGAGAAATACTTACCCAGGGTCCCAGGGTGGCCAAAATCCGGTTTTCACAGTCAGAATCGTCGATTTTGGAACCATTGAGGAACCGAAACTAGAATCAGAATCGTTCGATTCCAAATTATAACCGAAATCATTAATTTTTGATTCGATTCTGAAACAAAAACCGGCGGTTTTGGAACCGTGGTCACCCCTATACTTACCTATACCCAATATGATCCATCCAAGTTTAATCTAATAAATAAAATTGGATAGACATTATTGACTTAGGGCATTAGCCTATTCATAGTTTAAGCATATACGAATGAGTCATATTCCAGAAATTAATTATATAATTGAATTATCCACCGGATATTAATAAGTCTTATTTAAAAAATAATTTAGTGAAAGCGTGTGTTTTGATATTAACGCGGTTGCTTGCATTCGGCATTTCTTATTTAACTAATTAGGAAAAAAAATAAAAGGTGGGGGCTTTCTTTTGGCTTCAAGAATCAAAATATTATAACAAAAAAAAAGAGACAAATGGACCAAAAGGAAAATAAAAAGAGCCAACGTGATCCATGAGGTTCTTATTTTCAACGGCAGTTGGGACTTGAGCCATTTATGCCGGTAATTTTTTTATGCTTTCCTTTTCCTTTTCTATTCCTTTACTTAAATTTGTTTTATTTTTGTAGAAATTAAAGTATCTTACCCAACAATTTATGAGTCATATTATAGGAGTGTAATTCTAAAAATAATTGTTTATTTATTTAAAAATTTTAATATAATGTGTTATGAGTACATCATGTCTTAATTTTTCAAAGATTATTAAATTTAATACGTAATATTGTATTTTGTATAGAGTATTATAATATTAATATCTTTATTTTTAAGACAGTCAGAATATACTTATCGAAAAAATATATGAAAATTTTTGAGTTCCAAAAAACTGGGAATCATTAATTTTACATCTAAATTAATTTGGGTTTGAAACTTTGCATTATTAAAAAATTTGAAAAAAAAAAAAAAAAAAAAAATTGCATTATTAAAGATAATTTGAAAAAAAAAAAAAAAAAAAAAAAAAACCTGTCTGATGCGTGCTGCATCGTCACTGAAGGGACCACCCTTCAACCACGCCGCTTCTACAACGTACGTGTGCTGGGGACACTTTCTTGTTGAGCCACGGTCTCCACGCGCGCTTGCAGCGTTATTTTAGAACGTACTAATCTCAACACCTCTCCCTTTTCTAAAACGTGATGATAGCTCCTTTGCATCCTCTACACGCAACTCAAAATCAGATTTTGCCTATACCAGAACCTATATAGAAAAGGATTGTTTACCATGTTCAAAACATTTTTAAATTCAAATTAATTTCCGATATAAAAAAAAAAAAGATGTTATATTGTGGAAAATTAAAAAATTAAAAAAGAAAAAAGAACAATGAAGTAACGGACTAACGATATTTCTTTTTCTTCCCTTTTATCTGTTCATTATTCTTACTCTTTGGTTTTTTTTTGGTATATTCAAGAGCACCAAAGCCCTCAAAAAGAGAAACTTAGCTGCCCTTAGCTAAGAATCAAAATTTCATATTATTAACATATATGGAAAATTCTTACTGTGAGTTTTACCCTAACAGTCGGAAGATTCTTCATCAATAAAAGTGGAGATCAAACCTAAACTATGAGTGATGGAAAACAATGTGTGTCATGAACATCTTAGAGGTAGGAGTTTAGCGAGGGCTTTCAAGCATAGTTGCATGGTTGAGTTCGTTACAGGAATTAGGGTCTCCTCCACTGGTTATGTGGTCGTCCACATAAAAAAAAAAAAAAAAAAAAAGCTTAAAAGTGATGATAGCTCTTTGGCACTTCTACACGCAACTCAAAAGTCAGATTTTGTATACAGACTATATAGAAAGGGATGTTGTTTTACCATTTCAAACATTTTAATTCAAAAATTAATTTGATATAAAAAAAAAAAAGTGTGAGATAGCTGTGGAAAATTAAAATAAAAAAGAAAAAGAAACAATGAGTAACGACTAACGATATTCTTTTTCTTCCTTTTATCGTTCATTATTCTTACTCTTTGGTTTTTTTTTTTGGTATATAAGAGCAGCAAAGCTCAAAAAGAGAAACTTGCTGCCCTTAGTAGAACAAATTATATATACATATATGGAAATTCTTACTGTGATTTACCCTTAACAGTCGAATTCTTCATCAATAAAGTGGAGATCAAACCTACTATGAGTGATGGGAAAAAATGTGTGTATGAACATCTTAGAGGTAGGAGTTTAGCGAGCTTCAAGCATAGTGATGGTGAGTTCGTTTACAGAATTAGCTCCTCCACTGGTTGATGGGTCTCCACTGTTGTAACTTCTCTTCATAATGAATGCTGGTTGTTTTGGAGATGGAAGAATTGAATCATTGCTCAACATGAAAACGACAGTGGACATGGTTGGCCGATCTACTGCAGATTCTTGGACACATAACAGTCCAATTTGGATGCATTTCAGTACTTCATGTTCACGATACGATTCACCCAGTTGTACATCAACTATCTCCAAGGACCTGCCATCTTTCCATAGCTCCCAAACCTAGAATTAAATTAAACCGCCATTTATAGAATGATCAAAAAGATAATTAAAAGATTAATTAATTTCTAATTAACTTACATATCCAACCAAATTTGAAGAAGTAGCCTCTTCATAATAGCTGCTGTTTTTTCTGCCAGTGACTATCTCAATTAGTAGCACCCCGAAACTATAAACATCGGATTTTACAGAAAATAGGCCTTGCATTGCGTATTCCGGTGACATATAACCACTGCAGTAACACAAAAATAGATATATGCTTCAGCAATCTGAAAATGGGAAGAAACTCCAAGGACTATACAAAAGATGCATTTGAATCCATTATGTAGTGTAGAATTTATGTTTTACAGATGGTACTACTTACTATGTTCCAACGACTCGATTTGTATTCGCTTCAATTTGATCAACTCCGAATATTCTAGCCATGCCAAAATCTGAAATTTTTGGATGCATCGATTCGTCTAGCAGAACATTACTAGCCTTGAGATCTCTATGAATGATTCTTAATCTTGAATCTTGATGAAGATATAAAATCCCTCTGGCAATCCCACAAATAATATTGTGGCGAGTCGACCAATCTAACAATGATCTTTTCTCTTCATCTGGACGAGAGTAAATAGAATTCAAAGATCAATATTTTAAAATTCCTAATTTAATTAATTGGAGAAAGTATACAGAATGTGATGACATACCAAAAATGTAAAAGTCCAAGCTTTTATTTGGTAGATATTCGTAGATTAACATCTTTTCTCGGTCTTTTATACAGTAACCTAGCATTCTCACAAGATTCCTGTGTTGGAGTTTTGCTATTAATGAAACTTCATTCTTGAATTCATTCGACCCTTGTCCAGAATGCTTTGACAATCTTTTAACTGCTATTTCCTTTCCACCATGTAATGTACCCTGAGAAATTAATCAAATCCAAGTAATGCACTTCAGGCTCAGATTTCATGTTCACCGGGAAAAAAAGAACTTGTAATTGAATAAATATTTTGACAGTCTGTTGATTATTTAGCTACCTTATAGACTGAGCCAAAACCACCTTCTCCAAGCTTGTTAGAATCTGAGAAATTATTTGTAGCAGCAGCTATGGCACTCAAATCAAAGTGTGGTAAATCTAAAATTGCACCTTCATCACTCCCCTTTCCACTTTCAGAATCTCCCAAGAATGTTGGACTTGCGGTGAAGCTAAACAAAGATTTGCTACGTATGTCGCTAGCTGTATCAATGATAATCATCATAATTAAGTGAAGATTAATTTGCTTTATGAGTTCAACTTGAAGAGAAAAGTCAAAGAGTATTTAATTTTTGCTTACCTCTTCTTTTCCTTTTCACCAAACAGTAAGCCAGGTAGAGTACAAGAAATAATGTTAAAGCAACAGAAGCTATAATTATTGCTTCCAGTCCCTCCTTCGAAACTGGGCCTTTAGACTTGCTATGTTTAGCTGTAAAAGTACGAGGAAAGTTACATAAACATTAATGATGTCATGAACATTTGAAAATAAAACAAAAACACGTAGTATCTGTTTGTACATTTTGAAGGTGAAGGTGTAATTTCTTTCTAATAATAGAGCACAAAGGTCTTTTATCCTCTCAAAATGTCCAACTTGTGTTCTTGCTCTTGCCAAAATCGACATGGATTACCATTCCATACAAGATATAGTTTCTAATTAATATCATTATAAATAGAGTATTTAATGCATATAACAAAGAAGTTGGTTTGAAAGTAGACGTATACCTAATTCAGCTGCATCCACTCGCACGTATATGTCCTGTCCCACACTTGAGTAAGTTCTTGTATCAACCAAATCTCCAGACCATGTCAAGCATCCAATCCCCGTCTCATCTGCACTTGCATAAGCCGTGCAAGAACAATTCTTCAAGCATTCTTGCTCACACGCTTTCAAGTTCATGCTCATGTTCGCATGTACCATTCTTGTATCAGGAACCCTCACCCGTTCCAACTTTACGAATCCTTCTCCGCTTTTACACGTGGACACCCCATCTTTCCTTACACAACCGCCCGACCCGTCTCTCAAATACCAGTCGCGTGGTGATTTGGGTTCGAATCCGGGTAAGCACTTGCATATGAAGCTATCAGAATCATATGGATCGCAATTACTATTTGCCCCGCATTCTCTAAAGTTATCGCATTCTTCTTTGGGATCGGACCAAAACGTAACCCATCGACGGTCGCGACCATTCCACGTGGCCCGTTGCACGATTCCTGATTCATTGATCATCATTCTTGAGAAGATTGATGCATTAGAAATGGTAATACCATACATGATTGACACCTCATCATTATTGTTCACAAAACTAACATTGAAGATGTAATTACGTGTCATCTCGGGTACTCCGCTCCATCTATGCCCGGTCCATGGGCCGCCCCGCCACAACGGGTCCAAACCCTTATAGAGAAATAACTGAGGATATCCAGTGGGATCAATTCTGTAGAAAATATTACCAGTTGCAGGATCATCTTTCGATTTCCAAGATGAAAGAAACCATTCCTTTCCAGTTCTTCGGTTCAGTCCAAGCTTCATATAAGGAAGTAAAGTGTCGGTGGGATAGTCAAAGCTTTCCCATAACACGGCACCGTTGCTATCTCGTTCAACCAAAGCGAGATTTCCTGAATCCAGAAGCTGAGCCACGGAATTGTTCGTTGATGATGAAGAAACATTGGTGGACCAGAGAGGAAGAGTTTGGTTTTTCTCATAGAGGACGAGAGAACCTCGTTTATCGATTGCAAGTACGCCGGAGGAATCATTGATAGGATTATCTCTGTTTGCCACCCAGATGACGCTTCTTTCTAGAACTTTGTAATACCAAATTCCGACGTAGCGAAGTTTGGAATTTCCAGGGCTGAAGAACCCTAGTTGGAAGACTTCGCCACTAGAGACTAAAAATTCACCGTCTTTGATAGGGTGGGCTGGAGTTATAGTGTCAATAGATGTGCAGAGTTGGGAAATGAGGAAAAGAAGTGATATGGTGAGAGAAACTATGGGTTGATTCATGATAGATTCGAGAATGATAACACTTGGTAGCTGGTGAAGCTAATTGGAGAGGGAGGGAGACGTGAGTATATCTGTCTAGTGTGTGAAGCGCAGTTGAGGTTTTAAATGAGTGGAACCACCTAGTTACTAATTATTGGTTAATTAGAAAAATCTTTCGATTGGAACATGGGAAGGGAAGCCATAATAATAAATTAAAGAGGAAGGACCAGCTCAAACCACTGAAGTTGAGTGGACAATCGTGGAAGACATTTGTTTGATTTGATCGGGTAAAGCAGTGCACTGAACGAGTCTTGTGATTTACTGCCTTTGTGGCTGTAGAAGCCAAAACATGCCTGTTTCTTTCTCATACAGTCCAGAAAAAAGACTTCTTGTTTAAGTATTCGTCCAGTAAAGGAAATTAAAAAATCTACTACTACGTATGACTTTGGATGGACTTTTGTTCCAATTTCCAATATATAATTATTGTTTTGCCCATATTTTCTTTTCAGTGTATTTTTAAATAAATATTTGTCTTATCCTTCCCGACCCGTCCATGGAGTTACTATCAATTTTTTATGCAAATTGTTGTCTGGTCATTCAAGTTAAAATTGAAAAATCACTTCAGCGGTCCAATGATTGACCAAGAAGCCCTTTTGCAACAAAACCCAAATCTGATTTTCAATTTTGACTGACTGATGACTAGCCTAATATGAGACCACTCATCCACTAAAAGATTCAACAATTCATACTAAAAAATTAACTGTCACAATTCCTAGATTATTATATTTTTAATTTAAATAATTGAAATGATCAAATTAAAAAGGTTGACCACAAATTATGCCATAAAAATTTATGTTACCGTTTAAAAGCCCGTGTAACAGAAATCGTAAAAACCATTTACCTAGCTCCGGCAGCCCATATTAAGCGACTAGGCCCATAATCGACTAAGTCCAACTACATACCGAATAGCTAATCACAGAAAAGCTCATACATCGGTCATGAACTCGTGATCTTCCCGACGCGAAATATCAAATATCACTCTCCCACCAATTTTCAGACCGGGAAGGAAGAGCAAATTCACCATCCAGCATAAGAATAGCGGGTATCATGTTTGGTTTCGATCGCAGATTGGATAGAAAGAGAGAGGAAAGAACTGGAATTTACATCCAAAAATCAATTTTTCTTTCTTTTTCCCAATTTTCCATAACTGGAACAACTGAGATAGCTTAGTAGATATCAGAGGAAAGAACGAAATTTACTGTCAAAATGACAACAGTTATGGAGGAATTATGAAATTCCCAAAAAGGCTGCGTCTGGTAAGTTCTCATTGCTCTTAATTATTTGTTCTAAAGTTCTGATCTTGAATCCAGAATTTTAATAGACTGTCTATCATATAATGTAGGTTAATAATTACTTTGATTACAATTTACACCAAATCGGTGAGAGAGCCTACAATCTTTATCGGGTCACGGAGCTAATAAATTGTAACTTGATAATGGAAGATGATCCTATCTCTTCTCCTACTCCGAATGACATAGTGTCGCCAGGATTAGGTGTTTTGAAAGTAAAAGCTGGTTCTTTTGGAGAGGGGAAATTTATTTCACTGCTTAACATCAAAACAACTTCTGACATTGTTGGTCTGTACACTGCATGTTCTTGAACGCATAAGAGCCCTATTTTGAGTGCATCTCCTGGCTTCATGGAGAGGATATGACTTTTCCAGTGATGAATCAACTATCTCCAATATTCTTTCTTCTATCCACTGCTCCCACACCTGTTGGGTTCAAAGCATTAGCATGCAGATGATGAACTATCAAGTGTAACTTCAATAGCTTGTAAACAACAATATCTAAAACTACAAGTTTCCTTCACTTACATGTCCTAGCAAGCTCAAGTAAGAATCCTCTTGGTGAAAGTCATTGCTCTTCTTGCCACTCAAAATCTCCAATAATATGACCCCAAAATATCTCTAATTCTTTCACAATTGACTTTTTTTCACCTAAGCTAATAGTTAAATAGTTCAAAACTATGTACTTAACTTTTATACTGTGCATGATGAGAAGGTTCCAAATTGTCAGTTACGTATATGCCATGTAAATGTAATGTAATTTATTTGACTCCCCTTTTGTTTGTGATAATTCGTCGAAAGATTATTCAATATTGGCTGAATAAACATCAGATCAGATTGGACTCGACCAAACACAAATTTGCATTTTAGTCATGTCATAATTAAGCATTTTCTTTTGACTTTCATGGAGATTTTTTTACACAATAGTCTTGAATCTCGAATCTTTAGTCCTTGATAAAAAAAGGAATAAATGGAATAGATTAGGGAAATAAAGCAGAATTTCAGACCGCACTTGTCATGGTATTTTTACAAATACATCATGATTTAATCAGAACAAAGTCATAATATACAAAAGAAAAATGCTGGAAGATAAGTGAAAATCTATAAACTCGTATATCATTTTAGGGCTAGAGCAGTGATTTTGAGATTCATAAGCTTGTACAAAGCTGATCTGAAGTTTTGGACTTGAATCCTTTACGAAATGGTAAACGGATTTCCTATATATTTGTGTCAGAGTCTATTAGGAAGAATTCCTGTAGCAAGAATTTACTTGCAAATAGTGAGAATCAATTATCCTTAGCGAGCTATAAAATCAGTAACTGTAACCTCATTCGTAGAACTTGACTCTTCCTCAACTACTCCAAATGAGTTACTGTTGCTGCTAAATTCTCTAAAAACAAAAGCTGGTTGTTTTGGAGTTGGAAGAGGTGTTTCACTGCTCAACATTAGGACTACTTCCAACATCGTTGGTCTGTCCATAGCATTTTCCTGAACACATAACAGTCCAATTTGAATGCATCTCGAGACATCATTAGGATTATATGATCCCTTTAGTGATGGATCAACGATCTCTGATACACTACCTTCGCACCATAAATCCCATACCTGCAACAGAGAATGAAGCATTAATGTAAATTATATTACCTTAGAGCTATACTGTCCAAAAATATTCTCACTTACATGTCCTATCAAGCAAAAGCAAGAATCTTGTAGTTTAAATTCGTTGCTTTTCTTGCCACTTATAACTTCCAGCAATATGACCCCAAAACTAAAAACATCGGATTTTACTGAAAACTTTCCAAACACTGCATACTCTGGCGACATATAGCCACTGCATAAAACAATTGCTGAAAATAGAGTTAGGATCTGTCTCAATTTATTATTAGGTATTCACAGTGATAAAGTATTGTTACATCTTATACTTACTATGTTCCAACCACTCTATTTGTCTTCTCTTGAATTTGATCAGCTTTGAATATTCTAGCCATGCCAAAATCTGAAATTTTTGGGTTCATATCTGCATCTAATAGAATGTTGCTGCTCTTTAAATCTCTATGAATAATTCTCAACCTTGAATCCTCGTGAAGATACAAGATTCCTCGAGCCATCCCAGTTATAATATCAAAACGTTTCCTCCAATCTAACTCCAACCTTCTTGTTTGATCTACAACAAGATTTTGGATTATTTATTTATTGAAATTTTGGCACATGAATCATATATACAATGGAACATTTACAATCTGGGAACCAGTTCAATATTGGATGATGGATGCATAGAAACACTAACCAAAAAGAAGTACATCCAAGCTTTTATTTGGCAGATATTCATAAACTAACATTTGCTCTCCTCCCTCAATGCAGCATCCGAGAAGTTTCACAAGATTTCTATGTTGAAGCTTTGCAATTAGCATGACTTCATTTTTAAATTCTTCTATTCCTTGCACTGAATTTCTAGATAGTCGTTTTACAGCAATCTCTTGCCCATTAAATAGCTGACCCTGAAATTATGTCTGCAACTGTCAATTTTCTTTGGAACACCAAACCAATCCTAATTTGTTCATGAAGAATCTCAAACTGATAGATTGAAGTAAGAACATAAAAAACAAAAGCACTTGAGAAACTAATTTAGCATTCAGAAATTGCATAAGAGAGAGTCTACCTTGTACACTGAGCCAAAACCACCTTGGCCTAGTTTGTTGGCTGGAGAGAAGTTTTTAGTGGCAATAACTATGGTGCTAAGATCAAAGAATGTTACGTCTGGAGGACGGCTACTTCCCCCGATTTCACGTGCCACCAAAGTGTTTTTGTAATAGATTGAACCACTGATAGGATCAAAGATTCTGTTTTCCAGTTTGTTCTTCATCGCTGTCCTTGAACAAATTGAAAACAAAAGCTTAATCTAAGGTCTCTGCAGTAGGTTTTGGTCATGTACAGAACTCGTGAAAAAGTGAATTTAGTAAAAGATCAGTTTGGTTCTTACCTTTTCTCCTCTTCTTAAGCCACAAATAAGCAAGGAAGAAAATAGTAAACCATGCTGAAGCAATAGATAAAATCAGAATCTTCAGCTCCTTCTTTCCAAAAGCATTTGATTTTCTTGCATTCTCAGCTGCAACAGAGGGAAAAGAATACTAATTCACTATGGCTTTGAATCAAGAGAAAAGAAACAGTTGGTTTTGTCTATGATACTGATTTTTATAAATTTGGGTTTCACATTTCAGAACTAGTGTCAAGCAGGAATATATTTACCTAATTCAACTGCATCAACACGAACATACAGATCATATGTTTCATCGATATGCTCTACTGTGTCCCATAATTGCCCATACCAAGCTAAACAACCACTTCCTTTACCAGCAAAATCTATGCTTGCATATGCAGTGCACGAGCATTTCTTCTTGCATTCCCATTCACAAGCCATTCGAGTCGTATTCATGTCCACCCAAACAGCAACTGAAGTATCAGGAAGCTTAACATTTTCCACTTTAACAAATCCTTCTCCATGTCCACACAATAAAGAAGGATCTTCACGCTTCCTAATACACCCTCCTGATGCATCTCTTAGTTGCCATTCCCTTGGGAACTTGGGTTCAAACCCAGGTAAACAAGAACACTCGAATTTATCTGGAGTGCTAGGAGCACACTTACTAGAAGCTCCACAATTCCCATACAAATCACATCTGTATTCTGGTACAGACCAGAACTCCTTCCACTTTCCATCGTTATTATGCATTCTTAGCCACTTAATAAATCCTGAATTGTCCACTACTGCTCTCAAGGTGGAAGAAGCATCGAGCATATGATAAGTAAATGATATTTGGTCTTGATTATTAACAAAACTCAAATTGTATATATCCGAGAATATTCTCCATGGCCATGGGATGCTTCGCCAATGGGGTCTTGAGTCTTTGTAAAGTATGAACTGTGGTGAACCTCTTGTGTCTAACACAATTGAGTAATCTCCGGTACTTGGGTCATTTTCTGATCTCCATGATGTCGGAATCCAATATTGTCCGGATTTCCGATTCTGCCCCACATGCATTCCTGGTAGTACGGTATTGGTGGGATAATCAAAGCTCTGCCTCATCAGGGAAGCTTTAACATGTTCCACTTTACACAAATCCCTTCTTCCATGTCCACACAATAAGAAAGGATCTTTCACGCTTTCCTAATACACCCTCCTGATGCATCTCTTAGTGCCAATTCCCTTGGGAACTTGGGTTCAACCCAGGTAAACAAAGAACCACTCGAATTTATTCTGGAGCTGCTACGGAGCACACTTACTAGAAACGCTCACATTCCCCATACACAATTTCACATCTGAGTATTCTCTGGTGCATCTCTTAGTTGCCATTCCCTTGGGAACTTGGGTTCAAACCCAGGTAAACAAGAACACTCGAATTTATCTGGAGTGCTAGGAGCACACTTACTAGAAGCTCCACAATTCCCATACAAATCACATCTGTATTCTGGTACAGACCAGAACTCCTTCCACTTTCCATCGTTATTATGCATTCTTAGCCACTTAATAAATCCTGAATTGTCCACTACTGCTCTCAAGGTGGAAGAAGCATCGAGCATATGATAAGTAAATGATATTTGGTCTTGATTATTAACAAAACTCAAATTGTATATATCCGAGAATATTCTCCATGGCCATGGGATGCTTCGCCAATGGGGTCTTGAGTCTTTGTAAAGTATGAACTGTGGTGAACCTCTTGTGTCTAACACAATTGAGTAATCTCCGGTACTTGGGTCATTTTCTGATCTCCATGATGTCGGAATCCAATATTGTCCGGATTTCCGATTCTGCCCCACATGCATTCCTGGTAGTACGGTATTGGTGGGATAATCAAAGCTCTGCCACACAATTTTTTTACTTTTCCCCCGGAGCAACACCAAATTTCCTGAATCCAAGAGCTGAAGCACAGAAGCATCTGATTCAGAACTTTCCAATGTTACATTTATAGACCATACAAGAACCCTTTGAGCAGGATCACTATAAAGAACAAGGTTCCCATATTGATCGATTGAGAGAACACCAGAGGAGCCACTGATTGGGTTGTTTCTGTTTGCCACCCATACCACAGATTTTTCTGAAACTTTATGATACCAAATTCCCAGATATCTATACCTTGAATTGCCCGGACTAAAGAACCCAAATGCGAAAACATGGCCCTTGGAAACTAGAAGGTCCCCTTCTTTGAAGGTCTGGTTCCTTGTAATGTTATCTAGGGTAAAGCATGATGAGAGTTGAAAGAGAAGAAGCAAATAACAAAGAAAAGTTTCTATAGAAGCCATTGCCATGATGTTTTCCAATGTTAGAACTTGATCTTAATGTTTACTTGGTGGAACTGGAAGCTGTCCTTGTCGAAAGAACGATTTCGCTCTTTCTCTGGAAGTTCACTTGTTTGATTAAATATTATTCTATGCCAAAATTTCCACAAATCTCTTTTCCCTTTCATACATCATTTGCTTACCTACCTCATTTCTTAATTAATATTGGTCAATTTCGATAGTCTACCCATCTTTTCTTTGTATTATTTATAGGAATTGGAAAGACGTGTGATTATTAAAGACTGGGAAATAAAAGGAAAAGCTGTAGAGTCCATAAGAATTAAAAACACACCAAGCTGAAGTTACCACAGAAAGAACCTTGAACATTACAAAACTACAGTCAGAAATTTCGACGAAATCATCAGTAGTTGTTGGACTCTTGGCTTAAAAGTATTGCTAGAATTGGAAACAGTTCCAATAATGATAAAGTTGAGTCCTCAAGAATCTCTGTTTATAGAAGGAAAAGAAACAAAAATTCAACCTCAAACGTATGAAAAGTAAACAACCCCATTTTTTAAAGCGTTGGACTTCAATTCAATGCATTAAAATAAAAAGATAGTTATTATACCCCTTCATGAAAAATTCGACGTCTGGTCAAACTTCTCTGTGTTGTTGCAGATTGACGTTCGGGCCTATTCACGCCGGGAGATTGTTGGGCTTTCGAGGGAGATAATTGGGCTTTAAAGCTTGATTTGGGTCAGATTGGGTTTCATGGGTTGTTGGGCTCTTTTACATAAACCTTTGATTCGTTCTTTTTCTTTTTTCAATTTTAAGCCTACACAAACAATGTTTTCTAGTTGTGGTAATGAAAAATTTCCGTTTATCACATTTTAAATTTCAAGTTCGCAAAACGGTCTGCACCATATAAAAGCTGCTTGGGTACTGTGTGTGCGTAGGAGAGTGGAAGAACTTCTGCTGGTGCTAGGCTGCTAGCATCGTTGTCTGTCATTTGGTAGCAACCCAGATGTTTGATGTTTTGTCTGTTTGAGGTCATGGAGATTCGAGAGGCTCTTTTGGAGGTTCCAACATTTAACTATGGAAACACCTTTCATAGAAACTTTCAAGAAAATATCATAGGTGGAGCCGCGGGAAAGTGCAAACCTTGCAATTGACGGCACAGAAAAATACTAACAGAAACTCAGTAGGTATTGAAGAAGCTGCGGGCAAATATCACACATTTCATGGAGGATCTCTCAAATTCCCAAACAGCTCCATCGGGTAAGTTTTCATTTCTATCAGTTATTCGCTCTAAATTACCGACCGTGAATGTCCAAAAATTTATTTGCTTTGCTAGTTGTAACCCAAAAATAATTAAAGCTATGCCGCGCATTTTTACTCTTCTTCCTTAAACCAAAACCAAAGTTTCCTCAATCCTAGACTCGAGCCCTAGAGCTGTAACAATAGCTCCTTTTTTGTCCCCTTTTTTTTTTTTTTTTTTTTTTTTTTTTTTTTTTTCGCCGGCGCATTTTTAACTCTTCTGCCCTCGTAACCAAAACCAAAGTTTCCTTCAACCTAGAACTTGAGCCCTAGAGCTTGTAACAAAGCTCCTTTTGTCCCTTTTTTTTTTTTCTTTTTTTTTTTTTTTTTTGTTTTTTTGGGGGGCGGGGGCTGCCGGTGTCTTAAGAGAAGAGTATTAACATTAATAACTCAGTTAAAATATATTATAATATATTATTAATTTCCTGCGAGCCAACTGGGGGGGGGTGTTTAATAGAGAGTATTAACATTAATAACTCAGTAAATATATTATTGAATTATATAATTTCCTGCGCAGCCACTCTGAGGGAACAATAGAGCAAAATGAAAAATCCATAAACTCATATACCTATTTTGTGCTGAAGTAATGGTTGTAAGATCCATAAGCTTATATATATTACAAAGCTAGTGCAGAGTTTTGAATCCTCCACTGTGAAATATGTTGTTGTCTGGGAAATTTCTTATATATTTGTATCAGAGTCTACTAGGAAGAATTCCTGCAGTTAAAATTTAAATTCAAACAATGAGAGTCAATGTCCTTAGCGAGCTAAGAAAGTAGTGATTGTAACCTCATTTACAGAACTTGATCTTTCCTCCCCTGCTCCAAATGAGTTAGTGTTGCTGCTAGATGCTACAAAAATGAAAGCTGGTTTTTTTGGACTAGGAAGAGCTGTTTCACTGCTCAACATTAGAATAACTTCAAACATAGCGGGTCTGTCTATAGCATTTTCCTGAACACATAACAGCCCAATTTGTATGCATCTCAACACTTCATGAGGAGGATATGATCCCTCCAGTGATGAATCAACTATCTTCAATACATCATCTTTGCTCCATAACTCCCATACCTATAACATAGAATGAACAGTTAATATATAAATTATATTACATTGGGGCTATTGTTTTTAAAAATATTCTTTAACTTACATGTCCTATCAAGCAAAAGGAAGAATCTTCTTGTTTAAAGCCATTGCTTTTCTTGCCACTTATAATTTCCAACAGTATGACGCCAAAACTAAACACATCAGATTTTACCGAAAACTTTCCAAGCACTGCATACTCTGGTGACATGTAGCCACTGCATAAGAAAAAAATATTGAAAGTGGACTTTTTTTTTCTTTTGATCAGCAAAATAAAGTAATTTTATTAGAAATCCAGGAAAAATTTATCAAACTAACTGGACTTAATACCTATTGCAATTCCTTAATGGTAATCAAGCATTGTAGTATCTTGTACTTACTAGGTTCCAACTACTCTATTCGTCTTCTCTTGAATTTGATCAGCTCTGAGTACCCTAGCCATGCCAAAATCTGAAATTTTTGGGTTCATCTGAGCATCTAATAGAATGTTGCTGCTTTTTAAATCTCTATGGATAATTCTCAACCTGGAGTCTTGGTGAAGATATAAGATTCCTCTACCAATCCCAGTTATAATATTGAACCGTTTCTTCCAATCTAGGACTGACCTTCTTGTTTGATCTACAACAAGATTTTCAATTTTATCATTGTAACTTGTAATATATACACCTGAATCATATTTCTATGAAATATTTACAATAAGAGAACCAATTCAATGCTGACCAATTGATGTACTAAAAGACTTACCAAAAAGAAATGAATCCAAGCTTTTGTTTGGCATATATTCATAAATTAACATTTGTCGTTCTCCCTCAATACAGCACCCAAGAAGTTTCACAAGATTCCTATGTTGAAGCTTTGCAATCAACATGACTTCATTTTTAAATTCTTCTATGCCTTGACCTGAACTTTTGGATAGCCTTTTTACAGCAAGTTCTTGTCCATTAGTTAGCTGACCCTGAATCATGTTTTCAACTTTCAGTTTTCTGTGAAAAATCAAGCCGAAGCTATTGCGCTCACTCAGAATCTCAAAATAACATGGCAAAGCAAGCACACAGAAATATACGAACTTAAGAAAACAATTAGGATTCTGATATTATATAGAGACTTCACCTTGTAGACTGAACCAAAACCACCCTTGCCTAGTTTGTTTCCTGGAGAGAAGTTGTTAGTGGCAACAACTATCGTGCCAAGGTCAAAAAATGTAATGTCTGGAGGATGGCTATTTCCCCTGAGTTCATGTGCCGCCAAAATATTTTTATAGTATATAGAACCTCTAATAGGGTCAAATACTTTGTTTTCTGATTTGTTCTTGATTCCTGTCCTCAGAAAAGATTGAAAACAAAAGATTAATCTGAGGGTCTTTATGATAGGTTTCAATGGTGCAGTAAGAGCAGTTCAGTCTCTTACAAAACCTTGAAGTAACATTCTTATAATGATTGTATAGAGAGCTTGTAACGTGAATCTTGTGAAAGGTTAGAGCTACTCTTTAGAACAAATACACGTGGAAGTCAATCATAATGCAAATGAGGTCTTTTTTCTCCTTACCTTTTCTTTTCCTCCTAAGCCACAAATAAGCAAAGAAGAAAACAGTAATCCATGCCGAAGCAATAGACAGTTTTAGAATGTTCAGCTCCTTTCCAAGAAAAGCATTTGATCTTCTTGCATTCTTAGCTGCATCAGTGTGAAAAGAAAGGGGGGAAATGGTAACTTGAATTCGGCTTTGAATCAAGAGGATAAAAGATAAGACGAGAATAGTAACACAACCACAGCAAAAATGGCATTTCTGTTGGAGTGGGTTTATTTTTCATGGCATAATACTGTTCAGGTTTTACTATATGATCACTATTGTTGACAAAGTGTTTCACATTTCAAAGGCTAAGCAGGAAGTCATATACCTAATGTAGCCGCATCAACACGAACATACAGATTGAATCTTTCATCTATATGATCTACTGTGTCCCATAATTTTCCATACCATAGCATACATCCACTTGCTCTCCCAACTATATCTATTCTTGCATATGCAGTGCATGAGCAATTCTTGCTGCATTCTTGTTCACAACCTGTCCGACTTATATTCATGTCCACCCAAATTGCAGTTGATGTATCGGGAAGCTTAACATTTTCCACTTTCACAAATCCTTCGCCATGCCCACACAGTAAAGAAGGATCCTCCCGCTTCCTAATACACCATCCTGATGCATCTCTTAGATGCCAATCTCTGGGAGATTTGGGTTGATAACCAGGTAAACAAGAACACTCAAATTTATCAGGATTGCTAGGGGTGCACTTACTTGAAGCACCACAATATGCATACACATCGCACCGGTGTTTAGGCACGGACCAAAACTCTTTCCACTGGCCATCATTATTATGCCACCTTAGCCACTTGACAAATCCTGAATATTCCGCTACTCCTCTGAAGATAAAAGAAGTATCCAACAAATGGTAGGAAAAATATATCTCGTTTTGATTGTTAACATATGTATAATTGTATATATCCAAGAATGTTGCCCATGGCCATGAGGTGCCTCGGCAATAGGGTCTTGAGGCCTTGTAAAGAAAGAACTGTGGCAAGCCTGTTGTGTCTAACATGAGTGAGTAATCTCCAGTACCTGGATCATTTGCTGATCTCCATGAAGTTAGCATCCAGTGCAGTCCTGTCTTCCGATTCAACCCTAATCTCATCCCTGGTAGCTGCGTATCAGTGGGATAATCAAAGCTCTGCCACACAATTCTTTCACTTGTACCTTGGAGCAATACCAAATTTCCTGAATCCAAGAGTTGAAGCACAAAAGCATCTGAACCTTCCACTGTTATGTTTGCAGACCATACTATAACTTTTTTATGAGGATCACTATAAAGAACAAGGTTCCCATATTGATTGATTGAAAGAACACCTGAGGAGCCAGCGATAGGATAGTTCCGGTTTGCGACCCATATCACAGATTTTTCTGAAATTTTATGAAACCAAATTCCAAGATATCTATTGGTAGAACTACCAGGGCTGAAAAACCCAAATGCAAATTCATTACCCATGGAGACAAGTAAGTTTCCTTCTTTGAAAATTTGTTTTGATGTAATTTTATCAAGGCAAGTGCATGATGTGAATTGGAAGAGTATAATCAAATGATACAGGAACTTTACCGTATCAGCCATGCTGTTTTTTCAGCGATTCCGTTTTCCCCCTCGGGCTATATTCTTGAATGTTTGCTTTTCGAAGTTGTTCTTTTTTTTTCCTCATCTCGCGCTTACTTGTTTGATATTTAATATTAATTTTTCTTCAAAATTTTCTTTGAACGAAATTTCCTCACATTATCCTTGAAGTCGTCAATTACTTAATCTATCATAATGGTTAGAATTCTACCAGATATTATTATTCTGTGATGTGAACTACGGTTTGTTCCCTTAATAATGTGACTTTGTTAATAGTATTGAGAAAACGAAGATATGAAAAAAAAAAAAAAAAAAAAAAAAAACCCTTAATAATGTTGACTTTGTTTTAATAGTTATTGAGAAAACGAAGATATGTAAAAAAAAAAAAAAAAAAAAAAAGAAAGTAATGGGACTGTCCGTCAAATTTCAAAACCTGACGTCTCGAAAAAAAAAAAAAAAAAAAAAAAAAGAAAAGTAATGGGACTGTCAATTTCAAACTGACGTGATGATATGAAAAGCAAAAAAAAAGACATTTGATAAAGTTCAGGTCAAACTTTTCCAATGTTGCAGAAGGGTTGAGGTTAGCACATAAACTGCAAATTGTGACGGGAGTACAATTCTGTTAAACCAAATTATGTTTTCTTGACCAGCGACGCAACAATTTCTTTTTCTTTCTAAGAAAATAAATTTTTGAATGGAAAGGAAATCACAACATCATGCTGAATGTGAATTCGGATTTTGAATTTTTTTTCTTTCAAATTAGAAACGCCTGTCTTATTATTATTGTTTTTGGCCAACCGCACCGCGTGTTTCCAAATTTAATTGCTAATCCCAAATTCATTATCTCTTCTGCCTAATTTAATTGCTGTTTGGAAAATGATACGTCGTTTGCTATAGTGAAATGAAAATTTTAGGTCTCCAGTAAAAAGATTAGACGATGTTGGTGAATGGCAGGTTATTGAAATTCCGGTTTCAGTCGGCTGCTAACTACAACAGAAAACGTCTGTAAATCATTGTAGAACACCTAAACTCTTCATTAAAATTTACATGGAAAGTCTTGAAATCATTAGCGAGCTACAAAAGCAGTGATTGTAACCTCATTTACAGAACTTGATCTTTCCTCCCCTGCTCCAAATGAGTTATTGTTGCTGCTAGATGCTATAAAAATGAAAGCTGGTTTTTTTGGACTAGGAAGAGCTGTTTCACTGCTCAACATTAGAATAACTTCAAACATAGCGGGTCTGTCTATAGCATTTTCCTGAACACATAACAGCCCAATTTGTATGCATCTCAACACTTCATGAGGAGGATATGATCCCTCCAGTGATGAATCAACTATCTTCAATACATCATCTTTGCTCCATAACTCCCATACCTATAACAGAGAATGAACAGTTAATGATATTACCTTGGAGCTATTGTTTCTAAAAATATTCTTTAACTTACATGTCCTATCAAGCAGAAGGAAGAATCTTCTTGTTTAAAGCCATTGCTTTTCTTGCCACTTACAATTTCCAACAGTACGACCCCAAAACTAAACACATCAGATTTTACGGAAAAATTTCCAAGCACTGCATACTCTGGTGACATGTAGCCACTGCATAAGAAAAAGTATTGAAAGTGAACTTAATACCTATTCCAATTCGTTCATGGTAATCAAGCACTGTAGTATCTTGTACTTACTAGGTTCCAACTACTCTATTCGTCTTCTCTTGAATTTGGTCAGCTCTGAGTATTCTAGCCATGCCAAAATCTGAAATTTTTGGGTTCATCTCAGCATCTAGTAGAATGTTGCTGCTTTTCAAATCTCTGTGGATAATTCTCAACCTCGAGTCCTGATGAAGATATAAGATTCCTCGACCAATTCCAGTTATAATATTGAAACGTTTCTTCCAATCTAGGACTGACCTTCTTGTTTGATCTACAACAAGATTTTCAATTTTATCATTGTAATATCTGCACCTGAATCATATTGCTATGGAACATATGCAATACGAGAACCAATTCAACGCTGACCAATGGTATAAAAAGACTTGCCAAAAAGAAATGCATCCAAGCTTTTGTTTGGCATATATTCATAAATTAACATTTGTTGTCCTCCCTCGATGCAGCACCCAAGAAGTTTCACAAGATTCCTATGTTGAAGCTTTGCAATCAACATGACTTCATTTTTAAATTCTTCTATGCCTTGACCTGAACTCTTGGATAGCCGTTTTACAGCAACCTCTTGTCCATTAATTAGCTGACCCTGAAATCATGTTTTCAACTTTCAATTTTACTCGTTCAGAATCTCAAATTAACATGCCAAAGCAAGCAGACAGAAATACATGAACTTAAGAAAACAATTTAGATTCTGACATTATATAGAGACTCTACCTTGTACACTGAACCAAAACCACCCTTCCCTAGTTTGTTTCCTGAAGAGAAGTGGTTAGTGGCAGCCACTATTGTGCCAAGGTCAAAAAATGTTATGTCTCGAGGATGGCTATTTCCACCGAGTTCATGTGCCGCCAAAGTATTTTTGTAGTATATGGAACCATTAACAGGGTCAAATACTTTGTTTTCTGATTTGTTCTTCATTCCTGTCCTCAAAACAAATTGAAAACATAAGCTTAATCTAATGTATTTACAATAGGTTTTAATGGTGCAACAGGAGCAGTTCATCGCTCAAAAAACCTTAACTAACGCTCTTATACTGATTGTATAGAGAGCTTGTAAAGTGAATTTTGTGAAAAAAGTTAGATATCTAATTCTACTCTTTAGAAAAAAAAAACATAAGGTCTTTTTTTCTTCCTTACCTTTTCTCCGCCTCCTAAGCCACAAATAAGCAAAGAAGAAAACAGTAATCCATGCTGAAGCAATAGACAGCGTTAGAATATTCAGCTCCTTTCCAAGAAAACCATTTGAACTTCTCTCATTCTGAGCTGCATCAGTATGAAAAGAAAGGGGGAAGAGGTAACTTGAATTTGGGTTTGAATTAAGAGGCTAACAGATAAGACAATACTTGTAACAGAATCAAGGCAAAACCTAGCATTTGTATTGAAGTGGGTTTTACTCTATGATCACTATTTTGATATAAGTAGTGGTGTTTCACATTTCAGAGCTAAGCAAGAATTCATATACCTAATTCAACCGCATCCACACGAACATACAGATTGAATCTTTCGTCAACATGATCGAGTGTGTCCCATAACTGTCCATACCATAGCAAACATCCCCTTGCTCTTCCAACTATATCTATTCCTGCATATGCAGAGCATGAGCAATTCCTGCTGCATTCTTGTTCACAACCTTTACGACTCACATTCATGTTCACCCAAATTGCAGTTGAAGTATCAGGAAGCTTAGCATTTTCCACTTTCACAAATCCTTCACCATGCCCACACAGTAAAGAAGGATCCTCCCGCTTCCTAACACACCCTCCCGATGCATCTCTTAGATGCCAATCTCTTGGGGATTTGGGTTGATAACCAGGTAAACAAGAACACTCAAATTTATCAGGATTGCTTGGGGTACACTTACTAGAAGCACCACAATTTGCATACACATCACATCGGTTTTCAGGGATGGTCCAAAGCGTTTTCCACTGGCCATGATTATTATGCCACCTTAGCCACTTGACGAATCCTGAATGGTCCACTACTGCTCTCGTGATAAAAGAGGTACCAACCAAATGGTAGGAATAATATATTTCGTTTTGATTGTTAACGTACGTATAATCAAATATATCCAAGAATGTTGCCCATGGCCATGGGGTGCTTCGGCAATACGGTCTTGAGGCCTTGTAAATAAAGAATTGTGGTGAGCCTCTTGTGTCTAACACCAATGAGTAATCTCCACTACCTGGATCGTTTGTTGATCTCCATGAAGTCAGCATCCAGTGCAGTCCTGCCTTCTGATTCAACCCTAATCTCATCCCTGGTAGCAGCGTATCGGTGGGATAATCGAAGCTCTGCCACACAATTCTTTTGCTTGTACCTTGGAGCAATACCAGATTTCCTGAATCCAAGAGCTGAAGCACACAAGCATCCGAACCTTCCACTGTTAAATTTGCAGACCATACTAGAACTTTTTGGTGAGGATCACTGTAAAGAACAAGGTCTCCATTTTGATTGATTGACAGAACACCTGAGGAGCCAACAATAGGATAGTTCCTGTTTGCTACCCATATCACAGATTTTTCAGAAACTTTATGAAACCAAATTCCAAGATATCTATTAGTAGAACTACCAGGACTGAAAAACCCAAATGCAAATTCATTGCCCTTGGCGACGAGAAGGTTTCCTTCTTTGAAGGTTTGGTTTGATGTAATTGTATCAAGACAAGTGCTTGATGTGAATTGGAAGAGCATAATCAAATAACAAAGGAACTTTTCTGTAGCAGCCATGGTGTTTTTCGGTGGTTACGTTACCCCCTTGGCCATTTTCTTAATGTTTGCTTCCAAAAGAATTTTTTTCCTTGACTCCCTCATTTTCTCGTTTGATATTGATATTTAATATGATTTTTTATTCATATTTTCCATCAAAAGAAATTTCCACACGTTAACCATGAAGTTTGTAACCTGTCATAAAGGTCAGAAGTCTACGCGTTTTATTAATAGATATTCTGTGCGCTTCTGTGATGTCAACTGCGGTTTGTTCCCTTAATGCGACTTTGTTAATAATATTGAAAAAAAAAAAATGGAAAATTCAAACTGCAATGTTCATAATGATATGAAAAGAGTCTGAGATTTTGATGGACTTCAGGTCAAACTTTTCCAATATTGCAGAAGGGTTGATTTTAGGACAAACTGCAATTTTCTATTTTTGTTAAACCGAATTGTCTTGTCTTAATTATACAATTGAAAATTTTCTTTTTCTTTCTAAGAAAATAAATTTTTGCAGGGAAAAGAAAGCGCAACATAATGATGGAGAATTCAGATTTTAAAGTTTTCTTCCAAAATTTACAAAAAGAGAAAAAACAACTATCTTTTCTGATTTTTTCTTTTTTTTTTTTTTTTTTATAATTTTATTCTTGGCCAACTAAACCCCACGTTTTGAAGTCCAGAAACCGGCACCACACGTGTTCCCAAATTTAACTGCTATTCGCAAAGCTTCATAAGCTCGTCTGAATAATCTAATTGCGGCTTGGAAAATTAAGAGTAAAATGAAAATTTCAGGTCTTCTGTAAAAAGATTAGATGTCGGTGAACGACAAGTTATTGAGATTCCTATTTAGTCGTTGAAAGAAAACGTCTATAAATCATTGTAGTACAACCTAAATTGCATATCTTCAAGTAAAATTTACATGCGAATGATGATTCTAAAGTATCCTTAACGAGCTACAAAAGTAGTGACTGTAACCTCATTTACAGAACCTGATCTTTCCTCCCCTACTCCAAATGAGTTAGTGTTGCTGCTTGATGCTCTAAAACTGTAAGCTGGATGTTTTGGACTAGGAAGAGCTGTTTCACTGTTCAACATTAGAATTACTTCTGACATAGTTGGTCTTTCTGCAGCATCTTCTTGAACACATAGCAGCCCAATTTGAATGCATCTCAAGACTTCATGAGGAGGATATGACCCCTTCAGTGATGAATCAACTACCTGCAGCGCATTGTCTTCTATCCATAACTCCCACACCTGTACCAGAGGTGAACAGTTAATATAAATTATGTACCTTCTTGTTGGAGGTATAGTTTCTGAATAGTTTCTTTCACTTACATGTCCTATCAAGCAAAGGGAAGATTTCACTGTTATAAAGTCGTTGCTTTTCTTGCCAGTTATAATTTCCAACATTATGACTCCAAAACTGAATACATCAGATTTTACTGAAAACTTACCGAACACTGCATACTCTGGTGACATATAGCCACTGCATAAGAAAATTGTTCGAAGTAGCTTAATGCATATTTCAATCATTATTGGGTAATATTCATAGTGATCAACTATTTTAATATCCTTACTTACTAGGTTCCAACCACTCTGTTTGTCTTCTCTTGAATTTGATCAGCTTTGAATATTCTAGCCAAGCCAAAATCTGAAATCTTTGGGTTCATTTCCGCATCTAATAGTATGTTGCTGCTTTTTAAATCTCTATGGATAATTCTCAATCTTGAATCTTGGTGAAGATATAATATTCCTCGAGCCATTCCAATTATGAGATTGAAGCGTTTCCTCCAGTCTAGTGCTGACTTTCCTCTTTGATCTAAAACAAGATTTTAGATTTTTTATTTATTTAATTTTTTGCACCTGAATCATATATGCTATGAAACATTATAGAACCTTTCAACACTGACCAACGTATGTATAAAGAGACTTACCAAAAAGAAACGAGTCCAAGCTTTTATTTGGGAGATACTCATAAATTAACATTTGCTCCCCTCCCTCACTGCAGCATCCAACAAGTTTCACAAGATTCCGATGTTGAAGCTTCGCAATCAACATGACTTCATTTTTAAATTCTTCTATGCCTTGCACTGAATTTCTGGACAGTCGTTTTACAGCAACCTCTTGTCCATTAAATAGCTGACCCTGAAATTACATTATCAACTGTTAACTTTATCTGAAAAATCAAGCCTAAGCTGGTTTTTTCATGCAGAAATCGGAATCTTAAAATAATAGACAAAAGAAAGCACATAGAAAAACATGCGCTTAAGGAACTAATCATGATTCATTTGTATAGAGAGTCTACCTTGTACACTGACCCAAAACCACCCTGGCCTAGTTTGTGAGCTGGAGAGAAGTTGTTAGTTGCAGTAACCATGGTGTTAAGATCGAAAAAGGTTATGTCTGGAGGATGACTACTCCCTCCAACTTCACATGCCAAAAGAGTATTTCTGTGGTAGATTGAACCATGGATAGGATCAAATACTCCGTTTTCTGATTTCTTCTTCTTCCCTGTTCTCCAGCAAAATGAAAACAAATATAAGTGTTTTTTTTTCTTTTTAAGATTTTGGAGTTTAATTAAGAACAGTTCAGTTCCACGCAAATTGCTAAGGTATTATTATTATTGTAAATATATGTCCATTGTCTTGTAACGAAACATTTAAAGTAAATTTTATAACAAGTTATATATCTGAATCTAGTCAATAGAACAAATACACAAGGCACAACAATGGACTAAGTTTTCTTTTTATTCTTACTTGTTCTCCTTCTCTTGAGCCACAGATAGGTTAAGAAGAAAATGATAATCCATGCTGAAGAAAGTGATAGTACTAGAATGTTCCGCTCCTTTCCATGAGAAGCAGTTAATTTTCTTTCATTCTCAGCTGCAGCAATAGGAGAAGACTATAATTTCACTCCAAAAAAAAGTAGGGGGAATGGTAACTATGATCTGTGTTTTTAATCAAGAGGCAAAAGATAACGAAACAAAAACAGAAAATTTGTGCAGAACTGGCTCTATCTAATAAAAAAGCATTTCACATCTCAAAATAAGGACTATTAAGGAATTCATATACCTAATTCAACTGCATCGACACGAACATAGAGATCAAATCCTTCACCTGCATAATCTACTGTGTCCCACAATTGCCCATACCAAGCCAAACATCCACTTCCTTTGCCCGTGATACCTATGCTTGTATAAGCTGAGCAGGCGCAGTTCTTCTTACACTCCTGTTCACAACGCATATGACTCGTATTCATGTCAACCCAAATCGCAGCTGAAGTATCAGGAAGCTTAACATTTTCCACTTTCACAAATCCTTCTCCTTGCCCACACAATGAAGAAGGATCTTCGCGCTTCATGATACATCCTCCTGATGCATCTCTAAGGAGCCAGTCCCTTGGGAATTTTGGTTCATACCCAGGCAAACAAGAACACTCAAATTTATCAGGATAGCTAGGAGAGCACTTGCTAAAAGCACCACATTTTGCATACAAATCACACCGGGATTCAGGTACAGACCAGAACTCTTTCCACTGGCCATTATGCTGCCTTAGCCACTTGGCAAATCCTGAATAGTGCACTACTCCTCTCAAGATAAAAGATGCATCAAATGTATTGTAGGTATAATATATCTCGTTTTGATTGTTAACATAAGTATAATTGTATATATCCATAACTCTTCCCCATGGCCATGGAGTGCTTCGCCAATAGGGTTTTGAAAACTTGTAAAGAAAGAACTGCGGTGAGCCTCTTGTGTCCAACTTAAGTGAGTAATCTCCAATACTTGGGTCATTTGCTGATCTCCATGAAGTTAACATCCAAGGGAAACCAGCCTTGCAATTCAACCCAATTCTCATACCCGATAGCCAGGTATCGGTGGGGTAATCAAAGCTCTGCCATACAATTCTTTCACTTCTACCTTGGAGCAATACCAAATTCCCCGAATCCAAGAGCTGAAGCACAGGAGTATCTGATTCCGAACTTTCCACTGTTAAATTTGTAGACCATAATGGAACCTTTTGATCAGGATCACTATAAAGAACGAGGTTCCCATTTTGATTGATTAAGAGAACACCGGAGGAGCCACTAATAGGATTGTTCCTGTTTGCTACCCATACCACAGATTTTTCTGAAACTTTATAAAACCAAATTCCGAGATATCTATTGCTAGAACTGCCAGGGCTAAAAAACCCAAATGCAAATTCATTACCCTTTGAGACTAGAAGGTTTCCTTCTCTGAAGGTCTGGTTTGCTGTAATTTTATCAAGACAACTGCATGATGTGAATTGGAGGAGAATCATAATATACAGAAGCTTTTCGGTAGCATCCATGGTGCTTTTCAGTGGCTACACTACCCCCTTAGGCGACGTCCTTAATATATATATATTTTTTTTGAGGACGCTGTTATCGTTCAAAGAGAGTTCCTTAAATGCTCAGAATGCCTCTGTTCTATACTGAAAGATTACTTCGGATGAATGGGGAATTACGTCGCTCTTTGATCTGCAGAATAAGGCATACGAGCTCTCTGTTTTAGATTTATGGCAGAGATCTCTCCGCACCACGGAACCAAATCACATGGATTCGAAGATCTCCTTTTTCTTCCAATAGCATTTCCCAACTTTTCTTTCAAAAAATAAAAAAGCATTTCCCAACTTTGACTATCATCATATCCTGGTCAAGGCTCAACAACTCTTTTCTTGCCTTCACACGTTTGATTGAAAATTATTATTTTCTCTCAACGAAATTCCCAATATCTTAATTTTCGTTACTTGATTGTCACTGCCAGAAGTGGAGGTTACTATTCTACCAGGTAGACTATATTTGCTCATGTGATGTCAACTCGGTCTATACAGCAGCAGATTTGTACTTTGAAAAGGTCCGTTAAACGACATCAACGACTGTCGTGCGGCTTCCGGTGTCCAAACAAATACAAAGCCTGATTTTAAGAAGTTAATAGTTTGATTTCAATTGTGAAACTTAAGAAAACAAATCACTGGTTCAATTTACAATTTTGAAATTAAAACTGTCAAAATCAAATCCAACCTAATTGAGAATACAAACATTTTTTTTATATAATTAGGTTAGCCCAAAAAAAGTGTTACCAGTTACCAGTGAACGGCAGGTCGTCTCATTTCAATTTTGGTAGGGGCTTGTCGGGCCTCCCATTCGTTACATTATTGGGCCTTTCTGCCGCGCGAAAAAAGAAAGAGTGCCCTGTCGGACAGAAAAGTTTCTCTTTGAAGTTTCCACTTTTTTCAACACACTATTTCTTACTTCTAAGTTCCAAATAAGGGGGATTCTACCAAATGGATGCTTCTAATTATAATCCAAACAATTAATTCCAGTAACTGATGATGAACAATCAACAAGGATTGAAAAATATCACACTTTACTCAAGTTCGGGATCACTAACAGAAAGAACTGGTAGTGTGAGTATGATAATATTGACACGGTAGAAATCATTTCTCCTAATTGATTTGTTTCTGCTGATTCTTATATTGATTTTCCTGTTTAGGTTTTCGATTGGTTCTCGGCCAATTCAATGAACTCTTCTTTCAAAACCATTCTTGCACTCTTTGCATGTAAGCTTTCATCTCTCATACTTCCCTCTCCTATTTTTGTTCATCTTTTCGTTTACGGCCTCTATGAGAACAACAAGTAGGAAGGAAAGATCCATAAAACAATGTCCATTTTGTGCTGAAGCGTTGGTTATAAGATTACATGTACAGAACAAATGTAGTCTAAAGTTCTGAACTTCAATGGTCTACGAATTAGTCTCTCTCCTAGTGTGTTGGCCTTACGGGGAAATTCTCTAAAAATGAAAGCAGGTTGTTTTGGACTAGGAAGAGTTGTTTCACTGCCCAACATTAGAGCAACTTCCAACATCTTTGGCTTTCATGAGGAAGATATGATCCCTCAAGTGTTGGATCAACTATCTCCAATACATTATCTTCTGCTATACGACAGGGTATTGAAATTCATGTTCAGTCGTTTGCTAGCTACGACTGGAAATGTCTGTAAATTATTGTAGAACAACTGAACTCTTCATTAAAATTTACATGGAAAGTCTCAAAATCCTCAGCGAGCTACAAAAGTAGTGATTGTAACCTCATTTACAGAACTTGATCTTTCCTCCCCTACTTCAAATGAGTTAGCGTTGCTGCTAGATGCTCTAAAAACGTAAGCTGGTTGTTTTGGCATAGGAAGAGTTGTTTCACTGCCCAACATTAGAGCAACTTCCAACATTGTTGGCCTGTCCATAGCATTTTCTTGAACACATAACAATCCAATTTGAATGCATCTCAAGACTTCATGAGGAGGATATGATCCCTCAAGTGTTGGATCAACTATCTCCAATACTTTATCTTCTCTCCATAACTTCCACACCTGTACCAGAAGTGAACAGTTAATATAAATTATGTAGCTTTGAATTGGAGCTATAGTATTTGAAGGGTTTCTTTCACTTACATGTCCTATCAAGCAAAAGAAAAATTCCTTTTGTTCGAAGTCATTGCTTTTCTTGCCACTTATAATTTCCAACAGTATGACCCCAAAACTAAACACATCAGATTTTACTGAAAACTTTCCAAACACTGCATACTCTGGCGACATATAGCCACTGCATATAACAATTATTGAAAGTAGATTTAATTATCTGTCTCAATTTATTATTAGGTATTTCATAGTGATCGAGTATTGTAACACCTTATACTTACTAGGTCCCGACCACTCTATTTGTCTTCTCTTGAATTTGATCAGTTTTGAATATTCTAGCCATGCCAAAATCTGAAATTTTTGCATTCATCTCTGCATCTAATAGTATATTGCTGCTCTTTAAATCTCTATGGATAACTCTCAATCTTGAATCTTGATGGAGATATAAGATTCCTCGAGCTACCCCAGTTATAATATTGAAGCGTTTCCTCCAATCTAGCTCTGGCCTCCTTGTTTGATCTACAACAAGATTTTAGATTTTTTTTTTTATCAATTGAATTTTTGCACATTACTTATAGATGTTATGAAACATTAGAATTATAGTTTCAGTTCAACATTGAGAAATGGATGCATAAAACTTACCAAAAAGAAATGAGTCCAAACTTTTATTTGGCAAATATTCATAAATTAACATTTGTTCTCCTCCCTCAATGCAGCATCCCAGAAGTTTCACAAGATTCCTATGTTGAAGCTTTGCAATCAACATGACTTCATTTTTAAATTCCTCTATTCCTTGCACTGAATTTCTAGATAATCGTTTTACTGCAACCTCTTGTCCATTAAATAGCTGACCCTGAAAATTATGTTTGCAACTGTCAGTTTTATCTGAAATATCAACCTTAAGCTAGATTGTTCATTTAAAATCACTAAATGATAGACCAAATCAAGCACGTAGAAACACATGCAGCGACAATCATGCCAAGATTGTTGGCATATATGGAGCTCCACCTTGTACACTGCCCCAAAACCACCCTGGCCAAGTTTGTTGGATGGAGAGAAGTTGTTAGTGGCAGCGACAATCATGCCAAGACCAAAAGATGTTATGTCTGGGGGATGATTATTCCCCCATGCCATTAAAGTATTGTTGTAGTTGATTGAACCACTGACAGGATCTAATACTCTGTTTTCTGATTTGTTCTTCATTCCTGTCCTTAAACAAATTGAACACAAAAGCTCAGTTTCAGGTCTCTATTGCAGTTTGATGTTGCAATAAGAGCATAAGGAATTATTCTAATAATGATCATGTAGAGAGCTTGTAAGGTGAATTCTATGAAAAGCTAGATATTTGAATCCACGACGAGCACAAATACACATGGAAAGGCAAAATGCCATGTATTGAGTTTGTTTTTACCTTTTCTACTTCTCCTCAGCCACAAATAAGCAAATAAGAAAAGAGTAAACCATGCTGAAGCAATGGACAATATAAGAATTTTTAGCTCCTTTCTATGAAAAGCAGTTGATGTTCTTGCATTCTCAGCTGCATCAGTAGGAAAAAACTACAATGTTACTCCGAAGGAAAATCGGGAATTTGTGCAGGATTGGCCAGTGGCTATACCATCCATGTTATAATACTAGTCAATTTATAGCTACAACAAATGTTTGATAGGATATTGTTTCTCATTGCAAAATGAGGGGGAAGTAAGAATTAATATATACCTAATTCAACTGCATCAACACGAACATATAGATCGTATGGTTCATATACGTGATCTACTGTGTCCCATAATTGTCCATACCAAGCCAAACAACCACTTCCTTTCCCAGCAACATCTATACTTGCATATGCAGAGCATGAGCAATTCTTCTTGCATTCCTGTTCACAGCCCATGTGACTCGTTTTCAAGTCTACCCAAACTGCAATTGATGTATCAGGAAGCTTGACATTTTCCACTTTAACAAATCCTTCTCCATGTCCACAGAGTAAAGAAGGATCTTCTCGCTTCCTGACGCACCCTCCTGATGCATCTCTCAGTTGCCAGTCCCTTGGATACTTGGGTGCATACCCAGGTAAACAAGAACACTCAAATTTATCAGGATTACTAGGAGCACACTTACTCGAAGCACCGCATTTTCCATACAAATCGCACCGATATTCAGGTGCAGACCACATCTCCTTCCACTGGTCTTCGCTCTTATGCAACCTTAGCACCTTTATAAGTCCTGAATCCCAAATCATTGATCTCAAGAAAAAAGAATCATCAAACATAGAGTAGAAATAGTACGTTTCATCTTCATTAGTAACAAGAGTATAATTGTATATATCTGAGAATTTTCTCCATGGCCATGGGGTGCCTCGCCAATAGAGTCTTGAGCCCTTGTACACAACAAACTGTGGTGAGCCTCTTGTGTCTAACTCTATCGTATAATCTCCGGTACCTGGGTCATTTTCTGACCTCCATGAAGTTAGATTCCACTGCAGTCCTGCTTTCCGACTAAACCCAATTCTCATCCCTGCTAGCAGGGTATTGGTGGGATAATCAAAGCTCTGCCACACAATTCTCTTACTTGTACCTTGGAGCAATACCAAATTTCCCGTATCCAGAAGTTGAAGCACAGAAACATCTGAACCTGCCCCGGTCACATTTGTAGACCATATTAGAACCATTTGGTGAGGATCGCTATGAAGAACAAGGTTCCCATGTTGGCTGATTGAGAGAGCACCTGAGGAGCCAATGATAGGATAGTTCCTGTTTGCTACCCATACCACAGATTTTCCTGGATCTTTATGAAACCAAATCCCAAGATATCTATTGGTAGATTTACCAGGGCTGAAAAACCCAAATGCAAAGTAATTACCCTCTGAGACGAGAAGGTTTCCTTCTTTGAAGGTCTGGTTTGTTGTAATTTTATCAAGACAAGTGCATGATCTGAATTGGAGGATTAGAAGCAAACACCACATAAACTTTTCTGCAGCAGCCATGTTCTTCAATGGGTACAATATACATCACTCCATCCTAATTTCCAAGAAAGGAAAATTTTTTTTCTTAAAACATTCCTTCGCATCACAATTGTTTGTATATCGTGGTCTTCGGCCGACTTTTTTTCCAGTAAAGTCAAGCTTCTGTAGAGGCAACTATGAATTATGATTTGATTCGCACTAAGAAAATAAAAATAAAAATAATAATTATTTCAGTATTTTCCATTAACATGAATATCGCTAGGTAAGTGATTCACCAATAAATAATTATAAAAGAACCGGTCTGCACAGGTTAAAATTGTCCACTAATAAGATGTTTTCTTGCGAAATTTGAAAAGACTAGAGAAGACAGATGACATTTGACGCTACTAGTTAAAAGTGCAGAAGCCTCCAAGAATCGCGTTCCTAACTCATACGAAACGGCAAACGGCTTGAGGGGCCCAACTCGCTTCACGTAAGTACGTAGCGCCTCATTTGTCTCCCTCTTTGTCAAAAAATCTCACCGGCACTGCTATCCCTCTTTAGAGGGCCCAGGCCCAGTTCCATCAAGTTAACTGGTTTTGAATTGCAGTGATAGGCTTTCATTTGTTTATTTAACTAATTAATTTAATTACTTTATTTAATACTAATTAATTAGTTCCTCTTCAACCATCTTGCGGTTGGTTTAGTTGGAACAAAGGATATCAAAAAAAAAATATATTATATGGTTTATCAGAAGTGTCTTCAGAAAGACATAATGTAGACAGAAAAGAAATAGAAGCAAATAATGAGTGAACTGTTAACAGGTATGGGCAGTCATGATTTTCATCAAAACGGCTTTTTTGACTAACCTTTTTAATGTCTGGGATCTTAGACCAAATAATTGATAGTACTAGTTAACGTTCATCACAAAAAACCAAAATTTGCAGATCTATGGGTAGGTAGAAATATTGGCTCCGGAGTAAGAGTTTTGTTGGTAGATCTAATGAATGCTATAGGCAGGTGCATAATTATTGAGCAAGGCTCTATAGATGTGGTGTCACCGTAGGGAAAAAAACAGAGCATTAACAGAGGAAAATAATATAGTATTGCACTACAAACAACTGAGCCCAACCGTTCCTGCCAAAATTGAATCACCTCGTGTATCAATCAACTAGATTTCTAGAATTGTCTCATGATATTTATGAATAAAATATTTTATAAATATTATGCTGTTAATGTATAATGGATTGACATTTGAATATTGGAAATGGAGAAGTTCAATGCTCAATATTATAATCCAAGATTGAATACGACCAAAAAATAAAAAATTAAAAAGAATTCTTCATTTACTTGGTCAAAACTATTATTAGAAATACTGTACAAAGAAAAAAAATCAACTAAAATATCATAAACTGATTAATCCTACATAAATAAAAGCTATCTAGTGCCAACAGCAGTAATTGACAATTCATTTACAGAACACGATCCGTCTCCTGCTCTTGAGTTGGTATCATTATAGGAAGGTGTCCTGAAAATGAAAGCAGGTTGTTTAGGAGGAGGAGGATCTTTTTCACTATTCAACATTAGAACAACTGCTAACATAGAAGGTCTGTCCACTGCATTTTCTTGCACGCATAAGAGACCAATTTGAATGCATTTCCGAGCTTCTTGAGGATCATAAGAACCCTTTAGTGATGAATCAACTATCTCCAATGCTCTGTCTTCTCTCCATAACTCCCACACCTGTGTGGTTCATAGCATTGGCATTTAGAACATTAGCAATGAAGTTTCTCTATGCATATATATATATATATATGTGTGTGTGTGTGTGTGTGTGTGTGTAAATTGTATGCCATTCAAACAAGCTATAGGAACAAAAGTGTGTAACCTACATGCCCTATCAAGCTCAAGTTATGATCCTCTACGTTAAAGCCATTGCTCTTCTTGCCACTTATGATCTCCAATAATATGACCCCGAAACTGAATACATCAGATTTGATTGAAAATTTTCCAAATACTGCATACTCTGGTGACATGTAGCCACTGCAATATAAAATTTTGAAAGAGCTGGTCTTAATCTCCATGTGAAGCAAAAAAAAGTATAGTCTTTTTGGTCAAGTAAGTGTACTTACTATGTTCCGACAACTCTGTTCGTCTTGTCTTGAATTTGGTCACATTGGAATAATCTTGCCATGCCAAAATCTGATATTTTTGGATTCATCTCAGCATCTAATAAAATGTTGCTGCTTTTTAAATCCCTATGGATGATTCTTAATCTTGAGTCTTGATGGAGGTATAAGATCCCTCGAGCAATTCCAACTATAATATTCAACCGCTTTTCCCAATCCAAAAACGATCTTCTTGTTTGATCTGTAGAGAAGTAATAATAAAAAATCAGTTGACTTAGTGTCAAATGATATAGTTTCTGCATATCAGTCATCTCTTTTTATGCATAAAATAAGAAAGGAAAAGATTGTAAAAAAATGACAGTGAATACACAAGAATAAAACTAATTACCAAAAAGAAATGAATCCAAACTTTTGTTTGGCAAGTATTCATATACGAGCATTTGTTCTTTTTTATGAATGCAGCAACCTATAAGTGTCACAAGATTCCTGTGCTGAAGCTTTGCAATCAATATAACTTCATTTTTAAATTCTTCAGTTCCTTGTCTTGAATTTTTGGACATTCTTTTTACTGCAATCTCCTGTCCATTAGATAGCTGACCCTGAAATCAAGTGAGAAGAATAAGGCCACTCTTGAAAAACCAATTTAAAGCCAATTTGCTTGTGCAGAACCTCACAATTAAAAAGGTAAACAATTTCAAGACATAGATTTTACCTTGTAAACAGAGCCAAAACCACCTTGTCCAAGTATGTTATCCGCAGAGAAATTATTAGTGGCAGCACGTATTGTGTTGAGATCAAAGACCACCAAGTCTGGTTCACTCCTACTTCCCCTAAAAGAGTCTTCATAATAATTTGAATCAAATATCTTCTTATTCAATCTGCTCTTCCTTGTCCTTTACAAAACAAATGAAAGCAGAAGTCCACGACAAATTATTTAAGATGCATTTGTTCCGTTCAGCTTAAAGAGTATTCTAAATTATTCACATAAATTCCAGTATTACTATATCAGGAGAAATAGTTAATTCTATTCAATTTCATTCAAAGCAATAACAGAATCTTGTTTCTTACCCAATTCTTCTCCTTTTCCAGAACCAGAAATAGATAAACACAAAGATAACGAGCCATGCTGATATGAAAGACAGTATCACAACAGCCAGCACTCCTTTTGTTTGAAGAAATCTGTTGGATTTCCTTAGGTCCTCCTCAGCTGCAAGAGTGAAAAAAGGGATACAAAAACATCATCTCCAAAAAATGGGAAAAACTAATTCCTTACGGAAAGCTAAACGGAAAAGAATTATCACATAAATTACCTAATTCAAGTGCATCAACACGAACATACAGGTCATAGCCGCTATTGTCTGAAAGATTTATTATGTCCATTAATTCTCCATGCCATGTCAAACAACCAGTACTTCCCTTGGAAGCAATGGGTATGCTTGCATAAGCAGAACATGAACAATTCCTCTTGCATTCTTGTTCACAGTCTAAATGACTCATACTCATATGAACCCAAACCGCTGCAGAAGTATCAGGAACTTTAACATGTTCCACCTTCAAAAATCCTTCTCCATGCCCACACACAGATGAAGATTCTAATCGCTTCCTAACGCACCCACCTGATGCATCCCTTAAACGCCAATCCCTTTGAAACTTAGGTTCATACCCAGGTAAACAAGCACATTCAAATGTATTAACATTGTTTGGGTCACACTCACTGTTAGCACCACACAATCCATACCATTCACACCTATACTTAGGTGCTGACCAGAACTCTTTCCATCGATCATCAGTTCCATGCCATGTTGACCATCTCATAAATCCAGCTTCATCAATCATCGTTCTTATTATAAGAGAAGGATCACTGTAATTAAAAGTAAAGTAAATTTGATCTTTTGTGTTGAGAAAAGTGTAATTGTAAATATTTGCAATTGTTCTCCATGGCCATGGGACGCTTCGCCAGTAATGCTTTCCCTTTCTATAAAGAAAGAACTGTGGTGACCCATTTGGGTTTAACCTAACCGAATATTCTCCACTTCCAGGATCATCAGCTGATTTCCACGATGTTAGATACCAGTCCATATCTTTTTTCTTATCCAACCCCAATCTCATTCCTTGTAGCAGAGTATTTGTCGGATAATCAAAGCTTTGCCATACAATTATTTTACCAGTACCTTGTACCAAAACAAAATTTCCTGTATCCAACAGCTGGGCCTCAAAATTTCCAGTTCCTTCCATAGAAACATTGCTAGACCAAACTGGAAAGTTTTGATCTTGATCTCTGTAAAGAACAAGATTTCCATGTGGATTAATTGACAGAACTCCAGAAGAACCATTAATGGGGTTGTTCCTATTTGCTATCCACACCACTGTTTGTTGTGACACTTTGTGGAACCAAATTCCAAGATACCTATATTTTGAATGGCCAGGGCTGAAAAATCCCAAGGCAAAATTGTTGTTTTCAGAGATTAAAAGGTTGCCATCTATGATGGTTTGGTTTATGGTAACGGTGCTTTTAGAGTTGGCAAATGTGAATACTAGAAAGAAAGAACAAAGAGAAAGAAGCAGTTTTTGAGTAGCCATGATTTGCCTCCAAACGGTGTACACCAAGTTTTATGTGGATTTGGAAGCTTTGAATTTTTTTTGTTTTTTTTTTTGGACTTATTTTGCAGATGGATTTGGTCGGAAAAAAAAAATTATCCATCCAAATAGTTATATTATTAAAGCCCCTTTGTTGTTTGTATTCTCTTAATTGACTGATCCTTCATGTCCTTATTCAACGATTTATTTCTCACATGATTTAATATGATATTTTGCTTAATGATGGAGCAACAAGATAATTTAATATCGCCAACCAACACTGGAAAAAATTTATTTTTAAAGAAAAGGGGTACCCGTCAAATCTATTTCTCCCCGATCCCCATCCCATGATCAAGGCTGTGGGATCAATTATTGAAAGTCAGATATTATCACAGGGCGAGAATACTTTGTTTTATATATTTTTTTTATAATTAAATAAAATTAAAGACTATTTTGTATTCGTGCCGATAAAAAATCCAAATCTTAATAATCGTTACTTTGGTTTGACTATTCTGTTAGCATACAATTGGCTACTTAATTTTGACTCCAAAAATGAGCATATATATAAATATATATAATTTTAGGTGGACTAATTTCTCTACCCAGTCCATAATAAACCCTATGAGATGAACTGCATTGAACATACAGAAGCCTCCGCGAATTATCTTACAAATCACATAAATTAGAGTTTGTATAGAGCTGCGTATTTCTTCAGAGACCTAGAGTTGCAGTGATTGTCACCTCATTAACTGAAAATGGTCCTTGTTCCCGTATTAGTGAACAGCTGCAAGAATTTCTGAAAATAAAAGCAGGATGGTTTGGTGAAGGAAGTGGCATTTTACTATCCAACATAAGAACAATTTCTGATATAGTTGGTACTATCATAGGAAGGTGTTCTGAAGATGGAAGCAGGTTGATTGGGAGAAGGAATAGCTTTTTCACTATTCAACATTAGAACAACTAATTACAAAAAAGGAAAAAGACCATCCAGCTTAGTAAGCAATCCAACATTTCCAAAATTTCCTCTCTGATGATAATTCATTCATGAAGAGTTAGGTTCAAATATATTTCTGCAAATGAGAATCAATTACCCTTGTTGATTTTGAAGTCCCCTGTAAGTTTCACACACGATCTTGAGTTAGAATATTAATGTTGTCTTCTACTACAACTACGTATGATATCAACTCCTACATATGTACCTCTAGCGGGCTTCAACCTCTGTGATTGTCACCTCATTTAAAGAACAATTTACTGCTCTTGAATTTGATGGATTCTGACAATTACATTTTCTTCCTGAACTGAATGCTGGTTGTTTTGGATAAGGAAGGGCAGCTTCACCATTTAACATGAGAACAATAGTTGACACAGTGGGTCGATCTGTTGCATCTTCTTGCACACACAATAATCCTATCTGAATGCATCTGAATACTTGAGGTCGAAGAAGACATGACTCTGTTAATAACGTTGAATCGATTATGTCCGAAGCTCTATCTTCTCTCCATAAATCCCAGACCTGTGTCATCAATAGTGTTTCATTAGCTTAAATGGCGAATCTGAATGCTTCAATTATTTGATCCATATCTATCACTTACATATGCTATCAAATTCAGTGAAGGATCCTCCGGAAAGTAAGAATTCACCTTCTTGCCACTTATAATCTCTAACAGTATGGCCCCAAAACTAAAGACATCTGATTTTATTGAAAATTTTCCAAAAGTGGCATACTCTGGTGCCATGTAACCGCTATATAACAACAATAAAAAAAAAAATGTTAGTAAATACTAAATAGCAGATTCATCTCTTAATCTTGAGTGTCTAAGCATGCAGCGCTTACTATGTTCCAACCACTCGAGTAGTTCTGTCCTGAATATCATCGCCATTCAATATTCTAGCCATGCCAAAGTCCGAAATTTTGGGATTCATATCAGCATCCAATAATACATTACTGGTTTTCAAATCCCTATGTACAATTTTCAATCTGGAGTCATGGTGAAGATATGAGATTCCTCGAGCAATTCCAACTATAATATCAAAGCGTTTTCTCCAATCCAAGACTGATCTTCTCTCATCTATAGCAAAATTTTGTGATTGATGATATTATGTTTTCAGCACAGTGAAAGAAACACATAAAGACTGTATGGTAGGTATTACGACATACCAAAGATAAAGTAGTCCATGCTTTTGTTAGGCAAGTACTCGTATATTAACATTTGTTCGTCTCCTTCAATGCAACATCCTAGAAGTTTCACAAGGTTCCTGTGTTGAAGCCTTGTAAGCAACATGACTTCATTTTTGAATTCTTCTAACCCTTGTCCTGAACTTTGGGATAATCTTTTTACAGCAATCTCCCGCCCATCAGATAGCATGCCCTGAAATCATTATATCAGCTTTTATCTGAACCCAAAAGTGAACATTCTAAAACCATAAAACTTAACTACTTGATCAGTAGTATACTCTGAGTAAAATAATTTTATGGGAACTTCACCTTGTACACTGAGCCAAAACCACCTTGTCCAAGTTCGTTGGCTGGATTAAAATTGTTTGTGGCAGCCAATATGATGTATGGATCAAAAAATGGCATATCTGGAGGCTGTCTGCTTTCTAAAGGTTCATCTCCCACCACTGTGGACAGTAACCTTTTGGTCCATTTCTTCTTCACTATCATTGAACATGCAGAGAAAGAGTAATAACAAGTTAAATACAAGTTTCATATCATCCATCACTGTTGCGCAGGCGCTCATTAATTAAAAAAAAGGCCAATCAGTTAAGTAAAAAAGCTTATGAGTTTTAATTTACATTCGCTGCACTGTTGGATGATGGAAAACTTGTAGTTCTAACTTCTAAACTATATGCCCCCTAATGTTCTCATGTACATGTGGGGTTTGACTATAAATACTTGGGGCCTGTTTACTTATAGAAAATTATTGCTCCAGACAAGTTTTTTGGAAAATGGGAATTGAAAAGAAAAAAAACCTTTTTGTATGTATACAGGCACTAGACTAGCCACAATTTTATTTTCTTACCTTTTCTTTTCTTCCTCTTCCTTCCCCAAAAATAGGCAAATAGGATAACGAGGAAAAGATTGAGAGCAGCTGATAATATTGGAATGACCACCATGCCCTTCCTTTTCAGAAAACCTCCTTTTCTCCTAGTAATCTCAGCTGCATTATCAGGTTTAGGAGTCAGAATGAAACATATAGAGGTAAAAAACTGCAGAAATTTGTTGTTATATTCATTGGTAAACCCAGCATTGACATAATATGTTCATATTGGCAGAGCAAGAAGAAGAATACCTAATTCTACTGAATCAACACGAACATATATATCACGTCCCTCTGTGTACTCCACCGTGTCCATTAACTCCCCATACCATGTCAAGCAGCCCAAGCCTTTCCTTTCAATATCCAAACTTGTATATGCTTTGCAGGAGCAATTCCTCAAGCACAGTTGTTCACACTCTGTGCTACTCAAACTTGTGTTCATCACAGCTGCTAATGAAGTATCAGGAATCTTCACACGCTCTACTTTAACAAAACCTTCTTCATTTCTGCACATTGAGGCAGTTTGCTCTCCCTTCCTTACACACCCAGCAGAACCATCTCTCAGATACCAATTCTTTAAGGACTTAGGCTCATACCCTGGCAGGCACATGCACTCAAGACTATCAAGGTTGTTAGAGTTCAATATACTATATGCACCGCAGTGTCCATACATGTACTTAGGTTCTGACCTGGAGACTCTCCATTGACTGGCAATATTGTCCCAAGTAAGCCTTTGGATCACTCCAGAGTTCTTAACCACAATTCTTGAAAGAAGGAAGTCATCATCCAAGAGAAAAGTGTAGTATATCTCATCTTGATTGTTAGCAGAAGTAGGCAAATAACCAGGCATTGGTGCAGGATCCCAAGGCCATGGGCTGCTTCTCCAAATTCGCTTTAAACCCCTGTACAAAAAGAACTGAGGATAGCCATTAAGATTGAGTTTGTAAGACCAATCTCCGGTTCCAGGGTCATCCTCTGATCTCCACGACGTTAGCAATCGGTCTAGGCCGATCTTCCGATTCAAACCAATTTTCAGACCTGGAAGCATTGTATCAGTGGGATGATCAAAGCTTTGCCAAACAATTTTTTTACTTTCATTTCGGACCAAAACCAGATTTCCTGAATCTAATAGCTGAGCTACATATTCCTCTGTTCTTTCCATCGAAACAGAGGTAGACCACAAAGGAAATCTTCTGTCATTTTTATCATAGAGAACAAGATTTCCGTCTGAGCTTATAGAGAGGACTCCTGACGAATCATTAATAGGATTGTTCCTATTTGCCACCCATACCACGGTTTGTCCTGGTAGTTTATGATACCAAATGCCAACATATTTATACTTAGAGTTGCCGGGGCTGAAAAATCCTAATGCAAAGGTTCCATTTTGGGAGACTAAAATATTGCCGTCCCTGAGGGACTGACTGGTGGTTATGGCGCCAATGGAATAACAAGAAGGGAAGAGGATGACCACAAGTAAGAAGTTCAGAAGCATTTCAGTACCAAATTATTGCTTCGAAACTTACGGACACTATTGCAGGGTTAGATGAAAGATACGTTTTGGGTAGTTTATAGATTAATTTTATTGACTCTTGCAAAAGTAATAACTTTTGGAAGCATAAAAGCATATACATTTTTACCACATCTGAACTTTCGAATCATAAACCTTACTTTGAGAGAGTATGACATCAGTTGTGATTGGTAGGAAAATGAGGTTTCAGAAATAGAAATTTCTTGGATCTGGTAGACCGGTAGAGGATGGCAGGCAGAGTTCAAAGGAAGGACATTAAGATATCAGAAACTTCTTGTGATAAGACTTCCTTCATTGGGAGCCTGACTATACAAGGGATGGACTACGGGCATTGAGTTGAAGAGAGTTAAAGCTTCTCTAGGAGGAGAATTTAATGGAGATGCTAGAAAAGATCTGGTATCAGCTTTTATTTAGCATGTACTCTAAAGTTGAAATGGTTTTTGCAAAGAAACTAAGAAAGACAAAAAGTTTGGAGCCGACAATGACCATGGAATCCAACGCGTGGGAACATGATATTTTATTCTGGATGGGTCACGGGTTGGGCGGGTTTAGGTTTGGGATATAAGAATATTTGTCGATAATATATAATCAAATAAACACGAGATCATTGATTATATTAAATTAAGCATTTTTTTATATGTACTCGTTTATAGCTTATTGAAATCTCGCCATGCTTCTTTTTTTTCTATGTATATTTTTTATATATAAGATCGGTCATTCCTCAACAGCGTATTTGTTTGCCTTTCCTTGATATTGATCTCAAGGTGTTTGTCGTATTGCCTCAACAAGACTTTCTGGGTTTTATTTTGGTTTTTGTCCTATTTTCCTGAACTTGGGACTGATTCAAATCACTATACGTTAGAATTGTAGAAGTAACATGAAATTGACAGTCAATTAATTAAATGGAGGCAAGGTAAGAAGAAAAGGTACCTCTATTGCACCAACACGAACACACATGCAATAGCCATCCACTGCATGCCCCCATCGAGTCCATCAACTCTTTATACCATCGCAGTCAGCCAAGTCCTTTCCCATCGATATTTGAGCTCGTAAACGCTGTGTATGAAGCCATGAACAATTCCTTGGGCATATCCGCATATGAACAATTCCTTGCCTCAAGAGAGCATTGAAATGGTAGGGGCATATTCACAACCACTTGGATGGCATATTAATGGTTAGTTTATTTTCTCACTAGAAATGAGCATATTAGACAGCAGAAAACGCTATCCTCAAAGACAGGTTGATTCAACCTGTTCAACAGAAACTACAGAAACAAAATTAAAATTTGGAACTCCATAAAAATGTGGACATAATAACCAAATTGGTACAGTTGTAGCGTAACGATGGTATTGAGAGAAAGAGAATTAGGTTCTAGGTTTGCCAGGAAGGGCAGTGAGTTGACGACAAGCCGTGCCGTTCTTCTCAAGATGACAAGAAAAGTTCTTTCGTTTTATAAATGGGGGGGAATCCTTGTTTTTTTATTTATCGGAGATGAACACATGAAATGACGAAAACGTTTCCGTCGAATGGAAAATTTCCCTTCGTACGTGTTGGGCCTCCAATGGTCTCTCATTTTACAGTCCAATGGGCCTTCCATCATTTTTTTTTCTGAAACGTATGGGCCTTACATCATTACCTATCACGCTAATTAACCATATATAATAACATTATCTAGAAATGATCCTTAACCCAACAGTATATTTGATTTCAAAATCTGCTCAAATTACAGCATTGTAAAAGAGGAAATACAAGAGTTGTGCCTGCAGATTGAAATTTGACACATTGTAGCATTGCATATTGCCAGTACCAGTAGCACAAATTAGTTCTCCATTTCTACAACAAAACAAAAGGATGAATGCCAGTAGCAGAAATGAAATACTAGCGACCCTCTGACAACGTGACAGTCATTTCATTAGAAATCAAATTTCCGATTGAAGATGAATCTGTCTCTGAAAGGCACCTTTCAGCGTAGAAACCAGGTCGTCCAGGTTGAGGTAAACGTGTGTTCTCAGTGTCCAACATTAGGAGGGCAGATGCCATAGTTGGCCTCTCCTCTGGCCGCAGTTGGACACATAAAAGACCCACTTGTATGCATTTCAGCACTTCAGAGGCAGGAAATTCATTCTCGAGCAATTCATCCACTAAGTCTAAGGCCTTCTCTTCATTCCATAATTTCCAGGCCTGAAACATTTTTCAATTTATTCGTGAAACACCATATAATTATGTATAAATTGTTGCACAAATAGCACTTCAGTGTGGTTGTATACTCACATGCCCCAGAAGATTAAGTTTGTGATCTGAGTGAAAAAACCCTCGGTTTTTCTTACCACTCACTATCTCCAACACTATAACACCAAAGCTGAAGACATCAGATTTTAAAGAGAAGTTTCCATCTATTGCATACTCTGGAGGCATATAACCACTGCATTACTCACAAGAAAAACCAACTTCAGCAAAAAGAAGTTTTTGGAATAGTAAAAAAATGAAAAAAAATCTTGAAGGTTGTATCTTTCTCCTTACTAAGTTCCAACAATCCTCTTGGTGTTTCCTTCAGTCTGATCCCCACCAAATATTCTTGCCATTCCAAAATCCGAAATTTTGGGATTCAACTCACCATCTAACAGAATATTGCTGGCTTTGAGATCCCTATGGATTATTCTCAATCTTGAATCTCTATGTAGATAAAGAAGCCCACGAGCTATCCCTATGATGATGTCTAACCTCTTTCGCCAGTTGAGAAAAGCACGCATTCCTTCATCTGCTTAAATGTATCACAAGCAATTTGATTGCTCTAATTATTTTAACTTCATAAAAATTCTAATTGGCCAAATGGATGGTTTGGAATGAAGCTCCAAAAAACAAACAGATATCATGTTTGTCAGAAAAAAATGCAAAAAGTTTTATAGAAAGCTGAGGTACAAACCAAATATTAAGGAGTCCAAGCTTTTGTTTGGCATGTACTCGTAGATTAACATTCTTTCTTCTCCTTGGATGCAACAACCGAGAAGCTTGACCAAATTCCGATGTTGTAGTTTGGAGATCAAGATAACCTCATTCTTGAACTCTCGGAGACCTTGTCCAGAATTCTCCCCAAGTCTTTTCACAGCTACTTCTTGTCCATATTCTAACTCGCCCTAAAAATTCTTCCCAGATAAGAAATTAACTTTCAAGAACACAGGAGAGATGAGAGATGGGGAAAACTAAAAACAGAACATAACAAATACCATTTGCGAAAACCAACAATATGAGATACCATAAATGTCTCAAGACAAATAATATTCTGTCACTTAAGTCAGTCGTCTCCCTCAACACGTAGAAATACAACGGATAACATTGATTTGAGGCTTGATGATTGAAGCCGAAAAAATCATTGAGGACAATCATTATCAGAAATCACTTTGCAAAGTGAATTTTACCTTGTAAACAGGACCAAATCCACCTTCTCCAATCTTATTTGCAACAGAGAAGTTGTTGGTGGCAGTTTGGATGCAGGAAAATTCATATAATGGGAGTTCAAGGTCATCCCTCTGATCTTCAGATCTGCTAACAGTGACTCCATTATCTGGTTGATTGGCTGCTGAAATGAAAAAAAAAATTAATAAAATGGAAAAAAAAGATTAAGCTTACAGCATTAATTGAAATCAGAGCCATACTACACTAGAGTTATATTACCTGCATTAGTTCTCTTTTTCCAAATCACAAAGCAGCTGATCAATGCCATGATGATCACAGCCGAAAACACTGATATGACCAGAGTAATGGCTATATTTCTTCCCTTGGACATGCTAGCATCATCTGAATCTAACAACCAAAATGGGATAATGTACGTGATTAATTCTTTCAAACACCATAAAAACAACTATAGCATGTTTCTGACTAACCAAGTTACCAAAATAGAGATTCCAGTAAGACCAAGGCTCAATCCCAGCTCCAAGTGAGGCTAGAGCAGGACTGTTCGAACCTGATATTGAACCAAGCCAATGCTTGATCCATTTTTTTGATATATCAGCACAAGCAAAGAGTAGTATAATTATTTTCTATATAACACCCATTTTGTAATTTTATCAACTGGTATCAACTTTCATTCAAAAATAAACAGAGGGAGGCAAATATCTTTGCGGTCTTACCTAGTTCTGAAGCTGAAACTCTTACATATAGATCTTGCCCATAATCACCTACTTGTCTTGTATCAATCAACTCTTTAGTCCAAGTCACACAACCATTGCCAGTACCATTGATGTCCAATTTTGCATAAGCCACACAAGAGCAGTTCTTCAAGCAACTCTCCTTGCAGTCTTCGACACTCGTGCTTACATTGACCAAAAACTCTGATGCATCTGGCAGTTTCATTCCACTTAACTTTATAAACCCTTTATTTATACAGATATGTGGATTCTTAGGAACACATCCGTCAGACCAATCTAACATCTCCCAGTCTTTGGGTGATTTAGGTTCAAAGCCCTTCATACATTCACAGATAATGGTGGAATTGCTAATGTAACAAATACCATAAGCACCACACAGGCCATAATTGTCACAGCGATCTCCTTGAACTGCGAACATGAGATTCCAACTAGAGCGTCTGTCGTTCCACGAGAAGTGCTGGACCAAACCTGATTGATTCAAAACAAACCTTGAAATAATGTTTTTCTGCATTATGAAGAAATAGTACACTTCATCATCATTGTATACAAATTTCGGTTGGAAAACTGGGTTCGCCACGAGAGCAGGTATAGCACTAAACCGAGTACCATACCATGGCCCAGTCCGAAACTGCTTGCTAGACCCTTTCCGAAGAACAAGCTGAGGAAGTCCGTGAGGATCCAAAGTATACGTGTAGTTTCCTGAAGAAGGATCACTCGAGCTTTTCCATGATGTCAGATGTCGATTCAGGCCAGTTTTCCTGTTCCAACCAAGTTTCATCCCTGGTAACAATGTGTCTGATGGATAATCAAAACTTTGCCATATGTGGTTCTCAGTGTTTCCATCCTCTGCATCTTTCAAAACAAAGTTTCCATTGTCTAGCAGCTGTGCAACTGGTCTTCTTGCAGCGTGTGAGGAGTTCGATGACCATACGAGGCTTCCTGTTTTGTTAAGAATGACCAGCTTTCCATCATCATCGAATGTCAAGAATCCAGAAGAATTTGTAACAGGATTGTCTCTATTTGCTACCCAGACAATAGTTCGGAGTGGGATATTTTTGTACCATATTCCTAAATATTGAACATTTAAATTGCCCGGAGTGAAAAAGCCCAGTTCAAATTTTCGACCGGGTGAAACTATTGTATGGCTGTCATTAATGGACTGCCCTGGAGTTATGGTGTCAGCTGCAAAAGAATTCTTTAAGAACAAAAGCATAGAGGCGCAGCAAACAGCCAAATAAAATGGGTTGCCCTTCAGTTTCTCCATAAGTTTCATGATCTCCCATTTTCGTCAATAACTTAAAAAGTTGAAGTCTTTAGCCCTCTCCCCTGTGGCAAACAGTGAATTTTAAGGGGTCCAGCATGCAATTGACCGGTTAAAGCAAGACTCTTAGTCCAGGGTAGGTGGACGCTTAGAGCCTAGCTTTGAAAGCTTTTTATCTACCTGAATATAATAATATGTAATTTCAGTGTCCCTTTCAATTACCCACTAAGAAGCTGAAAAGAAAGATCATTCAAATTTTATGTGATCTTTAATCACAGAAGCTCCAGTGGCCTACATCCTTTCCACAAACAATTAATTATAAAAAGCATCTGAAACATGAAATGTATAACATCATTTGTTTGGAGGAGATAAAAATTTGATAACCGTATTAGAAAAACAAAAGCTCACATACTGTTTTTGACTCGTTAAGAGTGCAAGAACGCCTGGAAAACACTAATAAGGGTCATAATGCCTAAAAACAACAACAATGAATAACATATTGCAATATTAAGAGCAAACTTTATCGCCGCGGAAAAGATCAGATTGTCAAGCCAACCAGCAGAGTGAAACACATTTAATATTCAAAAATCGCAAGCTTGAACACAAACTTGAAAGGGATTAAGTATTATGGAAATTTCTAATGACTCCATTGTATTCAATTAATTGGATTCAAGCTATTCAAGTTGTAAATTAAAAATGAAAAAGAATGCATGCAGGGCCTGCTTTGTATAATGAAAATTGGAAGGTGCAGAAATGGGCAATTCATTTTCTGTCCCTTGTTCCATGAACACGAAAGTTAGCATTTTGACTAGCTCAGAATCAAACAAAACATATACATAATTTCTACAATAGCTGGACCATGCCTAACAGCAACTGATAGCCAAAAGAGCGATAGAAAAATTTCTTAAGGTCCAAATCACGTGATCTAGACTACTATTAGGATCTGTGAATTTTTTTTCTGCTTTTTATGTTTCTTTGACTTTCAAATTTAGATGTCTAAACTTTTTATACCTCAAAATTAGTAGGACGTTCAGAAATTTTTTAGCACTATACCTCCAAACATAACTCTGCCACAGTTCCATGGCATGAATTCAGACTATTCAACTTTTAAGGGTACATTATCATGCAAGAACTAAAATGAAACCACAATTCCGCAAATTCTCTAAATTTAGTAAATCTTTAGTTGTTACATTGCCAACAATCAAGAGTTACAACTCTCATAAATCATGCTCCAATCTGCCAGGACTTTAACCCTATAAAAAAGATGGGAAAAATAGATATACAAATGCTTTGTGAAGAAAGCATACACTGAGAGTAGCCATACACTTCTATCTTCCTTCTAACACAGTAACTGTGACTTGATTTTGAGTATAAAACCTTTTCCCAGTAGATGATGAATCTGTCTCAGTCAAAGACCTTTCTGTGTAGAAACCAGGTTGTTTAGGTTGGGGCAATATTGGATTATCACTGTCCAACATCAGTACAACTGAAGACATTGTGGGCCTGTCTTCGGGCCGTAGTTGTACACACAGCAATCCTACATGGATAGATTTCAATAATTCTGATGTTGGAACTGGTTTCTCTATAAGCGAATCTATTAATTTCATAGGCCTTTCTTCAATCCACAATCTCCATGCCTGAAATCAATTTTTGTATTAAATGTTGTTAGATAGAAACTGAGAATTGGTTTTTAAGCCAAAAGAAATAAGCCTTATATCCATAAACTTACATGTCCTAAAAGATTAAAATCATGGTCAGGATGATAAAATCCTCTGTTTTTCTTCCCACTCACTGTCTCTAAAACCAGTACACCAAAGCTGAAGACATCGGATTTCACTGAGAAGAGCCCATCTATTGCATATTCAGGAGACATGTAGCCACTACGTGCAATCATTTAGCATAAACATTATGTTGGGAGATAGAAGGTTTGATTTAGAGAGGGAGAGAAAGTAGCTTATGTTATAAATACTAAGTTCCAACAATCCTGCTTGTATTTACTTGATTTTGATCACCACCAAACGTTCTTGCTAAACCAAAGTCTGATATTTTGGGATTCATCTCATCATCCAAGAGAATGTTGGTTGCTTTAAGATCCCTATGAATGATTCTCAACCTTGAATCACGATGAAGATAAAGAAGTCCTCGAGCAATCCCCACTATAATGTTGAAGCGCTTTTGCCAATCAAGTGAAGTACCCCTTGTTTGATCTGGGCCAGTTTTTATCAAGTTAGTACAATGTATAGAATTTCAGGAAACAGTTTTGAGGGTTCAAAGTTTGAGCGTCACAAACTGAATAGATACAAGTCCAAACTTCTCTTGCGCATATATTCATATACCAACATCTTCTCTTCTCCATGAATACAACATCCTAAGAGCCGAACAAGATTCCGGTGCTGTAGCTTTGAAATGAAGATAACTTCATTCTTGAACTCTTGAAGCCCTTGCCCAGAATCTTTAGATAGCCTCTTCACTGCTATTTCTTGTCCAGTTGGGAGTACACCCTGTAGTCCATTATGGCTTAGTTGCAACAGACTAAAAAAAATGTGCAACTTATGTATTATGATCTTAGCTGCAACACAAAGAATAGGACTTAGACTTGGTTCCAACATTGAAAGTGTGGAACTATAATGTGTAGTTTATATGAACATGAGATTTCTAAACTCTACAACTAGCTTTTAAGATATCGTTCACATTGAAACCCCATATTTTCAATGTAGGATCCGAGTCAAGTGGCGGTGATTAGCCCATACCTTGTCTTGCAATTAGGATCATAATATTATGGTGACTACAGTAGAACAATAAAAAAGAGAAAAACTTTCTCCTTTCAAACTTCAATGTTTGCAGAATAATACCTTGTAAACTGCACCAAAGCCGCCTTCACCAATCTTGTTTGCATAAGAGAAGTTGTTAGTGGAAGCTAAAATAATAACAAAGTTAAATAACAGAAGTTGATCCAAGTCTTCCTCCCCAGTGTTGGCACTGTCATCTTGACAGGAGATACTTGTTCTCCGGCCTGTCAAACAGGAAAGGTTAGAGGACGACAAGCAAAATAGACATGCACTAAAACAAACATAACTTCAAGGGAGATTTTTCAACTTGCATCTCTAATATACTAGTCTCTCATTCTCCACTTGCCCATTTATCATGCAAGTCTCCAATATAAAAATTTGTTAATTTCAGTTAAACAGGGATGTTTTTATCATTCAATAATGAGTAACCATGTACTCTCTTGATGAATTTATCGCCTTTAATGAACTAATAATTCCATTAAAGTAAAATTCTAAGAAAATTGTTACTTAATTTATGCATTGCTAATTCAAATGACACAATAAAAAATCACTGCTGTATTTGGTACTATTAAAGATCTTTGATGAGAGATACACAATTGAAGAAGAAAACAAGAATATATATGAAAGTGTCATGATACAGGCATACAAGCATTAAACTTTACCTTCTATTCTTTTAGATGACCTCTTCCAAACAACCAACCAAATGACCGCAATAAGCAGAAAACCTGAAACTAATGATAATGAGAGTGCCACTGGTCGTATATCTTTGTTGGATTCTGCCAGCAAACACACCACATTGAAGGAAAGGCAATTAGAATCAATCAATTTCAGTCAGATATTTTATATTTGACGACAAGTCTTAATCAAAAAACAATATATGACATTTTTTTTTTAAACATGTAGAGTATAGCCTTCAAAGCTGCCAACCCAAATGGAAAAAAAAAAAAAAAAAACCTGTCTTAAAAAGAATTCTGGGGGTTTTACATTCCAGACTTCCGTCTGGTTTCTTCTTTATATTTATAGAATCTCACACGGTTATTGCCCAGCTCATGCATATAAAAAAAAAAAAAAAAAAAAAAAAGCTGAGTTGAACCAATGACACCTCTCCTGTCTTAAAAAGAATCTGGGGTTTTACATTCAGATTCCGCTGGTTTCTTCTTATATTTATAGAATCTCCAGGTTATTGCAGCATCATGCATATCACAGAGCAGAATTGGTAAAGGAATGTGTGTGTTAATATTATTAGATCAAATGAAAAGGACATAATAATGGACAAAATTAATTGGGGACCAATTGGATAGATCAAGAAAACAGCAGTAGCAGCTGCAAGTTAGATTAGATCTGTAACAATGCTTACCAAGTTCAGAAGCATCCATCCTTATATACAATACTTGCCCACCTTCATTGTACATTTTTATATCTAGCAAGTCCCCATACCAAGCCACACAACCACTAACCTCAGTCTTAGCATAAGCCATGCAAGAACAGTTCCTAAGGCAAGCTTCCTCACACTCAACTGGAGACATAGCTGTCCTGTTCACCAAAAACTGTGAACTATCTGGCAACTTCAGCCCTGAAAACTTCCTAAATCCTGTCCTGGCACTACAATTCATTGGTGTTCTACGAATACAACCACCAGATGAGTCTAATGCATTCCAGTCTTGTGGTATTTTTGGGACGAACCCAGTTGGACAATGACAAAGAGACAGCTCATTCGCATTGCAAAAACCATTTGGACCACACTGACCATATACATCACATTTATCACTTTGAAGAGTTAATATATCAACCCACTCACCACGCCTTTGATTCCAAGTGAGTTGTTCAACAAAGCTTGATTGGTTCACCACAAGTCTTGAAATTGTGGTATTCTCATTATTCACAAATGAGTAATAGAGAAAGGTGGAGTTGAAGACAAATATAGGCTTAAAGACTGCATTCTCTTGGAGTGGAGGACCTCCACCAAACCTGATACCATCCCAGGGACCACTTCGGTACTCTATCTCTGATCCTTTTTTAAGAACTGTCTGTGGAAGTCCACATGGGTCTAGGTTGAAAGTGAAATCTCCAGTGGAAGGATCTTGCAGACTCTTCCAAGAAGTCAATTTCCAGCTTTGATTATTTTTCAGGTTCCAACCCAGCTTCATTCCGGGTATCAGCGTATCACATGGACGATCAAAGCTCTGCCAGAGATAGTTCCCCCCTCGACCATCTTTTACAACAAGGTTTCCACTGTCCAGAAGCTATAATACTGGATTATACGCGGTCATTGGCAAATCTAACGACCAGATGGGAATGCCAGATTGGTTGCTGAGTATGACTATTGTTCCTGTAGCTGTGATCACGACGAAGCCAGAGGAATCTGAAAGTGGGTTGTTTCTGTTTGCAACCCAAACGACTGTTTGTTGAGGAATATTCTTGAACCATATTCCCACGTAACGCTTATTGGAATTCCAGGGACTAAAGAAGCCTAATTCAAAGTTTTCACTTTTGGAAACAAGAGTTTGGCCTCCGTCAGCAAGAATCTGGTTTGGTGACAAGGTGTCAACAGCAGTAGAGAATTTGGAGAAAGAGAGAATTGTGAACAAGTACAAAATGGAATAGTAGACCTTCATGGATGATCTTAGTTACAATAATTTATCATTCTCTTTAATTGAACTAGTGCACTAAAATTTACATAAAGAAAATAGAATAATAGAAAATGCTTCTTCAAAAATGTTAGACTAGGACAGCAATATTACTTTAAATTATAGCCACTACCAATGAACAACTCATGGTCAACTCTACAACTGGCCCTTGATTTGAGTATTAGAACTAAATGCTTGAACTGTAAGCTATCTTACAATTCAGGTGTATAACAGATAGGAAATAGATGGACTTTTATCAATTGTCAATTATTATTTTCTAATATATTTATTAGAATATACCCCACAAAATGCATCCTTAGATTCACATTGAATTCACCAATATTTTATTTTAGAGATCCTACATGAATATCTTTTCTGACACCAATGATATCCCAAGAAAATTTCTTCATTTACTTGGTTGCTTGCAAACTCTCATCCCATTACTCGACGAAAGCTTATTATCATATTATCGAAGTGTTATTGATATATGTAGAATTTCTTATTCTTTGTTACTTCCTTCAAAATAATCTTTTCTGGCTTCAATAATAAGTAGATGAGAACTGTATACGCCGTCTTCCTTCTTAGACTGGTCAATAATCATCCCTAAATCTACAAAGAAAATTTAACTTACATAATTATATATCAGATGGAACCAAGCATAATTCCTACCTCTCTGATATTCTGGTTTCTTGGATAGCAGCAAAGGACGACATTGTTGCACCCAAAAGAGAGCAGCTTGAATACTTCTCAGCACTTTTAAAGTGTCAACTGGGCTTTCCATTAAAGGATCCATTAGCAGCTCTTAAAAATGAAATAGAAGATGTGCAGATATAAGGAAACGTTGGTGGATATGCGATCTCTGTTGTATATAATATTGAATTTATTGAGCCCTTTGGCAAATCAGAGCGCATAACGACAGCGTTTTGAGCCGCACGAATGACAGAATAGTCAACTGACCTAAACGACAGCGTTTTCTTTTGGACAGCCATAAAATTTTTTGCACTATAATTATTATTTGTTACAAAAAGCAGACTAATAATAAATTAGTCAAAGAACTGAAATGAAATCGAAAAGGAAAAAAGAAAATATACAACAGAATTTTCAAAGTTGAAGAGGTATACAAATAATAAAATATGCTAGATGAGGACTAACATTTTCCTTTACCTTGCATCTAGCATTGTAACCGTAACTTGGTTTATAGTGAATGATTCATCTTGTTTTCCTGAAGATGAATCAGTTTCAAAAGGATTTCTTCCTAAGCAATACCCTGGTGTTTTAGGCTGAGGCATTGTTGCAGTTTCACTGCTCAACATCAATACTACAGATGACATTGTTGGTCTGTCTTCTGCGCGTTCTTGGACGCATAAAAGGCCTACCTGTACGCATCTCAAAACTTCACTTGAAGAAAATGAATTGCCAACTGATGGGTCTAGCAACTCCAATGCCTTTCCTGCTTTCCATAGTCTCCATGCCTGCATTATTTCATAAATGTCATTTCCAAGATTCTTGGTTAAAGTTAGAATTTTTTTGGAAGATCAGTTCTGTACTAACATGTCCAAGAAGGTTGAGTTCACTGTTTGAATGATAAAATCCCCTGTTTTTATTTCCAGTTACAATCTCCAACACAAGAACACCAAAGCTAAAAACATCTGATTTTACTGAGAAGAGACCGTCCATTGCATATTCAGGAGACATATAACCGCTGCAGTATTAATTACGCAAAATAATAATTAAGTAGGAGAAAGAAAAGTTTAGCATTGAAACAAGTTAGGAAATCAAGTTATCAATTAGTACTCACTATGTTCCTACTACTCTCTTTGTATTTGCTTCTGTCTGATCTCCACCAAATATTCTAGCCATGCCAAAGTCCGATATTTTTGGATTCCATTCTGCGTCAAGCAGAACGTTACTTGCTTTGAGATCTCTATGGATAATTCTAAATCTGGAGTCCTGATGCAAATATAGAAGTCCTCTAGCAATCCCACAAATGATGTTGAAACGCCTTTGCCAATTTAGTAAAGGGCATTTTGCCTTATCTGCAACAAAATAGTATGCAATGAGAGGCTTGAACTGAAAATTCTAAATGCATTGTCAAAAAAAAAAAGACACTTTAATGAAAGGGACTAACTGAATAAAACAGAATCCAGGCTTCTGTTTTCCATGCACTCGTAAATAAGCATCTTTTCATCCATTTCAATGCAGCAACCGAGTAATCGAACTAGATTTCTGTGTTGAAGCCTTGCAATTAATTTAACCTCATTCTTGAATTCTTCAATTCCCTGGCCAGAGTTCCTTGATAGCCTCTTTACAGCTACTTCTTGGCCTTCTACTAGCGTACCCTGGTAGCATATTTTTCTGCATTAGGCGACTATCCCTATCTATAACTGTTAGTATTATTTTATCATTTGAATTTACCTTGTAAACCAACCCAAAACCTCCTTGTCCTAGTTTATTTTCATCAGAGAAGTTGTCTGTAGCTATTGCAATAGTACCAAAATCAAACAATGGCAGTTCAAGCTCATCTTTGTCTTTTTCACCTGAGTGGTCTCTCTTGCTTGAGATAACCACCTCATTTAACAATAAATCTTGGCTTCTTTCTTGAATACCTGATTGTAAAAAATGCATATTATTTATCTCTCAATTTGTCTAATTAAAGTTGTTGAAAACTGGTTTCTGTTATTAGATTACCTTTCTGTACTCTACGTGCACTTTGCAACCTTCTTCTCTTCCAAATAAAACAGCCACCAAGTACTAGTAACAAAATGGCAACGCCAACTGCAATGCCAATAATAATAGTAGCTGTATTCTTACCATTACCTGATAAAATCAGATTTATAATTAGTCTTACGTATTCTCTGATAATCATGGATAAGCAAGCCTGGGTACTAGGCTCCATCACAACAGGAACAATAACAATGTTAAGTTTTCAAACAATAAATATTACTTTCAAATCATGGACAAAAAGAGGTGGGTTAATATATTTAACTCTGAAACACCCATTAAACACAAAATGATTATGTCTTCTTAATTACAGCTCTGGAACTAGAGTGTTTAAATCAGACCAGAAATGTGAACATTTGACCTAATATTACAAAAGAAATCAAATGATGGTAGAAACAAACAAAATGATAAATGTTGTGAAAGTCAGCGTCTTTTCTCCAAGATAAAGCAGGCTTCACACTAGCCATGAACTACTGTCATTATTGAATGTGCTAATCTGGACATTGAAAACTGCATATTCAGTCATTTCACCAGCAACTCTTAAATGCAAAACCAGTATACTGAATCATTTACTTAAAAAGTACAGATACCTAACTCCACCAAATTACTTCAATTATATATTAGTCTTTAGTTTGGTGCATTTCATAAGGGAGGTTACAGCTTTAAAAATGAAGCAAATGGTTTTCTGACCAAACTCTTGAATATAATTAATGTGACAATTAGGTTACCTATGGTCACTATCATCTACTTTCCAGGAGGCTGTACCCCTTTGGAAAATTATTTATTAGGCTAGCAACTTCTGTTGTACACTTAAATTATGCACCAATATTTATACAAAAAGAAGACTATATAATCTTTTTTTTTTTTTTTTTCTCGGTTACCTATGGTCCACTATCACTACCTTTCCAGGAGGCATGTTACCCCCTTTGGAAAATTAATATTAGGCTAGCAACTTCTGTTGTACACTTAAATTATGCACAATATTATATACAAAAAAGAAAGCACTATATTAATCTTTTTTTTTTTTTTTTTTTTTTTTTTCTCCGTTAGATACAGGGAAAAGAGAGAAATGAGAAGTATTATCGAATCCGGATCAAATCATGCAAATGCATGAGGACCCTACCATTAGACTATGCCTAAATTCTAATATAATGGATTAAACCTTATGAGACTATGACATAAAGTTGGTTGAGATAGACCCCATGAGACCAATTACAATGATAAATTTCTTCTTAAAATATTTGTTCAAAAATGGAAAATGTAAAGACAAGGATTTCAATGTTTTAGATAGAAGAATCAAAGGAAGAGACAAAAGAAATTGAAGAAGAAGAAAATGAAGGCGGTGGTCCCACTCCTCCTTAATCGATGGTTACGTGGATACAAAACTATCCTGTTTTACTCCGTTCAAATTTTAATATTTAATTTTCTCTGTTTTAATAATTCTCTACAAAAGCAAAAAAAAAAAAAAAAAAAAAAAAAAAAAAAAAACAACAAGCAAAAAAAAAAAAAAAAAAAAAAAAAAAAAAAAAAAAAAGTCGTCTATTTTAATAGGGCCCAACAGAAATTGTAAATCCCGCCCTTTGCAAGCTCCAAACCCAAACTAACGTATAATACTCTTTTTAAAGTCAACATGGTCGGCCCACCGCGATGCAATTTGGGACCCGCAAAAAAAAAAAAAAAAAAAAAAAAAAAAAAAAAAAGTCGTCTATTTTAATAGGGCCCACAGAATTGTAATCCCGCCCTTGGCAACTCCAACCCAAACTACGTATAAATACTCTTTTAAAGTCAACAATGTCGGCCCACGGGCGATGCAATTTTGGACCCGCGCATACCAAATGGGCCCACGTTACCGTCCTTAAAGAAAACTCCGTTTGATAAACCTTTTTTTCTTAGGTGGAAATTTAAATTTCTTTGAATTTTAAAAATTAGTTTGCTAAAGAAAATCACAAGTAAAATTTTAATGTTTTGGCAATAATCTAGGGTTAATTTTTTGGGCCTAATGGGTGAAAATCTAGCTCCAGTTAAGCTCTACTCAGGTAGAAAGGTTGTGCAGGTTGAGGTTAGTGGGGCCGATGCTAGGACCGACTATGAATCTTGATTGACTTGTGGAAAGTGTGGAGCCCACTTAACAGCGTGGATTGCAAATATCACTATTTCAACCAAAATTTCTATTTATATTATAGTCATGTTAATTTTTTACTTAATAAATGAATATTTTTCATAAAAATCACGTTTTTTTTTCATAAAATAAAAATTTAACTTATTCAAAGAAAATAAAGTTTTTCTATCAAAACCAAAATCCAATCGAACATTTCAAAAATTACACTGAATCCATTAACTCAATTTAATTTAATTTTTTCAATTTTAATCCTAAATAAAAGAACTGTAATTAAAAACAAAGTAAAACAACAGTACAAATATTAGTTGTTTGCTACCGAATAAGATGATATTTGAAAAAAAAGAAAAAGAAAAAGAAAAAGAAAATGGTAAGATTAGAAAAAGATGCAGTGCTGTGATTAGTAGAACAAAAGCTCCAATAAATCATTTGATACATGAGCAACGTGCTGCCTGCTTTTCAAGGGGTAGTTGCCTGTATCTATCTCAAGAAAGCATATAAGCTCATTTTGGTTGGAGGTAAAATTCTATTCCTTATTTACTCATTACTGATCACGTCATGAAAGTAAAATTTTCTTAAAACGATACTAGCTGTAATGTTATATCATTGAATTACTTTCAGACATCATTCTAGTTTGAAAGCGTTTCCATATGATAAGTTTTACCCTAAGTCAAAATATGCATGTCATGAATTTTTACTTGGACGAACTTAAAGAAATGCAAGAAGAGAAAGAATTTAGGAGAATTTTTTGGACATACCTACATCAGAAGCTGCCAATCTGACGTACAGATCTTGACCACCACCTTCTGTATATTGTCTTATATCCAAAAGCTCACCAACCCAAATCACACAGCCTGTGCCTCCATTAGTAATATCTGAATTGGCATAAGCTGTACAAGAACAATTCCTCAAGCACAACAATTCACAGCCTTTGGTGCTTATGTTCCTGTCTACAAATGAGGTTGAGGATTCTGGTATTTTTATGTTCTTCAAGTGCAAGAATTTATCATTCACGCACTGTAGATTTGTTTTTCTAACACACCCATCTGACCCATCTCTTAAACTCCATGCTTGTGGGTTACTGGGTTCAAACCCTCTCATGCATTTGCAAACTGGGGATGCATTTGAGTCGCATATACCAAACGGTCCACACTCCATGTACTTGTCACACTGATCTTTAGGTGCATACCAAAATGAATTCCAAACTTGCCTATCTGGAATCCATGTGTATCTTTGAAGTTGCCCAGATGAAGTAACAGTCAATCTTGAAAATATAGATTTTGCTGATATATGAAATGAGTAAGATACCTCTTCTGGATTTGTCACAAAATTAAAACTTAGATAATCAAGAGGCTCCATTTCAGGTACTCCACTGAATCTTAGCCCATTCCATGGACCACTGCGGTAAGCTTTTTCTTGATCATTCCACAGGAAAACTTCTGGGAATCCATGATAATCTAATTTAAAAGAAAAATCACCTGTAGAAGGATCATCTGCACTTTTCCAAGAACTTATGTACCTGTCTAGACCTTTGTTTAGATCCCAACCTAATTTCATGTCTGCTAACAAAGTATCAGTAGGACAATCAAAGCTCTGCCATAAGTACTCATCGTTCACATTTGCTTCTCTTAGAACAAGATTTCCCGTGTCTAACAACTGCATAACTGGACTGTTAGCCTTGGTTTCATTCGAGGACCATATAAGATTCTCAGCGTGATCGAGAAGAACAATGCTTTGATTTGAGATCTTGAAAATACCTGAGGAATTGGTAAGTGGGTTATCTCTGTTGGCCACCCACACATATGTTCTATCAGGAATGTTCTTGTACCAAATACCCACATACCAATTCTTGGAATTTCCCGGAGAAAAGAATCCAAGCTTAAAATTTTGGTTTGGGGAGAGTAGAGTTTGGTCACTAGTGAGAGACTGGGTTGCAGTTAAGGTGTCTGAAGAAAAGGCAACTCTTGAAGTACAAAAAGAAAGAAAAGTAAAGAAGAGCAAATTAGGATAAAAATGGTTACTTGCTGTTATACCCTTCATTATTGTTCAGTATAGGGTTTTTGCTCTGTTTCTCTGCCTCTGAAATATATTTCTGCTTCAGATTCAGGGTACTTGGGTTTGGGGTGTTTTTAGTTTCTTCAATGTGACGACATCTGGTTTTGTTTGATAGGAAGAGAGGAAAGCAGTGCTTCTTATTGACCCTTTTTTTGGCTTTCCCTTTCTTTGCTTCTTTTATTTGTCTCGGTCACCTCTGTTTCTTCTTTGAAAATGCCATTCCTTTCCAAAATTAATTTGAAAGCATAAAAGCCAAAACGTGAATTGTTAGGTTACTTTGGGCCAAATTTGGGCTTTACTGTTGGTCGTTTTAATAGGTCAAAGGAGGAAGATCACCTAACTTTCATTTTAATTTGGTAGATAAGAACCCTCGGATTTGATTACTTTATAAGTAATTATAAGACTCAACAATTCATTTCAGCCTCCTCTCTCAAAATGCCAAAGTGCACAAGATCGATTTCATTGTCTTTTAGTTATTCTTGAAAAATACATCATTCGTCATTTTTCTTTTTTCACTTATCTCAAATTATAATTCAGGTAATTTTTATAATTCTATTTACATTAACAAATTGCATGATTTTTTTTTTTTTAATACGAACGAGGGAGTTTAACTCCGGCTAGCATGCACTACTGGAGGCCAGCGAACACCGACTCGATCAGCCTGCAGAGAAAAAGAAGAAAAAGAAGAAGCCAAAAAAACCTCTAAAACATGCAAACCCTAAACTTGAAACCCAAAAGCATTCGCAATAAAATCAGCCATGTTTTTAAAATGCAGATCATTAACATTGAATATAAAGATATATTAGAAAAAATGAGTAAAATTACAATTTAACCATATTAGAAAATCAAATTAAATCTACTGTTATAAGATGTGGGGGATTAATAAATTAAGGTTCTTCATGGCTGGTGACAGAGGTGGGGTTTAATCTAAACGGGTCGGCTTCTTGTAGTCTGATCTGTGGCTGTACTCCAGTGTGGAGTTGGTAAATACCAGCTGCAGTCAAATTTGGCATTTCTTGTCTGTTTTAGAATTTTGTTTCCTTTCTTTTCTGTTTTTTCTTGGATCTGAACGTGACCTAACAAATTATCCTATTAGTAAAGTCTTATTTTTAAATACCTTCTTTAATTTTCTTTAGCCTCAAATCAACCATGAACGTCTTGTCGTTGTTCTCTTTTGTTTGTGTTTATACAGATAATTATGGTCCCATCAATAATTTTCCTGATAAACCATTTATTTAATAGGAAAGAGATTTGAACCAATCCAAAAAAAAAAAAAAAAAAATGGTCCCATCAGATAATTTTCCTGATAAACGCATTTTATTTAATAGGAAAGAGATTTGAAACCAATCCAAAAAAAAAAAAAAAAAAAAATAATAATAATGAAATAATAATAATGTGGATTTGATTTAGGAAAAATTGGGCTGCATGCATAACGTAGAAAGCAAGGTGTTATTATTACAAGGTAAACGGAAATTAAATTAGGGTTTAGGCCGAAATCATTTAATTTGGATTAATAAGAAGTAGAAATTGGGGTTAGATCTATTAAAAAAAAAAAAAAAAAAATAATAATAATAATAATAATAATGTGGATTTTGATTTGGAAATTGGGCTGCATGCATACGTAGAAGCAAGGTGTTATTATTACAAGGTAACGGAAATTAAATAGGGTTTAGGCCGAAATCTTTAATTTGATTAATAAGAGTAGAAATTGGGTTAGATTCTATTCACAGAAATATATATATAAAGAATTTCCAAACAAAAGAAAAATTTATAAGTTGGCTGTTTCTTTCCTTACCAAGCTTTTAGTTAGAAAATTCAACTAATTAATTTTCAATTTGAAATCTATTTTGTATTTTATTCCAACTTAACTTTATAAAATGTTGAAGCACGAGATACTCATGAAAATCAAAGTCAACGATAATAAAATTATTTCTTCAGTAAAGAAGTATATAGAAACATGGACATATGAAAATACTACAAAATTAGGCGAGTGGATAATATGTTGATCTATTCTTTTTTTTCTTAATTCATAATACCTGTGATCCAATTATTGGATTTTCCCAAAAAAAAAAAAAAAAAAGAATTAATTAAATATCATTTCCTTTTTTCTCTTTTCAAGGTCTGAGGTGTTTGTCTGCAAAACATCTATTATGTATGTGGAATTAGTGGAATGTGACACATGCCCATTGCCAAAATCCAATCTCATCGCCATTTTACTTAATCGGAAAAAATTTATCTACGCCCGGATGCATGAGCTCTTGTATACTAAACCAATCAAATAGTAATATTTTTTAAAAAATATTTTTTTATTGGATTGGTATGTAAATGCACTCATACACAAGATATAGGTAAATTTTACATTTGTCCAAAAAGGATTCCCTTTGATATAAACTTTACAAGGAACACCAAATACAAAAATATTTGGTAGACAAGCTGTAAATGGGCTTCTAATGGATATTGTTCTTATAAATGGGCTTCTAATGGATATTGTTCTTGTAAATGGGCTTGTCCACCGCACTGCAAGGCCTTCAATTCAAAGAATCTGTAACCTCACTAAATCTGAACAAAGAATGGACGGAATATTTAAAGGCCGAACCACTTGATTTAAGCCCAAATTTAATTGTGAATTCACCCAACTGTAACACAAATGAATCAAATTCTTATGATATTAAATTTCAAATATTCATCACTCGTCTAATTTTTCTAACAATTTAGCACCTCAAATTTTACGAAGGACCTATTATATTTGAGAATATGAATTATAGTAATATACTGATTGATAAGAAAATAATTTGAACCGAGTAAGTTAAAGTTTGAACAACACAAGAGACTAAGTAGCAAGTTAAAGCTTGAATAATTTCTGAATCTCATTTAATTACGTAACGCTCAATGTAACAATTAGTCAATAAAATTATTAAATGACTGAGATTTTTATTCAACATTCGTGACTAAAATTCTTACCATAAAGATTATTTAGTCAGTTACAGTGTAAATTGTACTATAAATAAGTGTATGAGAACATGAAAAGGATCACTTTATTCCTAGATTAATAGCAACAAACACATTTCTTGAGCACATTCACAGTTTACACTCATTACTAATATTAAACACCTCTTCACACTAGTAATAATAATAATTTTGGTATCTTTAATTTTTATATATAAAATATTGGTTTAATATGTGGTTCCTGGCTACAAGTTTTGTAACAATTATTATCACATTTTCAACTATCAAATAAGTACTTAAACAATTTAATTTTATAATTTGATATGTTCAATATAAATTTTTGTATGTTAAAAGTATTTAATAAATGCAATTTTATAAAATTTTGATAATATATTATATGCAGGGAGATAAGATTAATATATTATTTCTTTTCTACTATTGTAGATTGTGAAGCAGGAGCTTTCAAAAGAGAAATTGAAATACTAAGCACTGGAAAAACAACTCATTTTACTTAAAAGCTACAAAACCCTAATCCCAATTTTTTTTGAGCAAAAGAAACAAGTTGCTACAAAATTTATATGAAGATAACAACAAATACTAACGATCTATTCTGCAAATTGGCTGAATTTAATTTCCTGTTATTTACTTTATCGTGGTTCAATGATTGATTCAGTAACATTATTCACAGACCATGTAGAGTTGCTTTGTGATTGAATATGGCTGCTGCTTGACACATTCTGAAAAGTGAATGTAGGTTGTTTAGGTTGAGGAAGCTTTGATTTTTCACCACTTAACATAGAATCTATGGCTGCCATGGTTGGTCTATCTGCAGAATGATCCTGTACACAAAGTAGTCCAATATTTACACATCTACTTACTTCTGATGCCGAAAACGAGTTGTCCAATGCTTGGTCGATCATGCCTACACCACTGCTTTCACACCAAGATTGCCAGGCCTGCAACAATTTGTATTACTTTATAATGGAATTCCAAAATTCAATGGAGGAAAATAATGAAATGATCTTATATTGCTGACTTACATATGCCAGAAGGCTCATGTGTTGGTCGTGATTCTGGAAGCTGTTAGCTTTCCTGCCACTAACAATTTCCAAAATCAACACTCCAAACCCAAAGACATCAGATTTCTCCGAATATATGCCGCCCAACAGATATTCAGGTGCCATATAACCTCTGCATTTGATGGAAAATAGGAAAATAAGAAAATCACTGGGTTTAGTACTCAATAGTTTGTACTTGTAATTTTCTATTTTTCTGATGTTACTAGCTTAAAACTATAAGCATTTCCAAATGTCGCAAATGTTATTCCTTTTTCATTTCAACATTTATATGCTTTAAAATATTAGTAAAACCAATTTTAAGCTGAAAAAGAAAAATGAAAAACCAACACAGTGCAGATTGCTTACAGTGTTCCCACAACCCTGTGAGTGCTTCCAAGATCTTGTGTGCCTTCAAAAATTCTTGCCAATCCAAAATCAGATATTTTGGGATTCATCTTTTCATCCAAAAGAATATTGCTGACCTTCAAATCTCTGTGTATAACCCTTAAACAAGAATCCCGATGGAGATAAAGAAGCCCTCGAGCAACTCCAGTTATAATGTTGATGCGCTTATTCCAGTCGAGTTCTGCCTTTCTTGTTGGATCTGAGCAATAACCCAAATGTAAAATGTGTATTGTCAGTTATACTTCCAAGCATCACAGAGTAAAATGAAGGGGAAGAAAGAACAAAAGTCCATCTTTACTCTAAAAGATAAATTATGGCATCTCCTACCAAAAAGGTAAGTGTCCAAGCTTTTGTTGGGCATGTATTCATAAATTAATATCTTCTCTCCTCCTTCAATGCAGCAACCTATAAGTCTGACAAGGTTTCTGTGTTGAAGTTTGGAGATCAACATCACTTCATTCTTGAACTCTTCTGGGCCTTGTCTAGAGCTACTAGAAAGTCTTTTAATTGCTACATCCTTTCCATCCAGTAGCTTTCCCTACATGAAGACATCAAATTAATACTCCCTGCTTTTTTTGGCTTCTTCAATTATTTAATTTAGATCATTTTCATTTCCCTTAAATAAATGTCGGTCATCACCTTATAAACTGGACCGTATCCTCCTTGCCCGAGTTTGTTTTCTATGTCAAAGTTGTTGGTAGCAACTATTATGCTATTGAAGTCAAACAAAGGCAACTCTACTGAATCTTTATCTTCTGAAGGACTTCTCCACACAAATGGTTGCGATGTGTCTGTTGAAGCGTCAGTTGGATCTGTCAAAGAAATGAGTTTGGTGTTCTTTAACATCCAAAGCAAAGATCAAAATTCAAAACAAGAGCTCGGCCATTCAGAGCAACAATAGCTATCAATGAAACTATAAATCAATAAGCTAATGGTAAAGTAGCAGCCTTTCAGTTTTTTACCTTTTATCATAACCCTTTTTTTGGCTCTCCACTTCCAGAAACTATAAATCAAGGCAGCTATGATAGCAACAGTTAAAACCGTAATGATACCGACAATGATCTTTACTTTTGTATTCTGATTACCTAAAATATAAACAAACATTAGCGATGAAACAATAAAAATTTTAATTTTCGATCGAAAAAGAAACAAAAATTAGAAAGCAAAGAAGTCGTTCAAACGTGACACTACCATCATCCAATTCTGAATGTGCAAGGCGAAGAAAAAGATCCTGGCCACCTAAGGGTAGCTCATGCATATCAACAAGGTTTCCTGCCCAAACCAAACAACCTATTCCACTTACATACGCATAACCTGAGCACGAACAGTTATTGAGGCACTGCTGATGACATTCATTTTCATCCCAAACTTTCAAGAAATCAGAAGAATCTGGAAGCCTTAATCCACCTATCTTCAAGAACACATCTGGACTTCCACCTCGTGTGTTTGTGGCACTTGTGTTTCCCCCACAACTCAATTCACTTCGCCTTACACACCCTCCACTCCAGTTCCCTTTGGTCCACTCCTCATTTGACTTTGGCACAAATCCTTTCAAGCATCTACAAGTTAGATTTGGTTCATATCTTTGGCAAACCCCAAAAGATCCACATGCACCATAAACTTCACAGGGAGTAATAGGTGCCTCCCATCTAGGATACCAGCCCCTCTGTCTTGCCCAACACAAGAACCTTAAAACTCCCATTGATGAAACCTTAAACATAGAATAACTGCAGTTCCTGAGTATACTAACATTAAGATAAGCAGTTTCTGGCTGAAGACCATCTACAAGTTGAAGTCCACTTTGATAATCAGCATCCATTTCCGGTATCCCAATAAACTTTGTCTTGTCCCAAGGCCCACTTCTCCATTGAGGTTTTGACCCTTTCCAAACAATAGCTTGTGGTGGAGTCTGAGGTGGTACATTAGCAGTGAAATCCCCAGGAGATGGATCATTCTCACTTTTCCAGGAATTGAGAGTAAGTCTGTACCCATTTGTTTCGTTGAAGGCCAACCATGTTCCAGGCAAGAGAGTATCTGTAGGATCCTGAGAGCTATCCCATAAATTATTTCCGGTTTGGCTATTCTTCAAGACAAACAGTCCATCGTCTGAAAGCAAACCAATCGAATCATTTGACGGGTTAGAAACATTGGTCGACCAGATAATGGTTTTCTGCCCATCAAGAAGCCAGAAATTGCCATCACTCCCAATTGTTAGACTTGCTGAGGAATTTGTAATTGGCTTCTCTCTATTGGCCACCCAAATAACAGTTCGAGGAGAAACCTCCTTAAACCAAATTCCCACATATTGAAAATGGGAATCATTAGGAGTAAAGAATCCCAACTCAAAAATTTGGCGAGGGGAATTAAGATTTTGGTCTGGCAAGACTGGTGTGGATGAAGTTATGTTATAAATTACAGAGCAATAAGCTAACGGCAACAAATTGAATAAGAAAACCCACAAAAATGCAACTTTAAAACACGGGTCTCTTCTAGACATCTTATTCCTAAAATGATATAACTAAAATGACATGGTGAGAATACAGAGAGAAAGAAATGATCTTAATTGATGGGAAAACTGTAGTTGCTAGTGGAGGTCAACTTTTATAGAAACAGAGGGTCTAACCAGTACAGGGAGTATAAAAGGGATACAAAGATTTCCAATGAGAATAATTGAAGAAGTGGAATAAGCCAATTGCTTCCAGGGAATGTAAGATGATCCTACCAATCAAGTGAAATAGACAAAAGCTATCAAGATTGGAGATTGGGTGGCCCAAGCTGGTACTAGTAACTTTAGGACTTCCAAAGTCCAAACAGGAGTTGGGTGCTCTGTCTCTCTCTACCACCCCAACCCCAAATGTGCACTTCTGTTGATGGTGATGCTACTCTTTGAACCCTGCTGATGAAATGTTTTTCTTCTTGTTCAAAAAACAATTACGGAACACTGATGGTTTTATTAACAAACTCTTAATATTTAAACTTACAATTACATGCCGTACAAATTTTTTTTTTTTCCTTCATCGCAACCTGCAAAGTGGTCCAAATTTTCAATTTTTAACTTATTTAAATAAATTTATAAAACAAAATAACATAAAGAAGAAAAGGCATACATTTTTCCCTTCTTTATATATAAACAAAATAAATAAAGAAGAAATGGCAATACATTTTTTCCCTTTCTTTATATATATATATATATAATATTATAGATTATATAATATTAACTATACTAATATATATACTATGATACTAATATATATAAGTATGAAATATATAATGAAACTATTACGAACTTATTTCGTCGTGAAAGAGCACGGATGATCCAGTTGACGATGAGCATATGGTTAAAGGAAGTCAACAGGGGGGATTTATTTAATTGCAAAATTTGACAAAACATTGTCTTTTACTTCCAGTAGCTATTTTATCATATAAAATAGCAAATAAACATGTATTCCGTTGACTTTGAAAGCAAACCAACTCCTCCAAGTTTTGAATTTGTGAGTGGAGCTCGGCTGGATTCCAGACTTCTCACATTTTGGTTTTTTCTTGCTATCACAGCACAACCCGTCAATCCTCTTAGATATTAGTAACATATGCATATTCTTAGGGTTTAATGATAAAAAAATCCCCAACTTTCACATTTTTATTAATTCTAGTCAATTTTTTTTTTTAATTTTATCAATTAATACCGCATATTTGTTTTCTGTATCAATTCTAACATCTATTTGTCTTCCGTCAATTTCATGTTAGTGTGGTAGTTATCTCTCACAGGTGGAATCTACAACATTCAATGTCAGCGCAAGTCATATATCCACGCATATTAAAAAAAAATTAAACTTTAAAGTTTTTATCAAATCTGACCGGTTCTTTTAATTTATCAATTAATTTCACACATTAATTAATCTCTATCAAATGATTTTGTTATACGTTATCAATTAGTATATATCTTTAAAAATAATATTTTTAAAAGACTCTCTAGTAAAATTGAATTTTAATTGATTAATCCCATTATACAATTAAGTTATATAATTAATTAATAAATTATTTAATTGAATAAATATCAATATAACAAAATGATTTGATAGAGATTAATTAGTACACTGTATTGATTGATAAAATTAAAAGAATTGACTATATTTGATAAAAACCTTAAAGTTCACGTTTTTTTTTAATATACTTGGATATATATGACTTGGTGCTGACATTGGATGTTATAAGACCCACTCGTGAGAGATAACTGCCACATTAGTATGAAATTGACAGAAAGATAAATAGAGACTGGAATTGATATAGAAAATTAAATAAGCCGTATTGATTGATAAAATTAAAAGAACTAACTATAATTGATAAAAATGTCAAAATTTTGGCTTTTTTTTTTTTTTTTTTTTTAAATTAAAAAAGAACTAACTATAATTGGATAAAAATGTCAAAATTTTGGCTTTTTTTTTTTTTTTTTTTTTTTGTCATTAGCCCTATTTTTAAGTGTCCCATACATGGATTTTTTTTTATCGAATTTTTTTTTTTTTTTTTTTTGTCATTAGCCCTATTTTAAGTGTCATAACATGGATTTTTTTTATCGAAAGCTTGATTCAAATGAGTAATAAAGATCACAACAAGAAGCAACTTGGCTTTAGCTTGTGCGCACTGATTCAAAAAGGTAGGGAGTCGGGACATTTATTTCTCATGTTCTTGTTTAAAACGAAACATCTAGAAGAAGACAAGTATAAGTCCATCTTTTAGGCGGTCAGAAAAATATGCATGTTGATTCGAGGAAAAGGCAAATGCGGGACCCAAAAATTGATAGATGATGTAAAATCGTTTGTATTAACATAGAAAGGAAGGAAGATTTCAAGAAAACTGTTGGCATTGCTGCGTTGAACGAAATCGTTGAACAGGTCAACCTTTCACATCTGCTGCTGTCAATGGGCTTTGCTTTTAATTGGTGGGCTATGCAATGCCATGAATATGAAGAAGATAAATGAAACCTCAACTTGTGTCTGATTATTTTGCAATTTGTATGACAAAGACAAAGATCATACTTCAAGAATTCCAAAATATTCTGAATAATAAAAATTTCTTTAATCCATTTTATGAAATCTTAATAATTAGATTACATTTGCAGACAAGAGAATCAAATATTAATTTCCACATAGAAAATGCAATAATAGCAGTTGTGGATAATTCGTTTTCATCATCAACAATGATCAAAATCCCAAGTTTGAAAATGCAGTTTTATATATGGAGAAAGAAAATATATAGATTTCTTTATCTCCCTTCAATTGGTGATAGAGTCCCTCATTTGTAGAACATTTATATATTTCTTCCTTCTGATACCTGTTCTTCAATGCGGTTTGGAACATAAATGGAGGTTCCTTGGGTTGTGGAAAAGTTTCTTTGCTGCTTAACATGGAAACCACTTCTGCCATACTCGGCCTTTCTGCAGCTTGGTCTTGAACACAAAGAAGACAAGTCTTTTGCTCCTGTTTCATATTTGTACTTCAAATTTGTCTTCTCTTTCCTAATTAATGAAATTTCCATTTATCTTTAAAAAAAGAAAGAGTGACACAGTGACAGGGGCGTGAATTGACAATCGTTTAAAATTGGGGCTACTTCTGCTAAATGCAATAATAATGGCTGTCAAAGTGTGAAATAATAAGAAGTTAGAGAATAATCTACAATTGGCAGGAAACATCTGGGCTTTAAATGGACTTTCTTATGCACTGTTGTGGGCACAACTTGGGCTGGTCCATTAAGCGGCATGTTAGGTGTACTTCGTTTATTTGGGCTTTATTTATTTATTTTTATTGCGGTGACATTGTTGTATTCGGCGGTCCGAAAATGCAAACGACAAATCCATCTAGTTCAACGACAGGTTAGTTCTGCAAATTCCGAATCCTATTTTAATAGATGTTTTTCCTAAGTTTCTTTCTTCTAAAGCAGTTGAGCTGAGAACTAACTTCTAATTGTTAGTTAGTTGCAACTAACCATTAAACATAAACTATCACAAGCCAAGCTTTAAATTTCTCACATGTTTATGCATAAACATATTAAAATGACCTGTGGTTGACCACATTTCTTTTGAATCTAATATTCCAACCACTCAGTATTCATTTTTCAATACACAAAAAACCAAACAGACTTTAGACAAAGATCTGTGCAATTAATGTAGATAGATAACTACATTATGTCCTGAGCAGATCAACAAACGTTGACTTGTTATTTTAAATTTTTTTCTTGGTTCCATTGATTCTGCTTCCAGAAATTAATCCAACACTGCTTGAACTCAACTCTCTGACGTTGTCTGTCCCTGATGAAATTTCTTGCTAATCCACATAAATCAATGAAAACAAATTCTTGTATAGACATAGAAGTAATTAATAATCAGTTATGCAATAAGAATATCCGTTTTTCATTCAAAATTGATTTTCAAAACCACTATACAGATGTTGCTATGTTTTTTGAATTCAATTACACAAAAAAAAAAAAAAAAAAAAAAAAAAAAAAAAAAGCATGTGGAAAAAAAAGATCAGTGCATGCTCTCTCTACCTATTCATGTAATGCACATCGGGTTGAGGATACAATTCTTACCTCTAGGAAAGATTTCGGATGTGTAAAAAAAAAAAAAAAAAAAAAAAATGCATGTGGGAAAAAGAAAAGATGCTAGTCATCTCCCTACTATCATTGTAACTGTCACATCGTTTGAGGATACAATTTCTTGACCTTCAGGAAAGATTTCGGATGTGTCTATGGAGGTTCTTGTTGAAGTGTAAGTGGGTTGCCTCGGCAATGGCAGGGTTGGACTATTGGTTTCAAGCATTAACAGCACAGCTGACATAGTTGGTCTGTGAACTGCAGAATCTTGCACACATAACATGCCTACATGTATGCATTTCAATACTTCACTTTCGTTACACGAATCTCGAATAGATAGATCAACTAGCTCCATTGTTCTATTTTCACGCCAAAGTTCCCATGCCTGAAATCAACCAAAATTAAAATTTTACTAATTGATAAAAGGAATATTAATGATATCAATTTTATTATTACAGCATAAAGTAGGCTTAACCAGAAAATGTTAAAAATTAGTGTGCTTACATAGGCAATGAGGCTGACATGAATAGTGGAACGAAAACTGGTGTTTCTCCGGCCACTCACGATTTCTAGTAGTAATACTCCAAAGCTGTAAACATCTGACTTTACTGAAAATAGGCCTTCCATTGCATACTCAGGTGACATGTAACCGCTGCAATTCATGAAATGAATATGTCATATTAAGATTCATCAAATTGTTTGCTGTGATCTAATTGTACATCATTTGATATGCAATTTGTACTTACTACGTGCCAACAACTCGGTTCGTGTTCAATTCATTTTGGTTTCCTCCAAATATTCTGGCCATGCCAAAGTCTGAAATCTTTGGATTCATTTCCTCATCCAACAAAATGTTGCTAGCCTTTAGGTCTCGATGAATGATTCTTAGCCTTGAATCTCGATGGAGATAAAGAAGACCTCTAGCGATCCCCTCAATGATATCGAATCTTGTCTTCCAGTCTAATAGAGCCTGCTTTGCAGAGTCTGCCATTGTGTTCACAATCAAATGGTAACCATTAGCTAGCTGCAAGAATACTTCTTTTGGTGTCTTCAAATGGATTTTCAATTACGCATCAAAAGGGAAAAACTTACCAAAAAGAAAGCCATCTAGACTTTTGTTTGGCATGTATTCATAAAGCAGCATCTTCTCTTCCCCCTCTATACAGCAGCCTAATAATCTAACAAGATTTCTGTGTTGTAATTTCGCAATCAATATAATTTCATTCTTGAACTCCTGTAAGCCTTGGCCGGAGATTTTTGAAAGCCTTTTTACTGCTATTTCCTCTCCTCCAGGAAGTTTACCCTGCAATGAAAGTGAAAATAGTTATTTTCAGTACTCAAACTGTGCTACTCTTAGATTCTGCCACATAATATAAATACAGTACCTTGTAGACGTGACCAAAGCCCCCCTGCCCAAGCTTGTTTTCTTCAGAAAAATTGTTCGTAGCAGCTACTACAGAATTGAAATTGTATAATGGTAGATCAGGACCGTTTACTGGGCTCCCATCAATGAAAAGGTCAGCTGGTCCAGACATCTCTGTTGAATACTCTTTGCTCTTGCTCTTATCGAAAAATGGTTTCTCGCTTTTTCTCATTAATGAAGCTGAAATAGCCGCTGGCGAAACTAAAAGAAAAAATATAGAAGTTAGTAACAAGAGATGCCTTATGAAATCTTATATCTCTGAACCAAATTTGAAAATATCACCTTTAAGTCTTCTCTGTAGCCCCCAGATTAGCAATACAAATAGTGCAACAAAGATCACTCCAGCCACAACAATTAGTGCAATCACTGCTGCAGAGAGTTTCTTGCCATCTAAAAAAATAAGCAGACAAATTAGGCCATCAATCTTGTTGCAAGAGCAAGATTACATATTGTTCTTTCTTTTTACTCATCTAAAATAAAATGAAATAAAGAAGATTAACTAGGCTACAAATTCTTTTATCATTATCAATATTATCATTATTATGAACCTAAATTTCATTTGTTCTCTTAGTTGTACACATTTAGAATAAGCAAGAATCAGATACAGTTCTAATAAATCAAAAAACAAGGAAAGAAAAAAATCATACCAAATTCAGAATCAGCCAGACGTAGGTGCATAACAATTCTAGGTATGCCAAAATCCTGAATATCAATCAAGTCCCCATTCCATATCATACATCCGATATTTTGGACTACTGCAAAGGCATTACAAGAACAGTTACTTAAACACATTTCCTGACAAGATTCCAGGGAAACGCCAGTCCTTACAACAGCAAAATCTGGCAATTTATTGCAACTTAACTCCTTAAACCCATCATTTCCACCATTAGTAGTATTCCTCTGGCACTGCAATTCAGCCGTTCTCACACACCCACCTGACCAATTGCCCTTCATCCATTCATCTGGATGCCTTGGAGAAAACCCATCCAGACATTTGCATTTGGGATTAGAAGATTCTTTACAAACCCCAAAACTTCCACAAAAGTTATAAAGCTCACAATCATTAGCAGGCTGTGTTTGCATCACATCCCACTCGTTTTTTTCTACATTCCATTTCAATTGCTCTTCATAGCCATCCCATCGTATGTGAAACCTCATCAAATCAGAACTATTAGATGGAGTATAAGTCATAAAATCCATTACAAACTTAAATCCATATCTGATATTAGCTAGGATTGTCATATTTGGCACACCCGTAAATATTTGACCATCCCAATACCCACTCCTCCATCTTCTTGTTGAATTCTTCCATATCAGTATCTGTGGTGCTCCACTAGGATCAATTCCCATGGTGAAGTTTCCCGGTGAAGGATCAGTTGCAGATTTCCATGAAGTGAAAACCCTCTGCTCTCCTGCCGAAAGACTTGCTCGAACCTTCATGTTTGGCAAGAACGTATCGGTTGGATGTTCAAAACTTTCCCAAAGTTCCTCATTGTCACTGCTAAGTTTGAGAGTACCTGAGTTTTCAAGAATTGCTACTGTGTTGTTGTTAGATATATTTTGATTACTCGACCAAATTGAATTCCCATTTCCATCTGTAATAATTAAATTTCCATCTTCACCGATTTTAAAACTCCCATTTCTATTAGAAATCGGTCTATCTCTGTTAGCAACCCAGATAACAGGCTGACCAGGAATCTTATGATACCGAATACCAACATATCGCAAAGTAGAATTTTCAGGGTTAAAGAATCCCAATTCAAAAATTTCTTCACTTGATACTAAGGTTTCACCATCTTGTATTGATTCACCGTTTTTGATTCGATCAATTGCATGGCAGAGGATAATTAAAGAGGATAAGGAATAAAAGAATGCGAAAAGAAAGCTGAGAAAGGCCATTTTCATACTAAAAATCAATAAGTAACATAAAGATGAACAAGACGACAGATATCAGCAAGAAGAAGAAGAAGAAACAGATAGTAGCAATCAAAAAAGGGAGAAGGAAGCTTCAATGGATGGCCATTGGTGGCGGTAGTGGTTTTGGTGGAAGCTGACAATAATCTTTGTGTTAGGATGACAAGTTGGACTTAAACACCTTCTCTTTTATATTATTTAACGTAAGATGCTTTAATCTAAAAGAGCATCACCAAGAACGTACCTTGATGAGGAAAAATCGTATTTCCAAGTTTGACGAATAAAAAGAAAATGGAAGGACATTATTTAATCGGTAGGTAAAGATCAAGAGATTCAACATCACATGCCATTGACTATCTTTGAGAGTTTGTGATTCAAGATTTTACAACATAATTAAATAAATATGAAATAAAAATGGAATCCGACTTCTCTGTAAATTTTGGGCCAAATAATTGATGAAAGAAAGGAAAAGCTTTGACTTTTAATTTGTAAGTTTGCAAGTTATTTTGGATGCTTTCAGTGAAGTAGTTTACTTCAGATGTGAAGGTAATTGGAAAAATGGATGCTTTCTGTTTTTATCAGGAACCTGTCCGTTGCAGTGTGCTCTGAAAATTGACATCTCCAAGTTCAACAATGACCTTGTAACTTGAGACTCGCGATTGTTTGTTCACATTTGATGAATGCGGGAGGTAGAAGTAGAAGAATGTCGTTTCGTACCAAATAGTATCTCTTTCATAATTAATGTTATTTCCCAGCAAACTTCTTTCTAAGATCTTGATATTTAGAATGATCAGAAAAATTAGTTAATAGAAATAGTTTATAGTTAAAAGGAAAATGATTTCCTTTATTTAGGAATAAATCGAACTTACAAGAAAGAGAAGATTCATACGCGGTTTTCGTTTTTCTTTTTTCTTCTTTTCATACTGAAATTATCAAGATAACAAATAATTAAGAAGTTAAATTTTTTTTAACTCTTTTTTTTTACTCTTAGAATAAATTTTTTTTAACTCTTTATTATACTACTTAAAAATAACTATAAAATACAGGTGGTATATTAAAATATCGATTCAATAATAGGCCTATTTATAAAAAGATGTGCCAATTAGAAGAAGTTTCTTCCTCAATTTTGATTGGTGTTTAAGTTAGTGGATGCGTAAATTTCTTTGTGAGCAAATAGGGAACGGCTGCGATGGCCATAGGACATCCAATTGGACGGTTTGGACTTTCTAATCAGTAATTACCCCACCCATGTGGAACCTTCAACAGTATACGCGGACGAATCGGTGAAACACAAACAAAGTTACACGTGATAAAAATTCCATTAATTGGATTAATTAATTTTAAAATTAACAATTAATTATTGCTACTTCGTACTGTCATTACTTATTAGAACCTAACGTTGGACCACTGATTAATATTGAATATTGAATATGTCGTCTGCCTTTCCATTTAGACTGTAATGGAATGTATAATGCACGCAACCAAATTAGAATTAATTAAGCTTAATTAATTAATTATGAAGGACAACATAATCTTATTTGTTCATAGCATTTCTGGTACCTTCTTCTCTTTTGTCCAAAATAAACTAAAATTATCATTTTGGATGAACAGTATTAGAGACAAGAAGCAATCAGTAAATTGACAAAAATGAATTGAAATTTGAATAAATAAAATGACAAAAGACACGGTTTCTAGCTTTTTTCAAGTCTATGGATAAAAAAGAAAGATGGCGACCACTGAATGTCAGGACTGAGGAAGAAAACAATGAAGAAGGAAGCTATTCGTGGTAGGGAGGATTCTTCTGGCAAACCAACAAAATAAGCTACAGTATGAGAAACCAAATTGTAGAATAAAAAGATAAATGGGGAAGCGGAAACAAATTGAAGAAAATGGTAGTAGAAACCAAATTGTAGAATAAAAAGATAAATGGGGAAGCGGAAACAAATTGAAGAAAATGGTAGTGCATTCTACTTGTCACTCGGTGGTTGACTCTGATATCAATTATTGAGTGGCTTGTTTCTGTTAGCTACCCATATTGGAATTAGCACAAAAATTTTTCATTTTCGTATAATTAACAGGGAGGAAAAATCCTATTTTGAAGGTGTTGGAATTACAGACCATCGACTCATGGGCTTCATCATAGAATTAACAGGGATGAAAAACCCTAATTTCCATATCATGTTTCAATAAAATCTGATAGTATCTTCTATTTCACAATGTCACAATTAGCTTTACATATAAGAGGAAGAAATACATTCTAGTTATCTACCGGGCGTCAACAACAGTTAGAGTAACGAGGTTAACAGAACACGAGGTTAACAGAACAATTTTTCAGGCTCTGTTGAGAGGAACCTGCAGAATCTAAGGCAACTTGCCTTTCAGTAAATGCTGGTTGCTTTGGTATAGGAAGATCCACGATTTCACTGTTCAGCATTGATATAACAGTTGATACAGTTGGCCTGTCTTTTGCAAATTCTTGCACACACAATAGACCTACATGTATGCATCTCGAAATTTCAGCTTGATAGCACGGATCGGACACTACTGGATCAACTAGAGCCGCATTGTTGCCTTCATTCCACAATTTCCATGCCTGCAGGAAACACAAAATTAGATGAACAAAAAGACAGCTATGAGCTGAAAGGACATACAAATCCTAGAAGGCTCAAAGCTTGCTCATTTTCATAAAAACTAGTATTTCTTCTCCCGCTTACAATCTCTAACAACAGTACTCCGAAGCTAAACATGTCCGATTTCTCTGAAAATCGTCCTCCCATTGCATATTCAGGCGACATATAGCCACTGCAAGTTATCCAGTAAAGATTTCTAAGCTCATATAAAATGATAAGATAATGGAATCGATGAAAAAAGTACTTACTATGTTCCAACAACCCTTCTAGTAACAAACCCTTCGCTAAGTATTGCTTGATCTTCATTTCCTCCAAAAAATTCCGGCCATTCCAAAGCTGAAATTTTAGATGTGGATTCTTTGATCCAACAAGAATTACTTGCGTTTCCAGAATCTATATGAATGATTCTTAGTCTAGGAAATCCTTGAAGGATAAAAGAGGAAGCCCCCGCCAAATCCATTCTGACTTATGGAAACCGTTTTCTCCAGCTAGTAATCTGTTTCTTACTCGGGTCTGGCTATACATTGCACACAACATAAAATAGTGAATAGATTAGCAGCGGTTTTTTCAATAAGCCTTAATAATCAAAATAAAGATGATATGCATAAAAATTGAATGCAAGCAATAGATCGTATCACAACAGCTTCTAACCAAAAAGAAATGCATCCAAGCTTTATTGGCAGTACCAATAGACCGATCATTTCTCTTTCCTTTCGACACACAACCCAAACAGAGCTCAACACAGATTTCGATGTGGAGTTTGATATCACCACCAGCCGTCATTCATAAATTACTTCCTAGTCCTTGTCCCTGAGGCCTCTTGACAATTTAACAGCTACTCTCGTCTATCAACCAATTTTCCTGAAAACTCATCTATTATAAATAGATATTCAATAACTAGTGAAGTCCATTAGAGAAGTGCCATTACCTTGTATACTGGACCAAAACCACCCTGTCCAAGCTTATTAGCTACATCAAAGTTTCCAGTGGCAAGGGCAAGCTTCTGTAAATTGAACACTGGTAATTCCTGGAGCTTAACTTTGTCAATGCTGTCCACTAGCATGTTTACATCCGAAAATGTTGGATGATTTTCATTGCTATTGACTAATAACATCTCCCTGTTTTTCCTCCTCCTTTCTGAGTAAGTGAGGTTGAACAAGAAAGTCAATTGCAAATCAACGGTTTCTTTTCTACAAAATTGTGAATGTAAATAGAATTCGAGTAGATTACCTTCATACTTAGCCATCGACCTCCACATAAAAAATGCAAAAATGGAAATTGTAATTACTCCTATAACCACTGCTATGCCGATAATTACGTTCAAGTTTCTGTTGTTATCTGAAAATGAAAAGAGGTAACTTGCTTAAACTTACCGACCAAATAAGGCATCAGCACAAACAGCAGATAGTATCAAGCATAACTTTATATGTATGAAAATCTAGTAGCAAGTACCAAGTTCGGAATATGCGAGGCGAATGTAAAGATCTGCCCCTCCACTAGAAAACTTCTGTATGTCTATTAAGTTTCCAGTCCAAGACATACAACCAACATCAGAAACGTAGGAATAAGCAATACAAGAACAATCATTCAAGCAATTGTCTTTACACTCTTGTTCAAGGGAAGGTGACCAGTAGGCCAAATCAGGCACTTTAACTGTCTCCAGCTTCGAAAACTCATCATGTTTTCCTGCTTCGTCGCCAGTTTTAATTCTCTCACATTGCAATAGTCTTCTCCTAACACAACCACCAGTCCAGTTTCCCCTACTCCATTCATCAGCACTTTTTGGCTCAAACCCTTTCAAGCAACTACAGACTGGTGAATTCTTTGGATTACAGACTCCAAACTCCCCACACACGCCATAAATATCACATTCATTCTCTGGACTTTGCCAATCAATTTGCCAGCTCTTCGAACTGTTAGTCCACGTTTTTTGTATCAATTTTCCTTCAGGACTCAGAACAAAGATATAAGGATGAGATTTATCTATATAAGTGAAACGTATGGAAAAATTTCCACTACTTCTATCCCCTTCAAGAAGAAAACCATCAAGAAAACCAGAAGCCATATCAGGAACCCCAATAAAGATCCGACTATTCCATTGACCACTTCTCCAATATGGACGATTGCCTTTCCAAATGAAAAATTGAGGAATTTCAAAGACATCCATACCAGCAGAAAAGCTTCCAATGGATGGATCTGAAGGGTCTTTCCAGGATGTTAGCAAAATTTTCTCGTGTTCTTTGATTGGCAGTAAGCTTCATGCTACTCAAAAATGAATCTCCTGGATGCTGGAAACTCTCCCATATGATATTTCCGTTGTTATTATCTCGCAATACTAAGTTTCCCACATCAGTAAGCTCTGCACTTGAATTATCAACTCTGGTTAAAACACTAGATGACCAAAGAACATCTCTGTTTCCATTCAAAACGACTAGATTTCCATCTTCATATATTTTCATAATCCCAGAAGAATCTTTGAGTGGCTTGTTTCTGTTAGCTATCCATATTGGAGTAGACATAGGATTTTCATAATACCATATACCCACATAGCGATTTGTGGAATTAACTGGGCTGAAAAATCCTAATTTAAAGGTTTTTCCTGGAGAGACTACAAATTCAGGATCTTTGATAAATTGAGATGATGTGACTGTATCTATTGAATAAGCACGAAAATCTATACAAAAACAGGCTAGTAAGAAAATAGCTGCTATAACTTTGCTGCTGCCAAACCCCATAACTGTTTAATTCCTTGTTTCTTGACGATAATGGAAAAAGGAGCTAACGGATCATTAAGTATGGAAATTTACTACTGTTTTCTATTAGTTCTCTGAATTGCAGTTTTTTTTTTTCTCTTTTGAAATACGATGACTCTCTTCCCGCCGGTTTACCGGTTACTTTTCTTTGGTCAGCTATAGATTTTTCTATGGGCGCAGTGATGGTTGACAATGCTGTTAGCCATTAACAATCTTTGTTCTTTTTGTTTCTTGTTTTAATTTGATTATTGTAGTGGTCAAGGATTATGTAGAGAAAACACGATTTAAAAAAAAAAGTAAAGAAAATACCAAAGTCCTTGATTTTAGGGGGTTTGACGTCGTTATTATATATATTGCAGAAAGCTAATGAAGGAAATGAATAATTTCTCTGCAAAACCTGTTTCTTTGAGATTTCTTCTTAAATTCACAGCAAATTCCCCATGGGTCCTCTCTCATTCAGTTTTAACTTGGCTCTAATAAGACTAGATATCAAATAATTTCAACTTCTTTATAATTTTAACTATACATACAATTATTGAGACAGTTCTGTCTGCATTTAACTATGCAACTGCAAGATTTGAAAATGACTAAAGAATTCGATATCAGAGTGAATCCTCATCCTTCAATTCCTTAATTACATACAGGAATAATTACAGGAATTCAGTTCTACCTACGCCGTGAGGCGAGGGCCATCAACCGGAATTGTTAACGCTTAGTACCCATTGATTCTTTGGTAAATAGATCTCTATCAACTATTCCGTAGCCCAGCGCTTGAACTTTACCTTCTCCATCTCGTCTCCGATCTCTTGAATTTCTTTTGTTCATCTCACTCTTCCGTCTTCGAGGACAAAGAAGCAAAGAACCAGATCGTTTGTTGCTAATGAAATAACGACGTCATTCAGTAATCAGATAAGATAATATTATCATTTACTTTTCGTTTCTCCGCGATGAACGAACGACCTGTCGTTTCTTAAAATACACAATCATTATTCACTTCATTTATTTATCTTTTCAATTTTATTTATTTATTTATTTTTATAAACATCTACCAACATTCTTAACCATTTTCATACTAAGAAATAAACTCCATCCAACAAAATGCATATTACAAGTAGGGAATTTTCTAGGAAAGCTATTTTGTTAAATAACTCCAAAGTGGGAAAGAGGAGAGGACATTACATATATTTTTTCCCAGTAAATAACTGTAATTTTTTTAGATGAACATTAAAAATATTTTTGTGATTGTAGAATAAATAATTTTATTTTTTTTAAAATCCAATTGAGATTCGAATTGGAATCTCAAACTCCTAGAAAAATTATTCAGGTACTTGTCCTTCCTTTTCGATGCAAACAGGTTGTTTTGTTTCTATTTTCTATTATTATAAGATTCTGGAGGGTGATGTACTTATCCTCTTGTAAGAAAACCCATCTTCATCGAAGCAACGGGCTTTTTGGACTTCTTGTCACGCTCACACTGAAAATATCGTTTTAACAAGAAGCAGCTGCTCAGCTTTATAACACCCATCTTCACAGAAATTAACAAGTCCTTTTTTGGATTTCTCTTTTTCAGACAACTTATCTCTTTCCCAATTTTTGTTTCATATACATGTAACAATTTAAATATCATCGGAATTGGAATCACTTACAATATTATATACGAACGTGGCTTTGCCCGGAAGAGTAGGAAACTTACCTATCACTATTCTGATATTTTCTGATCAGGAAAATTGTTGTAACTTGAGACTCGCAATTGTTTGTTCACATTTGACGAATGCGGAAGGTAGAAGTAGAAGAATGTCGTTTCGTACCAAATAGTATCTCTTTCATAATTAATGTTATTTCCCAGCAAACTTCTTTCTAAGATCTTGATATTTAGAATGATCAGAAAAATTAGTTAATAGAAATAGTTTATAGTTAAAAGGAAAATGATTTCCTTTATTTAGGAATAAATCGAACTTACAAGAAAGAGAAGATTCTATTACTCGGTTTTCGTTTTTCTTTTTTCTTTTTTCTTCTTTTCATACTGAAATTATCAAGATAACAAATAATTAAGAAGTTAAATTTTTTTTAACTCTTTTTTTTTACTCTTAGAATAAAATTTTTTAACTCTTTATTATACTACTAAAAATAACTATAAAATACAGGTGGTATATTAAAATATCGATTCAATAATAGGCCTATTTATAAAAAGATGTGTCAATTAGAAGAAGTTTCTTCCTCAATTTTGATTGGTGTTTAAGTTGGTTGATGCGTAAATTTCTTTGTGAGCAAATAGGGAACGGCTGCGATGGCCATAGGACTTCAAATTGGACGGTTTGGACTCTCTAATTAGTAATTACCCCAGCCATGTGGAACCTTCAACAGTATACGCGGACGAATCGGTGAAACACAAACAAAGTCACACGTGATAAAAATTCCATTAATTGGATTAATTAATTTTAAATTAACAATTAATTATTACTGCTTCGTACTGTTATTACTTATTAGAACCTAACGTTGGACCACTGATTAATATTGAATATTAAATATGTCGTCAGCCTTTCCCTTTAGACTGTAATGGAATGTACAATGCACGCAACCAAATTAGAACTAATTAAGCTTAATTAATTAATTATGAAGGACAACATAATCTTATTTGTTCATAGCATTTCTAGTACCTTCTTCTCTTTTGTCCAAAATAAACTAAAATTATCATTTTGGATGAACAGTATTAGAGACAAGAAGCAATCAGTAAATTGACAAAAATGAATTGAAATTTGAAATAAAATGACAAAAAGACACGTTCCTAAGCTGTTCAAAGCCTATGGATAAAAAAAGAAGATGGCGACCACTGAATGTAGGACTGAGAAGAAAATCAATGAAGGAAGAAAATCATCCGTGTAGGGAGGATTCTAGAAACCAAATTGTAGAATAAAAAGATAAATGGGGAAGCGGAAACAAATTGAAGAAAATGGTAGTGCATTCTACTTGTCACTCGGTGGTTGACTCTGATATCAATTATTGAGTGGCTTGTTTCTGTTAGCTACCCATATTGGAATTAGCACAAAAATTTTTCATTTTCGTGTAATTAACAGGGAGGAAAAATCCTATTTTGAAGGTGTTGGAATTTCAGACCATAGACTCATGGGCTTCATCATAGAATTAACAGGGATGAAAAACCCTAATTTCCTATATCATGTTTCACTGAAATCTGATAGTATCTTCTATTTCACAATGTCACAATTAGCTGTACATATAAGAGGAAGAAATACATTCCAGTTATCTACCGGGCGTCAATAACAGTTAGAGTCACGAGGTTAACAGAACAATTTTTCAGGCTCTGTTGAGAGGAACCTGCAGAATCTAAGGCAACTTGCCTTTCAGTAAATGCTGGTTGCTTTGGTATAGGAAGATCCACGATTTCACTGTTCAGCATTGATATAACAGTTGATACAGTTGGCCTGTCTTTTGCAAATTCTTGCACACACAATAGACCTACATGTATGCATCTCGAAATTTCAGCTTGATAGCACGGATCGGACACTACCGGATCGACTAGAGCCGCATTGTTGCCTTCATTCCACAATTTCCATGCCTGCAGGAAACACAAAATTAGATGAACAAAAAGACAGCTGCAAGTAACTTATAATATGGCCATCTATGAGCTGAAAGGACATACAAATCCTAGAAGGCTCAAAGCTTGCTCATTTTCATAAAAACTAGTATTTCTTCTCCCGCTTACAATCTCTAACAACAGTACTCCGAAGCTAAACATGTCCGATTTCTCTGAAAATCGTCCTTCCATTGCATATTCAGGCGACATATAGCCACTGCAAGTTATCCAGTAAAGATTTCTAAGCTCATATAAAATGATAAGATAATGGAATCGATGAAAAAAGTACTTACTATGTTCCAACAACCCTTCTAGTCCAACAACCCCTCTATGTTGGTCTTCGATCTTCAATTCCTCAAAAATCCGGGCCATCCCAAAGTACTGAAATTTTATCGGATTGAAGTTCTCGAATCCAACAATATCTTATGGAACGATCTTAGTCTAGAACCCCTATGAAGAAAGAGAGACCCCTCAAAATCCCTTCTACTGAGGCAAATCCGTTTCCCCTCTCCCAGTCTAGTAAATCTGTTCTTAACTCGTCGCATACATTGCACACTCCAAAAAAAATGAGAGAAAAATTAGCAGCCGTTTTTTTTCAGTAAAGCCTAGATTAATCAATTAAAGATATATGCTATATCAAAATTGAATTCAACAATAGATCGGACACAGCCTTCTGAACCAAAAAGAAATGCCAACCAAGCTTTTTAATGGCATTACTCATAGACCAGCATTTCTCTTCCTCGACCACAGCGAACCAAAGATCTCCACCAAGATTTCGATGTTGAATTTTGATATCACCAACCACTCATCCATAATCTTCTCTATCCTTGTCCTGGACGCTCTTGACAATCTTTTAACAGCTATCCTTCTCGGCTATCACTTCAATTTTCCCTAAAACTCACAATGCCAATTATAAATAGATATTCAATAACTAGTGAAGTCCATTAGAGAAGTGCCATTACCTTGTATACTGGACCAAAACCACCCTGTCCAAGCTTATTAGCTACATCAAAGTTTCCAGTGGCAAGGGCAAGCTTCTGTAAATTGAACACTGGTAATTCCTGGAGCTTAACTTTGTCAATGCTGTCCACTAGCATGTTTACATCCGAAAATGTTGGATGATTTTCATTGCTATTGACTAATAACATCTCCCTGTTTTTCCTCCTCCTTTCTGAGTAAGTGAGGTTGAACAAGAAAGTCAATTGCAAATCAACGGTTTCTTTTCTACAAAATTGTGAATGTAAATAGAATTCGAGTAGATTACCTTTATACTTAGCCATCGACCTCCACATAAAAAATGCAAAAATGGAAATTGTAATTACTCCTATAACCACTGCTATGCCGATAATTACTTTCAGGTTTCTGTCGTTATCTGAAAATGAAAAGGGGTAACTTGATTAAACTTACCGACCAATTAAGGCATCAGCACAAACAGCAGATAGTATCAAGCATAACTTTATATGTATGAAAATCTAATAGTAAGTACCAAGTTCTGAATATGCGAGGCGAATGTAAAGATCTGCCCCTCCACTTGAAAACTTCTGTATGTCTATTAAGTTTCCAGTCCAAGACATACAACCAACATCAGAAAAGTAGGAATAAGCAATACAAGAACAATTATTCAAGCAATTGTCTTTACACTCTTGTTCAAGGGAAGGTGACCAGTAGGCCAAGTCAGGCACTTTAACTGTCTCCAGCTTCGAAAACTCATCATATTTTCCTGCTTCGTCGCCAGTTATAATTCTCTCACATTGCAATAGTCTGCTCCTAACACAACCACCAGTCCAGTTTCCCCTACTCCATTCGTCAGCATTTTTTGGCTCAAACCCTTTCAAGCAACTACAGACTGGTGAATTCTCCGGATTACAGACACCAAACTCCCCACAAAAGCCATAAATATCACATTCATTCTCTGGAGTTTGCCAATCAATTTGCCAGCTCTTCGGACTGTTAGTCCACGTTTTTTGTATCAATTTTCCTTCTGGACTCAGCACAAAGATATTAGGATGAGACTTATCTATATAAGTGAAACGAAAGGAAAAATTTCCACTACTTCTATCCCCTTCAAGAAGAAAACCATCAAGATAACCAGAAGACATACCAGGAACCCCAATAAAGATCCGACGATTCCATTGCCCACTTCTCCAATATGGACGATTGCCTTTCCATATGAAAAATTGAGGAATTTCAAAGACATCGATACCAGCAGAAAAGCTTCCAATGGATGGATCTGAAGGTTCTTTCCAGGATGTTAGCAAAATTTTCTCTTGTGTTCTTTGGTTGGCAGTAAGCTTCATGCTACTCACAAATGAATCTCCTGGATGCTGGAAACTCTCCCATATGATATTTCCGTTGTTATTATCTCGCAATACCAAGTCTCCCACATCAGTAAGCTCTGCACTTGAATTATCAACTCTGGTTGAAACACTTGATGACCAAAGAACCTCTCCGTTTCCATTCAAAACTACTAGATTTCCATCTTCATATACTTTCATAATCCCAGAAGAATCATTGAGTGGCTTGTTTCTGTTAGCTATCCATATTGGAGTAAACATAGGATTTTCATAGTACCATATACCCACATAGCGATTTGTGGAATTAACTGGGCTGAAAAATCCTAATTTGAAGGTATTTCCTGGAGAGACTACAAATTCAGGATCTTTGATAAATTGAGATGATGTGATTGTATCTATTGAAGAAGCACGAAAATCTATACAAAAACAGGCTAGTAAGAAAATAGCTACTATAACTTTGCTGCTGCCAAACCCCATAACTGTTTAATTCCTTGTTTCTTGACGATAATGGAAAAAGGAACTAACGGATCATTAAGTTTGGAAATTTACTACTGTTTGCTATTAGTGCTCTGAATTGCAGTTTTTTTTTTTTTCTTCTTTTTTGAAATATGATGACTCTCTTCCCGCCGGTTCACCGGTTACTTTTCTCTGCACGGTGATGGTTGACAATGCTGTTAGACATTAACAATCTTTGTTCTTTTTGTTTTTTGTTTTAATTTGATTATTGTAGTGGTCAAGGATTAGGCAGAGAAAATACGATTTAAAAAAAAAAGTAAAGAAAATACCAAAGTCCTTGATTTTAGGTGTTTGACGTCGTTATTTTATATATTTCAGAAAGCTAACGAAGGAAATGAATAATTTCTCTGCAAAACCTGTTTCTTTTTGAGATTTCTTCTTAAATTCACAGCAAATTCCCTATGGGTCCTCTCTCATTCAGTTTTAACTTGGCTCTATCTGGATGGTAAAAATAAGACTAGATATGAAATAATTTCAACTTCTTTATAATTTTATCTATACATACAATTATTGAGACAGTTCTGTCTGCATTTGGCTTTCCTTGAAAGATTAGGCTTCCACTATCAGAAATATATGACCCGGCACCTTCTCCATCTCGTCTCCGATCTCTTGAATTTCTTTTGTTCATCTCACTCTTCCGTCTTCGAGGACAAAGAAGCAAAGAACCAGATCGTTTGTTGCTAATGAAATAACGACGTCATTCAGTAATCAGATAAGATAATATTATCATTTACTTTTCGTTTCTCCGCGATGAACGAACGACCTGTCGTTTCTTAAAATACACAATCATTATTCACTTCATTTATTTATCTTTTCAATTTTATTTATTTATTTATTTTTATAAACATCTACCAACATTCTTAACCATTTTCATACTAAGAAATAAACTCCATCCAACAAAATGCATATTACAAGTAGGGAATTTTCTAGGAAAGCTATTTTGTTAAATAACTCCAAAGTGGGAAAGAGGAGAGGACATTACATATATTTTTTCCCAGTAAATAACTGTAATTTTTTTAGATGAACATTAAAAATATTTTTGTGATTGTAGAATAAATAATTTTATTTTTTTTAAAATCCAATTGAGATTCGAATTGGAATCTCAAACTCCTAGAAAAATTATTCAGGTACTTGTCCTTCCTTTTCGATGCAAACAGGTTGTTTTGTTTCTATTTTCTATTATTATAAGATTCTGGAGGGTGATGTACTTATCCTCTTGTAAGAAAACCCATCTTCATCGAAGCAACGGGCTTTTTGGACTTCTTGTCACGCTCACACTGAAAATATCGTTTTAACAAGAAGCAGCTGCTCAGCTTTATAACACCCATCTTCACAGAAATTAACAAGTCCTTTTTTGGATTTCTCTTTTTCAGACAACTTATCTCTTTCCCAATTTTTGTTTCATATACATGTAACAATTTAAATATCATCGGAATTGGAATCACTTACAATATTATATACGAACGTGGCTTTGCCCGGAAGAGTAGGAAACTTACCTATCACTATTCTGATATTTTCTGATCAGGAAAATTTTTTATTACGTTCAAGCAAGGGATGTATCACCGTTCATCACTATCATCATCATCCATGTCATGTGTCGTTTTCAATACGAAGGTGTAAAGAAACTTGGAAAACTAAGATTTCTCTGTTGGGGGAATTTTAAATTTAAAATGGCAATTTTTTAAATATTAACTTTGTTGCTAAATTACGAAACTGATTGCCAATTTTATTGTTATGATTGAGTTGTGGTATTCAACTATATATGACAAGAAATTAATAAAATGCCAACAAGATAAGCCTTCTTTTCCTCAAGAAACCCCTTAGCAATTTCCTACCCATAAAATAATGTCATTCACAATTATCCAGTCTATATGTTAATAATTACAAATTAGAAAATTTATGAATTCTCAATGCTAATAAATAACACTTTGAATTTTAATTGACATTGAATTTTCTTTTTAAGATTTTAAAAAGAAACAAAAAAACACATCTTGGTCATCTTATTTGCTTAGTCATATCACATTAATCATCTTTAATGTTTCACAAAGATTTGAGATATGAATGATATTATTAGGATTTAATATATAATATTATTTTGAAAATTTTAATAAACAAAATTGTTTGTTGTAATGAAATTAATAGTATTTATTTTAAAATTAAAAGCTAAATGTAGCACGAAACACATTGCTTGTATAGAATATAATTGTTATATCATACATGTATGAAATGGAATTAATTAATTAATTAATTTCATAGTATACATGTCCACCACTATTTCATTGCATTTGCATAGCAAAATCTTTTCCAGTAGGTCAAAACATCAAACCGTTTATTTATTATTCTTGCTTGCACAATCACAACTTAGGATCCTTTTTTAAAAAAAAATTAATTTAAATTTATAACTTTTTACCTAAATATGGCGTTTTCGTAATAAAGATTCCTAAATAAAAAAAGAATTGGAAGTCTTATAGGAAAGGAAAGGAAAATGGTTATTGGTTGCCCACTCTATTCGTAGCTAGGTCCTTCCCATGCAACTTCGAGGAAGGACCGAATGAGAACAGTCTCGTAACGCAAATAGACACCAATTATACGCAGAGCAAAAAGCCGCTCATAACAGCCTTCCTCCTATTCTCTTACCTGTACCTTCGTTGTCATTGTGACTATCTTATACTTTTCCTTCTTTAATTTCCTTCTCACCCTTTAAATTGTTCTTATTCTCTGTCAGACCTATATATAAACCACCCTTCCTCTATTCCAATCTCAACGCATCCAATACTTCTTCTTCTTCTTCTTGATTATTACATTCAACTTTATATATTAATATACGTTAATTAGTTTTTCTTGTAAAGTAATGGCGTCCGTAAATGGTGTCGTCTTTGAAGATTTCTTTCCAGCCATGGTGGAAAAGCTAGGGGCTGATGGGTTTATGAAAGAACTGTGTAATGGGTTTCGGCTGTTGATGGATGAACAGAAAGGTGCGATCACATTTGAAAGCTTGAAGAGGAATTCTAGGTTGCTGGGATTGCAAGATATGAGCGATGATGAAGTAATGTGTATGTTAAGAGAAGGAGATTTGGATGGCGATGGTGCTTTGAATGAAATGGAATTTTGTACTCTTATGTTTAGGTTGAGTCCTGGGTTGATGATGACTTCAAGAAAATGGCTTTTAGAAGCTCTTGTCAGTGAAATGTAGGTTTTTTTTTTTAATCTTACATTATTGTTAATTAATGTTTCTTGTTCTTGGTTAGAGCCATCTTTTTGTTTTTCTTTCTTTTTCCCAGCCTATCGATTTGTAATTTCCAGCTCCATTAGTAGAAATTTGATGTCAATTCTATCTTTATATTCCAATGTTGCTTCTTTCTCTTTTATTTTTTAAATAATTTCTACAACTATATAGCTAGGTAAATATATAAATATAAATAGAATATATATAGAGAGTGAATTCATATTAATGTGGACGAGAGTCTTCAATAATTTACACTGATCAGTGATTTTGTCATTGTATAGTAAGGCTATAGCTGCAATGCATATACCATTATAAAATTGAGATGGTTTGGCTTGTTTCGAACTGTTTGATTGAATAGAAATCAAATCAAACAGTTTCAAAAATGATTTATTAATTTTCTGAGTTCGGTTCTATTATTAAGGATGGTAAGGATTTGTTAGATCATAGATCTAATGTGACTATTAAATGGATTAAGAGACAAGCTAACATAGGAACTCATTCTTTAACAAGAGTCTCCTATAGATATAGTCGTTTCTAAGAATGGGGAGGAGTTGTCCCACAAGAGTCGTTTTCTTTTTATTCTTTTTAGTGGAATGGTATTTTTCTTTAAAAAAAAAAAGTTAAACCATTTTTAAAAAATCATATAAAATTGACAATTTGGTAGCATTCCATTCAATTTAACAGTTCAAACTGTTTAATATACGTACCAAATTACCATGCAAGCCAGGTCAGATAATCTGGATCTCAGAAACTATATGGGCTGGGTTCTGTAAATAAGTTAAGTATAAGCCCATTAAACTATATGTAGCAACTCTTATTTAAAATTAGAGATTTTCAAATTTCAAAATTAATTAAACAAATTAATATGAATTGAACCGATTCTTTGATAGTATATGTATATATATTGCGCGTTAAGAATTTTCAAACACGCTATAGAAAAAAATGGCAGCAGAGATCTGCCATTTGGCTACGTATAAATCGGAACATGTCCAAAACTAATTTTATATATGCAAGTCCTTGTCCACATTTTAAAGGCTGGATATGAAAAGATAAAGAAAGCACATCCCTATCCTATAACTTATGAAGCATTAACCAGTTGACTTTTGGAGTTCAACCATGCCACAAAATTGTCATTTTAAGTAATCGGGAACCTGATTTTGCTGTTTTAGGTAGAAATGGATACACTATGTCCAATATTGTTTATTCAATTTAAATCACATGTTTAAGAAAATTAGGTCATTGATGAACAATTGAAATAATAATGATAGGTGACGACTTGATACCATTAAAAGCAAACAGTAAACTATAAGTACTGTAAAAAGGAAACGAATGAAATGAACCACACAATTGCAACTTCAGAAAGGACATTCATTTCAAGTTTTCAACCACATTGATTACATTTCTAACTACTAACAGACCGGCCACTGCCGGTAAATAAAACTGAACGAGCTTCATCTTTATTTAAAGTCAGTTAATAGTTATAGTTCTGGCTAATTTTGCCATATTCATCCAATCTTGATTTCAACTATTCAGATTAAAAATAGCTTGCTCCATTTCGAGACAATCCAATTTTTTTTCTTGCCAAGAATGTTTCAATGTCTAGCTAAGACTATAGTAGAAAAGAAAGCACTTGACTTGAGATGAAGTTAGGTCCAGTGCGTGTCTACAATCTTTACGTTTGCATTAGAAATTAAGATTTGGTGAGATGTTGTTGGGACACTCATTGCCAATAGCTAAACCTAATTTCCACCAAATAAAACATACTTGCAAGAGAAACAGCCTCTCTTGGTGTCCTGGCTTGTTCCCTGTCCACAGAATGCTAGGACCATATATAGCTTTCTCTATCCTTTAATTTTTCAACTGCTTTGACTTGAGATTATGAAGAGTTCGTCTCTGGAAATCAAACGTAAATGAAAATTCCAAGAAAATATTATTTATGACAGAATAGTTATTATAAGAGAAAAGGAGAAAATAGATATATTCTTTTTCATTTAAATATAAACAGTTACAAGTCTCTCTGCACCATGTGATAAGTTTTTATTTTTTATTTTTATTTTTTAAGCAAACGAGGTGGGCTAAAACAACGGAGACATAAAAAGAAAGAGCACACAGAAAACACAACATGGTCTTGTTCTACAAATCAAACGTTCAATCTGTCTTTCTCCTGTAGTACTCTTTCTCCTGATAACAAAAACCCAAAACCCAAAACCCAAAAAGAGAACAAAAAATGAGGAAGTGTGAACTCTGCGATTCTTTAGCAAAAATGTTCTGTGAATCAGATCAAGCAAGCCTCTGCTGGGACTGCGATGCTAAGGTTCATGGCGCTAATTTTCTTGTTGCTAAGCATTCAAGAACGCTTCTCTGCCATCTTTGTCAATCTTTCACTCCTTGGACCGCCGCTGGTCCCAAGCTAAGCCCTATTGTTTCGCTCTGCGACAACTGCGTTAAAGATTCGAGTTGCAGGGAAGAGAGAGTCAATGGAGATGATAAGGGTGGCGATGATGATGATGATGATGATGAGACTGATGAAGATGATGAGAGTGGAGATGACGAGAATGATGAAAATGGCGATGGAGGCGACGATGAAGAAGAAGAAAATCAAGTGGTTCCATTGTCTTCTACAGCAATTTCGAGTTCTAACAGTGATCAAGAAAACTTTACCAGGATTTACAATGGCCAAACGCAAGATACTTCTCAATCAGGAATTGCATTTTCTTTGAAGCGCGTTAGAGAAACTGCAGAATCTGATCTTCAGGTAATTAATTAATAAACCCATATATGTAATGATTAATTCCTGCGATGTAACATATTGTATGCTCTTTTTCTTTTTTTACTGTAATTCAACAACTTGTACTTTGCAGCAGCGCTGTGTTAGCCTTTTATCCGAGGAAAATAAAAATACAAATATGTCAACTTCAAGGCCATTGAAGGGGTATAAAACAACTCAGAACGAATTGCAGAAACCTAAAGTTGTTGAAGACAGCAAGTCGACCACTGCAGTATTTGACGTCTGCAAACTGAACAAAGAAACTGGAGTTGTGAATGGTATTTCTAGTAATAATTATATACAGAGAGCTAATTAGTTACTTTCCTCTAATTGAAAATTATTGATCTGTAATGGTAGCCAGTCTGTCTTTTTCAACCATTAATTAACCCACGAAGAAGAACACACAGTAATGTATTAATAATTTGATTTCCTTGGTGCAATTAATAGTTCTTTAATTTCTACTAGTTCTACGTATGCAATGTGTCTGTTAAGTTAAAGTTCGCATCTTTTCAGCAGCGACATTTTCCTAATATTTCAAAAATAGATAACTATGATATACAAAAATTGTGGTCAGTGTCAGAATAGAGAGAAATTCCAGGTGTTAGTCAGTGTCAAAATTGTATGGCAAGCATTTTGTCCCCAGGTGAAAGTGGGACCCCAATGTGGATACCATTCTGTGTTTGTGAGGTTGTTTTGATACAGATTGACTTAAGAAGAAAATTCTAACAGATAAGGTGTCCAAACCTTGAGATGGTGAATGGTAATGGAAATGGAATTTTCTTTAGTTTCTTTAGCAACAACCATAAGTTTTCTTGTTTTTGATTTCTGCCAAGTTTGTAGTCCAAACCAGACTCCTTTCCTTTCCTTAATATGGGTAAACTTCTCAATATAAAATCACAATTATAAATTGTTGGAAGTTGATATTCCGACACCTCCACGTGCCATGAATTAGTAATTTAATTATTATAATTTTGCAAGTTGATTATATATCATTATTAGGTGAACATTTAATTTCTGATTAATATTTTTTAAAAAAAAAAATAATTTGATAGTGTTTTTATTTTAACTTTCTCTTTGAGGTGGAAAATTGAAGGTTTGGTATGGAGAATTTTTTGTGTGGCTATAATGCATGTGTATGTACAAAGATATTATAAAGTAGCATGAAAATGGGAGATATTTTTTATTTTTTTTATATTAATCTTATGGATTCTGATATTGATAGCTGTGTGTAAGAAAGAAGCGAACCAGCCAGAAAAGGGATTATTCTTCACTATGCAAATGGGCTTTGCAACCTGAAACCATGGCCGCTTCTTGCAAATTCTTTCCGTAGGAGATAAAAGAAGATGCCAAACCCCTTTAATTTGAATATCCTTCTTTATTTCTACACATCACAAAAAGAAAAACACAAAGGCTTTAAAATATATTTTCTGTGGAAGCCTGCAGTTTAAGAATTCCCCTAGTTTTTTTTTTTTTTTTTTAAATGATATCAAAACAACTCGTAGTTTCTTCAGTTGACAGTGGACCAATGGCAGGCTGTTTCTCTCTTCTCTTAACTGCACTAATAAGATAAGGGATGATGTCTCAAAATTTTGCTGCTGACGTCCTTTCTTGTTCATCACATTCTGCTTGAATTTGAATATATTTAACTTTTAAAAATTTTATTTGATTACAATACAAATTAAAGAAAATAATTTTTTATTTTTTTCTTTAATTTTAGAACATGTAATTATTTTTTTCTAACAAATGATCTTCTTTTTAGAAATATTTAATTTTTATAATTATAATATTATACACGAGTAAAAGTATATGATTCAAAATTTTTGTAATTTCCAATATTATAATTTCTAGAACATCTGGATATAGTTTTTCGTTCTATATTTTTCTTTAACAATGTTTATTATATTTGTTTTCTTTATACATAATAAAAATTATTTCTCTAGTTTTCTTTTATAGAGAGTATTTTGGTAATTGTTTTTCAAAATCACCCCATTTTGGTAAATATATTTTCATTTATCCTATGGATCGGAAGATTCCCCAAATGTTATGATCTCCAGTCTCCAACGTCCAACCCATCAAAGCCAAAAACAAAGAAACAAGGAAATTTGAGGGATTTCAAGAACATATATTTTCATGGCGCGAAGAAAGCCCAAGAAAGGTGAGATGGCTACTCAAGGTGAATAGTTTCCCTGTATCAATACCTCAGACAAGACAAATCCTCAGCAACTATCGTAATGGCTGGCTCTAGCTCTTCAAGTTGTCCTATTCTGAAAACAGATAACACACATCGAAAACTAGCAGCAACAACAATTGAAGGGATGAATACATGTCGATATTTTTACATGACAGGCAACCCAGTAAAACAGGTTCTTATCGGACATTTTATCACAAGATACAGAAAGAAAAGCGGCTGCCTATTATATTAATGTAATATCAAGAGACCTGCAAGTGCAAGCAACACAGCAGGTGATCACCAAAACAGATGCAAGGTAGTACAGAGGTAGACATAACAAACAGTAGCTGTCTAAAATTTTCTCGTGAGGCATGACCGTTTTAAGTTACAACCATCCCGATCATTTTTCGCTTTTGACATCTCAGCATCTCCACTGTCTACTCACGAAGCTCTTTCCATATCTGCAAAACATATTTTTTGAATATTATTCACACGAGAATGTGGATAGTGGATACTGAATCAACCGTCTTATGCATATGATCAAACACGTATATGCAAGGGCATATTTGTTACTGTTGTTCACTGAGAGAGAGAAGAAATTAAATAACTTCAGAACTAGTTCATTCACGGTTTAAAAGACTTGGAAGATCACTCCTCATGGTATATACATATATTACTCTGGATGTAAGTTGATTAGCCAAAATTTGCATTTCTGTTGGAAACATGAAATTGAGCCCTGAATACAGACTTCTTAAGCTACTTTAACAATAAAAGACATCCTGTGGAGTTTTGCATGGATTCCTATGGATTTCTGCAACAACAATCCTTACAATTTGCTCTCTCTCTCTTTCTCTCCCCCATTAATGGAAGTGCCCCAGTTGGACAATGCATCCAAAAGATTTAAGATTAAAAAAAGGAAAAATGGCTGAGGAAGAAATTTATCTCATTCCAGCATATTCAGGCAGTTAAGCATGGACTTCACCATCCTTCACTAGAAATACTTTTCATCCTTCCCCAGTCCTTAGCAGAGTTTCAGTAGAAACAAGGTTAATTATCTTTGCAAATAAGTAAACATAAAAAAAGCTCTCTCCTAATATGCCAAGATATCTTAAGAAGCTTTATCCATGCACCTGGGGAACAACTCCAAACAACAGAAACATTAAATCAATTAACTGAGTACCAGAAGATAGTAACTGTTCACACTGGAGGAGAGTGGCAGTGGGACTTTATTCAGTATAAAATAGTACTTCAAGTATTCATAGGTTTTTTCACCATACAGTACCAAATATTATATTATTACTAGATTCAAAATAACACTGTTGGATTTGAATTCTACTGAGTTTAACAGGAAGGATAACTATTGAATAGCGGCATCAGTGGATGGACTACATCTCAAAAGTTGCACCCTTGAATTAAACCTTGAACATTAAAAAAAGTTTGCAAACTCAAACTCAACATCATAAAAGTTGGAATCGTAGCAAGAGCTGAAGCCATAGGGAGGTGCAAGTAGTCTAAGGCTTGAAGTTAGAACTGAAAGTTTGACAATGAACAATAGCGAGTAAAAAAGGGGAAACCATTGGCAGGGCTTGGCTCACCTCCAGCTTGAGAACTCTCAACAGTCCTCAAGCTCTCTCCTAGACTTTTGAAACATTATTAAAATAAATGCGATGGTCACCACTCCCTACAAAGGCACATAGTGGTTCAAGCTTTATTTTCTCATTTCCTCTTTCCTATTTTAATCCTGCTATCTCTATAGAGTAACCACAACAATAATTAGGAGGGGAAAAAAAAAACTTAAAAACATTCAGATCCATTGATCTTTTTTTATGCTTTTCTCACCAAAGCATCAAGACATAAATCTGTGTGTTTTATCCTCTCTTCAAAACAGGGACAAACTACAGTTTACATCAGTACCACTAATGATGGAACCACATCAACCTAAAACCTGATAAAGACCATCTTTCTCCAAACCGCTACTTCCCATTTAATGCTCATTGGGAGAATATATTGCAATAGTTAACCATGGTGTGGTATCATGGCCACGATTCGATTGGTTTTAATAAGGTGCCAACAATCTAGGCAATAACTTGATGAAATTTGAGGGCATCTAAAATAAAGATAAACAGAAAACAAAAAGCACCAAAATTGTGAATGTATAAAGCTGAATGCGTTACTTCAACAGAAATGACAGAACACTGAAATGGTTGGATCTATTTGAAACTAGCTAATGGACTTAAAACATGAAGTTGTCATCTTGTTTCTTATTACATATCAAGATATTTAGGCCAAACTAGCTGAAATAGAAGAGTCTAACAACTGTGGCAAGAAGACAAATCTCAAGAATTCAATTAGCACAAAACTTGTGAGAGAAAGTAACATCCAAATGAACCAATAAAGAGTTACTAAATTATGACAGAGCACATAATTTATCAAGAGTAGTGAATCTGGTTTATTTGTTCAAACGGGTCACATGTTAACACTGAAATGAATATTCACTTGTAAATGTATTACATAAATTCCAAAGAGTAAATTACTATATGTTCATTGTCAAAACAATTGCCAGAAGAAAGAAAGGAGCTTTGGCAAAATGAGAATCCATCGCTAAAGAACTCATGCATGTTCATTTTTAATGGCCATTAATATTGTCCTAAATATGATTTTACACCTAAAACGAAACACTATAAAGAAACAATATCAATTTAGGCATCAAGGGTAAAATAAAAGGGGATTATCATACTGGCAACACAATGCCATTGCTTGCTCATAAACACCATTCGGCTTAAAACATGGAAAATTTTAATTAGGTTATGCATTTAAAGTGACATTAAACTCAAACCTGCTTGTTTATCAGAAGCACCGTGGTGCTCCTGCTCTGCCTCCTCCACCACTGGTGGCAGCTCCCCATCCTTCTCTCCTCTCTTATATCTGCCACCTGAGCCCTCAGCACGACAACCATCATTCTCGTCAGGGAACCTCACAACAATCACAGGACAAACACAGTGATGAACACAGTAATCACTGACACTACCAAGCCTTCCTTTTGTGCTTTTCCTCAAAGCCCCAAATCCTCTGCTACCCATAATCACTGCACTCAGTCCCAGCCTTTCCACCTCCAAGCAGAGTCTTTCCTTCATGTCATGATCCTTGACTATATGAATCTTGAAGGGAATCTGCGCCTCCACCAACGGTTGAGCCAACTCATTGACTTTAGTATTGGTGAAGAGGTCAAACTCGTCCTCAATCTTTTTATTGGACTGTTCACTTTGGTTCTCGGAATCAGTTATAGATGGGTCAATAGAGCCCCAGTCGGCACCGTAAAGTATGTTCGTGGTTCGCACGTGGACAAGGATGACAGCATCTCCGTGACGGAGGTAGTTCTGGACTGCCCATTTGACGGCGTAAGCGCTCTCGTTACTAAGATCCACCGCGATGCCTATCCTCCGTTGCGCCCCAGAAGTCGGGAATCGTGGAGACGATGGTTGGACCACCACCGCTTCAGCTGCTGGGTTTTTCTTCCTTGGTGAAGGCGAAGTCATAACTGCAACTATGTTCTTTAAAAACACAAAAGACTTGAACTTCTGCTTTCGAAGATTTTACTAAAGCGTTTAGAGATTTTGGGCTCTATTCCTCCTGGGAAAGTAAACAGAAGTGTGAAAAGAATTAGAGGGGGTTTTGGTTTGGGAGTTGCAGAGATTTATGCGGAAGAGGTGAAGTAAAGAAGAGGGAAAGTGGGGCCGCGTTAAGCGTCGAGATGTCACGTATAAAAGTGTCAGTACCTATCAGCTAAATAAACGATTTTATCCTCAGTGGATATATTATTTCATATTTTTAATTTTTCCCTTTTGTTTTTTTTTTTCTTATTTTCAGTAAATTTTGTTTTTAAATGAATCAGAATAATAAAAAATTATATAATAAAAGAATCAAATACCCAATAAACCACATTATATTAACATGAAATTTTGAATTTAAAAACATAAAATTTGAAAAAAAAAACAAAAAATAATTATAATATATATAAATAATAATTTCAAAATTGGCTAATTTTGAGAAATAAAATTTCTTTGTTCCAAATGAAAATTTTGAATGCTTAAGGAGAAAAGAAATACCATCAAGTATCGATCTCCGGAAATAAAATATATTGTAATCCTTAAAATAGTAGGATATAAGGTATCTTTAATTTACTTAAAAAAAAAGTCTAATTTTGTGGATAATTCACTTATTTATAGTTGTTTCACATTCGACAGTTACATTGTAGATGTTTGCTAAATATTCTTAGTCAGCGGCTGATAATTGATGGAAGTCTTAATCAGCTACTATTAACCGATAACAATTAGTATTTATATTATTTTGAACTTCATTAACCTCGTAAAAGTAATTGCTAATAAAGTTTTTTCAAATTGATATTTTTTTATAATATTTTATTTGTAGTTATCTAAAAATAATTTTTTAAAATTTTTAATTATTATTTTATTAATATAGTACATTAAAATAAAAAATAATGTATTCATCATAAATATATATATTATACCATAATATTTAAAAACAACTGTGCCATTAACAGTTATTTTTTATATTTTAATGGAAATCACTACTAATATTTTACTAAATATAAATAATAATTAATTAACATTTATCAGCTACTGTTATAAACCACTGAATCAAGAGGAGACCTAAATAATTTATGAAATAATTGCTATTTTGGTTGAGATTATTTTGAAACCGTTGGATTTCAATCAAGTCCGCATACTATTGTGTCGGTCACACGACGGCTTGTTAAAACTTGAAACAAACGGACACACTTTGTCGTCTTTGTGATTTGTGAATACGTTTTACGTTGGCCCTTGATTTCCTAAATCAAATCTAATTTCAATCGTTCTCGCGATTTCGATTTCTAGGGTTTCAGTCTTCCCTCTCGGCCTCTGCAAACCTCCAATTCAATTCAATCCTTTCATACGAATAACTCTTTAGGGTTTCTTTTCGTCGAAGAGACAATAACATGCCCCAGAGACACTCGAAGAACAACAACGATTTAGCTTTCTTCACATACGATGAGAAGCGAAAGCTCGGATACGGGACCCAGAGGGAGAGGCTTGGTAAAGACTCTATTAAGCCCTTCGATGCCTGCTGTCTCTGCTTGAAACCATTTATCGACCCCATGTCTTGCCAGAAAGGCCACGTCTTTTGCAAAGAATGCATTCTCGAATGTCTCTTAGCTCAAAAGAAAGATATCCAAAGGTAAGTTTTTTGTGGTTCAAGTTGGACTGATTGGTTTTTCGTTTTATTTTCAACAGTGGTGTTTCAATTTCAGGTTTGATGGTTTTATTAGAGCTTGTAAAGTGAATGGCTATGTTTATGCTAATTGCGATGAGCTTAATGGATGGATGATTTATGGTTATTCAAACTCTTTGATATTTTGAATGAAATTTACTCCATAACTGTTCTGAAAAATTGGTAAACAGTTAGGTATGCAAGCTTGCAATCAGGAAGTCTACACCTGTTTGTAACATTTTGGATGTTTATTTATGATAAATTAACTCATTTAATCATGTGAACTTTCTTAGTGGAGTTGGACGTAGAGTTGCAGAATTTACCTGCAAGCATGAGTTGATTAATTTGTATATATACTATAGCACATTCTTAGAAAACAATGGTACTTGAGGAATGGCCATCATCTACCCCATACTCAACCCCCCCATCCCCCGGCTATAGTCTAGTTCAATTTTGAGACCTGGAAGTTGGAACCCAAGTTAAAACCAGTGAATTCTTTTTGGAACAAGATTTTTGTCTCTTTTTCCCCTCTCCGTCCCTTCTTAATGTCTAGTCAAACATGCGCCATTTTGTGCACTTGTGTTGAGAGGGTAGTGATGTGAAAAAAATTGGCTTGGCTTTGTATTCCATAGGGTAGATTTGGAGGGATTAGTTCCCTCTTACCTTTTTTTTTTCCTCTTTTTCATCTGAGCATATCTTGTTATCTGCATTGACAATGAGTCACACACCATTTATAGCTTAAAATTCCTTTACTTCTTTTAAGGAGCAAGTGCTTATCTTACCTGGCAGGAAGTTAGCTGCTCATGAATTACAGAAGAAGCAAGAGAAGGAAGAGGAGGAAGAGAAGCTAATGTTGCAGAAAACCAAAGAACTTGATGCATTTGACCAGCAAAACCATGGTGCAGTTCCACAATACAATGATAGAAATCAAAGCCGAGACAAGAATGGGTTCCATGGTGCAAATAGTGTGAAGGTCACATCCTACGAAGAGGAAGCACTTCGAACAATGAAAGCATTCTGGCTTCCCTCTGCTACGCCGGAAGCTTCTGTTAAAATAGAAGCCCCCTCCACAAGTACAGTCTGTCCAGAAGGCAAGGAAAAGCTTAAGATGAAAAGCCTTTTCCCCATCTACTTCACGGAAGACAAGAGTGAAAAGAAGAAATCCAGTTCTCTCGATAAGACCTATATCTGTCCTAGTTGCAAGGTTACTCTCACTAATACAATGTCTCTGGTGGCACTCAGTTCATGCGGCCATGTCTTCTGCAAGAAATGTGCTGACACATTTGTGGTGGTAGATAAAGTTTGTCTGGTCTGCAACAAGGCATGTAAGGGAAGGAATTTGGTGAACTTGGAAAAGGGTGGAACTGGCTTTGCTGGCCATGATGATAATCTTTTAGCAACAGATTTCAAGCATTTAGGTAGTGGTTCAGGATTGGGACTGGTGAGACCGGCGGCAATGAAGATTTAAAAAAATCAAAGAGAAGGGTGCTCCAGTTTCTTATTATGTTCTGATTTACAACCGCTAGCTTTCTTTCTTTTTCTTTTTTTTTTTTTTTTTTTTTTTTTTTTTTTTTTTTTTTCTCTCTTTATGTTTATTTTTATTATCCTTATTTTTCTTTTTTTATGTTTTTTTTGTCGGTGGATTGTTCTTTTTTATAATGAGGTCTTACTTCTTGTAAGTGAGTACGTACATGACATTCCATGTGAATGCACTCTGTGCTTTAGTAGAACTGAATTATTATGGCTTCGCCTGTGGATGATTAATCTTGATAATGCAATTGGATTAATGTTATGGGCTCGTGCATGATATCTTTTTGTTTTTTTTTTTTCCTAACCGGACCTCTTCTCGCTTATGTGTCTCTCTCGGCCTTGCTCGATAAGACACTTATTTTTAATTTTCTTCTATTATAACTGCGAACGAAATTTCATATGCTGTGTCTCAAAACCTTCGCATATAATAGACAAGAATAGCTTATATTCAGCGGTTGGGGTGGTTGATAATTCAGATAAGGACTACAAAATTCATACTAAAGTGGATTTTTTTCGAATAAGAAAGCTGACTCCTCGACATATACATAATCACTAGCAAGAAGAAGAGCACTCTCTCCATACAAGATCACATCAAGGCCCACCCACATCGATGGTTTCGATTTAACATATCACTCTACTGTGGTGAAGTGGGATGGTGCTTTGAACTCTTTTTTTATATATATTTCATTATAATTTATATGCGCAAACTTAAAAAACTATGGCTGTGTTTCTTGCCTCATCGCTCAAACTTGATTCCTAATTTTTCTTTAAATACAATGGCAAAGTTTGATTCCAATTGTCAACATATATACTACATTAATTAGTATCAAATAAAGCAGACGCACAATTAGAAATAATATTCATCTATCTAGCGTATTTTCATTATTCTCTTGATATTATATTTATGTGGACAAAGATTTTATCTCAATCGATGATAACTTTACTCCTTACAATTGCGTCTACTCGGTGTGGACATATAAATATTCCTCATGAAATTGTAGGGTGTCAAACCTATTTTATAATAAAAGACACCTTCAAATATTTTCTTTTTTAATAATAGCTACTCATAATGCATATAGCTCGTAATTTTATCATTCATCTCACATGATTCGCTCTACTCTCTATTTGTACTTCCATTTTATAGTTAGTTTGGACAATGTAACTGTTAAGATAAATAGTCTTTAATGAGCAACTCTCGCTCGCTCATGAGCGAACCCGCGCTAGTATTGTAGTGAGTTAGCTCAATGTGGATGACTATAAATATTCTTTTTTTTTTTTTTTTTTTCCCAACCGGACCTCTCCTGATTGTGTTTTGGGCCTTGCTGAAACAATTTTTTTTTTTTTTAAAATGGAACGAAATCCATGGTCAAATTGAAAATGCAGAATAGCTTTATGCACGTGGGGTGGTTGATAATTCAGATAAGGACTACAATTCATACAAAGTGGATTTTTATTCGGAATAAGAAGCTGATCTGATCATATCATAATCCACTAGCCAGAGAAGAGCCTCTCCACTCTCCAGCCTCCTCAAGGGCCCCACCCACCATCGATGTTTCGTATACTCTCTGCTGGTGAATGGATGTGATTGAACCCTTTAATTATTATTTTATGCGCCAACTAAAAACTTGGCTGTGCTCTGCCTCATCGCTCAACTTGATTCCTAATTTTCCTTTAATTACAAGGTAAAGTTTGATTCCAATGTCAAATACACATTAATGTTCAAATAGCAGCCGCACAATTAGAAATAATTTTCAATTCCATCTATCGTTTTCATTATTATTTGTTATTTATGGGACAAATATCAATTATGAAATTTACTTATACACTTCGTACGGTTGGGATTAAATTTCTAAAATAAAATTGAGGTAAAATTTTTAAAAAGCACTTATTTATTATAATGATGCGTAATTTAAATTTCCATCAAAAAGAATCTATTACTCTATTTTATAGTATTTGGAAATGTAACTGTTAAGAAAATTAGTCAATGAAGCAACAAATTGGTGTTGCAAACGGATAGAAGTTGGTTAGCGTCATGTGATGACATTAATATTCTTTGCCAGGTACCAAATGCTAAGGAAGCCCAATTATTGTGTTACCTATAATTGGGGGAAATGATTTAATGAAATCAATCTAACTTAATTTTGGGCAAGGAATCTGGGAATTCCAATTATACTAATTTCTGTTTAGAGATTAATTAATTTGGTAGTTAAGGATTCAAACAGTAGACCGTTAATTTAAAGAAAGCAAAGCAGCCAGTGGTAAAAATATTTGGAGCCACCGTGTCAACAGCTGTGAAATAATAATAATAATCCAAAAAGCGTTTCAAATGGGTCCCACGTCTCCATTAACTGCCCGCCAACCCCACCAAATTAACAGACACAAAATGTCACTCTCTCCTGTCTGAACGTGAAACGCGAAACTCAAAAACGCAAACACCCCTCCCAAAATATAAAAAGGCAATAATCCCATTGTTATTTGCTGCCTATCCTCTGTTTCTCTGCTAAAAAGGAAAGTGCTTTTTTTGTTTTTTTTTTTTGTTTCCAAGTGCTCAAGAAGAACAAGCGGGGACAAGTTAGGAAACCCTAGTTGGTTTTTGAGATGGCAGACTTGGAGAAACAAGTGGTGGAGGCGGAAGAAGAGGAAAGGCTGATTGAAGGAATGGCAGTGTTGGATTTTGATATGTTGTGTTCCACGGTGGCTTTGCAGACGCAAGGGAAATGGAGGAAACTGGAAACTGAAGATTTTGATGCTATGGATGCTAGTGGTGGGGAATTTGGAGGTGTTTTTAGGATGTGGGAAGGTGAAGTCCTTGGTTGCTTCGACGACCGCCGCATCGCTATTGAGTCCTTTTGGTATTTTTTTTTCTCTTTTTTTCTTCGAAATTTTCTTTTAGTGGTTAAAATTATTTCCGTTTTAATATTTTTTTTGCAAAGTTTTCTTGGCTGATTGCCTGCTAAATAATTTTCAGAACAAAAAGGGAGAAGCTGTTTAATTACTAGAGCAAGTACTTGTTTTTCCTCTAAATTCTTGTCACATATGGTCTAAATTTGCTTAATTGGAAAAGCAAGTTAAACGGAAGATTGAAATTTCATCATGGCAACTTTAAATCTCTGTTTCTGTCAAATTTTTTTCTTATCTTTGCAATTTTTCAAATTCCTGGAATTAACTGTGGTTTTGCTTTTGCAGTTGTCCATGCTACAGATTTGGGAAAAACATGACACGAGCTGGTTTTGGTTCTTGTTTTCTTCAGGTAAATTTTGCAATTCGATATTCAATAATTGTTTTTGGAAATTTGACTAAAATTTTGTGTTATAAGAATTAAGGATGGTGAAGTTTGACTTTTGTTCTCACCAGCTATTAACCTTACCTGGCAACTCTGTCTCTTTCAACTTCAAAATGATGCTGTTTGAAGGGAAATACTAAGAACTGTTATATGATTTTGCAGGGAACTGTATATTACGTTCTTGCTCTTACTGCCCTTCTTAACTTCATTGCATTCATAGTCACCAAGCGGCAATGCTTTCTTTATTTGGCAGCAGCATTTACTATTTCAATAGGAATGTATTTGGGTTTCTTCCGCACGCAGATGAGAAAGAAATTTAATATTAGGGTGAGAAATTTTGTCTCGTTTTCTTTAATTGTTTGCTGATCTGATTGTCTAGTTTAGATGTATGGTTATATTTGTGATTTGCCAAGATTCATCTTTTGAAATTCTTTCCTTGTTTGTGTCCTTAAAAGAAATGGATTTATCTTTTTGCATTATCTCTTCTTGTATTTACCTCCAGATTCAGTTTTGTGTTTTGACGTGTAACTGCTAGTGTCTTTTGTAGCTCACGTCAAATTCTTTCCGCATTTATATCAGAACCTTATGATTAGCGGTTCAATGTTTGTCAATGGCTATGTTTGTTTCAAAATTCAAAAAACTTTCAGGGTGCTGCTCTTTATTGAGATTTCGTTTTGATTATATTATTTGAACCATTTCTTTTTTAGTTCTGCTCCTCCTAACAGCTTTTGAAGTATGTCTAATTGTGGTAGCATTTTGACTTTTTCAATGCTTTTCCTTTCTGTGTGATGAAGCGCTCGCAGTGCTTGGATTTCTTTTTATCAGTTGCAATCTCTTCTGCAGTTAGATTAATAATGACACCTAATGTTTTGTTGGGAATATTTGATTTTCAGGATGGTGATAGTTCCTTGGATGATTTCATCTGTCACCTTTCCTGCCCCTGCTGTGCATTATCCCAGGTCTTTTTCCCCTTTCCTTAGTCTTATATATAATGCACAATCACTCCACATACCTGAAACCTGATTATTAGCATTCTTCTAATATGGAACAGGAGTCCAGAACATTGGAGATGAACAATGTCCAAGACGGCAACTGGCACGGTCGGGGTGACACATTATGCATAAGTGGCTTTAGTGAAGGAAACAAAACAAATTTAGAATTGCACCCGCCTTCTATCGTCTCAACCAAGTCTCCTGCTATCTGTAACATGCAAAACAGTTGAGATGTCGGTTACCACTCTTGAGCTTGGAAAGTTTGGACTTTTAGAAACATTAGTCCTCAATCCCAATTAATGCCAAGCCACATTTATTTGATGTTGGCTTTCAACTGAGTTCCTGAAGACACGGATGAATTGCAGGCCGGTCTACAAACTTAACGATTAAATGGAAGCATCGAGTTTTTGCTGCTTATACACAAGGTCAGTGCTTTCTGAATCAAGAAACTGACCTGGTCTGAAGTATATGATAAGGAAGATATTGCAGTCTATATCCCACTTGGGAATTGTATTTACACAAGTGTAACCTTGTTGAGGCTTGTACTCTTAAATTTAGATGTCAATGGTGAAAATTTATTGTCATTATTGTTACACACATACACATTTCTGTGGGATCTGCAAATGGCACTTTTAGCTCAGTTAGTTGATTTATGGAGTGTCAATTAGCTTTTACTGGGTTTGTTTTAATCAAATTGTGTACCATTTATGGTTTAATGAAATCTCTCAAATGCAAGAATCCTTGAAATGGTTTATCTGATTACATTAAACCTTTGGGGTTAACTGGGATGCAACTTCAGGGAAGACGTACCTTCCGTCAGTTACCCAGCTTGTGGGTTAAATCATGAAGGGAAGCCAGTTGGCCAGATGCTAACTCTGCCAACTTGCCCAGAGAGAATGAAGAGATGGGCTCAGGTTTTTAGTTTTGTTTGAAACATTTAACATATCAAAAAGAAGTCTTGGACTGGGCCTTGTAGACAGACGAGTTTATGTTCCATTTTTTTTTTTCTTTTTCTTTAAAAACATTTTATAGAAGGTTCAAATGAAAAACAAAAAGAAAAAAAGAGACAGAGCAGAGCAGTTAGAGATTCCTTACTACAAAATAGAATTTGTTGTTTAATTATGGAAATGATTTACAAGTCCACTATCTACTGATAATTAATTACTCCTACATGAGTTTCCTGTCCAGTGTCCAGTGTCCTGGGTCCCCTCTTTCTTCGAGAATCCATATACGCGTTTTGACATTCTTGTGGTTTAACCCTAGCATGTGGCTTGACAACTACGTTCTTCCTCGTTTTCTTTCTTGTCAACTGTCAACCAAAGTACAAGAGATCTTAAAACATTCAACCAAAGATTCGTTGAAAGTGATCCGAAAATGGCTCCATTCGTAAACATTTGAGCCAGTAATCAAATTCCAGTTGATTCTCGATTACATGGTAACAGAAAAAATTTGAGAAATTTATCTTTCTTATTTATGTGTTTTTCAGTCTTAATATGAATAATTTATTCTAAATAAATTCATAAGTGGCGGTTTAAATCAACTTTTTTTTTTTTCCCATTTAGTTTTTCCTTTTCATTGTGCACTTAATTTATAAATGTTCAGTTCATTAAATTTTACTGTCATGTTTCATAATACATGTCACATTTAGAATTTCACGTTTTTTAAGAAAATTATTAAATTTATCTAAGTTACAATAAATTATTGAGTAAATTCACTATATTATCTTTAATTTAATACTAAATTTTTAAGAAAATCATTAAATTGAAATAATAATTATTGGTCATATACAAATAAAAAATATGTAAAAAAACATTTCTTACTCCCTAAAACTACAAATGTGACAAGTATTATGAAACGAAGGTAGTAGATGAAACTCGTTTCATTTTCCATCAATTTTTCTACCAATACAATATATTACCTCTATTCCTAAATACTTATCTTATTTGAGAATATTATATTTCAAAATACTTGTAACATTTGTAATTTTTAAGAAGTAATAATTTTGTTTACATGTTTACTCTTTGTATATGACCAATAATTATTGTTTCAATTCCTAGCGTTGGATATATTAAATTAAAGCTGTATAATTAATTTATTTAATAATTTATTGTAATTTATACAAATTTAATTTTTTTTAAGATATGTGAAATTTGAAATATAAGAGGTAGTAACCTTAGTCAACCAAATTAAATTATGATTATGAGCATGTGAGTAATCGCTTTAATTAATTGTCGTTTGTAAATCATTCTGAAAACGGTTCAATGTTTTATTATAAACTCCGAGTCGCCAAATCTGAATGGGTGGAAAGATTGCAAAACGCACTATTGTGATTGAATATTTTTAGAAAAAGTTAATTCATTTTTTATAATACTTGTCGTTTTATCACAATACTAAAAAAATAATATATTTTTATTTATTAGAAAACTAAAAAAAAAAAAAAAAAAGAAAATGTTAGATATTGCCTCTAGGCTTCTAATTAACTTCCAATACCTTTCCATTATTCAAAGAATTTGACCTAGATAGGGTAGCAGGTTTACGAGCCATTTTCGTCAAAAATCCTGACAAGAAAATCAAAACTTGAAACTAAAACTTTCAATCCTAGTGTAAATGTAAACATGAAACAACTAACTGAACATTTTCTTTAGACAAAATGTCAACCGTACGTAACTTTGTTTTGATATTGAATATTTTTTTTAATTAAATTACAACTAAACACTATTTATTTATTACTCTTTTTCTTTCTTGATTTCAATAGAATCGATCACTCGATCTTTTACTTGAGAGATCTGAATCATTTTCACTTAAATCAAATGCGATATTAACAGAAAGTGAGAGCCACAAATCGTCCTATTGTACAAGTGCAGTGGATGTCTTATAAATCAATTAATTAAACAGTAATTAATTAATAATTATGCTAGATTGAATGCAAGTATATGTATATCCTGATGACATCATGATCCTGTGATCGAACACGAGGCAAGACCATGACTTGGAAGATCATTATGGGATTTTATACAAGTCAATATCTAATTAATTGTTAGTGTAATGCAAGTTGAGTTGAAATTTTGGTTTTTTTTTTTTTTTTTTTTTTATTATTTCTTATTACCTATTTTATACTGTCCTATGATTTTCGAAGTAGAACTCTCATCACTCTCGAGTCCTTTCTCTTCAGCTTAGAGACGTGATCCCTCGCATTTCTCTCACTTAAGATCAAATTGACTCTCGGTGATCTATTACCACAGGGATAATTGAGAGCCCACAAAATCGTCTAATTGCTCATTCAAGTTGCTAGTGTGCAATGTACCTTATAATCAAATTAACTTTAACAGTCTCTCATTTAAATAGATTATTGCTCGAATTCGAATGCAAATTATTTATATGATATAATTAAATTACCTGTTTGACAACTGCATTGATTTCTTGTGATTCGATATCTAACGAATGGTCGAAATTAGACCTTATACTTGGAAGATACATTATGGATTTTATACAATTGTCACCACTATACTAATTATATGTTAGATGTAATGCAAGTTGAGTTGAAATTTTGTTTTTTTTTTTTTTTTTTTTTTCCTTATCATTATTTAATTGTAATTATTTTGTTGTCATATCAATATGTTGTCATTCTTTTTTTTTTTTTTTTTTTTTTTCCTTATCATTATTTATTTAATTATTTTGTGTCATATCAATATGTTGTCATTGTTAAAGCATCATTTGAATGTTAATCACGATTCATATTAACTTGTTGGTGTCTTTCACCAGTGTTCTTCCACACGGTCGGCTGAATTTCAACTTTGTTGCTACTGTCTAACAATTAATAATTACATAATGCAAGCACCAAGTGAGCTTTTGCTAATAATTATTTTATTTTATTACAGAAACAGAATGCATGGATCTGAGGTGGAAACTTCCTGTTCCTTCCTTCTAATTTGCAAGAATGCAGTCTACCTTTGCTGTTTTTCTCCCTGCACTAGATTGAATTTTCGGAGATTTTTGAAATCCAAAGAGTTGAAGTTGTGTCTTTTAAATTATTTTTAATTGTTTTCTTAAACTAATTTGAGTATGAAGTTTAATGTAATTTGTCTTTATAAATTATTATTTTCTATTTTCTTTGAAATTTTTATAAACAACTTTGTTAATTAGAAACTTCGTTTGAGTTATTACATATATTCTTTTTCTCCTAATCTATTCCTAAGTAGTCCTAAAATACTTGGTCAAATACTTAAATTAGGTTTCTTGTTCACCACTTCATAACATTACATTCCAATTTCATTGCATGTTCTTCAATTGCATGTATGTCTCTCCTAATTTTATAATCAGCCCAAAAAGTTGGAAAAATTAGATTTTTTTGGGACTGAAATTATTTTATAATTAATTAATTAATTAATGTGAACACCGTTGAATTAAATGGAGTTTCTAGATTAACAATTTAATAAGTGGACTTTGAATGTAGTCAAAATTAAGCTCTCTTGTCTCTTAGGAAGATTAACATATGTTACTTGGGGAACATATATCCTATGTTCTTACAAATGCACAGATGCATGAACTTCAGTTCTGCTTGAACTTCAGATGCATGAACATATAATATGAAATTTGTTTATATATATATATATATATATTGTTCTAGAGACAATTAGATAAATTGTTCAGTATGTTAAATTTAATAACTCTATTCTGAAAGGTGTGTTTGGTAAGGTTCATATCGCTCTTTCTAATATGGGCTACATATAAACTAGTAGAGTGAAGAATAGTATTCTGTTTTATGAAATACTTATTTTATTCATTAGTTTCCACTTTGCAAATCAAACAAGGCCCTAAATGTTAAAAAGCTTAACTAAATATTTTTCTTAATTTCCAGAAAAGGATGTATAGATGATAAAAAATGATTAGCTATCAAGGAATTTAGTTTTGATTTAGTGATATTTCTTGTACAAGAATATAATTTGTAAGATGAAAAGTTTAAATATCATGGAAAATTTAATTAATTTGGTCGGATAATATATCTAGCTTTAAACAAATTTGACAAGGACGAAACTAAAATTTAAAGATAAAGAGAGCAAATTATTAAATATGAATATAAAGAGGTTCAAACGGTAAACGTGGAGACTTAAAATTATAGAAGTCCTTTATTTGAGATTAAACTTATTACAGAAAATTATTATTATTTTCTCCATGATAATTTTCCTCGTTAATTTATAGGATTGACTTGTCTATATTTAAATATGGATAAAATTGATAAAAAAAAAATAATTTATTGAAACCGAGGGTATTTTTTACCCTATGTTTTAAAATAAAATCATTACTTTATTGTTAATGGATGACTTTTTTTAGCTCAACCTTTCTTCTCTTATCCGGTCTTTCTTAATTAACCATCATTGAAACATATGATATATAACTATAAATGTCTCATCAAATTTGGATAGTGTGTTTGTAGCTAATAATGAGAAAGATGAGTGCTGTATTCTATGACAAAAGGCCTCTGAGGAAAGGCATATGGAGTATCGAGGAAGATGAGAAATTGGTAGCTTATATTAAAAGATTTGGTATTTGGAACTGGAACGAAATGCCCAAAGCTGCTGGTGAGAATTAACTACCTAATTGTATCTAAATCTTTCTTCTAGATATATTGATGAAGTAATTTAATTAAAAAGCCCTTGGTTAATTTTGTTTGCTTGGTTATATATTCATTTAGGGTTAGCAAGATCAGGGAAGAGTTGCAGACTTCGCTGGATGAATTACCTAAGGCCAAATATAAAGCATGGGAACTTCAGCAAGGAAGAAGAAGACACCATTTTCAAGCTCCACAAAACCCTTGGGAATAGGTAATTACTGATCGATCTTATATGAAGATTGGAGTTCTTTCTTTCTTTCTTTCTTTCTTTCTTTATTTCTTTCCCTTTCTCTAACAAAGAAAAGAATAAATCTTGACTTTTATTTCACATGAATAGCAAAGATAGAGCATAGTTTAACAAATTGAAGAACAACGTAATAGAAATAGATGACTAATACAACAAATAATTACCTTCCTTCAGAAATGTTCAACTGTTAGGTTTTTTAAAAGCCAGAAACCTTCAAATGAAGGAGAAGATATGTAAAGACTCAATAGAAGATCATTAGGTCAACAATTATTTTTCTTTACAGCGTAAATGATTTTAGTACCTATGTCCTATGATTTACTTATTAGCATGTTTCCACAAAATAATCTACATACTAATTAGTTTCTTTGAAAAATCCGCTATTTAAATGCTCTATAAAAAAGTTGTTGCAGCTGATTGAATCGTGAACATTTGGTGAGATCTTAGTCCACTGTTTGTTATTATAATTATAGTAGATGGTGTTTTTATTGTTACAGATGGTCTGCAATTGCAGCCGAATTACCTGGAAGAACAGACAATGGCATAAAGAATTACTGGAACAGCTATTTAAGGAAACGCTTGATCAACAACACAGCAACTGATCAATTTCAAACCCATGGACCAAAACCCAAGAAGAGGATCAAGTACTTTTCTGATCACAATTACTCATCAGCAGCTTGTACAATTAATCGAAAACCACTGGTTGCAGATTTAGAAAGCTCTAATAAGGAGAACACAAATTCATCATCAAGCTCTATTCAGCTTGTCAGTGAAGTTGATACAACGAAGGCTTTAGTATCTGATAATGACTATTCTCTTCCGGCTACAGAAGAGAATAGGATTGAATTATGTGGAGAACTCCAAACTTTATGTACAGAGGAAGGTTATCAGATTTGGCATGAAGAGGCTACTTATAATTATCATCTGAATGATTTACTTGAAAATCCTCATTTCTGGTTTGAGGATTTTCAAATTTCTGAAGAAATTCAATATTTGTTGGATCAACCATATTGTTCAATGGAAGGTTTTGGCGTTTGGTGGTAATAAATAAGGATTTGCGAGTGAGTTTCCATGCAAAGCATTTCATCTATAATAGTTAGTCATTGTGTTTCTTTCGCCTTTTGCGATGCTTTGCGATCGATCCAGTTAGTCTCCCTCCTATAGATATGATGAATAAGTGTACCTCTACATATTTTCGTCTCAATAAAAGTTTAATGTCTTTAGCTATGATCAATTAGTGTACTTGCTATTACGGTATATTATCATACTTTAATAAATTTATTACATGAATTCATTACATTTTGTCTATTTAAACTTACATTTCTTATGGTTCATCATTAAAGCGTCAAACCTTTTTTTTCTTTTCACTTTAAGAAATTTGTTTATGATAAAAGTAAAATTTATGAGAAATTAATTTGGTTTCCATTGTTTATAAATTATTAAAAATATTGCGCTTTCTAATAGATAAATTGGAAAAAATTTAGAAGCATGTAGATAACTTTTCCTTTACATATATTTTTAGTCCTTCTGTTTAAAATAACATAAATTTTTAATATTTTTCAACTGCCATTAACAAATTTCTCATAATTTTACTCTTATAGTTAATAAAGTCCTCAATATCACAAAAAAAATTTTAAGGTTTAATGCGAACAAATAAAAATCAATGAGAAAAAAAAATACTTTTCTTCATACATATATTTATAATAAAAATTGTTTACTCACTTCGGGTGTTATTCATGTATAATCGAGGGGATACATTTGATAAATTGTTGTGCCCAAACAAGCAAAAGGAGAAATAAAATTTTGTGTCGAAAATTCTTCCTACATGTTCAGTCTGGTAACCGCATGCACAGCTTGCACCGCCAACCGAACAACAGTCCGTAGGTACTATTTTTTTTTAATTGCTTCAGTTAATTATAGCTATATACATAACATGAGCCTTAATTAACCTTATTATAGGAAAAATTGAATGCCGTACGTTATTAAATCATTTGGAAATTAATTAATAAAAGATTTGTTCTTTTTGGAGAGAAAGAATAACTATTGTTACTTCCTACTACTGCCTCCTTCCCTTAATTAATCTTAAATAATTGTCATACGCCGTCACTTCAACTTCGTACACAAAGTTTGATTTTTATTATTCACATTTCAAACATGCAATTAGAATTTACAATTATTATTATTATTATTATTTGCATTTGGTGAAGGAAACTTCCTGAAATCAAAGGTTAAGGTCAAGATTTTATTCGCGGTACGATATTACATTATACTGATAAATAGATTATATATAATATGACTGTTTGTAGTCTATAATTTTGAACAGTTAGTTTAAACTAAACTAATTAGATTATAATTAATCAGAAGCTATCATCTCCTTAATTCCCATTTGGTCTGATAAAACCAAACCGAGGTCTACATGCAACATGTCTCTTTCGAATTCAGCTACATACCAACAAAGAAACCCTTAAAATAATAATTCAGACAGTCAATCTTCAACTTCATGCATGCATCAAAACGTCTTAAACCTAATATATATACTTAAAATAATAATTCAGACAGTCAAATCTTCAACTTCATCATGCATCAAAACGTCTTAAACTAATATATATAATTAGTATAATAATATTTATAATATATATATATATATTATAAATAATATAATATAGTATATATATCATATATATAGTATAGGTATAATATATGTATATGTTTAATTCAGAATGCTGTTATTTTGCTAATTGAACTGTAAATTCCATATGTCCCCAACGTGTTCACAATATATCATCAAATTTTCTTACCCGAGCTATTTCATATATAAGCGCTCAACACAGAAAACACAATATATATGTATATATTTCATAAATCAGAATCTGTTAATTTGCTAATTGACTTAAATTCATATGTCAACGGTGTTCACAATATAATCAAATTTCTTCCGAGCATTTCATATAAAGGTCAACACAGAAAACAAAAGGAAAATAAAATTTTATCGTTCACTTTTTAAATGGTAAAACCACAAATATATAACACTAATACCGTTGACATTTCGCATTTTACAAATCGCTAGTCAACTATTTACTGATAATAAATTAGTCATTGTGTTTGTGAAATAAACTGAGTTTCCTGTCCAGTGTCCCACACGGGAGAATATATACACACGTTTTGAAAAATTTTTTTTTTTTTTGACCATTTTTTTGTGGTCTCAGCCTCGTGGCTTCATGACTAATTCTTCCAGTATTCTTTCTGTCAACTGTCAACATAAAAATATTAAACTAAAAAGTGTTAATCTTTGATTATAATTATTCTAATTAATTATAATTATGTAATTAATCTTTGATTTAAACTTTGCTTTTCTTAGTGCATTTTTTATTTATTTTTTATCAAATTCAATTCTAGATAAATTTGACTCATTTGCCATCACCTTTTCCACCAATAGCATAGAGCTTTGAACTATATATAGTCAAACAAATCAAAATTACATGTGATTAATAGCTTCAATTGTCCTTTGCAGTGAAAATCACACATTCTTAAATATTTAATAAAACCTCCAAGTTGCCAAATCTGAATGAGAGGAAAGTTTCAAAACGCATTGAAGCCTGTCTTTTTCGCTTGCTTAGGTATAATCTTAATTAATCCACTAATTGGTGTAGTTATTAGTACAAATACATGTTTTTGGAGTCGTTGATTGTGATTGAATGGTGTTCAACATCGCTAATAATATTCAAACTTATCAGTACTTTGGTGGTATTATCTACATTTTTAACGACAGTTATACCCAACTTGTTAATAACTATATCCATTTGATGATGATGTCCAACTTTATTTTAATATAAAAACACAACATTCTTTGTATAAATGAATTATTATTAGACTTTTTATATAAAAATATAAAAATATATTGATCTGTATCTCATATCTGTATACGATTACCTTTTAATAAGATTTCTAGTTTTATTTTTCTAAAAAAAAAAAAAGAAAAACAAAGAATTAGTTTAAAATATTTCAAATTAGTAAAATGAAGTATAATTTTGGTATAGAGATAATATAAAATACAGCTGCCTATATTGCTGATATAAACAAAATGAAGTCATCAGCCAAGTGGCCATCTTTTTTAAATACATATCATCTGCACATGCTGCAAATAAGGCGTTAAATTATATATTCTGTCGTTGTAACAAGGAAATGGAAAATTGCTAATGCCAAGAACAATATATGGTTATATAAAAAAAGCTTATTATAACATACTCCATCCCTCTCGTTCAATAATATAATGTACTCATATTGTATCATTGAATTGCCAATTTTCATTAAAAAAAAAAAAGAAAATAATTCAAATCATCCTAATAATCTGAAATTAAAGCTTCCATGATTTGCATCCATCTAGCTATCTTCATCTACAGAAAGTGAAAAAAATTAACTCTATCGTGGCTTAGCGACTATTCTTTTGCAAATCTTCCTTGTCAACCAAGCATAAAAAGATTAAAATAATAATTATAGAAAAAAAAAAAAAAAAACAAAAAGGAAGACTGAGTAATCGTGTCCCTACATCATCAAATTTTGAAATTATTCCTCAGAAATGTAATTATTAGTAAAATATTGTTCCCTCTGGAGCCCTAATTTGAATTTAATAGTTGAGGTAATAATAAAAAAAATAGTTAACGCGTCTCAAGTGAGGGAACATATCATATCTGAACACATATAAATAGGTTAAGAGTGTACTAGTGTTTTGGAATTGATTTAGCATAGATACATGCTTATCAAAACAAAAAGTAACTATCATACATAGGTTTATACTACGATGCTGGTGATCATGGAGAAGAGAGAACAGCGATTGAAAAAAGGAACATGGAGTCCTGAAGAAGATCGAAAGTTAGTAGCTTATATTAACAGATATGGCATTTGGAATTGGAATGAAATGCCAAAAGCTGCTGGTGAGAATCCAGTTCTAATAATTGATTAATCAAAATGAAACTGTAATCAATTTGGTGGAGTTCAATTATGCAGTTATGTTAATTAGATTAGTAGAAGCTTAATAAATAGCTTCTTTTTTACTTTTTCTCTTGTTTAATTTTAGGTTTGTCAAGGTCAGGGAAGAGTTGCAGGCTTCGCTGGATGAATTACTTAAGACCTGATATAAAGAGAGGAAATTTCAGTAAGGAAGAAGATGAAACCATACTCACTCTTCATGAAATGCTAGGAAATAGGTAAGTAATGTTTATTTCTAAAAGTCAACTATTTGCCTTATGTTCTAGACTGGAACATTGTTGGATAACGTAAGCAATTCATTACCAAACCTAAGCAAATTTTGTGAATAAAGGGATTTAATTTTAGATATTATATGAAGAGCTTCTTGTTCTTTTCTTCACTTCTGTAACTAAGAAAAGTGATAAATTAGTTCTCACTGACGATTGATGACGTTTGTTGTACTGTGTTATTTCAGTTGGTCTGCCATTGCAAAGAAAATGCCTGGTAGAACAGATAATGAAATAAAAAATCACTGGCACACTCTTTTAAAGAAACGCTTGAGAAACAATTATAGTGTGCAGAAATCTGAAGCAGATCCCAAACACCAAAATTATTCTGAAAATGCATCAAACTCATCATCATCATCATTAACACCATCAGCTTCTGACATAACTTCATCATCAAGCTCCATTAATCTTGAAGAGAATAATAATAGTCTTCTCTCTGAATATTCAATGGAACTAGTTCAGGATAATGGGTTGATGAATACAGATCAGATGTGGCTTCAAGATTCTTCTATCCATGGTTGTGAAGGAACTGAATATTCTCTTGTGCGGACTGATAATGACCTGCAAATTATGGAGCAGGAGAATTTTTCCTTATCAGGAGAATTCCTGCAATTATTTGATCCAATGGAAGTCATGGAGGATGATTGGGTAACAAATCCGATGTGGATTGAAAGGTCTGCTTATTCATACAATTCCGATATTATTGAGCCTGAAAATAATTTCTGGGATTATTCTCCTCTGTGGCAATAATATTTGTCTGTCTCAGTTATCATCATGTTATGTTATATCTTTGATAAGTCAGCCAACATAAATATTTTTTTGGGTGGTTGGATCTAAATGAAATAGTAGAAAATATACTTTATGTTGAAAACTCTGAACGTTTCGGCTTCTATTCTATTACAGAAAATAGTTTTTTAGTGCCGAAAGAAAAAGCTTTGTAAACCATTGATGAGTTTCAGGTTCATCATCAGTTATACTAAACGAGTGTTATTATAATATGCATCTGAGTGAGTTCTTTCTTTAAGTTTTTAAGTTTTTTTAAAACACAAAAACATACAGCTATGCTCCACATTTGACTTATTATTGCATATACATTATATTAGTATTTGGGGAAAATAGAGAAAATTTAAACAAAGACCTAGACGAAGACCTGCATGGGAGTGCAGCTATTTTTAATTTAAATACAACTCAGCATTTCTTAAAATAAAAATCATAAAGTAAGAATTGTGTCTTACCTTAGAAAATTTTTTACTTTCAAAAATTTTTTACTTAACTATGTATTGATTATAATATATAATATTTCAAGGGAGTAGCTTAAACGGTAAACTATAATCAATAAGTGAAAAAGTACTTGGAGGGCAGAATTTAACAAACCTAGCGAGAAAATAACGATATGCATGTCGTTTATATAACAGATCATATCATATCGATTGGGCCTATGCCCATTTATCCCATGTCGTTCAATAAATTGGACCGGACTGTAACGAGACTGTTCCCTTTTTTAGTAACGAACTTCTAGTTTAAGTCTATTTCTAATGACAGAACGTCTACTATGGGCTCAGGCCCATTCCTTCGCAACCGCATCAAAATTGAAATTTATATGTATTTAAAATATAGATTATAAATTGAAATCAGATTTAATTAGGTTGGTGACAATTAAAAAGGTGGGGCCAAATTAATTTTTGTTTTGTTTTTTTTTTTTTTTTTTTTTTTTTTTTTTTTTTTTTTTTTTTTTTTTTTAATGAAATTTAGTATGTATTATAAAGATATAGGATGTGATAGGAATTGGAAAATACAAGAATTTTAAATTAGGTTGGTGACAATGTAATAAGGCGGTGGGTGCTTAGAAATTAATTTTTGTTTGTTTTTTTTTTTTTTTTTTTTTTTTTTTTTTTTTTTTTTTTTTTTTATTTTTGATTTGGAAAGGTTTCAATAGTCAACTCACTTCCTTCGCAGACAAGAAGTTCACAAAGGGGCTCTACTTCTTCGCCATCTCGGTTTGTTTGAATGAGCTAAGTAAAAATTTCCTCACCTCACTCATGCCTCATCATTGTCAAAACCATGACGCCTGGCACAAAACCAAGAACCTAACAATGCAGATATAATCCCAAATCTATTTCCTAATTTGATCCTTCTCCGTTTTTTTTTTTTTTTTTTTTTTTTTTTTTTTTTTTTTGATTTGGAAGGTTTCAATAGTCAACTCACTTCTCCAGCAGAAGGTTCACACTCTTACTTCCTTCCCATCTCGGTTTGTTGAATGAAGCTAATATCAATTTCCTCACTCACTCATGGCCTCATCATTGTCAAACCATGACCCTGCACAACCAAATGCCTTAACAATTGCAGATATAATCAAATCTATTCCTAATTTGATCCTTCTCCTCTCCAACGCTAAAGATTCCATTCCTTTGTCTTCGTCAAACGCCATCAACTCCTCCCCCGATGCTGCCAACCCCGTCAGTAAAGCTGATAGCAATGGGAACAATGTTGCCGGTACCAGCCTTACTTCCCAACTCACCACTCAAAATGACAATAGTGTTAGCACAGTTGTTGGAAGCGGCTCTGCTCCTTTGTCCACGGCTAACACTTCTGACGGCTCTGTTTCCCGAACGACTCCTACGGCCACCAGTGGTAACAGCGTTGGTCGGAGCAACCATGTCGATGGGAACATCCAAAATAATAACAATAGCAGCGAGAGGAAGGAAGACGATGGAAGCCATAATGGCGGCGGTTTGATGTTAGGAGTTTCCGACAAGAAGCAGAATGATACAACTAGCAAGAAAAACGACGACAAAGGCACAATCAACAACGGAAGCAGCAGCAGCAGCACTGTCACTTATTCTCGCCGCGAAGACTATCAAAAACTGCATAACCAATTAGAGAGATTGGAGAAAGATCTAAATTTTATTCAAATTGCCTTTGAAAAACTGAAGGATCTAGAACTCAATGTAAGTGAGCAATTCATAACTCTTCAAAAACAAGGCCAAATCCTGAATCGCGTAGTTAACTACATACAGCAACCCCAAAATGGAACAAGTGCTTTCCCAACAAAGCAATTCCATGCCAATATTAAGGCTATTACCGATATGGTAATGAAGTTGAAGCTTCAGATTCCATCCCCCCATAAGATGAGTTTGGCTACTGAAGCCCATCGAACTATAGAAACGGTCAGCGGGCTTGATGCCCGTAACTTGATCGATGAAATGCTTGAACTGCCCTCGAACAAAAAGTTTCAAGATTGTTCTGCATTTAAAGATTTTGAGGAAAGTTATAATAGTCTTGATACAAGTTATAGACTTTGTTTGTTGTGTTTTGCGGTATTTCCGGAGGGTGCTGTTGTCAAGAAGAGGCTGTTGATGTATTGGTGGGTTGGGGAGGGTTTTATAGACACTCAAGACGGTGGGAAAAAGGATGGGGAAAATGAGCCCCCCAATAGTCAAAATGATCTGAAAAAGGCGTTAGCCGAGGAAGTTGCTTATAAGATTTTGAAGAAATTCTTGGAGAAGGGGTTTGTTGAGCCTGTTATTAGAAAACGGAGATTGATTGGGTTTAGAATGCATGCATGGATTCGTTATGCAGTTATTTCTCGCGCAGAGAAAGCAGGATTCTTTAACTTCGATAGGATGGGGAATCCTACTGCAGACTTCTCATCGTGTCAGAGAGCTTGCTTGGTGAAAACTGAAGAGGTATATTCTAGGTCATTGCTTATAAAAAATAATCATAATCTGCAGAAAAATCCTCATTCAGAATCAGAGCAAGAGAAACTACAACCAGAGAAACTGCGAACTTTATTCAATGTCAATGATCCTTATCCTGATTTTGAGTTGCAATGGTTCTTGAGGATGAAAAATGTTAATGTTCTTTGTCTGGGAAGGTGGGACAATTCATCTAAGAAGCATACAGAAGATGAGGAGGGTAAGAGGCACATTGAAGTAGAGGGCATCGAATTCTTAAAGGGATTGAAGAATATGAAGTATCTGAAGTATCTCAGCCTTCAAGGGGTCTCCAGAGTTAATGTGCTTCCTGATACCGTTTGGAACCTCCCCAATTTGAGGATTTTGGATCTTAACGCATGCCATAATCTGGAGGCACTTCCAGATAAGATAGTGTCACTCAAGAACCTCACGCACTTGGATATTTCTGAGTGCTACTTGCTGGATTGCGTGCCTAAAGGACTCGAGTCACTCACAAATCTTCAAGTTCTCAAGGGATTTGTAATTAGTGATTTGAAAATAAAACATTCTGGTAGTCTTGGTGATTTAGCAGGATTGACAAAGTTGAGGAAATTGAGCATCTATACAAGTAAGAAGGAGTTCCCTACAGGTCAAGAGCTGGATGCTCTTCGGCGTATTACAGGACTTAGAAAGCTAACGATAGAATGGGGAGGGAAATCTCTTGACAAATCAGGAACAAATCCAACTGTTGCAAAAAAATATAAAAGATCAACTGCCTTCAAACAAGACAACGACACTGGGATAAATCCACAACTTCCAGAAGGTTTGGAGAAACTGGATCTCCAGTGTTATCCAGGGACTAAAGCTCCCAGCTGGCTGAGGCCTGGCAAACTTGAGCACCTTAAGAAACTGTATGTCAGAGGAGGGAACCTCAGTGATATGGGTCAAGCTCGAGGAGGAAATGATAAATGGAACGTTAGAATACTGCATGTGAAATTCTTGAGTGAATTGAAGATGGACTGGAGAGAATTGTGTGATGCATTTCCAAATTTGATCTATCTGGAAAAAGTTAAATGTCCCAAGCTGACTTTCTTCCCCTGTGATGAGAGTGGAGTGTGGCTGAATAGAAAATTGTTGTTCGATAAGAAGCTGTTGGAAGAATTAGAATTCAGTTGGTCTTTCCTTGCTACTAGGTCTGGGTAAGTAATAAACATCTGTCTCCAAAGTATATTTTTTGTACTCCATTATTCATCAAAATGTCTTTCGATTTGTTTAGTTATGAGGTGCTTTATTGCTTTATACAATTTTTTTTCCACCTTATTTAGATATAGCATTTGCTAGATGGATTTTGTTTTCTTGCTTCAGAATTTGACAAATCTCTCCAGTCTTGAAGATAATTGTGTTTGAAATAAACAGAACCGAGATATTTCCGATTTATGATAATCGCATATCTATTAGTGATGCTATGTACATATTTTTATATATTTCTGGAGGCTGTGGCATGAAAATTCTGATACCAAACTGTAATGGAACTGTGGCCTTATGATAGAATAATGCATTGTGTCTATATCATTGCGTGATAAAATGCAGTCTTCATTAACATAATTGAACTGCTCCTAAATCAGGGGAAAAAGCCTTTTTATTGATATCAAGTGATGGAAATGACAGTGCAAAGCCAAAGATTTAAGGGGAAAAAAAAAAGATCATTGACCAATTAAAATGCTATCACTTGATTGTTGTGTTTGAATACTCTGAGTAGGCACAGATCCTTCTCTAATCTGTTCTCTCATAATCTGCCCCATCATTTTTGCAGCTAAAGGAATGCCACCACACTTGTTCACTACTTCCCTTTTCAGTTCTTCCTCATGTGGTGGGCGAAACGGTTTCACTTCCTGCTCAATTTCATCTCTGAATATATCCCAGCAAAGATCTTTGTCCGCAAGAGGTAGAAGCCGATGTATATTCTCCTCTCCAACCATAATTTTCATAACTTCCTCACTTCTGCTGGTAACTATTATAGTTCCTCCATAACCCTTTGGCAGTCCATAAGCAAGGCGTTCTCCCCATTGAACATTGCGAGGCAATGAAGCATTCAAGTTGCTGTACCAGTCGTCGCTGTCCTGCACATCATCCAACACTATCAGGTACCTCTTGCGCATCAACTCCACATGTAGTGCACAGATTAGCCCAGCTAAGCCATGTTCATCTGAAATTGATTTCACCATCTCCTCTTCGACTCCAAGTGAATCCAACATTCTTAAAACAACTGATTTCTTTGGATCATTGTTATTATCTTCTTTTGCCTTTTTTGACATGTGCACCCAAATCCTAGGGACAAAGTGATTCTTCACTTCTGGCCTCGTCAAAAGCAGTTGGCAAACTGTGGTCTTTCCTGCACCTCCCAATCCTAAAATTCCAACTGTCTTGAAAAAATTAATACCCACTGGATTAACCAGCGATTTCAGTAAATACATTATTTCCTCATCAAATCCATAAACCTTAGTTGGGAGTTGGCTAGCTGAAGATGATGAGCCAGATTGGAGATCGTTATTGTCGGTCGGGGTAGCGTTTCCATTTTGACCGTTGATTGACGGTTTGATATTTTCGATCTCGGTCTTGATTTTTGACAAATTCTGCTTAATTCTATTGAAAGAAGTCGAAAATAAAGTGTGCTTGCCCGAAAGCGCATGGCTTTCACTGAAAAGGTCGTTGAGGGTGTAGAGTTTTTCCCTAATTGCTGGGATATCGGAAGATGAGCAAGACGAAAGCTTTTCTCTAAGCAACTCCTTGAGATCTTTAAATTCTTTACCTAAAGGAGCTTTTGAAGATTCAATGCCTTTGCTGAGTTTATCCAGCAGATAATTTTCAATCTCCTGGGCCATAAGAGTTAAGCTAATCTCGCCGGAAAAGGATTAGTAGAAGATTGGTTGACAGCCGTCTGCTTTGCAGAGACGCAGACATTTGAAATTGGTGTTCGTTGACTTAAGCTGGGTCTTCCATCTTGGAGTCTATTATTAATTATTAATAATTAATAATTAATATTAGTGGGTCTCACCACCGCCAGCCTCCTTAAACGTTAAACCTCTAATTGCAATAAGTTTTTTTAATATAAAAATCAGCTAAAGGACAAGCAATATGAGGTTTCTCCATCTGGATTGTTTTATTATTGTTTGCCTCTGATTTTACAATTTTTTAATCAGAGAATCTTTCAACTTTAAAATTGGATCTTGCTATTGTCGTTTCATCCGCAAAGACTTGTCGTTTGTTTAATATATATCCATCACTGTCAGTTGCCCGCATCCCTTCCATTCCATCTACTATTACATAGTCTACTGCATAGGCTTATGGACTCTTTAACTGTAATTTATCATGTCGGGTTAAATAAATTACTATATATATTTTATTTAATTGATTATAAATTACTGTATATTTAAAAAATAGTTACCATGAGTTTACGATTTATAGTTCCTGTATTAAACAGTACACATAGCCTAAGTGTCGTATCAATCTGATGACATGTGATCAGGTCATGCTGATGTCAATAATATAATATCGAACTAAATTACGGGTTTTTCATGCTGGATAGCACCTAGAAATTACCTGTTTTTAACCACTGTCTGTACTAAAATTTACTGCAAAATCAGCAGTTACCACTACTTATTTTGTAACACGAGAATTTCTGAAAGTTGCAGCCTTTAGCGGTTAATGGTATTGATTTGCTAAAGTCTTGGCAGAGGACTTTCACTTTCAACCGAAAGCACCCCTTTTTTTTTTTTATGATAAGGTAAAAGATTTGAAGGGATGACCCTTATTTCCAAAATTATGAGTGTATTAAAACTCATCGGTGGTACAGACAGAGTTGAGAATAACAACTTCAGAGCAGGAGCATTAATAATAAGTTGAGCTTTCTATGTATGAGATTCAGAGCCCGATAGAAGCAAGCAAAAGATTGTAGTATTTAATTCTAAATCCACATTTAAGAATAGAGGCATAAGCAATTGCTTTCAAGCACATGAATAGACCTATTCCTTCGACAAAGATACTTTCAATCTTTAAGAAAGCTACGTGTCTTGCACGTCGTTTCTCCTCTCTTATCTTCACACGTCCTATTGACACTATCAACAACTACTGTAATTTATTTCCCGCCAGATTTCTTTACCATTTCCTTTGTTTCACTTTGCTCAGTGTTTCTCAAGAAAATTTATATAAAAAAAAATTAATGAAAGCATTATAATTCCCTCCCTGCCGCCAGGCAACAGACAATTCCAAATTCCCAACCCAAAGCATAATCACAAACAAACATTCAAAGCTCTGTTTTTTCTTTTCTTATTTTTTGGTGAGTGAGGACAGTCTCTGTGGTTATTTAGAGAATTGGACCAATTGCAGAGTTATCTGGTTCTGGTGTTTTGAATATGTGAAATTAATTAAGAGCTGGACCATATGGATATCGTCACTTGCAGTTGCTGTAATAGTCAATCCTTTTTCGCCTCTTCGTATCTCTCTTCTCTGGCAATGCAGAGGCAGAGATGCTAGTGGTCTCACTTGCTGATGATGATTTTGTGCAATGCCTGTCCAGCACACTCAATGGAGTTCTTGTACTTGAAACTGTGTCCAATATTGACTCGCTCCATTCCATTTCTACCATTTCTTGCACTGCATTAAAGCATTTTTCCAGCTTCTCCTAAAATCATTTTCCCAATGTTAACTACTGTAATTATCAAAGTAACTATTTGCTAGCTTAAAGAATCCAAATTATTTGATTATTTGTTGCTTACTCTATTTACACATTCGCAAGAGGAAATCGAACATTTGTATGAAGGAAATTGCAATGGAAATAGTTCATGGGAAGCTACAAGAAGGGCTGATGCCGCAATAATTGATGGCTTGAACTTCAGTAACTTCATTTCTGCATCAATAAAGAAAAAGAATTGAACTATATTTACAAGGAAAAAGATAAAGAAAAATATAAAGTTTGAATTGTATATTGAACTAATTACCATTATGAGCTTGGAAAATAATCTGAGTAGCTCGATCTTTGAGAGCTTGTGTTAATGGTGGGTCTTTGAGATGAAATAAAGAAATGAAGAAATGAACGAAAGAGAAAGGTGTAACAGATCTCATTCGCCAATTCAGAGCATCAAGAATGAGAATCTCCATTCGACTAATTGTTTGCATGTCGAAAATAAAACTATCTTCTCCCTGTTTCATTGTTTGAATCGGTCAGTTAAATATCTTAGACTAGATTGAATAATAAAGTAGTAGGTCCTACCTGTAAATTAGAGAGTGAGAAATGTGTGTTCCTCATCTTTGCCGCCAGAGAAAGGCAAGATACTACAATAAGTCTTAGAATCCATGGCTTTTCTTGCTAAAGAAAAACTATCAATTAATAATCAAGAATTCTAAAACAAATTAAACATCACAATTATGTTTTTCAGATTTATACCGGAATTTCTTGCGTAGAAATGAATCGATCCATGTAATTAACAGCAAGATAAGCAAGAAAAGGCTCAAGGTTGCAAGAATACTGTGCCTACAGCCAAACAAGAACAAGATTACAACAAACCACAAGAAATAAACAAGAAAATGATACAAAAGAAGCATTTTTTTCTAAAAGAGAGAAATTTAGTGGTTTTACCTGTAAAGCGAGAGAAACAGCTTCTTGACGGAAGGAGGAATAGAAGTTGCAGGTTTTGAAGCATTCTAACAATTTTGTTGAAGGCATATGATCAGATTCAGAGGCAAAGAGGTCCGAGATAGTATCAGAATGGTCGTCTTTCAGGCTTGTCAATGGATTTTCAAGATCGAAATTATCCATTCTCTTCTTCTCCTTCTTCAGGTATTTTCCTTTTTTCTTTGTTCTGTTTGTCTGTTTTGGGCTTTGAGAGTGTGTTCAACTGTTTATGTAATAAAAAAAAAGGATAGAATAGAAGAGGAGAATGAGAAAAGTGAAGCAAAGAAGGTGCGAAATAATAATGGAAAGAGAAGCTTCGCTTTCTGTGCTGGAAAAAGAAAAAGAGAGAGAGAGGTAAGAGACTGTGTTGTTAGTCTTCAACTTCATTTCTCCCTCTCCTCTGTTTCTTTCTTATATATGCGTTGGTCCCTGCTCTTTCTCTCTTATTGAAAAAGATAACAGTAGGTTTGAGGTTGTATTTTTTTTTTTTCTTTTTTTAGTTTTACTAAACATATATTTTTACCCACATTTATCTTTTTCATACAAAAATGTTTTGAAATTTGACTGTTTTCCAAAAGCCTGTAAAGGCTAAAGGGAATTCAGTAATAATTAATTTCTGTTTGGGATTTAAAATAAAAAGAAAAATAAAAGGAATAATGAATTTTCGTTCTCTCTTTTTTTTTTTTTTTTTTTTTTTAATTCTAACTTCATCTATCTACTGCTTCTATAGTTTCGTAAGTTCTTGTTTTCATTATTTCTCACTTATGTTTTCTGTATTTAGTCTGTGCTTCGGCCTTCTGAGAAGGATGTTGACTAACGATTCAATCAATGGTTTAATGTAATCAAAAACAAACATAGAAATAAGAAATGAAGAGGAGAAATGAGAAACACAGTGAGAGCATAGCAAACGCGTACGTGCGAAAATATACATGATAACCGGACGCAGACAGAAGGAAAAGGATTTTCGGCTTTATCACTGTGCACATTTGGAAAAAGAAAACGAGCAGAGAGAGGTAAGAGACTGTCGTTGTTAGTCCCTTCCGAACTTCATCTTCTCTCCTCCTCCTCTGTTTACTTTCTTATATATGCGGGTATTGGGCTCACCATGAGCCTCTTCTCTCTTCTCTTATTAGTAATGAGAAAAAGCGATAAACAGTACCGGTCTTGCAGGTTGATGCTTATATACTAGTATCTTTTTCTTTCCTTTTATTTTTAGTTTTACTAAACATATAATTTCTACCAACACCATGATTATGCTTTTTACATAACAAACATATAGTCTTTAGTGAGAATAATTTGTACTGCTGTCTTCCCGCAAAAAAAGCCTGTAAAGGCTAACACAGGCGGAATATGCAGTAAAAATAATTAATTAACTTACTGTTTCTGGAGATTCTTTAAAAATGAGTGAAAAGGAAAAACATATAAAAGGACAGATTTCATTGAATTTTTCGTTCTCCCTGATCTGTTGTTTATTTTACTATTCAATTATTAATGTATCTTTTTATCCGTGTTTCCCGACACTGTTTCCGACATAGCATACTCACTGCTAATACACTGTCGCTCTACTAGAACTCTTTAATTCTACGCAGTGAATATTTGCAGTCTAGAAAAATGGCCCATTATGACGTACATTCCAAACTTCCTTCCGTCAATATTAACGGGAAACACAACCAATTATCAGCTCTATTTAAATCAATCTTTTGCCGACACGATTTAGATACCATATTTAATTCACCGAAAATCCACGACATCTCACTTTTCGGGTTCTATCAACATCCAAATTTACTACTTATTGTTTAATAAATTGCCAAATTAAAATACATAAATCTAATTATGTAGGTAGGCAGTATATATTGCCCATAGACCGGTCACCCTTTCTCCTCGAACTTGAATATTAGCTACTCTCAGTTGATTCTTATTTTATCGTTCTTTCCATTGATGTCCCTTTCAACAGTTCTGTTTCCGTGTATCTTGGTAATCTCTTCAAGATAACAATGTTAGACTCCAACTGTACTCCAGAATGTATTTTTCAAAATCTACACATCTCGCATATAACTTAATGCCGTTTTTCGCCAAAGTCGAAAGTTGGAAATGATTGGAGTCACTTGAGGTTTTCATAAACAAGCAAAACCATATTCACCAATAAGTTTTTTTTTTTTTTTTTTTTTTCCGTGTTTCCATGTTCCGAATAGCAATACTTATCCTGTCTTTGAACCCTTTAATTTTACATATTTGAGTCTAAAATGGCATTTAGTTAAACTTCTCGTCAATTTTACGGAAACACAACTCATTTCAGCTCATTTAATCATTTAGATTTAGATTTTACGAAAATACAACTCACTTCGGCTCATCCAATTATTTTTTTTTAATAAATTAAATTACATATCTAATTAATGTAGTAGGTAGTAATAATGCAAGACCAATTTCCTTTTCTCAAATTAAATTATCTACCAGTGATATTTTTTTTTTTCATTGATTTTAAGTTTTCTTGTTTTCACATGTAGACAATTACTCCAGAAATGTATTTTTCAATTTCACACTGCATATAACTTAATGCCGTTTTCCAAATAGTTGACAAATGACACTGTTTTCAAAAGCAAAAACCATATCACATGTATCTCATACACTTAGAAATATTTTTGACACCAAACCTAATCCTAAACTGATATTTGTGCTCTTAAAATATGGATAAAGCTCTTCTCTTTGACTTGAGAAGCAACTCAGTCAAACCGTTGCTCTTATATTTAAATAAAGGTTGTTATATTATATATTACTATCTAACTTTATTTTATTTTTGTTCCTATGTGCTCTGACCATGAGATGCAAATGCATTCTAACTTTTTTTTTTTTGACCTTTTTTCTACTAGGGCTTTCTGTGCAGTCACATCTTTAATTGCGGAGAGCCAGACTTCAAAGTTAGAGGCCAAAGAAAACAATTAAAAAAATTTTACAAAAACAATGTTAGGAGGTCAGAGGCCTTCGCCATTTCACATCTTGAATATAGAAAATTCAAAAATTTTGGTAAGTTTACTCCTAGTCAAAACAAATAAATTAGGGTTTCTAACTCAATTTCATTAGAATTTTAAGATAGGGTTCGTGTTATTTTGCAATTGATTGTGAACTAGGGTTCATTACAAAGAAAGGTAATCTGTGAATGAAGAATCAAAGGTTGTAGGGTCCCTTAAACAGAAGCAGGCAAGACAGTACAACAGAGGAGGGTAGAGACAGTTGTGGTAAGTATTGTTCCTACGATCCAGGATAAGAGATGAAGCACTTAAAAGAAAATGCCACTAAATCCAACGTTAAATACTCATTTACGTCGGAGCTGCTTACTAGCTGGCTTGCCAGCTTTTGTATCAGCTTTTTCTATGAAACAACAAAGAGAAAGAGATAGAAGGAGGAGAACAATGAACAGAAAAAAAAAATAATAATAATAAATAAATATCTCTTTCCCTCCTCTCTAACAGTAAATTTCTATTTTAATTTTATTAATTTTGGGTTATAAGTTATAACCCATTAATTAAATTGAAAGAGAAATAGAAATGAGAAAAAGATAACGAATGAAGGGAGACCTATCAAATTTGGAGATGTTCTGAAAATTGAAGTTATAGGGTCCATTTGGTTTGTGATGCCCAGTTGCTCATAAAACATACTGTGCATGACACTCACGTGTATTCCATAAATGTCGGATTTTCTTTTTTCGTACAAATTTATCAGATATGATTAAGGTGGCTTCTAAATTAGACAAAAAGAGATTATGTTCAATGGAATTACAAATTTCGATTTATTAGAATAAAGGAGACAGCATTCATAAATGTAGCTTGGCTTCTTTTCCTGTAGACAACTTAAAACACGTAATTGCCCCATGCATCCCTTATATATATATATATATCTATATATATGTTGACATAAAGACAAATAGAATATACTGCGCAATTGCATAACACCAAATAGGCCACTCCAAATTAAATACTAGAAAGCAATTTTTTTTTCTTTTTTTTTTTTTAATTTTAGCCTCCCAAATCTTGATATTTTTTTTTTACTTTTCTAATTAACTTCAATTCTAGCTCGGTGAATATGAAGTGTGCATGTATATATTAACATGTTTTGTCACAATTGGTTGGATTTTAATAAAAAAAAATATATGTTATGTTATGTTTTTATCTCGTTCGTGTATTCTATGCTTTCTTTCAAAAAAAAAAATGCAAAAATTTTTACTATATATTTAAAAAAAATTTAAACTATATAAAAACCATAAATAGTTACATTTTAATTAGAAATTTTTCTTCATTTGGTGAGTGTAAAAACAAGCCTGTCGTCCCCATCAAACAGTGACAAGTCCTCGTTCAACGTAAATTCTGCATTTATTTTTCTTTGTCTTTCTTCTTAAAAAAAACAAAGAATAGATGGGAATTTATATATATAGTAACAAAATAAGTAACTATATACATAAATTTATATATACAGTAAGATTCAATTTGAATATCCAATTTTATTTAAAAAGAATAAAAAGGAAGTGTTAACATAACATGAGACTCAGATTTCTTTCCCACTTGTAAAAAAATGTCGAAGTCATGGAGGGTAAGAAATCCAAAACATCTCGTCCCATTGTCTGGATTTAGGCATGCCAAAATCAAATGGGGACAGGAAGAAATCATAACAAAAAGGCCAAAGAGTACTGGATTCGTTTTAACAGTAAGAAAGGCCATTAATTATTGATGTGGGCACAATTAATCTCACATGCTCATTTCTCTAATTATCAAATTCACATTTTATTTAAATTATTTAAATTTGGGATAGATATGTACGAATAATTAAAATTGGCAGGCGGTGTATAATTGAATGATAGGTAGTGCAATTGCCAGAAAACGATGAGGGCAATTGCATTTCTCTTGTCTTGTCCCTCACCGGGGACACTGCTTTTTCTGTGCTCCTTCATCATTGTAGAATTGTAGTGATCAATCATCATTACAATTCCGTGGTCAAACTGTTCCAACATTCGACTTTTTCTTTCATCCTAAGGTTATTTTATACCGTATTTAGCATTGTACATACAGATGAATAAATAAATATATACACATACGCAATCATTGGGTTTCTATTTTGTCAAGAACCCCAAACCCAGAAAAATATGAAGAACAATCATCACCCTTTGGCTTAAATTTCAGTCCAAGACTCATTAACATCATCTTCAATTGGTGTATATTAAATCATTTTACCATCATTAATTCCACTTTCAAGTTAAAAGTATCATACTGTTGAATGATTGAATCATAAAGAAAACATTATTAAGTTTCAAAGTGTAAAAGGTAATTTATATATTAGTAAGGATTGTTTTTTTGGTAGTGTTTGTAGCTTAATTAGTGATAGTTTAAATATAATATGCCTGCTTGGCAGAAATTTAAGTTGGTTTTTTTTTTTTTTTTCTTATTAGATTTCAATTAAAATTTAGATTAGCCATGCTTGTAAGGTTAGAGTTTTTAGTGGAGACTCAAACATGTACACATATAGATGGAGAAAGAGAGGAAAGACAAGAAGAGAAGTCAAAATAGCTTTTAAAGAAAACCTTGAGCTGTCTTAATTTAGGGGTAGAGAATGTGGCTTTTGGTGTTTGATTTTGTTGTTTTTCTTTTACTTTGGTAGCGAGTGTCTTGTTGCAGGTGCCCCAATGGATTCTCTGCTGCTCATTGATATAAGAGAAAGCCTTAATTGATACATATGCATATAGTATATAGAAATTCCATTGGGAGACCAATTAACTTTTGCTTTTCTTTTCTGTCGACTCTCTTTCCATTCCCATTCATATATATAGAGTCTTTTCTTTTACTTTGGTTAGCCGAAGTGGTATTGATGCGAGGTGCCTCATCCAATAGGGATTCTCTGCTGCTGCATTGATATAAGAGACAAGCCTTAATTCGTTACATATTGCATATATAGTGAACTATTAGAATTCATTTGGGAAGTCACAATTAACTGTTTGTTTGCTTTTTTGTTATTCTGTCGACTCTTTCCATTTCTCCATATCAATATATATATATCATATATTATCAATTTGATATTATAGTATTACTATACTCTTATAACATTAATCCAATTAGAAAAAAAAAAAGAAAGAAAATAAAATACTAGGAAGAATGAGAAAGAAAAGTGGTATGGCGCTGGTTTTATTTAGGAATGTGCTCGCCTTGTTGTATTTTTATAGAAGGAATTCATGGTGAGAGTATTGAGTAGCATATCCATGCACGCGCTTTTCACCCCAAATGCAAGATAGCCACTATCATTCATATCCGCCTTGTCACTGTGGTGGTGCGTCCTTTGCCTTATTTACTTCCCTATTTTCGAATAATTAGTCAACAGAGAATAGAAAAAAAAGTGGTATGGGTGTTTTATAGGAATGTTTGCTTGTTGTTTTTAAGAGGAATTCATGTGAGAGTATTGAGTGCAATCCATGCACGCCTTTCACCCCATGCAGATAGCACCATCATTAACCGCCTTGTCACTGTGGGCCTTCCCTTTCTTTACTTCCTATTTTCGATAATATCATCAATTATTTATATCCTGGACTATACTGTACAACGGGGCTTCGACCGTGTTCGAAAGAATTTAAATTTAAAATTTCTAACTTCTTACATAAGTGAGAAGATTAATTAAACCATCGCTGATTCAGAGACAAATATTTGCTTCATACTATTTAGATATTGAGAATAAATATTTAAGAAATAATGGAATCTTGAGATAATGAATGTCTATTTTGAAAATGGAACCGGATCGACCAGGCCGGACCTGTTAACTTGGAACAGGGAAAGAGAGGCATTATATTATTGTTACTGTATTACTAAGAAAGGAAAAGACAAGTTGTGTTAATTAATGGCAATTTGGCTTAAAATAGAAGATAGTTTTTTAGAGAATTGCTGTACGTATTACTCATTGCCGATACCATTATTGAATAAAGATTTTTTCCGGTAACTCCATCATTGAATAGAAACGACAAAGTGAAATGGCAAAGAAAAGAAAACACACATGATTGGAAAACAAATCAGGCAGATCCACTGATTGCTGCACAGAGACGACCTGATCAAAATTATCAATTGCAATAATCAAATTTCAGTATCATACATACTAAACACATAATGTTCAACAATTTCCAATAAAAATCTTTCATGATTTAAGACATCATAATAATTACTCCACATCGAGTTAGATACAACTATATAATTTATATTTTTAATCCAAAATACAAAATGTCTCACGTAACGCCAAGACTAAAGAGATTTCAACTAATTGGGTAATAATTTGCGCTCTAGGAATTGCAGCCCAAAAGCCCAGGGACCTTTTAGTCTGGTCATGAGGGACTAAGGGAGGTTTATATGGGCCATAAGGCCGGCCCAACTCTTCAATTGTTTCACAAGCGAGGCTGGCCAGTCATATTGTTACTGGACCCATGCCCACATATTAAAACTGAGCAGAACAGAGCAACCAAGAGCAAGGAGGCAATTTCGCGGTTACTGGTAACCTATCAGCACAAAATAATACTAACGATGATTTCAGATATCACACATAGAACTTCTCAATTTAAAAATAATAGGCCATTGGTTGTCTTTTCGCAGACAATTTTTCCAGGAAAAAAAACAATAAAAAAGTGAAATGGAGGAGCTTTTAGAAAACAATATACACACTTGTTCAAAAATCAAAGTCCACCATCTATTGTTTTTTACCACACAAAATCAACAAAAAAAAAAAAAAACATAATTACAATCTCATTTTAGCATATAATCAAACACAAACCCTTTAAACAAGCACAGGTAATCAGCAAAATATTATATTTATGTTGGCACTTGACACTTATCATCAAGACGATTGGGATACTCGACCGGATTTTGTGTCGGAAGTAGTCCTTGCCAAATCTTCCCCACCCGGCATCACCATACCTGGATAGCCCGGAACCACATTCGGAGTTGCATTTCTAACCCCATGCCCATGGCCATAGTAAACCTGTGGATTTACCCCGTCAGGAACTGCTCTTCCTGCATCATATGGATCCAGTGCGCTCATGGGCCTTACAGCCGGCCCACCATATACCTGACCCATGGCTGGAACTTGTTGGTGGTGGTACCCGACTGGTATTTGACCCGTTGACACTGCGTATTGCTGAACATACGGTGACCGAATTTGAACGGGTTGAACTGGAACATTACTGGGTACATAATAAACTGGTATTTGTTGTAATTGATGACCCGAGTAATGAGAATCCGGAATATAATGCATAACCGGGTTACCCGGATATCCAGTTGGCTGCTGCGTTACAACCGGTTCGATTGCCTCGGTTGAACCGTAACTGTCAATTGTATTCTGCTTGGGTTGTACAATCGGATCCGGGTTATCCATTTTAGTCTTTACAGGTGGAAGATCAGGAAATGAAGGCACTGTAGGAACTGCTGACGAAGTTGAGCAATACGGCGAAGAAACAACAGGAGCAGGAGAACCCGGATCTGAAGCCGACACATTATCGTGCAAAATGAGTCGACTCTTGCCTTTAGGCTCACGAGGCTGTGGTTCATCCGAATTATCCAACCCGAATAAATAATCGGGCACTTCAGACACAATTGAGGAAGCCTCAGATCGACCACGCTCGAGCCTGGACCCAGCATTAAGAGCATCAAAGAACCAGTGCTCCCGATTTGTGGAACCATCAAGAAGCGAGCTGATGCTGCTTGCTCTCGAATCCTCCCCTTTAGAGAAGAGAAATAGCCGTAGCCGCGCAGAGCGAGGATTGGCATTCATTGAAACGCGGTCGTATTCTTCCATCATGTTGTCTACATCTTCATCAGTAGTAACAGATATCAAAGCATCAAGATCTTCATTGGGTAGTTGATACTTCACACTCACGTTAGAAATACCTAACACCAAATTAATTTCACAATTTCTTCAAAAAGGAAAGGATAAGAATTCAGAATCTAATACAAATTACAAGTTCATATATACCGGCGAGTTTGGACAGTTTAGTCAAGAGAGCGGAGTAACTGGTGGAGCGGTGGACGGCAACGATGCGAGTCTCGCCACCAACATAACGAAGCTGATTGTCGTGAGGCCGTGGAAGAATCTTACCACCGAAACTGCACATGAATCGGACACGCGGATCGTGGGAACCGTAGTGATCGGAGCGAGGAGAGGATGCGACTGAATCAGTAGCCGACTCCAGTTCCGATGCATGAAGCGATGCCATGGCGTTTAATTGCCTATATGTTTGATGAAATTAAAATTATATATCTATTAGAAATTGCAGGGAAATCAATAATTAAAGGAGAGACATGGTCATGGGAGTAGGAGATGGTGTTGGATTCTCCGCTAGAAGAAGAAATCTTGTTTGTTGTTTTGCGTTGTTGTATGTATGCAATTCGCAAACTAAAAGCAAAACTAAAAGAATATTTTTATTTTTTGAAACAATTCCACTGTAAAACTTTTAACGGTAAACAGAACAGGAGAAGAATGTCTGCTGGCTCTTTCTTTCTTTCTTTGAATTGATGGATATATTCCTTCACTGACTCAGCCACCCGCTGGTGCTGACCTGGCAACACATTTTTTTATCATTTTTTATTACAAATTTTTCAGGATTTATAAAGTTTGGAATATTTGATAAAATTAACTAATAAAAACAGACCATTTGAGAATTTTTTTGGGAGGTTGATTAAGTTTAAATTGTAATACATTAGACTGGAGTCTATCAATCAAAGGATGGTATCTTTTCTACACAAATTAACACATAATTGTAAGTGTATTAGGTACAACATAATACATATATGTTCTTAAAAGCTAAAATGCAAAACTTAATTATAAAATCTATATAATTTTTTTTTTAAGAACGAACAAAATATCCATAGCTCAGCATCCATCAATTTAATGTAATGGCTAACGATGAATTATGTGTCCTAGCTCATAGAGAAAAATAGGGACGAATCCAGGAGGTCTGAGAGGGGCTGTGACCCCAAATCAAAAATTTTTTAAAATTTTTAGTGTGAAAAAATTTTAATATATATTTTAAAAATTTTAAGTGTGAAAAAATTTTAATAAATATAATAATATATTAATATATATTATATATATATATTTATATATATAAATTTAAAATTTACTCTTTTAATTAGTAAAAATTATTATTTTTTATAGCCCGTTTATGGTTGGGGCTGGTTTTGTTTGGTGGCGAAAAGTTACTGGTTGCGGATGTGACCTTAAATTTTTATATCTGTACCATAATGTTAAAGTGTAATTAGTGGTGGTGGGGGGTTTGGGGCGGTGAGCATATATTTACACTACGTATAGATTGCTCAATCAGTTTCTGGTCATACATAATATGTAATGCTTTTGTCTTTTTCTTTTCTTTTTTTTTTTTTTTTTTTTTTTTTTTTTTTTTTTTTTTTTTTTTGTCAAGATTCAGATCAAAAGTTGGCTTCTGCAAATTTTATATATTATTCTTAAGAAACTGACATTTTTACTGATGCAAATTATTTGGTTTGATGATATCAGCGACGTTTGATTAATTATTTGCAGCCAACAATGTGATATTGTACTTTTCACAATTAGGTTTTTAATAAATCGAAGAATTTCCTAAATCTTCATTAGAATAATAGAACGCCTAGCTCCATGTGGGCTGATGTAACAAAAATTTTGCTCTAAACTATGGTAGCTCACAGTTTAATTAATTGATATGTAATAGTCCGACATTGTTTCAGACTCTGGAAAGCTCAGAGAAAATTTATGCAGGAGAAAAATTGAATATCTTTGATTCTTGAATTACACAATTATCATAATGATGTTTATCAAAAGTTAAAACACTTTTGATTGATGACAATATGAAGTGAAGACAATCATTCTCAGTTGAAAGAAATCAATTCTTTAAATATATATATATAAATATATCATTTTCCTAATAAAAATGAAGTTTCATGCACAAATATAGCAGAATGAACTAATTCCAGTTTTGGGACATTGGTATTTAAATCAAGAAACATATAGTATTTGAATACAAACAGTTAATTTCGATAATTACCAGTTGAGGAAGTGTTTTAAATCCAGCAGAGATTCTGATGTGAAGGGTTAATAATTTTGTGGGTTAGGTTTACAGGTAGCTTGGAAAGGAAGAAGAAGAGAGGAAGGCCGGCTGATGTGGGTCCACGTGTGCATGTTTGATAACGTGGTAGCCAGTCACCAATATTTGTCTAAAGGATAATGCTAATGCCACTCAGTTGTTTCCACTATCTAACTTACCGTCCAATCATAACACACAACAGTATTCGGTGTGTCTTCTTACTGCTTTTGCGGGATCCACTCTTTCCTCCACTTAGCGTCCAGTCTAATTCGCCATCTGTTTTTGTTTCCTTTTTTTTTTTTTTTTTTTTTTTCTAATTTCGCCATCTTGTTTTTTGTTTCTTTTTTTTTTTTTTTTTTTTTTTTTTTTTTCCTTTTTTTTTTTTTTTTTTTTTTTAATTCCTCCTCAATTTCCACGTGTAAAATATAATTACTTGAGATCGTGAATTATTCATGTATTAATACCTCCTGATTTTTATAAAAAAGAAAATTGAAAATGAAAAATGAGTAAATTATTATTTTTCTCTCAAATATATATTCTTTCATGCCAAATTTGTGAATAAATAATTCAGTTGCAATGCAATGGATTAAATCGCCAAATTAATTAATACAATGTACGCATAAGCGAACGAATTTTTTAAGTAACTCAATTATTAGTAATTGACTATTTCCTTCTCTTTTAGAAAAAAAAAAAAAATATAAAACTTGATAACTTGGAATATTGTAATGTAACGATGGAATCATTTTCCTTGTTAATTAATTAAAGATTAGAAAGTCATTAATGGAAAATTAGATTGATGTTGAAACAAATGTAAGTAATAGTTCTAGATTACTAGTGATATTAGTTTGTTATTGAAAGTTAATGTATAAAGGGAAGTTTATGATTGAGCCAATAGTGGTCAATGGTCGGTGATCTAAAAGTCTACTACAGACAAAGGACTTCAAACCATAAAGTCAAAACCATAAGAGAAGTAGATAGTAGAAAAGGGGCAAAAAGGAAAAAAAAAAAAGGTTCAATTAATTACATGGAATTTGGAAAAGCCTGATAATTTTTTGTGAGGAGGAGGGATGCCTTATGCCATAAGGTAAAGCTTTATATATTCTTGCTTTCTGAGTGACCTTTCATGCCTTTCTTCTCACTGGTCAGTCATTAGCGTAATAGAAATGGGCCGTTAAATGGGCTCTTAGCTTTACAATAATTCGCCTTAAATATAAATACTAAAAAGGAGAGGCCCAGTCTTGCCCGCTATAGACCCATAGCATAATCCAATAAAAGGTGGTCCAATGCTATTGAAGAAACAACTCATTCATGTATGCTAATGAAAAATCTAGTCTACGGGTGGGTCTCTATGACGAGTATTTTTTTTTTCTTAAGATTAAATAAATAAATAATGTTCAGTTGGTTAGCCATAACGTGATGTAATCAAATGCATTTATAATATAAAATTAAGATTTGTTTTTTTTCTTTTAAAACAATTTTGAGAGTCAGATGGTATTTGTAAACTGATTTTAGAATTTTTCAGTTTGATTAGCAATTAGCATTCAAGTAAGCAAGAGATTAAATTGTTGGAATCTCAAGATTCTTGTCTTCTTGGCAAAAATAAAAAAAAACAAGTAAATACATTCGAAATCAACATCATCAAGCAGTGCATGAAATAAATATCTTGGTAAGAGGGAGATTCTCTCCTTGCCAATCATCATTTCTTTAACAATAGATTGATCTTAAAGGCACAAATCAAGCTTTTTGCCAGTCACTGATCAGAAAAGTCCTACAGAAAAAGATTACCGATATAGTACTTTTCTGTAAGTGGGCGACTGACTTTCCCGTAGAAAGATGGTAGCCACTAGCAACTAGCAACTCACAAGGAATTTTCTTCATGGGAAAAATGTAAAACAATTTTCTTGGCCTTGGGAATATCTAAAATCAGAAGGCACAACCTTTAAAATGCAAGTTGCTTCCATTAGAACTCTGCAGTTCAAAGATGTGGATCGTGTTGTTTTGATTCATTACACATGGACTGACGACTATTAAAACTGCTTTAAATTAGTGAGCAACATCCATTTCAGATTACGATACATAAAATTTTAGTTACATGGCATTCTCCTGAAGATTTTTCTTTCATGTTGACATCCTATTAATTATCAGTTTTCATGAATTTGTAGCTTGTGGAAGCTGTCTTTTTCTCCTTATATGGGGAAATACACTTTTGATTATCTTCTTCCTCAACTTGTGAATTTTGCGGTCCAGACACGTTCGTATTTTTGCTTTCACACTGTACTTTTCCGTTCATATCATACCACTCCCTTAGAAGAGATGAAAAAAGGGAGGCAAAGTCTACCTTTTCTTTTCAGTGCTAATCCTGATAAGATGTCTGCCCTTTTAATGATAACTCATGTCTCATGCATTTCATTCTTCTACTAAATATATATTTCTTGCTTCATAAATTTTATACATCCACTTTTTCTTATTTCTATAAGGATTTTTTTTCCTTAAATCCCAGTCCCAATTTTGATTGCCAGCACAGTAATAACATTGGCTGATAATATTTTTTATGCACTAGTAATGACTATTGCTAATGGAAGTAGGGCTCCTCCATCAAGGCTTGAGGTTTGTGTCCTACTTTGCTTCGTAGGTTAACTTAGGACTGGAGATCTTTCTTTCCTAATTAATCACGTCAAAATAATGTTCTCATAATTCCTGCAACATGTACGCAGGGAAAATATAAAGCAATGTTTGCTTGAGGTTTGTGTCCTACTTTGCTTCGTAGGTTAACTTAGGACTGGAGATCTTTCTTTCCTAATTAATCACGTCAAAATAATGTTCTCATAATTCCTGCAACATGTACGCAGGGAAAATATAAAGCAATGTTTGTTTGTTGGATTCTGGGACTTGGGTCACTTGTTTCGTGGAACAGTCTGCTAACAATTGGAGATTACTACTACAAATTGTTCCCTGAGGTAAGGTGCTAATATTTCATTTCTACAAATTAGTCAATCAAATATTAAAAATCTTGCTTAGTATCTATATTTACAAAGCGCTAAGCTAATTTATAAATGAAGGGTAAGTACCATCCTTCAAGGGTACTTACCCTTGTTTATCAACCATTTGCACTAGGGACAATAGCAATACTAGCATACAATGAGTCAAAGATAAACACCAGAAAGAGAAACATGGCTGGCTATATACTCTTCACTGCAAGTACTTTGATGCTGTTGGTTGTAAGTATACTGTTAATCCGGTAAATTTATTTCTTCTACTTTGAATAGCCACTCAGTACTGTTTCAACTAATCTGGTGTCATTTCACTGCTAAAATTATGATAGTTGGACTTGGCTACATCAGGGAAAGGAGAAAGGAGGAATTGGACCTTTCCTTTGGTATATGTGCTCTAGTATGCTCTTTGGTTTGGGAATTCTGATGCGCCATGTCAAGGTGGAATGGTTGGAGACTTGTCTCTCATGTGCCTGAATTCATCCAAGGACTTGGCTACATCAGGGAAAGGAGGAATTGGACCTTTCCTTGGTATATGTGCTCTAGTTGCTCTTTTTGGAATTTCTGATGCCCATGTTCAAGGTGGAATGGTTGGAGACTTGTCTCTCATGTGCCCTGAATTCATCCAAGTTAGTTTTCTTGCAATTCTTTATTGTTCATTACGATTATCTTGGATTTCCAATAGAACTTGGAATCCTGATATAGTGATATCTCGTGGTTTTATACTCTCTCAGTCCTTTCTTGCTGGGTTGGCTGCATCAGGAGCATTAACCTCTGCTTTGAGGCTAATAACAAAAGCAGCATTTGAAAAGGCTAGTAATGGGCTTCGAAAGGGAGTTAGTGAGTGACTTCTTCCACCATTGGAATTAGACAAGCTTATTAGTTTATTGATATTACTTTGTTCATTAACGACCACTTCATATCGGAATTTTGCAGTGTTATTTTTAGCAATCTCCACTTTGCTGGAATTTCTCTGTGTTCTCTTATATGCATTTTACTTCCCTAAACTGCCAATAGTGAAGTATTACCGTGCCAAAGCAGCAGCAGAAGGATCAAAAACTGTTTCAGCTGATCTTGCAGCCGCTGGAATCCAAACATCAGCAACCCAAGAAGTAATTCAATTTTCTTGTAATATTTGCTGATGTTTTACAGCTAAGAAGTTAGAAGGATATGATATATAACCCAAGAATCTGCTTTTTTTACATTGTGCAGGGTGAAAATGATCCCAAAGAGCTGGAACGATTGAGCAATAAAGAACTGTTTTTCCAAAACATTGATTATGCAATTGACCTGTTTCTGATATATGTACTTACATTATCAATATTCCCCGGATTCATATTTGAAAATACCGGCCACCACCACAATCTTGGCACAACATGGTAAGTGTGAATTTAAAATCTTGGACAAGTGAACTCTTGCACAGGTTAACAATAATCCAGTAAATGATGGCCTTTCAGGTACCCTCTAGTTCTGATTGCAATGTACAACATTTGGGATCTCATAGCAAGATATATTCCTCTAGTAGAATCCTTAAAATTGGAGTCTAGAAAGGGCATAATGGTTGCAATTCTTTGGCGTTTTCTACTCATTCCAGCATTTTACTTCACTGCAAAATATGCTGATCAAGGATGGATGATAATACTCACATCTTTTTTGGGACTGACAAATGGTTATCTAACAGTTTGTGTCCTTACAGTGGCACCCAAAGGTTATAAGGTAAGATCACATTTATGTTATAATGTAATATGTAATAAATCAAAGGAAATCTTCTGAAGTTTTTTGTTTTTGTCTCCTGGTTTTGTAGGGGCCTGAGCAAAATGCGTTGGGTAATTTGCTTGTGGTATTCTTGGTAGGTGGCATATTTGCAGGAGTAGCACTTGGTTGGCTGTGGCTCATAGGTAGTAAGAATTCATTCTGACGAAGAACACAATGCAGTTCATAAATTTGGGATTTGGGCACCAACGGGATCAATTTCCCCTGCATACCAAGTGTATTAGAATAAAAGATTGTAAAGATATTTTGATCCTAAGGAGCATTGTCCTTGTCCAGCTCATTGCCAACATAATCCATATCACCACCATTTATTATGTTACACATTCCAACGTTCACATATTATTTTTCCTTTTTTTTTTTTTTTTGGTTTTTTAAAAGAAAAAAGAGAGCACACCAAATTAAATAAATCCATCTAATTAAATATGTAATGATTTGTCAATTATAAACGTGGTACTCATGAAAAAATGTGTGCCATTACTAAATTATATATTGATTATAAAAGCCATGTGAAAATGAAACCAGCCTTTTAAAAAAATAATAATAATTGACATATGGTGTGTAGTGTGTATTTGTCGATTGAAAATTAATTAGATAATTGGGATTTTTCTTTTAGAAAAAATAATAGATATGTTTTATTAATTAAGAATAACAAAATTTAAAGAGCATGATAAAATTAACAGATCATTTCATTGCATTTCATTCAATAAAGATTTAAAATTAATGTTTGATTTTTTTTTTTTAATCTTTCAGTAACTCTTATTAAATTGACTCTAAACTCATATTTGATGTTGGAAAATGATTTGTACGTTTAAATTTTATATTAACACCGTTTTTTATACGGAAATTTTGGTAAGACTTATTTAATATACACCTAATGAATTAGTCATAACAAATTTTCATGTTGTAAATATTTTTTTCGATACATGCAATATTTTCCAAACATTTGCTTTCACATCGACACCATTTTGAATTTTTGATACTTGACACTTTCCTTTAATTTTATGCCAATTAAAACTATGCATTTCTCATTTTGTTTTATTATTTTTAGGAAAACACTGAGTCTGTAACTCTATTTATAGACCAAGCTAACAAAATTAAAAATTTTTATTGAAATAATAATATTTCGGACTATATGATTAAAAAAAAAAGAAAAAATCAAACATTTTTTAAGAAATCAAGAAATTACGGGTTTACCCAAAAAAAATATATATATATATATATATAGTAGACCAACTCTTTTTCATACAGGAGGAAACAAACTCCTGCTCTTTCATATCTCATAGGATTCTATCCGTAAAGAATCTTAACTCTCATAGTATTTCTCTTTCTCTGTAAAGTTTTCCTAGTTAAGGAAATTGTAATTAAAGACGAAAACCATCAGCTACGGATTCACCAGTTCACCATTCGCTGGCCAAACAATTCCCTAAAAGATTCTAAAATCAGCAAAGATTCTTTGCTGTACTTAACTAATTTACATTGTATTTGTTAAATTTTCCTTTTCAATCACCCATCAAGCATTATTGTCAATTCACATTTTCAAGCAATTAAATACTAAAGGCAAAGACATCTGATTATCTTCTTCATCAGATTTTGAATTCTGCAGTTCACACTCGTTCACGTTTTGCTTTTGGACATTACTTCACTGTCCTTACCCATAGCGCTCCTTAGAAGAAGTCATAAAAGAAAGGTGAAGTCTTTTTCATCCTTTTCAGTGCTAATCTTGATAAGGTTTCTTGCTTTCTAATGAATGTCTCATGCCTTTCATATTTCTCTGTAGACTGTAATATTTGTTTGTTGGCTTCATAATCTTTATACAATCGCCTTTTCTCCTATTTTTTCTTATTTGTGTAATTTTGCTTGCTTGCAGAGTAATAAGGTTGGCTGATAATATTTTTTACTAGTCATGAGTGTTGTTAATGGAAGTGCGGCTCCTCCATCGAGGCTTGAGGTTTGTCGTTATACTTTGTTTCATTGTTTAATTCAGGACTGGAGATTTTGTTTTTCTGAAGTAATTAAGTGAAAATAATATTCAGTTAATTTCTGCAATATGCATGTGTCCAGGGAAAATATAAAGCAATGTTTATTTGTTGGATGCTGGGTCTTGGGTCGCTTGTTTCATGGAACAGTATGCTAACCATAGGAGATTATTACTACAAGATATTCCCGGTAAGGAGCTAATATTTCTTTTCTACAAATCAGCCAATCAAATATTAAAATTCTTGCTCACTAACTGTCTGTACAAAAGGCTATGCCAATTTACAGATTGCAGAACTTCATCTATTTGTTAATCTTTTTTTCTTTTGTGATAATTGATATGCCATATTTTCCTGTTTGAAGAGTTACCATCCTTCAAGGGCACTTACTCTTGTTTATCAACCATTTGCACTTGGAACAATGACATTACTAGCATATAATGAGTCAAAGATTAACACCAGAAAGAGAAACATAGCTGGCTATATACTCTTTACTACAAGTACTTTGATGCTGTTGGTTGTAAGTATTCTATTAGTTCCTGTAAATTCATTTCATCCACTTTGAATAGCCATTCACTGCTTTGAGTAATTTGGATGTCATTTTTTGCTAAAATTGTGACAGTTGGACTTGGCTACATCAGGGAAAGCCTTCACTGCTTGAGAGTAATTTGGATTGTCATTTTTTTGCTAAAATTCGTGACAGTTGGACTTGGCTACATCAGGGGAAAAGGAGGAGTGGGGGGGGGGGGGGGGACCCCCACCCTAAACTTGGGCATATGTGTCTAGTTGTTGGACTTGGCTACATCAGGGAAAGGAGGAGTTGGACCTTACTTGGGCATATGTGGTCTAGTTGCTCTTTTTGGAATTTCAGATGCCCTTGTTCAAGGTGGCGTGGTTGGGGACTTGTCTTTCATGTGCTCTGAATTCATCCAAGTCAGTTTTTTTCTTATTCTTTAATGTTCTTTACAATTCTTTAGGATTTTCAATAGAACTAGGGATTCTGATATGTCTTGGTTTTATACTCTATCAGTCCTTTCTTGCTGGGTTGGCTGCATCAGGAGCATTAACCTCTGCTTTGAGGCTAATCACAAAAGCAGCATTTGAAAAGGCTAGTAATGGGCTTCGAATTGGTACAAGTAAGTGACTTTTTCCACCATTAGAATTTAGACACACTTTTTATTTATCGATGTTCCATTGTTTAATGACGGCCACTTTATATTTAAATTTTGCAGTGTTATTTTTAGCAATCTCCACATTTCTGGAATTTCTCTGTGTTCTGCTATATGCATTTTGCTTCCCTAAATTGCCAATAGTGAAGTATTACCGTGCCAAGGCAGCAGCAGAAGGATCAAAAACTGTTTCAGCTGATCTTGCAGCTGCTGGAATCCAAACATCTGCAACCCAAGAAGTAATGCAATTTCCTTGTAATATTTATTAATGCTTACAACTTGGAAGGATATATAACCTTTTTAATCTTATAAATAATACATTTTGATATATATACTAAAATCCTGTAAAATTTCTGCCCTTTCTTTTGCAGGATGAAAATGATCCCAAACAGTTTGAACGATTGAGCAATAAAGAACTGTTTTTCCAAAACATTGATTATGCACTTGATCTATTTCTAATATATGCACTTACATTGTCAATATTCCCCGGATTCTTATACGAAAATACTGGCAAACACAAATTAGGCGAATGGTAAGTGTAAATTCACAATTCTAAAGAAGTGAACTGTTGGACATAGATTAACAATAATCTAGTGAATGATGGCCTTTCAGGTATGCTGTAGTTCTGATTGCAATGTACAACATTTGGGATCTCATAGCAAGATATATTCCCTTAATAGGATCCTTGAAATTGGAGTCTAGAAAGGGCATAATGATTGCAATTCTCTCGCGTTTTCTATTCATTCCAGCATTTTACTTCACTGCAAAATATGGTGATGAAGGATGGATGATAATGCTGATATCCGTTTTAGGACTAACAAATGGATATCTAACAGTTTGTGTCCTTACAGTGGCACCCAAAGGTTACAAGGTTAGTTCACATTTATGCTGTGATGTAATATGTAACAAATCTAAGTTTTTGAGGTCCCTTTGGAAATTTATTCGTGTTTTTTGTTCTCGTTTCCTGGTTTTGTAGGGACCTGAGCAAAATGCTTTGGGTAATTTGCTTGTGGTATTCTTGGCAGGCGGCATATTTGCAGGAGTAGCTCTGGATTGGCTGTGGCTTATAGGTAGTAACAATTCATTCTGATGAAGAAAACAATGCAGTTCATAAATTTGGGATTTGGGCACCAGTTCACGTACATTGCTGCTCAAATCATTAACATCAATATCATCTTCTTTCCTTATTATTCGGCTCAAAGTATTTCTTAGTTGCTGTTATATGGTTTTACAGTTGGGTTACGCCATAAGAAAATATGATTTCTAACGAAATTAACATTAAAAAATAAGAAATTTCTAAACACATGATCATTTTTGATTGATTTAACGTCCATTATTGGAACACTAAAACTTCTCCGTCTGAAATACATTCCAGAATATTCGGAATAACAACCAGAAGTAGAACAAATATAGGCATGCTTGATATCAGGAGTATATTCTGTATATTTTTTTTGTCTATGAATAAAAGCCACTGGTATACGGTTAGGTTCAATGGTCAACATGGAATCACTCTTTGCTTCCCATGCAACCTTTCTTTATATTACAGATATAATTCAAGCACACAATCCTTTCTTAAAAACTCCATAATCAACAAAAGATTTTTATTTTCTGATAGAAGAAACCTCCCTGCCAATAATAAAACAATCATCACCATCATCAAAACTTCAAAAGCTTGCCTTCTTCTTCCTCGTTGGTGTTTTACATTTCTTTACATTTTTCTATTTTTCAAGAAAAATATTTATACAAAAAATGTTATTATTTACGAACATCTTTAGAAACCAAAGAATACTTCAAAACCCAATTCGCATTGTAATTAGAAATCGGCATAAGGACACAATACCTGTGGCCTGGGAGAAACCAAAAATGGGTTGGACTAAATTGAACTACGATGGCTCATGCAAAGGCAGAGAAGGGAAAGCAAGCATTGGAGGTGTCTTTAGGAATCACAAGGCAGAATTTTTATTGGGTTATGCAGAATCCATAGGCACAAGTACTAGCACCATAGCAGAATTAGCTGCGCTTCGAAGAGGCCTAGAATTGGTTTTGGAAAATGGTTGGAACAAGGTCTGGCTTGAAGGTGATGCTAAGGCATTAGTGGAAATTATTGTGAAAGGAAGACAAGTTAAATGTGCAGAAATGCGTAAACATGTTAGCGACATTAATCTTATCATACCAGAGCTTGATAATTGTATTTTGACCCATGTTTATAGAGAAGGAAATAGAGCTGCTGATAAATTTGCTCAATTAGGACATCAACTGGATAAGCCTAAAATTTGGTGGCACATTCCTCCTGAACATGTTTTACCTATTGTGCATGAGGACGCTGAAGGAAAGATTATTTTTCGAAAAAAATAATACTTATAGGCTGTATTTTTATAGAATTTGTGTATAATTATCAAAATAGATAATCATCTGCTTGAATCGCAGCATTGCTTAGTGCAGATTTGTTATATCTTTTGTATATAAAATCTATCTAACTGTATAGATAATCTAATGAATGATATAAAATGCAATTGTAATTATTGCCAATGTATTGCAAAATGAATTTTAAAGCACGTCTTCAATAAATATTATTCTGAGCATGATATTTCATTAGAATCATATTTTCACATGGTTTATATATCAGATAAACATAAAGATGGTTAGAACGAATTTTTTTGAAACTGCAATTCCATTAGAGAATGTGAAAAGGTAATTATTGAATTTATTGGCAAATTTATATTTATATATTTGCCAATTCACATTGGCTTTTAGCAAATATTATTCTTGAAATTTTTGTCAGAAATAGTAATCTGATAAATATGATAATTTTCCATTTCTGCACAAGAAGATGGAAAACATGATCGAAGGTAATCCAAATTAATATTATTTCATTTTTCGTTAATCTTTTAATACTACAAACTGCAAAGCAAAGGAAGCCATTTCCTTCAAGTTGTGTATTAGTATGCTCCACACACAATCTAAATATTATATTGACTTTACAATGATGAATAACGATAGCATAATATGCCTTACGTACCTTGCAGGACAAGCAATTATTTTTTTCCATAATACGTTTTGTTTTAATAAAAATTTTAATCATCCGTTTCTTATTTTTATTATCTATTTTCTTCAAAAGAAAATTTATTTTGAATCTCATATATATTTAAACTTGAACTAATAAATAGTAATTTGCAATAATTAATTATTTATTATTTTACATCATTCTGGTGTTTTATATTAAATTTATTTTAAGTGACTCTTAATTATTTGATGATTATAAATTTCAAAATTTGTTTTTCCATCTCCTGAAAAGACAAAGCTAAAAGAATTCTTAAAAAAAAAAAAAGAAAATGAAAAAGGAATTAACTCGGTGTATATGGGCCCTGCTACGTCAACGGAATGAAAAAGAGATTGGGCTTACATGAAAGATTTGTTCCATCTTCTAGTGGATTTTCGTAGAAGTGAAAAGAAAGCCCAATGGGGAAATCCTTTTCTTGTCGGAAAGAAATCAAGGTCAAATTGCTTTCCGACGAGCGCTAAATTTGTAATGGAAAAATTAATTAAGCGTCTAATACAGAAACAGTCAGCATCAAGTAATATGCTTCTAACCTTAAAATTACCACATATGTGGACCGGTCCGGACTGGATCGATCGGATTGGATCGGATCGGATCTTGTTAGACCAAAAATACATGGAAATAGAAGAGAAGGGAACAAATGTAGTACAAAGTTTCAGTACACGCAATTTGAAAGCAGTACAGATCCCATCTTTTCTAATTTTCAAATGCATTTTTTTAAAGAATGAATGGAATGGTAGTACAAGTGCAAAGAGAATCGTTTGTTGAATTGTTGCTGCAGTACAATTCAACTAATATGTATGTTTTATTTACTACATATAAATATGTAAAGATGCTTTAATTGAATTTGTATTATTGAAGGAAGCATTGGAGAGGATCCCAGATTGCAGAAACATCATTGAGTGCAGCGTTGATGAATTCTCGGTTGGTTGGTCAATTTGATTTCACCAACGCTGCACTCAATCATGTTTTTACACTTTTCTGGAACAAACAATGCAATATCTACAAATTAAGTTCTGGTTTGATCAGAAAGAAAATAAATTTTCACAGGTCTGGCAACATATGTATGTATTTTATTTTTCATATTTTTACCAATTTTTGTCACCATGTCAGTTTGTTTTCTTTCAATAAACTTTTTTGGCGTTGGAATGGCAGACAGACAAAAACTAACTTCATTTTACCAGTTAGTAACTTGGAATTTTTGGGTACCAATTTTATGCTTTTAAAACAATGATCTACCAGTTTGATACTGAAATTCAAAGATTTACATTAACTTTAAAACCGGAAGGTGTCGTGGCATGACCTGACTTGCCTATTCATATTTATTTCCTATAAAATGAAATGCCACTGCTAGAAAGTAGAAAGTGAAATAAAAATCACATCACAAAGTTTTGTGAAAAAATATTATTGAATCACTGTAAAAGTTCATTTTAACTAATACAAAATCATACTTCTAAATATCGCAGAACATTTTCTTTTCATACAAGGTCAGCGTTGTGGTTGGTAAATTATCTGTTAAAAAAAAAAAATGCAGAGCCTTATCTGCTTAATTCAGGCCACAACTAACTAACCAACCAAGAGCAGACTTTTAGGTTGTGAAGATTTTCTCAAGAAAAAACAGCAAAAATCTCGAAGAAAAGAAGATAAAAATAAATGACAGAACATGAAAAAATACAAAATGTTTCACTTTTATCAGTAGCAGAAATGAAAATGCTAAACCTGCAATTGCATCAAATAAAAGCTGCTAAAATTATTACATTCTGAAACGCTAAAGGCATCAAATTCTTACCAAATGAACAGAGAAATTTCACATAAGGAATTAATGAGATATGATTACAAATAGCTGCAGAGGTAAGGCAATGTGTCACTGCAGATAGATATCTTTTGTTTTAAGTCCAAAAGAAAAAGGAAAGGGCAAATTTTGCATTCTCCAAAAGATTCCTTGACACAGTCTCAGTTCACAAGATAACGCTTCTTATAATCTGAGAGAGAGAAAGAGAGTCCCGCAATCCCTTAAATCATCGATCGTGACCATCTTGAAGATTTCGAGACCAAATTGGACTCTCTTTTGCCCAAAAATTACACCTTTCTGCCACCTATTTTTCTCTCTATAACCACTCCCTACCATAAATGCCCTCTCTAAAACCCTTCAGTTCTTTACTTCAGTCGCTCTATCGTCTGTTTTCTTTCAAACAAGTTCCAGTTTCTGTCACTTTCCCGAGAAAAGTTGCGAAAATTTTACCGGAAAGTTAAAATCTTTCTTGGATAATGGAAGAAAATGAGCCTCTGCCTGACCATCTCCGGTGCAAGAGGACGGACGGCAGGCAATGGCGGTGCAACAGGAGAGTGATGGACGACAAGAAGCTCTGCGAAATTCACCATCTCCAAGGCCGCCATAGACAGTATAAGAGGAAAGTACCCGAGTCACTGAAACTGCAAAGGAAATACAAGAAGAAATCAACTGCCAATGCGGATTCAACTCCCATCAATGGCGAAATTAGGGCACATAAAGGGGAAAAATTGTCGAGATTGGTGAAATTGGCGAAGCCTATGAAGAGAAAGAAATCGATTGGCGAATCTGAAGCGCTTGACGAGGCTGTGAAGAAGATGAGACTAAAGAGAGGGGATTTGCAGTTGGAGCTAATAAGAATGGTGTTGAGAAGAGAAGTAGAGAAGAGAAAGAAGAAGAAAAAGAAGAAGAAGAAGAAAGTTGTTGTACAGGAAATTAATAGTGAAAATGATAACGATGTCGATAGTAGTAATAGTGAGGGAGAGTTAATGAGAGATTTACCTAATGGGTTAATGGCAATATCCCCTGCGAAACATTTTGGCAATGTAGCTGCCGCTTCTTCTTCTACGCCTTGTGATATCAAAATTGGAGCTGCTGATTTCAGTGCGGTTACTAGAAGGCGGTTTCGGTCTAAGAACATTGAGCCAATGCCAATTGGTACATTACAGGTTGTTTTTGCATTAGCCTTCCAGAATTTCTTTACTTTGCCCTTTCTGTTTATCTTGAATTTTGATTAATTGTATTTGTTTTTTGTGTTAATTCAATCCAAAGGTTGTGCCTTTCAAGAAGGACATGTTGAAATTGAGGAGGGGAAAGAGGAAAAAGTGTCATTGGTGTAGGAGAAGTGGATTGAAGACTTTAATAAGGTGTTCTAGTTGTAGAAAACAATTCTATTGCATGGACTGCATCAAAGACCAGTAGGTTTTTCAACATCAATTTATTTAAATTGCTTCCAATTCTCTATTTCGCCGGTTATTTGTTCTGTTAATTGTCGTTATCCTATAGTTCAAATATTATTATATTAACATGGTTTGTCAGAATGGTATTAAGAGATAAAAAGGCTACATTTTTGACACACTTAGAGCTGTAAGTTGATTGACAAATGCTATTCAAGGAATTATGAAAAGACAGAAAGAAAGCAAGAAGGTGTGGTTAGCATAGGCATCAGAATCTAATTGGTTAAAAACTATAGATACATGAATCTCTAATTATCTGTCCGTGGCATATTGTAAAAATGTATTAGACTGTTGCTTAACCCAATAATGGTTTTGGAATGAATTTTGAATGCGTTAAGCCAACTGCTGTTTACTAATTCTTAAAGACATTTGATTGGGGGATTAGATGATTACTAATTCTTGATGTTCAAATGAATTTAGGTATTTTGATATGCTAGAAGAAGTTAAGATAGCGTGTCCAGTTTGTCGTGGAACTTGTTGCTGTAAGGTCTGCTCAGCAATTCGATGTAGGGACATCGAATGTAAGGTCTGATTTCGAATTTGACTAAATAATCAACCAGTTTGTTGGCTATTTTATGCTCAATCAGGATGTTTAAACTTATGTTAAAAATATTGTTCAGGACTTCTCCAAGGACAACAGTAAAGTCAACAAAGTTTTACATTTTCATTATCTGATCTGTATGCTTCTTCCTGTCCTGAAACAAATAATGGAAGATCAGAGCATTGAGCTAGAAATAGAGGCAAAAATAAAAGGTAAATATGATGGTTCTGCTCTTTGATCTTCTGAAATTAACCTTCGCTACTAATCCACAGGGGATCTTTCTTCTGATGTTCTTCAGTCTGTAACAGGCGAGAAACCCTCTGATGTTCAAATCCAGCAGACTGAAGTCAACTGCAATAAGGAATTTTTCTGGTATGTCCTCCCTTTCTGAAAGCTTCAATGTCTTTGCCTATGCTCTATTTTTATTTTTTTTTTTTTTTTCCATTGCTCTCTGCTGCATGATTCTACTCCTGGAGCAGCAATAGTTGTGACACTTCCATTGTGGATCTCCATAGAAGCTGCGCCAGTTGTTCCTATACACTTTGCTTAAGTTGTTGTCAGGATATTTTTCAAGGGAAATTACCTGCGAGTGTTAAATCCCTTCTCTGCAAATGCCCTAGCAGAAGGAAAGCTTGTACATCTGGAAATCAACTTTCAGAGATGAAATCAGTATGCTTCTCTAAGCGGAATTATGGCAGTAAATATTTTGATTCTTCTATGTTATTGCCTAATTGGAAAGTTCCTGACGGTAATGGTGGTATACCTTGTCCCCCTCCAGAGTTTGGTGGCTGTGGTGATAGTCTCCTTGGTTTAAGTTCTGTTTTCCCCTCAAGTTGGACCAAAGAACTGGAAACAAGTGCTGAGGAAATAGTTGGTTGCTATGAGTTGCCAGAAACCTTGGATATTGTTTCACCGTGCTCATTATGCCTTGGGATGGATTGTGAAGTTAATGGGATTATGCAGCTTCAGGAAGCAGCTATAAGGGAAGATTCCAATGATAACTTTCTTTATTATCCTACTGTTTTGGACATTCATAGCGATAACCTGGAACACTTTCAGAAGCATTGGGGCAAAGGCCAACCGGTAGTAGTTCGTAATGTGCTTGGTACATCTGATCTGAGTTGGGACCCAATAGTCATGTTCTGTACTTATCTTAAGAATAATGCGGCCAAGTCTGAGAACGAGCAAGCTGCTGATTGCTTAGACTGGTTTGAGGTTAGCTATTTTAGTCACATTCCATCTTAACATGCAGTTTACTTGTTTAAATGTTAGTTTCAAAGGATTAGCAAATCCTATAACTCTCTCTCTCTCAACTTGTTCATTTTGTAATGGATGGCTTGATTTGTGGATTGTAACATTTGACTTAATCATTTAAGTTCAGGAGTTTAAAGCTGTGTATGCATCCTTCTAGGAGTCCTTACTGTTATTAGTTGAAGATACTTTATTTTCCCTCAAAAGTAGGAATATAACTATGAATTGTGATTTGAAGGTTCCCTTGCAAAGATATTTAGCCTGCCCTTTCCAGAGGATGCTAAAGAATCCAGGATACAATCTTTCTCTAAGTATCTTTGCCTCTGTGATGGCTTTCTGGTTGGTAATTGCTCCAAGCAACTGCACAAAATGTTGCTTTGCCCACAATAGGGAAAAAATTGAATCTGCTTGGCTGAGGTTGCATGCTCTTGTAACATGATGAAGCATGTATATTTTTCTGGTCTTTTCACTCCCACCTTCAGGAGAATACCATTTATCGTTTTTTCAAGTTGCAATTTTTGGTGCACTTCTTAATTATATTTTGACAGTAACATAAACTTTTCACTATCTGTTAATATTTTATTTTTTTCAATGAAAGCTGATAGCTACTCATTAGGAAGGATGAGATAATATTGCATCCCATAAATACCTCTTTCAGAGCTGAAGCTTCTGTGTTTGCTATTTACCACATTGTTCTTTATTTCTCTACCTTTCTAAAACTGGAAATTTTTATATGTGTTTTCAATTTCCTGACACAAGGTTTATTACATCATAAAATTTGAAAACAACTTCAATTCTGAATATTAACATTTTTTTTTTAATTTCGCATGGCAGGTGGAAATTGGTATCAAGCAATTGTTTATGGGGTCTTTTAAGGGCCCAAAACATGCCAACATGTGGCATGAAAGGCTAAAATTGAAAGGCTGGCTTTCTTCTCATTTATTTCAAGAACATTTTCCAGCTCATTATTCTGAAATCCTTCATGCTCTACCAATCACAGAATACATGGATCCTATTTCTGGTGTTTTAAACATTGCTGCAGAATTGCCAAAGGAAATATCAAAGCCTGACCTTGGCCCATGTGTCTATATCTCTTACAGTAGTGGTGAGAATCTTGTACAGGCTGATTCTGTGACAAAATTGCGTTATGATTCATATGATTTGGTAAGTTTTGGTCTGTTTATCTACATTGAAATCAAATTTGCTTTGTGAACTTTGCTTAAAACTTTGGACTCAATGCAGTAGTATTCAATTTATTTTCCTCAGAATGAAAATTCTCTCTTTGGCACAATCGTGCAAGATAATGTTAAGAGCAATAACTTCCAAATATGGAGTGAGCTATTAGCACGGGCTCCACTTTGCTCACATGCACCTTTGTCTGGGGAATTCAAAATGTTTGTTTATGCAATAGTTGTAGTCTGAAAAGTAACTTCAATTTCTATGAAGTCGAATCATTTAGTTTGCTTCAAGAAGTCATTTTTCTGTTATCAAGTTTACCACTTGCATGTTTTTCCTTCTTGTTTATAACCCATTAATGTACACTTTTTGGTCATCATATTCAGTGAAGAACAAAACCTTACTGGTCTTTGGTATTCGGTTTTTATCTTTCTGATTTCAGGTAAATATTCTGGCACATACAACTGATGCCCCTGTATCTGCAGAACAACTTAATTATATTAGAAAGTTAATGAGGAAACACAAGGAACAAAATGAAGCAAGTGGAGCAGCACCATTAGATGGACAAAATTTGGAAGAAGTAGGATTGCATGATATGATCACGGAAGAAATGACTTTGCACAAGAAAGTTGCTCGGGTATCGTGGTTTTCTGCTGCTAGTCATGAAGCACGGAGCTTAAGTCTCAAAAGTAGAGACATGTACCTTGATGGAGATCATAATTCTGATTCTGATTCTGATACCGATACCGACACTGAAGTCTCAAAATTTTTCTTTGGGCCTGTGAAAAGCTCCAGGACATCTGAAAATCAGAAGTTTTCTGGGAAGCATACAGAGGGTTTTAATAATTTTGGAAAGCAAAAACTTGCAGACACTTGTGGTGCCCAGTGGGATGTCTTCCGGAGACAGGATGTTCCAAAGCTTGTTGAATACCTTAGAAGGCACTCTAACGAGTTCACTCAAACATATCGCTTTCAAAAACATGTAAGTCCTGATTCCTGAAGAAGATGTTGGACTGTATTAGTATGTCCAAGTCCATGACGATTTACTTTTATCTATTTAGATGGGCCATCCAATACTTGATCAGAACTTTTTCCTTGATACAACTCACAAAACGAGGCTTAAGGAGGAATTCAGTAAGTATCACTTTTATTTGTTCATATAGTCATGTAAAACCCTTTGTTACTTCTTGACCTGCCATTCCTTCTAGAAATTGAGCCATGGACTTTTGAGCAACATGTCGGAGAAGCTGTCATCATTCCTGCTGGCTGCCCATACCAAGTTACGAATATTAAGGTAATCCATGGAAACTATGAAATGAACAATTAAAAGTACTTGTCCAGTTGATCATTCCACAATGTTCTTCAATTGTTTTATAGGTCTCAACTGTTAGCAATTTCATAATTCATGCCAATTGATTTTACATATGTTTCCACAATTTCTTTTGGGCCTTCGTTAATTTGGTTAACTTCCACTTCCTTTTTGGTCTGAAGTTTTAGTTTTGTACTTGGTGTTAAAAGTTTACTTCAAGATATAAGTTGAATGGAAAAACTTCATTTGCAATCAAGAACTTCCTTTGCTATAATGCTTATTAATTTTTTTCCTCTGTTGTGTTATGCAAACTGCAGTCATGCGTTAACATCGTTTTGGACTTTGTCTCGCCTGAAAATGTTACTGAATGCATTCAGTTGATTGATGAACTCCGTCTGCTCCCAGAGAACCATAAAGCCAAAGTAGATAGTCTAGAGGTAGATTACACTTGACTGTTGCATGATCATTCTTCATGGTTGTCCATGTGCTGAATAAGGCTTTGTTTTTGTTGCAAAATCAGGTGAAGAAAATGGCCCTTCATAGTATTAGCAAAGCAATCAAAGAAATCCGTGAGCTTACATGTGCTGAGTAAGTGACTCCATTGAAATATACAAGTTCCTGTTGTTGCTTCTCTATTAAGCTCCAACTTGTATTACTTTTCAAATAATAGAAACATCCAGCGACACTATAACAAAATTCGTATCTGAGTTGCGATAGTAGGAGCATGTCGGTCATCATTTTTTTATTATTATTTTTAATGAAAATATCTATAGTATATGCAATCAGAAGATTTCATGTAGATACGTTGGTTGAATCCATTTGGCTAAAGGGGGTGGGAGGGCTACCTCGCTGTTTTGTGGTTGTGTACGAATGACGTGTAGGTTTTTATTATGTTTTCTAGAAGGGCCGAAAATAACAATTGAAAATGTGGCCAAGAGTCTCTCGGTTACAACAGAGCACATGAACATTGTTTAGTATTTGGTTGTTACGGCAGCGGCGGCGGGTGGGGGGGTGGTGGGGGGTTAGACCACTCACATTGTTACTTGTATTTATTATCCATACTTGAGAAGTTTGCAGAGATCTGTCTGACTGCCACTAAGATGTCCAGAGGAATCAAAGTTAGCGCCTTCTACGTGCATTGATATTGAAGTTTCCACAAAAAAAGCCAGTATAAATATGTTTGTAGCTGCCTATTTATTCTTTGACTAGAGCTACACAGAACTGACCCGCCATGTTTGAAGCGTAATTTATATGATTTTTTTTTTTAAAAAATCTGATTCTAGTGCTCTTTAATTGACCTGTAATATAATATAGATGGTTGTATCAATCAATTTAACATGTTTCATTGATGGTCTTTTAAGAATTTTATGCATCAATAAATTTATATTACTCTACATAATTGCAGGACCAGTGCTGAGCTCAATGATCGACAGTGAGGAATGGTAACACAATGGATATAATTTCCTGTCACTTAAGCTCATTTTATTGATTATATTGGTGCAGAACATTGATCTCCGCTATAGCATGCATTGCATGCAGAAATTTTGATACATCCCCTCATATCATATCATATCATATCAGCAGTAACAAAAAGCCGATTTCTGCAGACAGATTAGCATTCATTCACCCTTCTGCTACTTTTGTACGTAATTGTGATCAATGAATTGGTTGTACATAATAAAAGACGCCGGATGGACATTTGTTTATTTATTATTTTTCCGTCTCTGTACAGTAAAATGGTTAGCTTTTGAAGGGTTCGCTGTAGGCTGAAGTGTGGCCATGGCTTGCAAATCTGATGTGAGGATTGATTTACCTAAATAGGACCTGTTAGAATTTCAAACGAATTTCATAAAATTCTGCGTTTATGTTCATTTTACTTGTAGAAATTAAATTTTATGTACTATAGTTAAAATGAAACACACATTTAAAATAATTTGAGATACTTGATATTTAAGTTAATAAAATTTGATATGAATTTCATTTAAAGCTAAATCCATAAATATTTCATAATCTAAATGATGTATTTTAATCAAACTCAAATTCAAATCTAAACACTGATTAAGTGGATTGAAACGAAATATACAGAATTGGATATGAATAAAATATCACTTGTAATTTATAAATAAATTTTTATAACAAAGAAAAGGTTAAGAGCAAATTGCAAAAAATTGTTGATTTCTGTGCCAGATCCAATAATGCCTCTTTATAAATCAAGATTAAGAGTATTTATTTATCATATCAAGTGAACAATTTCATAGGAAAACAAGCACCAACTGCCGAATCTATGAATCCCAAGAACCGGCTTCTTGCTCCCTTGCTCGTGTAATTCCAGCTAACCATATAGTGTTGAAAATAGAAAAGGCAGCACAAATTCAACTTTGGAGTATAGGAACTATGTTCTTCCAATGCTCAATGATATGATACCAATAAGCATCATTTAAATAGAATACAAAAGTTAAGGCATCCAAAAAGAGTTATAGTTTACAATAATTAAGGGCTACAAAAGATGGCCATTTACATAGCTCAAAAACATACCATTGAAATGATCCAATATGAACCTGTACCAAGCTTTACCCAATTCTACTATTCTCATAGTTATGTTAAAAAAACTAAAGTTACAGAGGAATACAAGTGAAATTTTATAAAAAAAAAAAACAAAATTTAAAATCTACAATTAACATTCATGGGTTTTTTTTTTTTTTTTTTCTTTTTTCCTTGTGTGGTAATACCAAATTGAAGGGGAGAAAGGGAAAAAAATGGTCAGAGAAATGTTAGATAAACCTCTTTCCTTATCACATTTAGGTTTTTTTTTTTTTTTTTTCCTTGTGTGGTAATACCAATTGAAGGGGAGAAAGGAAAAAAAATGGCAGAGAATGTTACGATAAACCTCTTCCTTATCACATTTTTGCTTGCAAATTGACATGCTAAGATGTGTGAGTAATCCTACATGGAAAATCAACAAGAATAAATAAATACAGGACAAAATTTTGCAGGCGAAAATAAAAATGTCCAAATTTCTCGGGGTACCAAAACTCTTGTTATTTCTTGGAACTGGTATAATTTTTTGATCTTAGCACTGTCAAAATTGTTTTCTTAGGAACAGCACCATAACATAACCTTCTCAAGGTGCCATCAGCCCATCAATTGTGTAGGAAAGAGACTTTGCCCAGTCAGCTCGGAGAAGCAGCGTTTGTAGTGTGTGCATTACATTGTATCCAGGATCCAATTTCCGCTGCCAGCCCTACATAGTTTGAATCGCCACCAAAAAGTAAAGATCTGAGTAACACTGGATTACTAAAAACCGAAATTAATGTATGGCCTATGTCTTGAAGCATAGACCTCTTTTCTCCTACACAATTAGTTGGTCGCACTTTGGCCAGCCAGTAGGTAAACAACGTTAAAGTAACAATAGTTATAATCTAAGTTCAATTGGCTGTGTCGTCCTCATCCTAAAAACATAACGTCACCAGGAAGAATGAATTTACCTCAAGAACTAAAGTTGTGACCATTACAGTGCAAACATTTCCATCAACATTGACTTTATGGCGCCTGACTTTCTCAAGTAATTCTTGCATGCACTCGGCAGGATGAATTAAATCACCCTCAGGAGTACCCCAAAAAGTGAATGCCTCTTCTACTTCCTGTCAGAACAAGTCATCAGATATTATAACTCTGAAGGAATAGATTTCTTCTACAAAAAAACAAGGGGGAGAGATTCCAACAGTCTTGACTCTGCTAAGAAACATAATAGTCAATTTAAAAACTCAAATTTGAAAGGGTTAATTGCTTGACTCCACTCATTTCACTAAAGGAATAAAAGGTTGTCAGCAGATCTTAGGCTCAGGACATGTCGATATTTTGCTTAAAGGCTAAACTATCTTCCAAATTGTACCACAACAAACATAAAGTTCCACCCTGATAGAGAAACAAACCCATGCATTCTTGACACAATTAATCCTAGTAAAGGAACCAAGTGCCACATATCTTACCTCAATAAAAGCTTTTGGATTTGGGCAATTTTGTTGCTTTGACAATCTCAGTGTGCATTCTGCTGCAGTACGACCATCTCGACGGGCAACAGCCTTAAAAAATTCAAGTAAATTTATTCGATCACTCTTGGAAAGTTCAGCAGTCATACCAACGTCAAGGAAAATGACATGGGGCTTTGATTTAAAGAGCCCTTTCCGAGAAGACTTGTTCTGAGACACCCTAACAAGGATGTTCCCAGGATGCATGTCTGCATGAATAAAGTTGTCCACCTGAAAGAAGAAATACTACCTTTTACGAGCTGAAATATTAAATGTATAGCTGAGAAGCAATGAAATGAAAGGACATATTAGCACTGCATCATGAAAGAAATGTGAAAAAGTATTACCAAAAGCATTTTCAGAAGCGCATGAGTCCCAATGTGAGCAAGTTTAGTTTTAATCCGATCATGTCCTTCCATGTCATCAACATAGTGTGAGACACATTCCCCTTGCTCATAAGTTTCTACTAAAACAGCAGGGTGCACTAGTGGGTATACAGGCTTTGGAAAAGATACATCCTTCCATCTACGGAAGTTATAAATAAAGCGGCTCAAATGTGCAGCTTCCCTAGCCAGGTCAACTTGAGACATCATGAAAACTGCAAACTGCTGCACACTCTCGTCCAACCTCAACCAATTCAAAGTTGGAATGAACCTTGATGCTTTAGCTACGAAGTTTATAATCTCAAAATCTCTTCTAATTGATTCACCAACACCAGGATGCCTAACTTTTACAGCAACTACAATAGGCTTCGCCTGTTTTTGACCAGGGTATCGAAATCTCAAAGACGCTCGATGCACTTGAGCAATACTTCCAGATGCAACAGGAACCTCTTCAAAACCCTCAAAAATCTCTGAGAGCTTGCGACCAAATGCTCTTTCAATAGTTTTTCTAGTGTAGGCAAAGCTATGTTCAGGAGCTCTGGTGTGTAGCTCTGAAAGCTTTGTGCATAAATCTCTAGGAAAAAGATCTGGCCGAGTAGCTGCCCACTGACCCCATTTTATGAATGCTGGACCTGCTTTCTCCAGAGTCCGATGAACAACCTGAAGCCACATTTTCCTAAATCGTGGACCACAACAATCCGCAAATGGTGCCATTATTAAGCTGGGTGAGAACAAAATGGCCAAATAGATAGCTCTCACTAGCAAAACAAGACCTTCCACAGCAGACAGCACTAATGAGGTCACGAAAGCACGTCCATCTTGGGCATGCATGTACAAAGAATTTGGTGACTGGTAGTAGTCTGTTGCTGCCAATGTTCTCTGTGCCCATACTGCCGGTCCACATGTGAGTGCAAAAGCACCAGGAACCACTAAGGGGGATCGTGTTAGAGCCAAGCTGACTGCTTGAGCAATCCTGCTTATGTGGGGGAAAGAACGGTCACTTGAAGAACCCTTTCTGAAAAGCCTTTTCCAAGCAAGTTGAGCATGATGTGCCACTGCATTACTTGCTGAGACAACAGAGTAATTCCTAGAAAAATAACCCTGGGAAACATGCCCCTTGACACCAGGGAATCCAAGAGAAGAATGTCCTCCGCTTGAAAACCTATAATGTGCATAATATCTATATTGGGGTAAACTTAAGCCAAATGTAATTACTGTCCCATGCTTCCTCAGTTCTGATTGTCTAGTTCCCTGATTCAAAATAATTGACCGTGCGATTCTCTTAATATTTCCAAACATCAAAAATCTGCATCCAACAGTTACATGGCTTCAGAATTCAATTCTAAGTTAATAAGATCAATATATTTGGCAATTACTGCATATCATATCCTTGCAACAGCAGGAGTCATCCATTATAGACTATTAAACTCTACAAAAAGAAACATACTATGCAATTAGCGAGCATTCCCCTACAAAAATGGCTAAAATTTTGAAATTGACATTTATGTATCGAGCACCGAGTATAAACCATAATTACTAGCTCTAATTTGCAATACACAGAAGCAAAATCCCTAACTAAGTCTTCCCCCAAGAAAACAGGAACGAGTCAACCAAGTTAAGCTCCAACAATCAATAAGACCATACAATAAGAGAAAACATGAGAACATAGAAAAGAAAAGTCCAAATAAATTAAGCAACAAAGAGAGATATACCTGGACATTGCGATCGACAAACGAAAGTACTGGCGGCTAAGGCTAACGTGCACAAGAGGTGAAGAATGGCTATAGCTCTTGTTGTTGTTGCTTCTGCAAACATCTTTTCATGGATTCTCTCTGTGTGCAGTATGCTTCGGCTCTGCTATTGTATAGTTTTTTCTCGTATGTATAATTGCCGTCTTAAGCTTTGTGAATCCGTCGTTATTAAGGATCTTGGTGTCGAAATTTGTTTCTTCGCGGAGAAATAAGGTGGCTAACGGCGCAAGAAAAGAGGAGACGCAGAGTTAAAGGGAAAGACTTTGGGCCTTCGATCTATTACTCTTGGGCCCACGGTAGTTGGATTTGCTCGGCTCTCGTGGGCTTTACGCTATGCATTTTTTTGCCTGGTGTTTTCTGCGTCCACGTCATTGAATTTAGGGGGAAATTTTTGGATACCCAAATTATAGTGAAGCTAACTAGACATGTAACCGATCCCCCAATTGTATAATCTTTATTTTTTAATTAAATTGAATATAATTTTTAATAAAATTATTTTAATTTATATTTATGTTACTTTAATTTAAAAAATTTACTTATGTATTTTTTATTAAAGGATGGAAGGTAAAATTATACACTCTTTTTGAAATTCTCAAATATTAAATTGAAATATTAATTAGCACAATTAATTATTATAAGCAAATTATTGTTATTAAATTAATATATTTAGTTAATTATTTATTTTTTCTCTTTGAAATTCTCATATATTCAAATTAAATGAAATATAAAAATATTTAATCTTAATGAAATAAATGTGAATTGAAAATTAATATTTAATTCTATTTAAAATTTAATTATATTATTTAATTAATTTTTATTAACAATGACCCTGTTATTTAAACTCCATTAATTTTTTATAGGACTAAAAATTATTTAATAAATTAACTTTATATTTATTATATACTAATTTAATGAAAATCTTCCATAAGAGTTTATTTAGTTTGGAACTTATTATTTAATTTTATTAGTTTGTAACTTCATTATTTAATAAAGAAAATTTAATTTTTATTAAATATAAAAATATTAATTATAATGAATATAATAAAATGTCATGTCATCATTTTTATATTTTAATATATTGTCACGTAAACATTCAAGTCTTAAAAATTATATATTTATATAGATAGATAGATACTAGATTTTTTATTATTATTATTTTTAAGAACTAACTATGGAATGCTTAAATTATAATTATAATAAAATTACTATATATATATTCGGTGCGGAGGTGGTTAAATACAAATTTTGACGAAAATACCCCTAGATGGGGTAAAAATTTCTATGGTAGTTTTAAATTTGTTCGTCAATTCCTACAGAAAAGACAAAAATAATATTACTTAAAGTACATTTTGGGTTCCTAAATTATAATGAAAATTAACACATAAATCTCTAAATTATGTCTCCATTTCAAATTAAGACCCTAAATCAATAGACTTTAAATAGAAAGATCTATGAAATAAACAATTCTTGAAAATAGAAGAATCTATGTATTAATTTTACTATAATAGAGCGATCCAAAGACTTTCAAAAAAAATTTATGCAATTAGAGTGGAATTTAGAAAAACCTTTTTAATTATTTCCGAATTCAATAAAACTCATGGGTGCTTCTGAAATTTCGATAGGCACAAATTTGTACAATTAAAAGTTAGTATTTAGTAGAGAATATGAAGGATGAAGAAGAAAATTCAAAGTAATAAAAGCTACCAAGCAATAATCTATTGCCATCATCACGTGATGTTACCATAAATATAAATTCAATTGAAGGCAAGCAATCCATGCCCATATTAAATTTAAATTTGTTACAATTTAATCTCAAAATTTAAATCTTATGCAGCTTTATAATGGAGGAACATAAAATGAGGTACAGCCGCTGGGTTAACGACAAAACCCTTATTGCAATACAAAATTTCTATATAAAATATATTTTTATCGCATTAGGCCCTCAAATACACCATTTCACTTCTTAAAAAATGAAGTCATTTTCACTTAGATCAACATCATTTTTATTCAAATTATAAAGGATCGGTCATTTTCATTTAAATCAATATCATGTTCACTTAAATCAACATCATTTACTGTGCATATAATGTTTTTATTAATTCCTATGAACTTTAAAACATTGTAAACAATTAGCAACAACAAGAGCAAAACACTTCCTGACATATAGCCATTTTTATTTTCTTAAAAAAAAAAAAAAAAAAAAAAAAAAAAAAAAAAAACCTATTACAATATAATATAAACCAGCACCCAAAAGAATGACTCCCAAGATTCAATTACCGGATTATTGAATTTAAGATCCCTATTAGCCCAATGGACTTCCTTGGTATATGAAAGTGGGCCGGGGAGACCAACCAGGACATGGACAAGTCTATCAGTTGCGCCCATTGAGCTTTATGTCATCGTAAGGTTCTAATACCATGTTACTGCGAATTCCGTGAGGACCCCCAGTTTTAAAAAATAAACGGAATTTTCGGGCCACCATTTCGGAAAAAATAGTATTACAAAAAAATATTTTACAATGTTACACTATTATTTTATTTAAAACCTTTCAATCATTTCAAAAACTGAAATTCTATTCTATCAAACAATAATAATATTCCTAGTCGATTAAGAATATTAAAAATGAATTCTTAATTACAATAAACTCTCAATTTGAAATGAAACACAAGTTACTTTTTATCAAAAAAAAAAAAAAAAAAAAAAAAAACAAAAAAAAAAAAAAAAAGCAAAAGAAAAAAAAAAAAAAAAAAAAAAGCAAAAGCCTGCATAATAAATAAAACCACGAGTGCTAACCGAAGGTTAAACAAGAGGAAGGGAAAATTACAAAAAGCAAAGTAAAACAGAACAATACAAGCATTAACAGCACAAAACTAGCAAATACAGGACGCAGCGTAAACATATAACCGTAATCCCAATGTTGCTATCCCGTGTTTAAAAAAAAAAAAAAAGAACTAAACAGAATTAACGTTTTTTAACTGCCGGTTCCTTCTGCGAGTTAAAATACACAGCAGCAACCGGAAGCCCAAGTCCACTTTGGGCAGCAAAGTGGCGGGTGTTGAAGTTGCCACGACCATCTGGAGGTTGAATCCTTCCCATCAATGCACCTTTCTGCTTGAACAGCGCAAAAACATAACGGTGAATGCCGGTTGGAGGCTGAGGTCCCATGTACGACACCAACTCATGCCCTACAACATATCACATCAAATTATCCATCCATATCTTAGAGTTCTAATAAATAAATTTATCCGTGACTAAAAACAAATAATTTAAGACAAAAGAACCTTTGGTAGCATCGGATCCTTCTGGAATATCTACAACAATCCTGCAACCAAATTAAGTCGATCGCCTTCATTTGATATTCTTATATATGTACTTCATTGCTATTCTTTAGTTATAATTAGCTTTAATGACATGCAAAAAGGTTAATGGAGTATTAGTTACCAAAGAAGCCACTCTCTCCATTTTGGTTCGCTAGGACTTGGAGCATCAGGATCAACCATAACCTATATATATTAGCAACCGGTGAGTTTTGATTTATCAGTATTAATGGAGACTGGAGTAATATTTATATATATAGGAAATACCAGGGTATAGAGATCGGAGGATAGACGAGAACCCAAAATATGGACATGTGGTTTCTGAGCAGCAACAGAAGGCTTGATTTCACAGCCATTAGCGACTTGCTTAGAACCATAATGCACAGTGAACTCAGCTACTGGATTGTACATGTCAAGAACTTCACCGATCACTTTCCCAACCACCAGTGGTTCAAGAGAGCGAGCCATAGCTAGCTAGCTAGCTCTAAAGATTAGAACAGGAACTCAGATGATGCCTGTCGTGGGCTTTTGATCGAGCGTGTATCGTGGGTCACACGAAGCAGCAAGAGTCACCTAACGAGCTTTGAAAACAAAATATATAGCGAAAATGTGTTGGCCTTTTCTTTGGATGCATCAGGTATGTTTCAGAAGATGGAAAATAAACCATGTGAGAATTGGACGACACGTTGCATAAGATATTTCTGAGGTGACACGTAGCGTGTGCAAAATGTAGTGCGAGGTACACGTGTTTTTCTTTGGTGTTTCCGTCGACTTAAGCCGGCGTGGAATTGCTTGCTGTGGACTTTCACGCTCTTTTACGAAATTATCTTTTTTTTTCCTTCACTTGGAAAATTTATGATATTACTAGTAAAAACGAAATTAACTTAATTAAAAAATAAGTATTGAGCCAAGCTTGAATTTAATAGGTAATTTTTATAAAATTAGAATTAAAATCCGTGAAAAATACTTGCATAATTGAATTTAAAAAATATTTTTTACAAAATTAGAGATTTAAATCTATTAAAAAATACTTAAATTTATAGAATATAACACAAACCCGAAAAGTGATGAATCACGTACCTAACCTAAGTAATTAATTAACGTTATTCCAAAAAAAAAAAAAAAAATGAAAAAAGAAAAAAGAAAAGGAAGAAGAAAGTAACTAATTAACACAATTGCGAATGAGATTTAAGTAGATTTCACTTTCGGCTTCAGTAATTTTAATTGGATATTTTTAAACTGCTCCACTGCGCGGGTTCGTGACTTTGGACTTAAAGTGCAGCTTTGAAGAACTCTACCTAATTGAGTAGTTGATTTCATTTCACTATTTAAAAACAACAGCACAACAGAACAAATGGGCAAATGATTGTTTCATTTAAAAATTAAAATACTCTCATTGAGGAGTGCACCGTTTCACTCCACTGATTGCGATAGCGAATCTGAAAAGCTACCCAGCGAGGTAATGGTTCGGGTTCTGGTAGCCCGTAAAAAAAGAAAAATGGCAGTTGCTGATTGGTTATACAATAATTTAATTTTGGAGCCTCGTGTGATGATAGTGATTGAACCTGTTCGACTTTCGGGTTAAGCCCAACGGGCCTTGAAATGTTGGGCCTATCATTTCAGTCTTTAACAGAGAATCTGACTACGGGAACCTTTAGTTCCTGCTAGGCCCATATATAGACACATCGCAATCATCATTCAGGAAAGTTATGTTATATAGGCCCATATTCTGTAAATTAATTTAATTTAATGCCCTTCAAAGGATCTAGCTGTAATTTAATTTAGCATAATAAGTCAAAACCCCACAGCTAGCAGAAAAAAGCAACATAAGTCAATTTCCTAATAATTATTTACAATCTTGGAAATGGTACATTGGACCAGATTAAAACGTTACCATCCATTGATGTGACGAAGCGGACAGGTGTATGCATCTCGACGACAATATAAGCTAATCAATTAATTAATTTACAATTTAGAAACGTGATTTTTAATTTTAATTTTTTTATTTATCGATTACAGGATTGGATTGACTGAAACAGTAGTGGTGGACCATGACATTAAACTGATAAGATGTTCGTTCAAATTAAAACCATAATTTCTATCTTCCCGCCGAAAGTTGGAGTAAACTCTTTAGACTTTAATTGGTATGCTTTGAGCTAGATTTGTCGTCATTCGTAATTTAATTACTTCTAATTAACGAAAACAAAAGAAAATCAAGTGCATTAACATATGATTAATTTATGGGTAATTCTAATTCTGTAAGCATAATTGTAGTAGTAAATTTCTTGGCCATCGGATCATGTTTCTGAGTAAATATATCCATAGATCACAGGGTACAATTAATTACAAACTAGCTCTAGTATTTAACTTTGGGTAATTAATTTTACCTACTTGAAACAATTCAGATTGTTGTACAGAAGGCTACTTGAAGTCCAAGGTATAAGTTAATTCCAAAGACTAAAGTTTCATTCGATTTCAGAAAATTTTTTTTCAAGAGTTGGGATGGGAGGGCCATCGTCTCAAATTTCTCGTAATCAAAAGACTTTAGAGTGGAACTTTGAGTCCTACTGAAATCATTTTTAATTAATAATTATATGTATATATTGCATCTTTTTTTTTTTTTTTTAAATTAATGATGATAGTGGGTTGCTCTCAAATTATTATTTAATATAATCAGCAATATTTAAGATATTCGAGATAATTGAACCGGATCATATTATATTAAATTAGCTATAATTAAATTATGCATTTGTGTCATCATCACATCATCAATAAAAAGAGATTTAAAGTCAAATATTGCATAATCAAATACTTAATTTTTAATTAAAAAGACATAAACCATGTTAACATTTCAATACCAATGCATCAAGGAGTTCATGCATTATATATAAAGGCAATGGACACACTAAACATAGATTTGCACATATTAATGTAAACCCTAATCTTTTATTTTATATCCCTGTTTGATTTAATCATTTAAATGGTTGCAGATACATAATCATAAATTGAAATCTCCGGTAACAATGATAATATTGTTGGTGAGTTAATGATCAATTATGAATTTGTAATGAAAAATTACCGTTTATAACACCTCTTAATCAGCATAAAAAAGGAAGTCAAAATTTGAGAACCATTTTCTTTTTTTTTCCCTTTTCTTTTCTTACCAACCAAAGATTATGCTTGCGTACATATAATAAACTTGACTTGATTCACTAAATTTCTAGAAAAATTTCAAAGTTGATACATTAAAATATACCGTCTTTTTACTTTTTATCCCATTCATAATTAACTTAAGGTTGCATAACCCTAGACTATTTCCTTAATTACATATAATTTTCTCACTAATTAATTATTTGAAATACGGGAAGAAAGACAAAAGCTGGTCAATATAGCCAGAGCCCCACGATAGAAATGAGAAATGCTATAAGCCATGAGGCCCCATTTGGTTCATTTTGTGTGCCCTATTTTGTTTAGAAAATGCAACGTAAAGTAAACATATCGACGTAGAAACAAACAAAGAAAACATGCAAGAAAAGAAAAGGAATACAACGGCGAAGACATAAACGCACTTTAAGGAGTTTACTTATTCAAAAAACAAAAGGAAAGGTTTTTCTTTGGACGGTCGATCAAGAAAGTGAAATGTGTAGTCTATCTATCTAAAGGTCGGCTTATAGTCAAAATACATATGTATAAATAAATATATAAGCCGTACGCCATAATTATACACTTCCTTGTATTTCTTGACACGTCGAGATCTAAATCTTGATCAATTAGTATTTAAACTTTGACAATCTTGATTTTCAGTTGCATCATGTGTATATACATCTCAAAAGTCCAATTTTTTCTTTGTTTCGACGTACAAATGACGCAGAGCTTACATGCATGGTTTTGGGGGTTGTTTGACCTAATGTGCCGGTAACGGGATAGGGAGCTTCGAATCGTACGAGTAGAAGTCTTTTTTTTTTTTTTTTTTTTGAGCTTCGAATCGTACGAGTAGAGTCTTTTTTTTTTTTTTTTTTTTTTTTTTTTTTTGGCATTTATGATAAGTGCCAAGTGTAGTGATGGCATTTGGTAATTCTTGGTTCCCATTTATAGAATTTGACTAAGATTTCCATGCATGATTGAGAGGCCTATAGATTTTCTAAGAATCTTAATTAATTCCATGTCCCTCGTTGTTATTTTTTTAATATTTTTCTCAAGTTCCAATTTTAAAGATCTAATGTACATAATAGAAAATTAGACTAATTAAAATGGAGTAGTATATTATGCAAAATTTATTAATTTACAAAATTAATTACTTTGACTTTTAAAGTAAAAAATAATCGCTTAATCACTAAATTATCAAACACAAGTTCTTCAAAAAAAAAAAAAAAAAAAAAAAAAAAAAAAAAAAAAAAAAAGAAGCTCTTAATCACTAAATTATCAATCCAATAACAATTATGAATAAGTTTAAATATTTATAATTCCTGAAATTTTATTTGAAAACTTATAACCCAATAATAATAATAATAATAATAATAAAGTGATGGATTTCAAAACTTATTGATTGATCAAAGTTTTGTAGGGTAAAGTAATTAATAGTTTCCAAATTGACTACGAACTTCATTCATGCATGTGAAAAACGCAGCCTAAACACAGAAAGACAAAAGAAAAGAAAAAAAAAAAAGAAAACATGCACATGCAATTTCACGAAATATATTATGTGTTTTGATGGCATCCATTCCTGGGTCTTGTTGTACGTCCAGTCTGGAGATTACATTTTTGTTTTCTTGCAAGTCATTCCATGACTTTGAACATTAACCTGGCATTACTCTTTACCTGAAAACAAATACATACCAGTGAAAATCTAGGAAAAAAAGGTATGTTTTGAATGATTAAACTAGCTAATTTGAAGCGACAGCGTTTCTTTCACCTGTATGATTTTCAAATTATTAATTAGCAAAAAGTTTATGCTATGTTCAAACTATGCTTTACATTCATAATTAGTGACTTTGCACTGCATACTGTTCCCAGTGACTTTCCTTTATATAGTTCATGAAATTATCTTTTGTAACAACAAACAGAGACCTTCAATATTTTATTGTCATTTATTTTATATATATAAATATATATATATTTGAAAGTTGACAGAAATATAAATCTTAAAATGATGATTTCTCGAAATGTTTACTTTTTGAAAGATATTTTTAGGGAAGTTGTCTTTCAAGAAATATGAAACTAAAATTTCAGGATTTAAAAAAAAAATTTCCTACGCAAGTTACCCAATCAAAGGGTTAATATCGCTCAACAGCGGTACTTTCTCCTAATGATTAATCCACCAATCCCATCTTTGGACAAAATCGAACGGCTCCAAAAGGAAATAATTAATCGCCGATTAGATGAAACACTCACTTCTTAAACTTGAAAAAGTTCAAACTGGATACGTCCCACGGTGCTCGAAACCTGGTCAACCAGTAACCCTCTAGAACTCAAAATGTGGGACCAAATCCTTCTATTATTGAATACACGTGTCGCCCAAAACATGACCTAATTACTATTTGGGTCTGTGGAGAAGCTATTAATGGTGAGAGGATAATAAAGGGACAAAAACGCACAAGACCCACGCCATTATTTTCCAACAGCAAAGTAAAACAAAAAGCTTCTCTTCTTTACAAAAAAAAATATAAATTACCTGTAGGATAGAGACACGTAATCACTTCTTTCTTTTATTTTATTTTATTTTATTTTTTGTTTGTCAAAGGCAAATTGTCTCCCATTACCATAGTTTCCATGCAAATTATTACTTTATTAGTAGTGAAATGACAGTTAACCTACAGGTGGCGAGTACACGTGTTAGCTACATGTTCTCCGACGATTGTTGCCGGGAAGGTGGCCGGAATTTGACTCTGTCGGGATCTCTGAAACAACATGGATTTCTTTCTTTTCTTGTTATGGTTATTACAGATTTCCTTTTTTTTTTTTTTTTTAAGATTTCTTTTTTTGTTTGATTTCCTTTTTTTTTTTTTTTTTAATTCTTTACCCTCCTTAGATTTCTTCTTTATCTTATTACATTGCTTTATCTTTCTTTATAGATGTTATTTATCAATTTAATGAAGAATCATTATCTACTTCTTTGAACTAATGGAGAAAATTAATATATGATTATAACTTGTTTACTATTATTGGGCAAGAGACTTAGAAGTCATCGATAGCTATTATTTATTTTTTGATTTTTATTTCTATTTGAAGTAAATTCTAAATAAATTGATATCACTATGCTGGAAACTTCCAATAAATAAAGATAAAGAAAGAGATATGATCATGCTTGCTGATACAGTAATTAGGAGAGGAAAATTTAAAAAAAAAAATTAATTAGTCATAGATTTTACACGTATCGACGCTAACAAATCCATAGCCAGAAAATTTGGACAGACAAAGGAAAAGATGAAAAAAAAAAAAAGGAAAGAAAGAAGACTTGTTTAATTTGATCAGTTACATTTCTTTCTTCAGATTACATCAAATTGCTAACATCCAAAATATCAGAGATTTCAAATTTCAAAATGTTACTGCAATAGCTTTCCCTCTCATCTTCATTGCTGCTACTGCCATTGATACACGTTGAATTTGAGTTCAATGGCGTTGGACTTGAAGAAGGTGTCGATAATACTGACGTTGCTGCGAAACTAAAATTTTGGTTGCTGTTATTGGAAATGAAAGTTGAAGTTGTGTCAGATGATGGGTCCATAATAGCTGTTTGATCATAATAGTTATAATTTGGTAGAGCCATGTAGTAATGATCTTCCGTTAAATTTGAAGCCATTCCGTTATCGCTTAGGTCGGTGATATTTGATGGGTATTGTTCTAAGTTTGGATCCATATATGGAACAAATGGAGTAATAGTAGCATTAGAAGTAGTTAATGTGGTGCAGTTAGGCATTTCTTGAGTTTGGGTTTGAAATTGGTTTGATTGGATTAGCGGCTGATATTGGTTTTGGAGTTGAACATTATCACACAGCTGATTTTCTTGACCATTTTGAGAAACAAAGGTCTGGTTTTGGCGTTGAGAGGAAATAATAGATGTGGCTAACCGGAGAAGTTCTGGGTTAGCCATCGGCTGGAACCCGAGTAACCTTGAGATGTTCATTTGAGAAGAATCATAAAGAGATGACCCCAAGATAGATGACAGGTCTAGAAGATCAAGCCTAGGACTGTGAGTAACTGGATCAATTCCCATTCTAAGAAGTCTCTTTCTAATGTGTGTATTCCAGTAATTCTTGATTTCGTTATCAGTTCTTCCGGGCAACCGAGCAGCTATGGCCGACCACCTACATGTTATCAAATTAAAAAAGCAAAAAACATGTTTAGAAACCAATATAAATTATATACTTAATCAAATACATAAATATAATAATGAAAGGCTTACTTGTTTCCTAATATACTGTGTAGCTGAATTATTGTCTCCTCTTCTTCAAAAGAAAATCGTCCTCTCTTGATGTCAGGTCTTAGATAATTAGTCCAACGAAGACGGCAACTCTTTCCACACCTTTGTAGCCCTACAAAGACATTAAAGCAAAATAATTAGAAAGAGAAAACTTTAAAAATGATCAAATCTTTCAACTGCAGAAAATGAAAAGCGAAGATACCAGCATTCTTTGGTAGTGTTCTCCAGTTTCCATATCCATGTTTCTGTATATAATCAATAAGCTTTTGATCTTCCTCCGGAGTCCAAGGTCCTTTCTTTAGTCCATTTTTATCGCAACATGGCGCTCTTCCCATTTTTTTAGAGAGCTTGAGCTTGTTGAAGTTACTGTCTTTAGGTGTTCAGAGCTATAAAGAGTCGAAAAAGAGTTTGCAAGTTGCAACAAAGAGATGTAGGGTCCGTATGGCAACGTACTTGTATAAATAGCGAAAGAGGAAGGGTAAGAAACAAATAGAAAGTCAAAATGATTCGGTGCCGTAAAAAGAGTTTGCAAGTTGCAACAAAGAGATGTAGGGTCCGTATGGCAACGTACTTGTATAAATAGCGAAAGAGGAAGGGTAAGAAACAAATAGAAAGTCAAAATGATTCGGTGCCGTCCTCTGTTTATAAAAATGTCGACGTGTCCTTAAAAATGTGGAAGTCTATAATGCGAAATTAAAACAATTAAGATTTTTCAAAAATAATAAAAATAAAAAACTAATTTGTCATGCAAAATAATAATTGCTCATTAGCATGTCTCTTTCTCTTTCTCTCTTTCTTTTTTTTTTTCCCTCTTTATCTTATTAGTAATTTATTAGAGCCTATGGTTATCATTTTCCGGCTAAGGGTGTCACTCCTCTCTTTCTGGATTCATATTAGCTGTCACCAACGCTGAATAGCCACGTACCCTCTTTATATTTAACATAACCCTTGCTCTACGATTTCTTCATCTTCAATTCATGCATGGCTTCAACTTTAATTACTATTTAATTAATAATGTTTTAATTTGTTTTTCCGCCTTGAAAATCCCATATTATCCCCTGATAAGTTATTGTTAGAATTACTGAGTCGAACATTTCAGGGTTAGTTCAGGCATTTCATTATAGAAATAGGGGTCATTTTTTGATTATTTTTCCATTAATTGATATATAAGGAGATAGCATTTAATTGGCGATATCAATAATAGAGTTGGGTGTGTTTGCCGAAATATAGGAACATTTATTATGCAGATTGTGATGAAAAGGCTTCTCCTCCAATAAAATTGAAGATAAGGTTTTCGTTGGATTATTCAGTTCAATTTTTTTTTTCCCGGAAAGTTTGTTTTTTTTGGTTTACATGGATGTTTTCACAAGTTCTGAATATCCAATCTTAATCTTACGGGTAAAATTCATTTGAATATTTAATTAATTTTTATTGATTTAACTGTGTTTTTTTTTTCTACGTTTATTAATTTTACCTGAAATGAATATTTTATTTAATTGCTCGCAGTTATTGAAATTACCAACCACAAACAATCAAAAAATGTCCAATCGAGAGAGTTGTCAAAAAATGAAGCGCTTGTCAATAACAAGATGCTTCACGAAATTGGTAAATTAGTCAGGACTCAAGAGTTTTGATCTTTAGTCAACAGAAATTAAGAAAGAAAAAGAAAATGATTAGATTGATTGTCCAAACACTAAGGACTATTTATAATAACATATAGCAGCTGGATGACTTCTATATGTGTTATTTAGTACACCTACCTTTGATCTTTCATGTGACTAAGTTTCACACCATTAATGCCTGCTTCAAGAAAACCATAATTTGTCAGAAACACCAAAGGAAAAATCCAAGAAACCGTTTCTTATAATCTGTGTTCGTTTAATGTAGTATTTGTTATTTCCAACATACGAATATTAAACATACCGCTAGAATTTGATGTTTCAATCAATTTGTGTTTTGTGATTAATAAATTAAATGTAACGTGATAATTACAAGAAATTATTTAATAATTATACTTAATTGACAGTTTGCATGTCATAATCTTTAATTTGGATACATTTAGCGTTCAAATTTTAATATAATAATAAAAAATCTTCATACAACTGGACAAAACAGGTCCGTGTTCGAGTCTTCTCCCACCACCGCCACCTGGTAAGAGAAAAAACAAATTGGCATATGTTTAAATTGTTTTGCAAGTCATAATGCAATTTTAGCTTCAATGGTATAGCCGCAAACCAAGAACAACTATCTTTCTATCTCAGCCACAAGTGAAATTAAGCTTTGATGATTTGCTGTCAATTGGCAAAACGTCAAAAAAGTCTTTTCATTGACTATGGCCACCATTATTAATTGATTGAGAAATTGCATTTTCCATTTCTGAACAGACCAAGAAAATTCACGCAAGAAACAACAAAAAACAAAGGAACAGATCAAGAAACTGTAGTACAGTAGCATTAGCTAATGATAGCTTTTTGCTTGGAGATACCACCCTAAAATCCAAAAATAATCTTTTAGCCAACCTTTTACATATATTTCTCAGAACACTTCTTTCTTTTAATTTATTTTTCAAGGGAGGCTCAAATTGATCCTGCAAGTATGAACAGAGTGAAAAGGCTAGAAATTTATATGAACAGAGTGAAAAAGGCCATGGCCGACTAAAAGTAACAGGAAATTCTTCGCGTCAAAGAGGGAGCTAAGTCGAAAAAAAGAAAGCCGGAAAGGAAGAAAAGTTTCAACAAGAAATGTGTTTTTACAACTCTTTTTAGCTTTATTAATATTAAATTAGGCTATGTCCTACTCCTTTCCACCCTCAAAAGTTTCATTTTCAACAAGCATATACATGGCAATTATTTTTTTTATTATATATAGTCTAATTAATCATATATTTTACTCTTAATTATATAATTTTATATAAATATAACGGAAAAAAATGTATTTTCATTTGAACATTTAGGTGAAAATAATAAAACTAATGTGAAATTCGTACAACATAACATAATAATAATTTGAAATAAGCACCATTTAAGGCAGCTAAAGTGCCATAAGCAATTTAAATTAAATTATAACAAACATAAAATAAAAATGAATAATATATTTTTCATGGAAGACCGTTTCCTAATGTACGAACATGCATATTATATAACTCATTACATGCTTAATTCTTCGGTTTAGTTAGGGAAATAAATAAATTAAACTGATTAGCCGGGATTTAAAATCGACTACGTGTCATCAAAAGGACGTTTTACTTTCCATCACGGGATTGGTTTTCAGATCAGACCATACAGAGATTTCCACATTGTCTCATCTGACGTCCAATGTCCGCTCGGCTTATGACAACCTTCGCTTTTGCTTTCCGGACATTAAACGAGTCTGCTCGTAAAATACTAATATCTTATTATCTGTTTTCTCAAAAGTAAAAACTCTATATTAATATTTGTTGAGGATAATTATTAACAAACGGTACGTTTTATAATGTTAACAATCCATCTTGATTTGTGCTTTCATGTGAAATCACTATTCACGCAGGCCATTTCAAAAAATTAAACTAAACGATTTTTTTTTTTTTTTTTTTGTCTCATTCTATCCATAAGCAAATGGTTCAATTAATAAGATCAGCAGTGTCCCACGTGTGGATTTAGCCACTGTCTATGTGTAAAATAATAAAAATAAAAATAAAAATCACCATAAATGTAGGCTAATGTGCCTCCATGTTCGTTTAACTGAGACACATGATTTAAAAAAAAAAAAAAGCTAAATCAGCAAAAGTTTAGATTAATGCAGAGATTAAGTATGCTTACATCTTAAACTTGAAATAGTAATTACTTGTCCAACTTTTAGGGTTTGCTTGACGAATGGGTTACCCAAAGAAGGAGCGTTACGTGTCCCCGTTGACTCAGTGATGTTTACACAGATTTGGTAGATCATGTAAATAAATTAAATTATGTGATGACCTGTTTGATTGCTCCGACAAACGTCGAATATATAATATTAGAAATGGGATTTTGTTTAGTTTATTTGCCTCCTCCTCAACGTTCACTTATGGCTATTTTAGGATACGAGATCCGAAGCATTCATACAGGGCTCAACCAATAGTTACTATATGAAGCTATAGGCACATATTTTATTTCTCTTTTTAATAATTAGCACGTAAAAAGTCTATTTTAGGGTCAGGATATATATAATATTAACGGGGGATGATCAAAGCTTATAGTATTGTGTTGGTAATTAAAGAAGCTTATAGTAATATGTACACCTGGCCCTTGCGAGATACGTCCAGAAATTTCTCAAGATTTTGTGTCCTCTAATTGCATATTATAGTAATTAATTAATAAGTGCAATTTAGGGGTAGGGCAAAAGAATGGAGTATATAAGTAGTAGTACATATAAAGTATGAACTCTGATTTGCGAGCTTCAGACGTGCTCAAGGCAGATTGGTCTCTAGATTTGAAAGTCTACGTAGTTAGACTCAGTTTATTGATCCTAAACATACATTAATTAAATTTAACTCTAAATCATACCTTTCATTGGATTACAATATGTTATTTTTACTATTAATTAATTAATATCATTTATCTAGAGTTGTACCATGCATAAAATGAAAAGAAAGCCTAGTCATCGTTTTTTAATAAATTTAATTATTATATTATGTGATAAGCCCAACGTTAATTTGCATTATTAAAATTAATAATAAATAAGAAAGAAAATAAGAATTCATGTTGTATTTTTAATAAATGACTTAATAGTACGAACTAGCTAGAAAATGTTAAGAAAGATGAGATTTTCATGCGTGAAATTGATATTAAAAGGAAAATATGGGCTTGTCTTTTGGATCCATGCTTGAAGAAGGGTGAAGTAACAATAGATGGGTCCAACACCTGCTAAATCATTTTAGCTTGCAATTGGTTGAACTAGAGCTGAAAGCCTACAGCCCTTCTAGAAGGCTATTCTTTGCAGGAAGATATATGAACTAGAGTTCCATTCATTAATTTGTTCTATAAATTTTATGCACTTTTTATATGATTCAAATCATTTCTATTTGACTCAAATAAATTAAATACAATCCAATACATGAGAAATTTTTTTTTGTTCGATTTTTCTGTTAAACAAATGCTGCTAAAGGAAAAAAAAAAAAAAAATACCGGAGATTGGATATCTTCTACTGTTAAACAACTGGTGAACCGGAAGCAATCATCTGCAATATCTCATTATGTATGTTGCTATTAGATACAAGGACACCACCTGACGGAAATATAATCCTCCGTTCAACTTGATCTGCTGCAAAATCAAGATGGTTGCCTTTCCAGTCGGTCACCTGATCAAAAGGAAGTAAAATTGTTACGGATTATTTGCAATTTACTTCGAAAATTATTTGCAATCCTACGACTATTCGTTACAAAATACAAAATGCTAAGCCAAGATGTGAAATTATGCAAAACCAACTCATCTGCCCAGGGAACAGTACTAAAGGCCAGAAGGTGACATACCAGAAAGGAAACCAAACCTAGTTCCCCAAGTAATGAGTTACCTTAGCATGACAATATTTGACTTTAAAGACTCAAATCCCCCAAGTCAACACTTCAATTTGATTTTACTATTTTCCTTTTAAACATATAGATACTGCAAATGCATGAAGGAAGACAGGTAATTAAACACCAAGAAAAATAGCCAAAGACAACAGAGGCTATTTCTTCTTCTTAAAAAGAAATAAAAAGTGAAGTAAAATGATTTTTATTACAGTTCCAGTGCATCCAACAGTTCATTCATGTTTTAGAAAATTGGGATAATTTCGTGTACTTTTTTTATTGGTATGCATTTAGAATATGCATCAGAAAAACTTGATTGACCGACCAAAATGCCAAACCATCAAACAAGATATCAGTTCACATTTGCATGCAACAAAAAGAATATACAACTCTAGAAAGAAGGTGGCAACAAGTAGCATACCCTTCCCCCTGCTTCATGCACACATATCACACCAACAGCATGATCCCAAGCCTGCAGTAAATAAGTCAATGAATTAACTGATGCTCAACCAATTGCTTTACGTGTGTCTTGAAATCAGCAATGTACCTTGATTATTGTCTGAGTTCTTGCTCGTTGAATGAAGACTGATGCCCTACCTGAAGCGACCATTAGATACTTGCATAAACTGCATTCAGCCATAACTCCATCATGTAAGTTTTTGTTATCTCCATTATCATCTTATTCATTTGATAGACTAGGCCTTCCAAAAATTTATATATGGTAAAATTAGACTCAACAGGATGCAGAAGAGCCAGGAAGCAAGAGATCTCAACCATCTAAATGGAAAAACCTTATGTTTGCAGGAGTCCATAATACAAAATCTGTTAGTTAAAACTTCAAAATTCATCGATTAAGATAGATCTTTCCGAAAGTGTTAGAAAAGAAGAGTTCCAAGTTTGTCAAACTAAATCAAATAGAATTCTTAAAATTGACAGAGGACGAGCACTTTACCAAAGAGAATATATCTTAGGAGAGAATAAGACATTCATAAACACAAATATTGCTAGAATATTAAGCACAAAATATTTACTGTAGAAGAAAAGAAATGGGAATGGTGGATAGGATAAGAAGTATGTAAGCGTAACACAATAGAAAGAATGGTATACCATCCCATCACAATAATAAAACTCAAATACGTGCAGCTGAAATGGTATAATGCAGTCAAAATACTGAATAAATATGACTAAACCTTCCACAGCACGCAGATAAAAGAAGAATTTCTTTCTCTCCAACTCTGTCAGCATCATTTGTTGCATCAAATAAAGCTGAAAGAGGCAATGACTCCCATGTTTGACTGTCAGGAATACAGAAACGTGCTTCAGGCACAAAGTAACATCCGTCGACAATGCATCTAGTCCAACCATTTGGAATTTTGGCCGATCTACCCGGCAAATCGAATAGCTTCCTCGTCCATGCTCCACAGCCAACATGAGCCACCATGAGGATCCCTGATCCAGATGGCATGTTTTCATATTCCTGGACCTCAGTGGTGGATTTGTATGAAATATCCTTTGGCCAGTTAGGGCAGCCCATAACACCTAATGCAATCTCTCCTTCAACTACAAGAGCCAAACCTACCTGAAAAATTAGCATATGGGCTAACTGCTTACAAGCATGGAAAATGGGTAATAGATCAAATTACAGAAAATAGATACAAGATCTGCACAATAGAATTTTAGCTCTAAAATGTTTCTGCCAAACATATAGATGCCACTTAAAAAATGCTTCTTGTAAACTACTGAGCAGACTTTTTTGTGTTGAATTTCAGTAAGAAAATAAATGCTGGAACACAAATCCTCTATAATATTCTTTTCATACAAAGCATCCCAAAAGTGGCTTTAGCTGCATCCCCCCTTCCCCTTTTTCTGTCTCTTTCTCCAAAAAAAAAATAAAAATAAAAAATAAAAACCAAAGGGATGCTAGAGACAGCAAACTGGTCCCCAATAAGAATTTAGCACAACCAATAAAAACTTAGACTAAGCATACCTAAAACTTTCTATTTCTTCAAACCTCTCAAGTGAAGAGAACATTTAAAAAAAAAAAAAAAAGCAAAATATATACCACATATAGAGCGTCGTCTCCTTTGACAAAACCTTTAGTGCCATCTATTGGATCCAGCACCTGCATTGAATTCATAGACTATGCTATAATAAAACAGGAACATCCAACAGCAATGCTTAATGCAAAAACAAAAGCTGATCCGTCAACAAACTATGACATGACTCCTATAAGAACAAAGAGAGAACATGCTCAATTACATGCATTAGAAGGTACACTTATAAGGCAATGGAACAAATATATAATTCACCGTTCAAGAGGTGTAATGTAAATAATCTGAACAATCAGATATTGCAGAATATATATACATGCCATCAAAATCACAATTACTCAGAAGCTTTACCTACCCAATATGTGGCAGGCCTTGTTCCATAGACAATATCATTCTTCCCCCCTCTGTCAATTGCTTCCAAGACATCAGCATGTTTCAGTGGTTTGTCATTGGAGCTTGTTTTATCAGTAATCACACTTACCACAGAATCCACCAGATTATTTGAGCGTAAAAAACTAGAATCCTCTTCAGCTACCAAGGGAATAGAAGGAAAATGTTTACTCAGCTCTGCGAGCAAAACAAAGCAAGAAAGAACTTGAATTTCCATAAGAATATTACAAACTCAAAAAGCATCAAGATATAGTGATAGATGAATAGCCACTGCCACTTTTTTACCCCTAATTTTATTTTTCATCCATGTTTTACTGAATTAATTAAAGAAGGACAAAATCTGGTCGAATAAGAAAATATTTTTCAGTGGGAACAACATTAACATGTTTCCTTCTTCGAAATCGCACAACAATAATCTAAGAGAAAAGAAGAGAAGCCATGGCCAAATTAATCTCATTAAGGAGGCAAAAGACCACTCAGCATCGAATGACAAATAAACAGTACATAATAATAAAAAAAAAAATTATCAAAACGAAAACATAAATCATTACTAAATAACAAATAGATAAGCTTACCTAAGCTGATTAAGGCCTGCACTCCAAAATCTGCAATTGTAACTGGAGTCTGGTCGTTCTTTTCAAGTACCCGTCCTTCAGTAGAGAAGAGAGACCTTTTCACCTAATGAACATAGTAATTATTTCACTTTACTTTCTCGCATTTTCCTAGAAGACAAACATATTTAAACAAAAGTAAATCATACGTCGACACAAAGACGACAAGCCCTCTCTACAACATCCACTGCAGCTTCAAGCTCTCCGTGGTACTTTGCTTCGTGCTTCGGAAATGGAAGGCTTGACCTGAAAAATAAGCAATAAAAATTAGAAAGTAAAATCACAACGAGTATTTTGATTATAGGAAAGCAGAAGAATCGAGTGGAGTGACCTTACAGGGAAGAATCGCTTGCGACGAGGTGTATTGGAAGAATGATGAAGATGAAGATGAAGGCGAAGGCATCGAACGGTGGAAAACTGGGATGCTGAGTAGAGAAGATCCATTGGCGGGAAAAGGATTGAACGGTGAAGACTGGTAGTGGGGGGTCAAAGAAGCTTTGAAGGTCTCAGCTGTAGAAGAGGTTGCGACTGGTTGGCGGTTGGCACTTGGCAGTGGCAGTTTGTTCAATGGAAGATGGATTGGGTCTGGTTGGCGATGGAAGGATTTGGGTCGTTGTTGTTGCAGCTTGTGGGCCTTCACACGGGTCTACAATGGGCCTTATCCCTTTTTATGTCTCGAAATTCTGCCAGTTGGATCCAAAATCTGATAGTAATCTATAAATCAATACAAATTTTAGACTGTGAGGTAGATAATTACAATTTTCCCTGTAGGTTTATTTTTATTATTTCCGGGTCCAATTTGTTCATCTCCATCCATATATGGTAAAAGTTGAGAAGCTTGCCGTCAGCACCAAGTAGATTTGGCGATAAGCACAAGGGCACGTTGGTTTGGACTTTGGAGACTTCTCCATAAGGCCTTGTTTGCCTGAGTTCCGAAAATAAATAAACTCTCTCCAATTAAAAAATAAATAAATATCTTATCCTTATGCAGAATCGCAAGCATAGAAGCTTCTATCCAAAAACAGAAGTTGTCCTTATCCACTAATCCAACTCTTTCATATAAACCGACACGTGTCTCTACCCACTGGATCAGATCAAATAACAAGCCATCGCCCCCGGTTTCTCATTCACAACGGTACAAAAATGTACCCATCATGGCAGGTTGTTTTTCCTCTCTATTACTCTATATATAAAACGAAACCTTAATTGGAATCAATCTTCTAAACAAAAATCTTGAAATCATATTGCTATCTGGTAATTCGGGGTTGGTCGTTTATATATGAGCTTGAGATACATGAGCAAGGTGGTGTACCAGGCAGGGATGCGAGTTGTTCAGGGTATTAAAGAACCAGTATCCAAGTGTACTGACTCAACGATCAAGTCTTTGAGAGATTCTACTTGTGCTTCTTCTTCTTCTTCAAAGCAGGCAAGACTTTTTTCCGGTGCAGTGTCTGATTCTGGTGCTTTTAAGGCCAACAAGAACGACAAGCTTAAGCAGGCTGAGGAGTCTCTCAGGACAGTTATGTATTTGAGCTGTTGGGGTCCTAATTAATACTATACATAAGTAGCTATGTTTTTAGATTTAAGGAAAATTTGTAAACTGTGATTGCCTTTTGTATATTTCTCTATATATTATAAACATACATGTATATATACACATATTATATATATTTACTTGCAGTCTGTGTGGATTCCACATTCGAGTTCTAAATATTTTTCTATTGATGGTTGTTTGTTTGTTTTTTTTTTTTTTTTTTTTTTTTTTTTTTTCTTTTTTTTTTTTTTTTCGTTCCTGTTCGTGATTCACATTCCAAATTCGGGAGTAAGGAGTGGACCCGAGTAGCAGCAGGTATGGGCCCGATCTGGGAGGTTGTAAGGCCATAAATGTGCCAAACCCGGATTGCTTGTCCTATCTAGGTCCCAACATTGATCCAATCATTATGTTGCATAATTCCAAATGCAGTTCCTTCCATCTCCACCAACCATTCAAACAAAGCTGAATAAGTCTGTTTCAGTTTGTGCCTATTTTTTGTTTTTTTTTATTGGCATTATGAAGACCAATCTTTCATTTCTACTTGAATTACTCTATTATTCAATTACAAAGATCGTATGATTCGCATCATTTTGCAATGAACCTGATGAATCGGCATATTTCTTTTCAAACTCTTTTTTTTTTTTTTTTTGGCATTAGAAGACAATCTTTTATCTACTTGAATACTCATTTCAATTCAAAGAGTATGAATTCGCTCAAATTTTGCAAAACCTATGAATCGCTATTTCTTTTCAACTCTTCTAAAGTGCAGAAAAGCCTAGCAAAACAATCTATTTTTGCTCCAAAAAGGGTAGTCCATAGAAGAAAACTTTCAGTAAGAGGGTGCAGTGGCCAAGAACCAGAGAAAAATAAGACAGCTGAAAGGCGAAGTTTCTTGAGTCTTGAAGAAGCTGGTCTCATAGAAATATCTGGATTAAGCACTCACGAGCGTTTTCTTTGCAGATTAACGGTAACAATCTACTAAACTTTCTCTCTAACTAAAAGCCTATTCCAACACGAAATCAAATTCTAATCAAAATCTATATTTTGCGTCGTGTTCAGATATCATCGTTGAACCTTCTAAGAGTAATATCGGAACAAGAAGGGTGTGAAATTGAGGAGCTGAACGCGGGGAGAGTGTGTGATTGGTTTGTAAAGGATAAACAGAAGAGAGAACAGAACATGGAATCTGCAGTGCTTCAGTGGGACGATTCTGAATTCCAATTTTAGACTTTATCCTCTTTATTGTTAATTAGCATTTTGTCATATTAAACATGCCGTTTTTAATAATTGTATGTTTTTCGTTAGCTTGTCGTCCCAGGTAATACGAAGGTCAGTTTAAACAAAGAAACGACTTCTGTTTGTAAACGGCTAATGCGGAGTAATCACACGCTTATATTTAGTTTGCACCCGAGTGTTAACTGTCGTTTTGACAAAAAAAATGCCGTCCAATGATAAAGTTCGGCCTTTTGTGACGAAATTGATGAATTTTGTTTACGGCTCTCCACTTCTGGTCAAACTGATTATCACTAGAAAATTTGCAGTCAACATAAAAATATGCCTACAACTTATAATGGGCTTTAAATGGGCTCAGACTTATTCGACTGGAAAGGTTTAGGACTTTACTCGACATTTAATGTAAGTTTACGTTAACAGTAAAGTGGGCTTCAAAAAAGAGTTGTTCCGATCCACGTGAGAAATGGGATAAGGACAAGGTCAGATGTCCGTTGAAACAAAATTAATTTACAATTACTTTCTTTAATTTACCAAAATTTTAGGACAAGTAGTTTTTAATAAATAGATTATCACTACAAAAATTAATTTTTTCTTTATTATAATTATTAAAGCTTCTGGTTTTGACCTTTTAAGATACAGACAAAAAAGAATGCAATGTACAAACTAAACCACAGGTGTGCCTTGACTCCTGCCGTGATTGACTGGTTACAAATACAGTGTAGAGAAAAACAAAATACTACTGGTAATTAATCTCCAGCTGTCCAACATTCCAAATAATATTACGTCACCTAATGGAAAAAACAGTAAATCCATTTGTATTTTTTTTTTTTTGGTTTCACATTCAATTACTGATATTTTCCATCAATTCAAAACCTGATTTAATCAACTAATCCCACCATCTCCTACAGTAAACACTTCTAAATGAGCCAAAACTTTCCCCAAAGTCAATATTCCACGTCAACGTAATGTTTAACGCATCAAAGGAAAATCTAAAAAAACAAAAACAAAAAGCTCTTTTTTATTGTCATATTCTTACTGGTATTTCATAATTTTATTATTATTTTATCTTTAAAATTTATCTCCATTTTTGAATTATTTTATTAATATCACCTTTTGTTAAATAATTTAATTACATTACACTTGAATAAAATAATAACTTTATTAGAGAAAATTCGGAAATAAAATAGTTAATTACCTATAATGCTACTGCATTTTATATAATTACCTACTGCTACGTGGTTTCCGCGTGAGATGGTCAACCAGCATGGTCAAATACGACGTGGTTTTGGAGCGGTAGAATTGGAAGGAAGAACTTTTAGTCATTTAGAAGGCACGGACGTGAATACGACAAATCAAAACTAATTAAATGCTCTCCCTAATGTCCGGTCATCTCTGTATCTCACAGCTTCAAGGCTGAAATTCGACTCTCAATCTTTCCCAGAACAGCTTTCCTCCTCCTTTAACCACTGCACCAAAAACAAAACTTCTCCTGTCTCTCTCCTTCTTTCTCTTGATTTCCCGAAAGGAAGCTAGCACAGAAAGTAACAGAGAAACGATGCCGTGCTAGATGCTCTGAGAGACAAATTGAAATAACCAATCATGGCTATAGCTGAGCACAAGTCTCCGTCTGATACTAATAATAATAGTACGAACAACAACAAAGTTTGGGGACTCTTCAAGATGCCGTTTAGAGGAGGCAACGGTAACACGACGCCGTCTTCGTCAACGCATCAACACAGTCAAAGTAACTCACAAGTTGAAGGATCGAATACTCAGGCTTCGAATTCGGTGTCTTCTGTTGCCAGATCGCTTTTGCTAACACGGCGTCGTCTTAAACTTGATCCTGCAACTAAGCTTTACTTTCCTTGTAAGTCTCTCCCCTTTTAGTGCTTCAATAAATTTCATTTTTCTTGTTTTGATTTTTTTTGCCATAACTGCGATCTCTTTTCGGTGTTCTGTTTGAAGTCAATTTTGTTGGATTTATAACTTTATTTGACTTAAAGTTGGTTGTGTTAATTGCTGATTGATACTTAATATAGATATTACGCGTTGAGCCTAAATTGGTCCTCAGGTACTCCAAAATTTGATTTCCTTTATAGATGGTTGGTAATTTAAAATTAGAAATTGAGTGTTTTAATGGCCCGAATTTTTATTATTGGAGAATTTTCCGCTTCTTTAGAGGTCAAATGACTTGATTGTTTGATTCTAAAAACTTTCCATTCTTTTCTTTTGGAGTGACGACATATTTAAGCTGGCTGATATGAGGTAGGTCATTTGTGGCAATCGAGTTTAATTCAGGAAATGGCACATCTATGCACCAACTCTTTTGGGTATTTTGCTCTTCTACTGGGGAGGAAGTTTGAAACTTGCAAAATTGATGCGTCGAGCATCAAGGATTTGGTAACATAGAAATAGAAAGGATCAAAATGTTGCCCAAATTTCCGGACTTGAATCAGTTTTAAGAAGAACTAGCTGCACATGAATACTGCTTGAAAGGGGGTTTATACACATTCTTAAACATTTACATCAATAATTACTTTGTGATGGAGATAGTAACTTACTTGTATGACCTATTGAATTGTAGAAAATTTCTATGTTGCGCTCTGGGTATTGGTACCCTTCACCTTTGACACACTTGGAGGCTTTGCCATGGCACAGAGTTGTACCATGGCCTTTGAGACTGTACCAACAGGAAAGAGGGTATCTTTACCTGGTTGTACCATGAGAAGGACCCATAGAGTAGATAAATATATATAATTCACCACATTCCTTTTTCTATGGAAATTAATGCTTTTCTTTTCTCCTTTTCTGTCAGTATTAATGAAATATCAATTGGTTGATTGGTGCCTGATGATTTATTTGAATTTGTATCCTTTTTTTTTTTTTTTTTTCTTTTCTCCTTTTCTGTCAGTTTAAGAAATATCAAATTGGGATTTGGTGCCTTGATGATCTTATTTGAATTTGTATCCCTTTTTTTTTTTTCTTTTGTGTTTTTTTTTTTTTTTTTGTGTAGATGAACCTGGGAAGCAGGTCAGAAGTGCCATCAAAATAAAAAATACTAGCAAGTCTTTTGTAGCTTTCAAGGTACTAGCTGGAGTTCTTGTGTTTCTAGGCATGCTTCATCATTTTTATTTTTCATGGTATTGACCTGTGTAGGATATTTGGATTGTGTATGTGGCACTAAATTGGAACTTAGAGCTAGACTATTGATGCTTTTTTACAGTTGCTCACTGTATCACTTTGTGTTATATCATGTTGTTCAGACTGATCTTTTACTCTCCAGAACAAATAAATGTCTGAATTTTCTGATGGATTGCCTTTTTTTTTTTTTTTTTTTTTTTTTCTTTTTTTTTTTTTTTTTTTTTTTGTCTCATTTTAGTTTCAAACAACTGCACCAAAAAGTTGTTTCATGCGTCCTCCAGGAGCTATACTTGCCCCTGGGGAAAGTATCATAGCGACTGGTAATCACTCTTGATATTCTATTTATGTTATTGTGTTTGGGACAATGTTCATGGTAATCCAGTGCTTACAAAATGCTATTTTATATTTTGGAATCAGTATTCAAGTTTGTTGAGCACCCAGAAAACAATGAGAAACCAATGGAACAGAAGAGCAAGGTTAAATTTAAAATAATGAGCTTAAAGGTGAAAGGCATGATGGAATATGTACCTGAGCTGGTGCGTAGAATGTTCTTATAATTGTTTCTCTCAATGGATACCTGCCGATATATTTTGTCTTGATTCCATGTATTTCTTTTATTTTTTATAGTCATGGGCATTTTTACTCTGGATTGAGAATACTGATACAACTATGATTCTTTAGCATATCCCTATGGACTGGTAAATGAGTACGACATTAGACATGTTATGCATTACTGTAAGTTTTCATACTTATTTCGGCCTTTTGCAATTAAAAGACAATATCTTGCTATTGACTGCCTGATGTATGTAATTTGATGCTTACAAATATGCATAAGGAGTTGCATTTTCTATGATCAAAATTTCCTGGCATCATAATGGTTCATTGTTAATTAAACATGCATCCCATGTTGAGAATTGCTCCAAATGGCGATTTCAATTTTTTCTTTTGGCCGTGAAGTGTTTTTGATTGTGTAATAATCCAATGCCAATATATGGTTGCCCGGCTGCTGTTATTGTATTCACATTCCAGAAGTTCTTCACAAGTTTTTTTGGCTTGCTCTTCTCTGTGTATCTAAAATATTGTTGTGGCATGCTTAAATTTTCTTTGGTGAATTCATGGCTCATCTTGTTGGATGCTTTTTCTTTTTAGTTTGAAGAGCAGAAGGATCACGTAGCAATAGAGCAAATATTGCGAGTCGTTTTCCTAGATCCAGAGCGGCCAAGTCCTGTAAGTACCGATAATATGTTAATAGTAATACAAGTCACCTTTTGCACTTTTAGCAACCAGTTTCTGTTGTTTTACAAATGTTTCCCATGAATTTTAATGGGTTTCCTGTGCATTAGAAGCTAAGAGAATTCCATTTACGTGGATGCATCTTCATTTTTACAGGTTCTAGAGAAGTTGAAGCGTCAATTGGCTGATGCTGATGCTGCAGTTGAAGCACGCAAAAAGCCTCCAGAAGAAGCAGGTCCAAGAATTATCGGGGAAGGACTTGTGATAGATGAATGGGTGAGTCATCATCTGAATGCCAGAGGAAAAATTCTCATTTCCACTTATAACTTAACATGGTTTATTTAATAGTTGTTCTATTCCTTTTGTAGAAAGAGCGAAGAGAAAGATACCTCGCTCGACAGCAAGTTGAAGGAGTGGACTCTGTATAGAGCAACAACAGTTGTCCTCAAGGTGCCTTCATATGAACAAGTAAATTTTATATATTTTCACCATTCAGTATATTCATGCAATCTTTTCATGTAACATGAAAGTTGTTGTTGTATTCAGAGGATCATGTAGGAAACTCCAACATGTTTCTATGTAAAAATTAAAAGAAAATGTGAGGTGAATTTTTTGTGATTTGAGATGTTAAAACTCATGCTGTCACCTTCTGCCTGTAGATAATTGTGATTTTGTTTTCCCTATTTTTTTTCCTCTCTGTTACCAAATAAAACTGTCTTTCATGGGATGTAATGCACAATTTATTTCTTGAGGAGTATTGACCAACTGGCCTGGACAGGAGAATGACAGCAAAACCTGTTGGCTTGTATCTAATTTCATACATTCTGTTGGCTTGTCTCATTCATTCATGGATAAGCGCTCGAGCTCTATTTATTTTTCGTCTGGTGCTACCTGTCTCTTCCTTGCGGTGGTCCTTGTGGCGGCCACGAGCCTCTTAATGTTGGGGAAAGACAAAATTGCTGATATAGTTATACGAAGCCGTAGCTTAAAGCGCTGGAATTTCCGAATTATGCAAAAGTTATATGTACAGTAAAAAAAAAGTGTCGAATGCTAAAAGAAATAGCAAGGGATGAAAACAAATCTGGTGCTATATGTTTAGCCGGCCTGTTGCGGTGTTTGGACGGCCGGTTTGTCACTTTTCTTTAGACCGCCAAGAACTTATCTTTAAACGTCACAAATGCATCCAAACCACGCAAGTGGAAAAAAGCCATAAACCATTTCCTCCACTTTGTATTGTCAAAACCACCGGCTGACACTGTTCACTTTCTTCCCTATATATACCGAAGCCTTATTCTCCTTGAGATTTTAGGTCAGAGACTACATTGAAAAGCAAAAGAAAGAAAGATGAGTTGTATAACCAGAGTCTATAGGGCAGCTGGTATGGTTGCAATTGAAGAAAAACCGGACAATGGTTCCAAATGGAACTCTGCTCTAAAACGTTACAACGCCGGTGATAAAAGAAGTCAGTTCATTGGCGGTAGTGGCGGTGATGATGAAGAAAACAAGAGCAAACAGGCCCAAGAGTCCTTTCAGATGGTGATGTACTTCAACTGTTGGGCGCAGGGTTAGTTGCTAATATATATATATATAAAAAAGGAAGAATCCAGTTCATTGGCGGTAGTGGCGGTGATGATGAAGAAAAAAAAGAGCAAACAGGCCCAAGAGTCCTTTCAGATGGTGATGTATCTTCAACTGTTGGCGCCGAGGGTTAGTTTCTAATATAGTATAGTATATATTATTATCTATATATATATTGTTAAACACTTTTCTAAAAGAAAATGTTGGATATATATATATATATATATATATATTTTAACACTATTTCTAAAGAAATGTTGATTGAAGATTTGGCGCTTCAAGTACACACTTTCTCTGCTTGATTGGGCGGTTGGTGTCGACGATGATAAGGGTAACATAGCCGCTTGCCGTAGTTATCAACTGTTGTAAGAGTTACCCGCTGCTTTACTAGGTGTAGATATTAAATGTTAGTAACAAGCGGTTAACATCTTGTGGTTAGTTGTTTATAACTACTTCCTCCATATATAAGTCATTTTAAAAATTTCAAAATTAATTATTTATAATGTGAGATAAATATTAATTAAATTAAATTAATAAATTTTTTATTATAATTTAAGAGAATTAATTAATTTTTTAATCAAGTAAAAAAAAATTTAAACGATTTGTATCGGTGTATAAACGGGTATCAATGATTAGCTATTTTTATTAGTGATTTAAAATAGAAGTATTTCAAAAAAATACTTTCTTAACTTCTAAATGGTATTATAATTTCTTAACTTCTATATGGTATTATAAATATTATGCTGCGGAACAGTATAACTAATGATAGTATTTTTTGTCACTAGGTTAAAAGCTACATATTTGATTGACCAAATGAAATCAATAAAATTTTTTATGCTTGCTGTTATTAAAATTTCTCTCTTAGGCACAAAATAAATCCCCATAAGCGCAAAAATCTCTAAATATATAATAGGCGTAGTAAAGAGATTTTGTGATGGGGGCCCAAAAGATGTATTCATCGTCTTTCTTTCTTTCTTTCAGATACCTTGTAAGTCGCAACGGAATCCTACAAAATCAACACTATATTCTCTACCTTGAAACGAACACTTTTCAATTTTTTTACTTCTTCTACAAAATAAAATTTAAAAAAAAAAAAAAAAAAAAAAAAACTCTTCTAACAAAATAAAATTTAAAAAAGACAAAAAAAAAAAAAAAAAAAAGGCCAACTCTTGTTAGCATCCAATGTCTAAAGCTGAGTAAAGAATGCGAGTGCGTTGAGGCGAGAGTCTATCTATACCCATTAGACTAGACACTTGAGAGCTGAAATAAAGAAATGACACGAGAGGAGATATGCACCACGAGAAAGGTGCGTCTGTGATCAAACTTACGCGGACTCTTCAACTTTAATAACCTGAAGAACATAGGGTTGTGCAGAGCGAGTTTTTAATATCATCTAGTGCTGCAGAGAAATGCTGAGAGAGCGTTTATGCGAGAGCGCGCGGAGTAGGTCAAATCCTTATCTATAGGCTGTCTTCTCTATATACGAGTTGAGGAGAGTCTCTTCTTATTTCAACCGCAGAAGGGACGAATCTGGCCACAAGAGCACGTAGATGGCATAGTCATGCGGGATTCTCCTTTCATTTAAAAAAAAAAAAAAAAAAAAAAAGGCCACTTCTTGTTAGCATCCAATGTCTAAAGTCTGAGTAAAGATTCATGCTTGAGCAACACAAGAGAAGACTAACGAAAAAAAGAAGACGAGAGAGCATATGAATATGATTCCTCGACTTCTTTTAACTTTTAATACCCATTTGATGCATTTTTGTGATAGAGAAGGACAAAGTTTCAGTTATCCATGTCAATCCTATCCAAAAACTTATCCAAACAAACCATTAAACACAAGTCATGCGATTCTCCTTTTCATTTTCAGTGCCTTCCGTGACCAAATTGATAATGCAATCCCTCCTTTTGATAACCTTAAAAGATTTGTTCTCTAACCTCTATTATCCATTTACTACATTATTGATTGAACCCACCGCCGATTTTGCCACCGAAAGTTATTACAATCTCATTATTTGCGAAGCTAAAAGAGAAAGAAAGAAAATGAATTGATACTGAAAAAACATGTGAAATTTGATTCTGATCAACTTGTTGCAATTATAGAAAAGGTAGTTGATATTGGCAACGTGAATCTTTATCCACTCGTTTGACAGTTATATTCTGTTATCGCTGAAATGAAATCCCAACTATCTTCTATCTTTCATTTCACCTTTATCCATTACCAGATGATAAGCTCTTACAATTATTTTCTTTCCTTCTTTTTTCTTTTTTCTTTTTTTTTTTTTTTCTCTCCTCCTTTTTGTAGCCAGAAGAATCATCCCTTTTTGAGGTCAAATGGGTGATTCTCTTTTAATTTGATACAGCTTCAATCTTTTCATATCCACTCGTTGAATAGAGAAATTTTGAATTTCTTTCCTAAAAAATTATTAGCTCTTCAATTGATTGTTTATTTGTAATTTAAGAGGTTAATAAATTTATTATTTATGCTTGCATTCATAAATTTGTAATATGAAAAAAAATAATAAAAAGTATGATAAGTTATATCAACGATTATCAAATTTTGTATTAATTTTATTAAGTTTATATAACTTCAACTTCTTTTATTATTAAATGAACTTTAATTTTTTATTTTAATGAGAGTTGAACCACCAAATGCTCAAATAAAATATTTTACTTAAAAAAAAAAAAGAGCATGATGATGGAGAAATATAAGAGAGGGGAAAAAAGAACAATACAAAATACAATAATAGAATGACAAAAGTCATAAAAAAAAAAATCCCTCTTTTTTATTTTTAAAGCTTATTTTACTGGGGGGTGGGGGACATTTACTTGCTAGTAGCTCCCATATAATTAATTATTAAGAAAAAATAAGAAATTTTTGAAATTAATACTCCCTTCGTCCCATTTTATTTACATGGTTTCACAAAACACGCATATTAAAAATTTAGTGAGCAAAAATTATTTTGTCATTGTTTACTCTTAACTCATTGAAGATATTAATAAAAGTCTCTCGTTTAACGAAAGATTATAAAAATTATAATGGAAAAAATAATTATTTACAAGTCTAATTTTAAAAATCTTACAAACATTCTAAAACTTCTCAAAAAGGAATAACAAACAAATAAAATGCGACGGATGAAATAATTTATTTTAGCGTGATAATAGCCATCAAAATCAAAATTTAATGATTCAAAAATAACAAATTCAAATTAGAGAACTTTCATGAAACTAAATACAAAAATATATAGCTACAGTTTATTACTATTTTTTTATGAAAGTTCTTTTTTTTCTTTTCTAATAATAAAGTTGAACATATTTGAAGGAGGAAGTGTGAATAAATTGGATTTTTTTTTTATAACCACTTGCCCATGTCTAGTCAACGGTCCACATAATTTAAAAATTTCTTATTCAATTTGAAGAGATACGGAATCTGATCTGTGGAAATTTTAAGTTAAGAAAAGCTCGAATTAACAATCTTGTGGATCCCTCGTTATCATAAGGTCAGATGCTTTTTTTCTAATGAGTTACCTTTTTAAATTTAATAAGTTGGATTTTATCTTCTAAATACAGAAACAAATCAAGGAATAAAGGATAGATGCTATTCTATCCAATCTAAAGAAAATAAAAACTGAGACCATTATTATTAACCTAACAATTTGGAAGCCAAGGGGCGGTAGCCCCTTAGCCAGTACGGCAATGGACCAATGTCAACGTCCTGTAGAGCTGTTCGTAGACAATAACTACTAGATATATACGTTATGCCTATAAGTTAGGCCTCAGAAAACGGACGGCTATTAATTTCCGTGTCAATTGGAAAATAATACAAATATAAAGGACACAAGATTTCACTCATTGGTGGATTAATAGAAGGAAAAATTACTTACTTTGATCAAGTTTTCTTGCAGAAAATATATCAATTCTTATATATACTCTGAAAATTTCATTGCATAAATAGTTTTCAGACAATTTGATATGATCTTTGAAATACAAATCAGTAGTATGTACTGCTAAATAGCCCAACGAAAATAAAAAACAGCAGCTAAATAAAATCAGGTTCTGTTTACACATTCTTTACTCCATCTTTAGCCATTTCTATCCTTCCATTTGTAAAATCATCTTCAGAAACATATTTTGACCAGTACCAGTGAGTCTTCCATACTTGCCCCATTTCTTCAATCGGAATTCCCTTTGTCTCCGGCAAGAAATAATAAACAAAGATTGACATCAACACCACAAAGAAGGCAAAGAAGAGAAACAACCCGAATTTCAAGTGGCAAAGCATTGTTAAAAATATTTGAGCCACTGCAAATGTGAATAACATGTTTACAGACACATTAACACTCTGCGCGGCTGATCGGATTTCGAGAGGGAAAATTTCACTAGGCACCAACCATCCAAGAGGACCCCAAGACCAGGCGAATCCGGCCACGTATATGCAGATAAAAAGCACAACGACAATTGCATACCACTTGGGCAAATCTCCTGGATTTCCACTTGTTCCGAACTTGGCACCAATACAAGCCGCAACAACTACCTGTACATTCATAATAAACAAGCAAACACAATATTAAAATCAAAACTTCTAAATGCTGAGTTGAAAAGATCAAGACTTTCGGGAAAGCTTAATTACCTGACATATCAACATTTGCACTCCACCTTCTAGGAAAAGGAATCTTCTTCCCCATTTATCAACACCATAGATTGAAACCATAGTTGCAAAGACATTAACACAACCGGTGATAACAGCAGACATAAGTGAAGCATCGCTGCCGAACCCAATTGTATTGAATAAAACAGGAGCATAAAACATAATCACATTAATGCCAGTGAGTTGTTGAAAGAAAGGAATTGCTATAGCCATTGTAAGATGAGGTCTGTATTTTCTCTGCAGCAAATTTCTCCATGGATGTTCTACTTTCATGGATTCTTCACTAGCATGGAGAAGATCAGCGAATTCTTCTTCAACGTCATCAACTCCACGAACTCTTCTCAGTTGAGATCTAGCTTCTTCATGTTGGCCACGTTCAATCATAGAATTTGGTGTGTCTGGAAGGACTAATGATCCAACGGTTATAATAAGAGCAGGGACCATAGCACCACCAAGACTCAATCTCCATCCCCAACCACCATGGATTTTAGCGAAGAAATAGTTCAATACATTGGCTATGAGAATACCAACTGTAATTGATAATTGGAAACCAATGTTAAGTGCTCCTCTGTATTTGTATGGAGCCATCTCAGAAAGGTAAAGGGGCACAGACTGCAATTACAAGCAAAATTAAGATAATTAAAATTTATAATCATTGTCTTAGAGCAAACTAATTAAATTTTTGAGGTAATTAACAAGTAAACTATTTAAAATTAAACCTTGTTTTCAATTGACTCCCACATCTAACCAAGAAAAACAAGGCAAAAATTTCCCTTTCATAATTAATTAATTCAACAAGCCAAATTTTTTATTCAACGCCGTGCCATCAAGAAGTAAACTAAAGCTATTCCACACCCGCCCCCAAAAAAAAAAAAAAAAAAATCAACAGCCAATTTTTTATTCAATCGTGCCTTGCCGTGCCACAAGAAGTAAAACTAAAAGCTATTCCTCATCCCGAAAAAAAAAAAAAAAAAAAAAATAGTAAAACTTTTGCAGAAAAAGTGTGCCAGAAACGTCACACGAAGAAAAATTACTTGAACAAACAAACAAATAAATATATAAATAGTCTCTCTCTGCATGTCTTTTTCTTAATATTTTAAAAACTGAAACTTTGACTGCTAAAGCTAGCATTTTTTTCCTTTTCCCGGCTTTTCTTAGGAGCCAAACACATTGCTATTTCTCATTTCTAAACATCAAAGAGGCAAAAAGTGTTTATATATAGATATATGTCGTTTTATTCAATTCACCGATTATCAAAAAATATTTTTAATAAATTTTATAAATAATTTTTATATATTTCATATATTTAAAAGCACATATCTGAATCAGAAACAACTTGGTGGTGTCAAAAAATTTATCTTTTGTCATTTTCCAAACCAACCCACTTGTCTGATCCGTGGGTAAAAATCATTTGAGAGCAGATCTGGAATAAATCCAGAAAATAAGAAACAAAGAGACAAGTTCAATTCTAAAAAACCAGATGCAATCAATTGAAAATGAAAAAGCCAGAAACAAAAGGAATAAAAACACAACTCGAACCTTTTTTTTTTTCTCTCTTGGACAAACTTGTTAAAGAAAAACAATAAAAAAATCCCAAACCACGCAAATTTCTAGATCCAAATAGAAAAAAGACAAACATTATCGGCAACAAAATCAAGACAAGAACCAAAAACACAGAATAATATACCTGATTGGCAAAACCAATACCAAAACCAAGCAAAATTCTACCAAGAATCAACATCCAGACTGCTTTAGCGAAGCCATTGATGATAGCACCAGCGCAGAAAAGCACACCACCAAAAAGCATAGAAAGCTTCCTTCCAAATTTACGGGTAACCGTTGCGGCTACAACAGAAGCTATTAAAGCAGCCAAGTATAGTGAAGATGTGAACATGGTCAAGGTCTGGCTATCATATTGACAATACTGATTCGTTGACGAGTCCGCATTCTTTTTCCGGAAAACTGAAGGAAAAAACTTTTTCAGGAATGAATCCATGGACGTAACTCCACCTGTAATGAAAAACCCAGTTTTCAAAATCAGTATTTGAAGATAAAAAAAAATAAATATATGAGCAAAAACAAAATAGAGCCTTTGAACGTCTGCACTAAAAAAAGTTTGAAACTTGATCTATAAAAACTAATATTAATATATAACAGTTAATTACCAGAAATCCCAATATCGTAACCAAAGATCAAACCACCCATGGCTGCAACGATACATGTTACAGTCACATAAGGAGTAAGGTTTCCCGGATACTCCTTCTTGCCATTACCAATGGCTATCCCTACGGCAGGCATTTTGCTTCTTTTTTTTTTTTTTTTGGCGTGAGAGTGACTCTAATATATAATCAGTCTAATTACCCAGAAATTCCTCAATATCGTTAACCAAAAGGATCCAAAAAACCACCCATGGGCTTCTAAAACGACATTTACATGCTTTACAGTCCACCCATAAGGAGTATGTTTTCCCGGGACTTCTTACTCCTTCCTTGCCATTTACCATAATGGCTATCCCCTACGGCCAAGGCCATTTTGGGCCCTTTCTTTTTTTTTTTTTTTTTTTAGAAATAACCAGTTCTTGGCATATCAAGAAATTGAGCAGAAGAAAGCTTTTTAATGGAAGGAGGAAAACTCAGAAAACTCCTAGTTAAAAACAGAAACAAGCTTAAAATAAATAAAAGGAAAACAAGGAACGGTGGGAAGGCTAAAGGGAGTGACTGAAAGACCTTGGCTAAAAAGGACGAAGGAAGGAAAGATAGAGGAGGGGGGGGAGGGGTTCTTTTCCCCCTTTGGACAGGCAAGAAGCCTTAGTCTATATTATAATGATGGTCTTTGGGGAGAAAAGTTGACGCTGTCAATTAATTACCATATTTCTTATTTTCTATTAAACATCAAAAAATATGCCATTTTCAGGCGATTTAAAAAAAAGGAAAAAAAATAGGCTCAATTCTCTTAAACAATAAACTAACCTGTGTTGAAATTAGGTTATATTTAACTTTGCTCACAGTTTGATGGGGCTCAGAACAAAACCCTGCTGATATGTCCTATTAAATTCATCAACCAAGATTTCATGAGCGCACTCCACCTCTACGTTTTTTTAAATTAATTAATTATTATTTGAAAAAAACCTGGGTACTCCCCACGAAGGCAATTTATAAATTTCATCGGTCATATGCTTTATTATCATATCTTCTTAACGTTTTAATTTTATTTATTCATTATTATTTTTTAAATGGTTCTTTCAAAATATTTGTAAGTCTCCTCTCTACACACTCTCCTCCACACTCATTGTAAATAAAATTATTTTTCTATTAACTATAATCTTTATAATTCGTTTCATCGAAAAAGAAGGAGGTTTTAGGTATTCTTTTATAAAATGAATTCATTAAGAGTGTTACAAGCAAAAAAATTAATATGATATTTTGATATTGATTAAAGATTTTCTTAATATTGCACTAATTTAATTCCCAAAAACATGGGAACAAACAATAAATTGAAAAAAAGGAAAAAAAATTATAATAACCTAATAATTGTTTTTTCATTAAAGGGGGAAGGAGGTTAAAATGAAACAAAATAATGTTTCATTTATCTAACAAATTCTACATCATCAATTTTTCTTATTAACGGAAGAAAAATTCAAAAATTTAATATCTGCTTAATTCTTACCGCCAAAACTGTGAGACCACGTTAAATATTCAACTCTCTAAGATTTAAGTTTTCAACAGCGCATTTAATACAGTTCAACAACTCGGGCTGGATAGGGCTAGACCGGGAACAATGTAGCTCTTCACCCAGTCTACTTGTAGATTATCCTCAAAGCTTTTCAAAGCCTTTGCGTAGCTATAGCTTATTTCCTCTTCACCACCGACAATCAGTATCAACCAGAGAGGGTGAGTGAGTATAATAATGTTAAAATGCCCTTAGAATATTTATTCTTCGTTAACCAAATTACTCATGATAGGCTTGCTATGTTGGGAGTCACAGGATGCAAGACACTCTCACACCGGGCTCGCACACAGGTTAGCTTCAAAAAACTAAAAGGAGTTATTTTACACCGTCAGATGAATACTGCATTAAGAATCCCCAATAAGCTGATTGTAGTTCCCCCCGAAACTTAATTTTGGTCCTGCCATCCACCTAATTAGTTTTATTTAACCTTATCAAATGGTTTGGATCAATGGCATAGAAATTGTTTTGAGGATAACATACCGGTAGGTTCTATTTTATTTCAAAAATTTTAGGGAAAAAAACCGTCGATTTTTTCCGAACACTTTAGCCAGTCTCTCAAAAGGTTATGCCTTTGTGAACACCACCGGGATACATACCAAGACCCACTCCTTTTCCCCAGGACATTGTAAGATAGAAATGCTTATGTTAATTAAATGATTACAAAAATGGTTTTTTTTCTTTTTTTCCAATTTATATATTGGATCTTTGTTGGGGTTAATTTCTTAGTTTGAAGTAAAAAATGCATTACATTTGTGGTCTTTATTAAGAATATTGAATAACTTTTTTGGGCTGTATTATTTAATTTACAGATTGTAACATTTTTAATGACTGGGATAAGGGCATAAAGCTTTCTGGTTAGGGCAGGATAAATTCCCCAAGTTTAGTACTGTATTTAAGGGAGAGTTCTTGGTGGGGGAGTGACCTAAAACAACATCATTAATTTAGGAAGACACTCTCGGGATATAAAACATTGGAAGCGAAAACTTTTCCCAAGGACCAGCTAATTCCTTCCCATTTTTCTCTGTTGCATGCTTCCCACTTGTCAACAGTTGACTCACCAATTCCCACAAAAAGTCATAATCCAACTACACAGTCCCAAACTTACCTACCACCACCACCATGACATGATTTCGTCATTTCTTCTGGTCTTTTACTATATTTGGATTTCCATGCCAATTGTCGTTTTCGTGTGCCTAATGCGGACATAAGTTTCGGGAAGACACACCTCTAAAAAAAAATACTAATTTTGGAAGTTTTTTTTTTTTTTGGGTTTAAAACAAAAAAAAGCAAATTTACACAAGTTATGTAAATCTTTATGTATTGAAAATAAAGGAGGCCCACGTTATACGTCATAACAAGTTTATAGGCTATCACCGAATCCGGTTTGATTAAGGACATTTTGGAAATCGTGTGGAGGTAGGTTCTCCTGGAAGGCTGGAGGGGAAGATTACATTACCACGAGTTGCTGTCTATTATTCCTCTTGACAATTTTGCAGTACACACCGGAAAAAACACCCATTGAGAGAGGAAAAGGAGACATAGAAAAAACTAGGAATTGCTTTTCTCTACCACAAAAACAATAAAAAAAAAAAAAGAATCCCCATTTTTTTACCAAACCAACTTTAAAATCCAGGTATAGAGAGTATTTTTTACACCGTCCATACAAGTGGTATGGATAAGCGTGCATTTTTACACATTAATCTTTCAGAGTGTAGAAACTTAATCTTTTGCGAAGATTTAAAGAGCATGGATACCCAAAAAGAAGAGAGAAAGTATATTAGCTTTATATGGAAAACAAAACAAACTAGAAGATGCAAGCTGAAAGTAAAAAAAAAAAAAAAAAAAAAAAGAAGGTCCCATTTTTTACAACCTAAATCCAGGAAGATATACACCGTCTCAAGTGTATGGATAAGCATAACATAATTTCAAATTAGAAACTAATTTTGCGAGATTAAGAGCTGGATACAAAGGGAGTATATTAGCTTTATATGGAAACAAACAACTAAAGATGAAGCTGAAATAATTATTTAATTCAATTAAAAAAAAAAATTTTATTAATTACAATATCAAAATAGATTATGATATGATATGATCTTAATAATTTTTACTCATATAATATTATCATTTTAGAAACGACCATCAATCACTCTATCCTAATTAATATTGGTACTTTAATATTTTTTTTATATCGTTATAGCCTAGAAAATGACATGCCTCTTAAGTATTTAAAAAATATATATATATTTTTTATATTCATTTAAAAATTTTCTTTAATTGGTCAGATTCAACATTCATGATGTGAATAGCCGTGTCGCAGTTTCAAAGTAACGGCTGTATGTATGATATTGATACTGAATCACTGATACCTTTGCAGGGCTAGAAAAGGTAATTTGGTAACCGAGACTTTAGAGGAAATCTTATGGGCCCAAATCCAAATCAACGACCAAATTTATCCGAATAAATTTAAGTTAGGCAAGAATTGTGTATCTCTGTGCTATAATTTTGTAAGATTATCCATGATTCTATTTCTTTTTGAGTAAATATTTGGAATTGAATTTCTATGATTAGTGGATCTAATTCCACAATCAACCAAACATGCCCAAAACTGAAATAGGAAAATACCTCCTATGTCACAAATATAGATTATTTCCATTTGAAAAAAATAAATTTTCATATCCCACGAATTATTAATTATTTTAAATTATTTAGGTATTTTACTCGTCCAATTCTCCTTCATGGGAGAGTAATTTGATCCTAATAGTTGCACAGGATGGGACGTGGCGCTTCCTACTTACTTCCAAACAACATTTTTATTGCTTTAACAAAAGCATGAGAAACATATATTTCATGGAACCTTCCTGCTCTCAAAAAGCAAGGCAAGGAAAATAAGTAAATCAGAGAACAAAAAAAAAAAAAAGAGAGAATAGAAACAAAAGAAAAAAAAAAGGGAAAAGGACAGAATAAAATCAATTGAACTTCTATTCCAGATTTTCTTTTTCATCCTTTATTAATTCTTATTTCCATATTCTTTTTATTTTCCTTTTGTTTTTCCCCGCTCTAAAAATTATAGACAATCAACAAATGTAGCACTTCTTTCTCAATCTCAATATATGATTTTTGATTTACATTAAATTGGAATTCATAATTTAATTTTTAAATTCTTGATTAAAATGTAAAATAATGAAAAGCATGCATCTAATAGAATATATAATTTTTTATTTCTATTAAAAAAGAAAAGAATAATTTTATCTTTTTTTTGCTTTTAAAAAATGTTTTTTTAATCCAACAAAACACCACTTTTCTGCTTTTGAATTTTAAAATAACAAAAAGCAAACAAACAAAATGGAGCTAATTCCCCAAAGAAAAAAGAAAACATATTTTATCAAATAAGCTCTCTAATAATAATACGTTGACAGGATTTAGCATGTGCTTTTCCTTTTCCTTTTTTTTTTTTTTTTTTTTCTGCTTTTGAATTTTTAAAAAATAACAAAAAAGCAAAACAAACAAAAGGGGAAGCTTAAATTCCCAAAAGGAAAATAAAGAAAACATACTTTTATCAAATAAAGCCCTTCTCTAATAATAATTACGTTGACCA